CCTCTCAGTCATCGAATACCGTCAAAGATGAGCGACGGGCCACAGAAGAAGCAGTCCTGTCATATGCATGTGAGTGTGGGGTTAAGTGGAGTCGATCTTGTAGTTAATTAATTAATAGAGAGAAATATTAAAGTAAATGGTTTCTGCGTAGCACGTGCACAAGGCACTAGTCCTATTAGAACTAGATTGAGAAGCTCTTCTGTAGAATAGAGATAATGTGTGATTCATATAAAAGCCCAATATAGCCTCAGTTCTGCCCTGTCAGCTTCCCACTATTCCCTGTGTAAGATCATTCCTTTTAACAAGAAATAAATTAAATAATGTTAAATTTAATATCTATAAATAGACAATTCAATAATTAAAACTAGATTGAATTACCAAATAATTAGGATAAATCATCAATAGGACTATCTACTCAAGTATCTACCTATATAAGAAACCTCAACTCCCCTAAATTTTTTTTTTCTTTAGATATATTGGTAGGTAGTCTAAATAGTTAAATCGATATATGTCAGGTTTGTGATGTAGATTGTGGGTTTTGGTTACTAGGTAATTGGTAGATAGATATGAGTTTGAGATGAGTTTGAGATATTGATATTGATATTGGATAGGAGGTATGGAGGAGGTAGAGAGGAGGAGCTTATGAGGTGGTGATGAGTATATGTGTGGAGTGGGGTGATGGATGGATTGGATTAAAGGTAATTATTAGTTGGTAAAAATGATAATGATAATGATAATAATATTAATTATTCAAAAGCTGAGAGGAAGTTATTTGATAAATAAGGGGTAAGAGGAATGATAATGATAAGGTTAAATGATGGTAAGATTGAAGGTGAGTAGTACGGTTATGTATTTTATCTGATGGGAAAGAGATACTTGGGAGTTTATTTGGATATTAAGAATGGAAAAGGAGGAAGAGCTCGAGGAAGATATTAACGAAGTTATAATAATGCAAGGTCTGACATATAACAGTGCTAATACAGGATTTGGAAGATTAATCAATGTGGAAGAAAGGGTTTTTATATTGGCGAGTAGTGATGTATGGTAAGATATGAATAGATTAGGAGGACAATAAGAAAGAGAGAAGCGAGCGTGAGAAAGATAGCGGGAAAGATTCATGAGGTTGAATTTTGAGTTGGGGTGTATAAATAACTTGTCAATGGTAATTCTCAGTTTTTTTTTGATAGGAGCTATTAGATATTGATCAAGTCAGAGATGAAGAGGAATATGAGCTCGGTAGTTTGAGATAGTGTGTGGGTTGGCTGGGGAGAAGTCACTTTGGGAGATATGGAGAGAAAGCTATGAAGGAATGGATGAAGATGTTGCGCGGGGGAAAGGGAGAAGAAATTTGCTAGTTGAATGGGACAACGGGATTTTTATAGTAAGACTCTATGAAGAAGATGACGATAATAAAACTATGTGCACAATAAAAAAGTTAATGATGATATTTATGTAGAAGCATAGAAGAGTTCTATGTCGGGTGGAGATATCGATTAATCCTTTGAATTAATTGGATATTAGAGGAGGAAGAATATAGAGAAGTGAAAATAGATGTGATATTCCGTTCTTCAATATGGCTCGGTTAATATCTATGTACAATTTTTAATTTGTAATAGAAGGAGATGTGGGTGGTTTTATAGGAGAGATGAGAGACCTAAGCTTGGATATGTGAGTAGTGAGCTAATGAGCATGCGACAAAAATTTCTTCGGTTTCCAAGGTCTGGAGTAGTTAGCTGGATAATGTAAGATCTTATAGATGTATCTTTGGGTGAAGTGGTATATAAAGCCAATGAAGTTCCATTTCCATTTTGCTCTCAAGATTCAACCAGGAACAGAGATAAAAAGTGCAAGGCGCGTGATTCGAGTTAATATATAAAGAGGTATGATGGATTGAGAAGGAGTGCAGGATAGTACTAGTGGAGGAAGGAATCTCGAGTTGAGAAGATAAGCAGAAAGTCGGAATTGTTGATAGAAAAAAGACTATGATGGATAGTGAAAGGGCGAAAGAATGGTGATAATTAGAAAGGGAAATGAATTGGTTCATGAAAAGAGAATACGAGTTCACAAGAATTACACTAGAGCTCGTGGAAAGAAGTCGGACACTCTCAATTGAGAAAGAAGAAACCACGCAAAAATCGTCCTCATGATCCCCCCGGAACTGTCTTATGCCATTTGTTATAGTATCAACAGAAAGAAAATAGGAAGATATTTATAAGGAAGCTGAGAGTTGGAGTCAAGGGGATTTGTAAGCAAATAGTGATGAGCGGATAAGTTTGTGAGAATGAAATGGAAAAAACTGATATATAAACAAGTAAACTTTGAGTTTGAAGTGTGTAAATCTGGAAGTATTAGATTCATTACTTGCATTCCATGAATAAATAGTTTTGAGACTTTGGTGAGAATATGGTGTAGATAGTAGTATGATGTTGATGAGCTCAGGAAGAAAAGAAGTGAATATTTGAGGTGAAGTCGAATTGGAATCGGTTGATGAAAGAAAGGAGTAAGGCATAAATTCAATGGAAACCACTGTAGTGACAGCAAGTATTGACAAAACAAACTGGTAATAACGAGTAGGAATGGCAAAAAGTGGCGAAGAAGCCGGTGTATGCTAATACAAGATAGATCCTTAGGATCCAAAAGGGGATGTTGATTTTGAAGGGAAAAATTCTCAATGATGAGGAGTAGAATATATCTTCACGATCTAATTCTTCACACCTTCAAGGTAGTATCTTTTTGTGGTCTAGAGTGAAGATATGTGGCAGATGAAAATATATTTATAGGCGAGTTGGAGGGACCAAAGTGCAGAGAAACTAAGTATAAGTTCTATGTCTACTTGAAGAGGATAGCAGGATAGGTAGTGCCATTTAAGGGATAAGACAAAGATGCTTGAGTGTGAATGGTGAATGATAGATGAGAAATTAGATTAAAGTAATGGATATAAATACTACATTATTATTCTACCTATATTTTCTTCCAAAGAATTACGCCAAAAATTTCGAACCATTATAGGTGCATCAATAGGAGTTATTACGAGGAAAGCAACAAATGAGTTTATAGAAGATGGAGAGTGCCATTCCAAGTATGTGTAGCCTGAGTAGAGGTTGAGATGAAAGGGGAGAAATCTGATAGCTGAATATTTCGGTGGATGACGATGAGAAGACTTTATAATGGTAAGCAAGGAATGACGGTAATAATTCTTTTGATAACAAGTCACTTAGAATGATGCTGTCAAGTAAATCACTGCACTGAAATCAAAGCTATCCCTTCAGAAGTCAAAAATTTAGGATATTTTTCCGCAGAGACCTGGCTCTTGATATCAACTTTTAGCAACCAAAAATCGATTATGAGGGACTCATACTTCTGGATTAAGAGTTGGATTGGAAAATATATTTTATGCTAAATCTAGGCAAGAATGTATAGTCGAGTGGGCATATAGGTCGAATGTGGGTGGATAGAGGAAGTGTATGTAAATAGGCCTGAAGGGTTATATAAACTCAAAAATTGGTATTTTGAAACTTGTATATAGGCGCTTTAGAAATGGAAAGACAGAATACGCAGGACGTAGTATCTTGGGGGCATTTGAGACAGTGGATGTTGACCTCCTGGGATCTTGGCAGCATATGCATATATATTGCATGATGCATATAAGGAGCAAACAAAACTCAACTTTTAATTTATTCTTTCCTTTTTGGTAAACTGTTTGTTTGCTTTCAATATTTTGATTTCAAAGCACTTTAATTCCGAAGGCTGAATACCTAACCCTATTCCTTCATTTTTTGAACATATACTCGCAGCTTAACTGCTTAGCTAGAGAATCAATCAATTCAATCTGATGCTCTTTCTGGTCTCAAGAAACCCAATATCTACGGAAGTGCGAAGCTCTCCTATAGAGAGCTTCTCAATCTCGTCCCAATAGGACTAGTGCCCTGTGCACGTGCTACGCAGGAACCATTCACTTTAACACTTTCTTTGAAAAACCCAATCCGAATTATAAATAATAAATTGATGGAATTATAATCCAATAATTGTTTGTTTATATATCAAAAAAATCATTTATCAAAATTTACAGATTATTTATAATTAATTGTAAATCTTTTGGAAATAGTTTTGTATTTTAGAATTTAGGAATAGTTTCAAATTCTAATTCTAATTATAATAACGTGGTTTATCAGCGAGCGGGCCATATCACCGAGCGGGCCACTTTTACCTCAATTTATCATTTCAAACCCATATTATTTAACAACAATTAAATCAATTGATTGAAACTATCAAGAATCTAATAATCTAGGATCTATTATACTATTCTGACAAGTTCTTGAATTATGACCAGTCTTTCCACACTTACTACAATATCGATTAGTAGATGATTCCCTATTAAAATTTCCCCCATTTTGACGTTCGTCGCGTTGAATCTGATTATCAACCTCTTGTTGTGATAATATATCTTTAGCTTCTTGTCCAGTAAGTACTCCTTCATTACGTAGTTGAATTTTTTTAGCGTGTCGACATTTATTTAATACCTCATTTGCTCTTCGAAATATACGATTCTCAGCACTCAAAAGTGTAACTTCATATGCTAATCTCTTTGTACCTTTAATTAAAGCTTGTATAGTCTCAAATATAGGTGTAGAAGAGCTTGATTGATGACGAGTTATTCGAGCTTTTACTAGAGTTGATTGTAAGAGAGCCTCAGTTGGATTATGAGGGGTTTGAGAGATCCAGGAGTTGGTAAGTTCCAAGGAGGTAGATGGAGGGGTAGAAGTACGAATCCTAATATCTAGTTTTGAAAGTATAGATTGAGGATCGAATGGTATTAGACCTGCTCCTCGAAAACCAGCTTTCATATTCTGAATAGTAAATGATTGTAAATATGCAGCTTTGAAGGTTATAAAGAATTCAATCTTGGTAATATAATTGATATGAGCTTTGATAAATCCTTCAATTTGATAACTATATGAACGTTTGAGTATGCCAAAACACCCAACATCGAGTGATTGAGTTAAATGACTTGAATGTAGTGGTAATTTGAGGTATATAATATCATTTGATTTGCAATATGATTGAAAAGGTATTGATTCGTAGCTTTCGTGCCTATTTAATATTAGTATTCAATATTTGCTCTTTTTTTGACGAATAGTATGTTTATCGAAATGCTTTAATTATTCTAACCCTATTTCATTATTCGTCTATTCATTGGAAGTAGGTTTAATAACCTAATCCGCAGGAAAATCGGTTTCGGTATACTAATTGGAAAGATGAACTTGTCCTTGAACTACTAGAAATAGAGGTATAGTTTCACCCTCTCCATTACCATATATAATTGCTGTAGCCCACTCTCAATTGCCTGGTTGTATTGCCTTGCTTCTACCATTTCGTTCAGCACTAGTTACAACTATTCCAAGGCATATTATACCCATCATGAAGCCGGTTTCGTCGAAATTATAGAAATCAGAATCGACAATACCATATTTCGCCTGCATATTCGATACTAATCTAAATCACTCTTCAATAAACTTGGGATCTTTGTAGAAAGCTCTTTGAAAATCATAAATGCGATTAAAACATATCTTTAATTCTGGACATCGTTTAACAAAGCGATGAGCCTAGAGCTTTCCAACCTTCTTCGCACCCTGCGATTCGAGGATATAATTCGCTATATCTTCTATACCATTTAATTTAGATGTAAACCCTCTCTTATCTATATCGATTATATACTGGATAAGCACTTCCTCTTCTAATTTGGTCAAATTATGATTATTTGCTCGAGATTCGATACAAGGGGTAGTACCGTCCATTCTGCGCTGAATCTTTGTACACAGGATATTATATAGCTTAGCAGCCTTCCGAATGCTTAATTTTTGGTCTTTATTGATAGCTTCGATAGCTAAAAGTATTCGACCTTCTTGATTATTCGATTCCATAATATATTGTTGATAAATCGCGTATTGAAGTTGAAAGATATAAATTGAGGTAAAAGTGGCCCGCTCGGTGATATGGCCCGCTCGCTGATAAACCACGTTATATAATTCTAGTACCCCCTTCTTGGACCACCCCTCTTTTGGACCACCTTTTTACATCAAAAATCATGATTTTCACTTATCCATAACTTTACAATTAATCAATAGAATTTGATGAAATTTGAATCATAGATTAATTATATGTTTATGTTAAAGTGAATGGTTCCTGCGTAGCACGTGCACAGGGCACTAGTCCTGTTAGGACTAGATTGAGAAGCTCTCTATAGGAGAGCTTCGCACTTCCGTAGAACTTAGAAGAGAGATTAACCTACGAGGCCAATATTACCTCAGTTCTGCCCTATCAGCTTCCCACTATTCCCTGTGTGAGGTCAATCCTTTTAACAGTTTATAAATTAATTCTGAAAACTTTAGATTTTTTGAAATTAATTTCATTGAGATTTATAATCTTAAACTTTTTGATTTTCGATTGGTATAGGATTTTGTTACGAGGTTTGCCGTCTAGATCACGTGGAAGTGCTCTAGGCTCTCGAGGTGGTTTATAACTAGGCGTCAAGCAGGGACTTAAGTAATGACAATGATGCAATTCGTAACTAATAGTAGAGTATACTAAATGATTGATCTTGAGCATGAAGCTCTATACAAAGGAAATTCATACTGAATATATAGATATTCATGCTCCCTTGGATCCTTTTGGATTCTCAAGCTCCAAAAGCTCCAAATCACGTGTTTTCTGACAGTGCATGCGCATACGATCCTAAAGTGACCCAGATCACATATTAATTCGATGAAGTCTGATCGCTTTTGCATAAGGCCCAAGCTCTCCTAATTAGTCAGTTGTTACCATCGTAACAAGTAGAATGTAGGTAAACTAATTGATAACTAAGTTGAGCACGAAGCTCCTATACTATGAAACTATTCTGACTATATACTTCTGACTGCTATTGGACAGCCTGGATAGACTGGTCTATCCAGTCTATCCATCACGTGATCCTTTATCTGCCTCAGGACACTAATCCAAACCACGATTCGTGACAAGTAGCCCATATTAAGGGTGGCCCGGAAAGGGGGTACTAGACTTATTAAGTTTAAAATCTATAATCAATCTATGATTGATAATTAAACAATATTCCAGATTTATATTTTTTATAACCATGATTAACTGTAACCAATCCATATAACCAAACCACCTATTGATTACACTTGATAAGTATATCAATATATGAGGTCTGTTTTAGAGACTATTACAAAAGAAGAAGGAAGTGGATGGGCACCTAAATTTGTGTATTTGAGTGCTCTTTTGTGGATGATTAGTACCAGGAAAAAGGTTAATTCTTATAATGGTAAATAAATATACAGATTAGCTACTTAATGCGGAAGTGAAAGGAAGAAAATTCCAATCTGGATGAAGTGGATAATTCGTTTAGCTGTAAGGACCCTAGATGCGTATGTAATACAAGCAGCTAATTGGATATTGATAAAATGAATGGAAAAATAAAATATATGAGTATATAAATATAGTCATTTCTATCCTTTTTCTGTCAAGAGATGATAGGTTTTTCTTGATCGAAGGAAACAAAGATGTGTCTGCATCTATGGTGACCTGGATTGGGGGTTGGGAGCGGGAAGGGCGCCAGATTCAACCAACATATGGGGGAAAGTCCCAAGGTGGCTGCGACAGGCCTGTTATTAGATTGCGATACGAGCGTTTGCTACTGATATGACGAACTTAATTGTGATGCCAGTAAGAGAGTTGTATCGAACGACAGTGACAGGAGACGATAGTGTCCTAGGGTGTTGCCAATGAACAGAGAAGATGAAAATCACTGCCAATAACGAGATGACGGATTATGAATAGTTGAATTCGTTAAACAGCAAAATAAAGATAAACTACGAAACGGAGTGAAGAAGAAGGTGAGAAATATAATCAGTCCTTGATAATGCCACATTCCTGTGTTTTGTTTTGTCACGGCTCACTATATATAGTAATATTGTACGCTTTTATATCTTTAAATCTTGTTTCATCTGGCAAGTATTAAACTCTTTGGGCCTTCGGAGCATCGGATTCTAAGGCTATTTAAAGAAAATGATTCGAAAGTATTGAATAGGACGAGGGGAAAATGAGCAAAGGTTCAGGAATAGAATCAGAATAAGACGGCACGGGTAAAAGAAGCAGCAAATTTAGATTCTTCTTAGTGTAAATAAATGATAAATCTGTAAGGATATGTTTTGCCATTCTATAAGGTACAGATTGTCGTTTTGGCCGTGTAATTTGGCGATGATCATTAGATATGATGATAGTTACCGAATCAGCGAAAATGAAGATTTCTTGTTGTCATCGCCCTTCTCGCTTTGGAAGCCCAATGCTTCTCATTTAAGGTGTGGATAGGGAGGCATGGTAATCTTAATCGAGGTTCAATGGAAAACTTGAGAAGCAAATGCACCTGTGCTCAAGATGCAGAAATTTCCGGTACTAACGAGGAGTTACGATTGAAGAATGCAAGGTCTTTTATACCGATTTTCGTTTTAAACATTTGAACTTTTCTATGAGTGGCTAGAGCTTGAGGCAGTGGAATAAAAGAAGTCACCAGTTTCAATAACGAGCGTTTGCTTTATAACACGGTAAAACAATAGTAACAAGGTAAGGCTGCATGTGGAACCTTCCCGTACAAATATATAAAGCTTCCGTATGCCCATCTTCGTCATAGGCAATTTGAAGATGTTTGCTAGACAAAATGAAGATGAAGTGCAGCACCGATTTTCTTCGTAGTGACCGAAGTAGCTCTGGAGAGATGCTAGGGATAAATTCAGGAATATTTGGCATGTAAAGAAAGAAAAATGCCGTTGGAATTAAGGCAGGCAAACGCACAATAGTGAATAGTGACACTGTTGATACGTGACAATGAAGATATCCATATAATCAAAATACAGAGTTTTACACATTTTATTACATATTCACAAACGCTGTATTTTAGTTGATAACAATTATTAAATACTAAAAAGTCTATTAAAACCTGTCCACGATTCTCTATCCAGAGACAAATTCAAACGAAAAACGACAAATCAGTACATTGACGAAACCAGACTAGGCATCAGCTGCATGGTTAACTGTATTCATATCATTCTCTATTGAATTAAGCTAGAAAAAAGGAGGGCTTTATATAGACGTTCCGGATAAGTAATGGAAAATAACTAGGGCGTGACTTCACGAAACTTAGATGGTAAAGCGTGGAACCTCAAAGCGCACTCTCTTCAGCTGCAGCCTCCATCCTCCAAAATGTCGTAATAACGCAATGCTAAAATAGTGATAACAGAACTAGTGTTTATTACTAGTCAATAATATTTAGGAGAGAATTTATGAGGCTTAGATTCGAGTGTGTATAAGAAAGAGAAATTGCAAGAGGAGATGGTCATATATGAAGATATCGATAACGCAGTTAACGACATGAACATAATAGGTTCGAGAATAAGTGGTGACAATGATAATATTGTATTGACACTGATCAGAGACAAGAGAGCAAAATAGAAAAGTGAAGCAAGAATTGAGAAAATGGAAAGTGATTACACAAAGTGGCTCTTAGCCTCGGACCAACAAGCTTGTTTCCGATCTATGGTTCGTAAGGGGAAGTCTCCTAGAATATTATGATATTTAGTTCAGTTAAGAAAGTATTTATATTACAGTAGGTAGGTGGATAATAAATGAATGTAAGGTGTTAGAAGGGAACAGCGGCATGCAATTTCCGAGCTGTGTGAGTCTAGCAGGTTATATGATGGATAAACTATATAAGACATTTTGTATTCCTCGTTCAAACATTATTGCACGATGAAAGTACTGCTGCCAAAGTCGAGGAAGAGTGAAGATAGTATTTGATTGACTTGTGAGTCACTTTCATGTAGGGTTCAAGGAAAGGGAGGGAGATAAAGATCCTCATAAATGAGGGACGGACAATAGTAAATTGCGAGAAATAGGTAAGTAGTAGGAGTAATCGACGGCATTAAATACTTGTAGCGGAAAAAAACGGAGAAACTATGATGTGATGTTGATAAAAACGAAAATTCACATGAGAATAATTTTTCGAGACTGGTAAATAGCGGTAGATAATGACTCATGATATCTCAACGACAACAAGCGACAAACGACAAACGACGAGAGTTCTCCAAGCGATGATGCCTTGGTAAATAATAGGCTCTGGGTAATATCACAAGAATCGTAACGCTCGGTGCTCTGATTCGTAAATATGAAAAGGAAAGCGCGCCGTAATGACGCAGCAAGCAGCAAGTCCTCCAGTGCCAAATCGTATTATCGTAATGTGAGATACAAAATGCAAGATTACAAAATGATGGAGCTTTATATAAACAAGACATTTCGCATACATTACTTGATATGGAACAAGTAGACATATATAGAAAAAAAGGGAATGTCGGAGTTTAGCTTCAGTAGACTGATTGAGGGGGTATATAAAGGAAATACTTTTCTACGTTCTGTCGGCAAGAAGCTTTTGTCACGATATGGATTTAGAAGTAATGTTGGAATGCATATTTGACATTCCACATGATAATAATGTTCCTATTGCAGTATAAAGCAGAAAGAAAATTGATTAGCTTGGGTCGTGACGTAGAACTACTGAAGTAGCCGTAGGCGGCAATGATTATATCGAAAGAGCAGCAAGGATAGTTGATGACAATAACAAAATAACTTGACAGAAATCGTAATTTTTGTATACTTTAATAAAGCAGGTACTCGCACCCAATTCTCGCAAACAGAAAAATATTCAGATAGGGAGATCTAACTGCGAATCAGAAGCAGATACCAGAGTCCTAGGTCTTACACCAAATTTTGCAAATTCTTTACTTTCTAGAACAATACGATAAGTACTTCTTTTATACTGGGTCAGTATCGAGGTAGTTAGCGCTTTGGCCCACGATAAAAGTGATTCACTCGCAGACCCCAGATCTCAGCCCTAAGAAACGAGGTAGGAAAAGATGCAGCGGTAATATATAGACAACACTTAATAATCCTCTATAATCCTACAACTATCAAAAATTAAAAGCCCACGAATTGTATAAAAGGAGCCTTGACCTCTAGATACCGAGGGAAATTAATGTGGGAAACTCATGATGATGTTACTGTATAATTTTTATTGATATTTTGATGAAAGGATATAAGTGTATATCTTGGTTTGGATAAAGGGTAAAGTATATGATAATGAAGGAAGAGAATGGACGACAATCATACTCCTCCCGGAATTATCTACCTATCTACAGTATTAGACGAGATAACTTCGTGATTGTACTGGTGTATATATCCCAAAGCACTAATCATGGCCCTGTACACCCCAACAGATTCTTAATGACAATTATTAGAGTATTCAGAAAGATTCCCTAGATAAATTCAGACTTTCGCACTAAAAATCCTACGGGGACGCTAAATGTCATGACCTCTTCGGAAGAGACATTGCAAGGCTTGAGATAGAGTGAGAAACAAGATAAGCAAGGACCGAAAGACCCTTTGGTGTACACCCAAGGCCCCTCTTCTTTGATACTCTGTAAATCCATAATATTTTCTAGTGGAAGTCTCAAGGACCCAGGCCAATCAACTTATTGTCTAATAACAAAATTAAGAATGAGAATCATGCTTTTGGCATGGTAATAATGGTACAAGTACTGACAGTAGAGATATTTAGCTCGACTTTTGAGCATGAGCTCGGAATAGTTGGGTCGCCCCAAATGTTTTTTCTTTAAATTGGTCGGAGTTAAGAATGAGAGACGTATATATGAAATGGAGCTGCACTATACTTCATAGTGCCGATACGAACATTTCACTGGCACAGGTTGAGTTTGTAGGATCGATGAGCAGGGCCGCCTTTTATAAATTTAGTGAACGAATCTACTTGGTTATTTCTAGCAAAGCAATATGATGGTGCGGATTGTGGAGATACTTGACGAAATGTGATAAAAGGACGTAGTAGAATCGCATTCTCTTTGATATGTAAAGCCTTTTTAACTTGTCATTTGTGGATTAGAGGCCCTGTCAATGCCCTGTCAATGCACAGTAGCAAGAGCGGCAGGCAAGATAATTTGAAATGTATTGACACTCCAAGAGTTATATTGCGGATTCCTGGGAGATGAATCAACAGAGGAATTTCACTGTTTTCATTTACCGACAACAGAATAGAAACGGTGGTGAGAATTATTAGTGATGACAAAAGATCAAAATAAACTGAACACAATAAAACAAAGTTCGGAAAAATTAGCAGGCTGGAGCAAGAGAGGGGGGGGAGTGGTTTCTTTTCTTTTTTTTTTTTTTTTTTTTTTTTTTTTGGATATTTGTGTTTAGTTGTGATTACGGAATCCTGAAAGTAGAGCACATTTGATCTTTACCACTCTCCAGTACTTTGCGTGCAACATCAAAATCGCGTGAACGGGTGATTATATAGATCGTATGATAGATAAAACTCGCTTGTTTTAGTATAGGTAGGGAGATCTACACGAAAGAAGCCTTTTTAGTGACTTGTTCTTTTGACAAAACTCCACCGTTCGTATTCTCCTCGAATATACTTGGGAAATTTGAGAGGTCAAGGCTGGTCATAGCCTTTGCATTCAAAAGGCCTAGGTGCGTCTATAACGGAAAACTGCCTCTCCGAATTCGTTCTTTGATCTTTGCTTAACACTTAGGTGCCCCTCCTCTTCCACCTTCCACCTTCTACCTATTTGATATTTATGGATATTGGCGATGTGCCAATGATTGAGTTTGGCAATACCGAAAGTCAAGACCAAGTACAGCAGGATTTAACCTTTGATGCTCAAAACCAGTGTGGCAACGAAGGCCGTGATTCAAGATGGTGATGAGTGGTACAAGAGGTGCAAACGTCAAACGGATAGACTCGAAATAGGTAGCTGAGTGTTGGAGAATTCGCTTGACTCTTTCCAGCTACAAAGCGAGGAATAATAAACTGGGCGCACTTGCGTAAAGGGTGGGTGTAGGGAAATGAAAGCCAGGCAATCCTCTTCCAGAAATCAATGACAATATCTGAGCTAGAACAGTATAACAAAACACCAAACGTTTTGGGAAATGTAGAAGAAGTCCTTTACTTTCCTCATCCTTCTTCAACATACAACGAGGATGTGATGATCAAAGGCTTTTATGCTTGCTCCTTTCCGGCTCCAGTTGGAAATATGAAAGTCCGTTATATCCGAGAACGATAACTGACGCATTGGCATAATTGATGTCCCTACGTCATCCGGGTAGCTCTCAAAGTACACGGAGAATTCACATACCCCTCCAAAAAGGTAAATATGAAGATATACTTATCCTCGCGAAGTCAACCTCCTCATGATAGTTGAAGGATAAAATGGGCTAGAAAACATCATTTCTTTGTGAAAAAACGTGTAGAAAGGATTGCGACTTGAGTTCAATAATCCGTTTCTCCGAGCAGGATAAGGCACCAATCTCATTTATTTTAAGGCCACAAATAATTAATTATAAGTCCGAAAGGTTCCGATATCCTAGCGTCAAAAGTTTTAATGAACATTCAAAGTTGTTTTTCTTCCTAATCAATATTTATTATTCAATTGACCACCTTATCTTCTCTCCACCAACGAGATATATTTTTCTGTCTTTTCCTTCTCTCCGTAGAAGAAGTATCTACCTAATAATACCACCTCTCCTCTCAATCCTTTTTTTATAGATAATCATCATGGTTGGCTCTACTGGTTCAACAAAGGTGGATGCAGTCGTCCAACAGGTCGCTGCTAACACCCCAGAGAAGCTCAGCGGTTTCGCACTTTACTCCAGATTTGCTTTGGCAGGTGCTGTCTGTTGTTCAGTTACCCACGGTGGTCTTACTCCCGTTGATGTGTACGTATTGGAGTTATTACCAAGTTTTGCGCAATGCAAAGAATTGGATACGAGTGGGAAAGTGGGAGGCATGAAAGGATGACATACTAACATGAATTTTTCTTCATAGCGTCAAGACCAGAATTCAACTCGATCCCGTCACATACAACAGAGGACTTATTGGTGGATTCAGACAAGTTATTGCAAAAGAGGGTGCTGCTGCTCTTTTGACCGGTGCTGGACCAACTTTCGCCGGTTATTTCCTCCAAGGCGCATTCAAATTCGGTGGTTACGAATTGTTCAAGCAACAAGCTATTAACTTGATCGGTTACGAAAATGCTGTTAACAACAAGACTGCTGTCTACTTGGCTTCATCTGCTACCGCAGAATTCTTCGCTGATATCGCTCTTTGCCCTCTTGAGGCTACCCGTATTCGTTTGGTTTCTGACCCAACATATGCCAATGGTCTTATTGGTGGTTTCTCCAAGATGTTGAAGAACGAGGGTGTTGGAGCTTTCTACGCTGGTTTCGGTCCAATCTTGTTCAAGCAGTAAGTATTTATGTCTCTGGACACATCATTACCATGCTAATATTCAAAAAGAGTTCCATATACCATGGCCAAGTTCGTCGTTTTTGAGAAGGTTGTTGAGGCTATCTACGCCAAGGTCGACAAATCCAAGACTTCCGATGGAATGCAGACCACCATTAACTTGGGATCCGGTCTCATTGCTGGTATGGCTGCTGCCGTTGTTTCACAACCAGCTGATACCATGTTGTCAAAGATTAACAAGACCAAGGGTCTTCCAGGAGAGGGAACTACTTCCCGATTGATTAAGATTGCTAGAGAGCTTGGATTCAGAGGTTCATACACTGGTATTGGTGCTCGTCTTGCTATGGTTGGTGCTATTACTGCTGGTAAGTAATCCCGATTCTTCCTGTTCTCCAATTCATTTACTGATATCTTGTACAGGTCAATTTGCTATCTACGGTGACATCAAGAAGGCATTGGGTGCTACCGGTGGCGTTGACTTGGCTGTTAAATAAGCGATTGTATAAAAGCAGTTGTGGAAAGGGTACGGAATCATCGGACATCGTTTAGCGAACCCGGGTTATATGCATGCATTTGATTGTTCTTCCTCGTCTTCAAAAAAATACTCCGGTCTGTCTTTTTTTAGAGAAGAATAGACTAGATGGCGGACTGGAACCTTAGAAGATTGGGAAGGGATGGAAATATATTTCACGGCGTCTGTCTGTATAATAGAGACTTACTCTCCGATAGAATAGATGACAATTGGATGTGGTTTATGTTGATTAGTTTTACGATTTGATGTTGAGAGTCATGGTGAAAGTGAGGAGAAAGAGGGGCACGAGTCGGTGATGGTGACTTTTTGATGCGGGAGTTTGTCCTCTGTCTTTTGATTTTCCTTTTTTCAACATCTGCTCTTGATCATACCCCGTGAAGACACGCCCGAAAATTGTTGCAACAGCTCGAAATTTTGATTGATACCAGAATATCTACCATTCAGGATTCTCTGGAGGTTAGTCTGCAGATGAGATATGAGATGTTTAGATAGATATCATGAATGTTTTAGTTGGGAAGTTGGTGGTTAGGAGGGCTTGAAATAGATCTTTCGGAGGTAGATTTAGTCCGTATTAAGGACTTTGATTGGGACAATGTACCTACTAATAAGTATACGGGCTTCGAAGATTCAGGCAAATGAAACGAAAATGTCCAGGGAGCATTGTAGGGAGGAAGTCTTGTTAGTATTGGTTGGTCAATGAATCCTTCTCAATAGTAATTCCCATACCTGTCACCATTGTAACGAATCTACCACCTCTCCACATAAGTAAAGCTTGTATCGTGGTAAGATTTTACTAAAAGTCTCGTTGGACTTGTTCATAGGATTGCTGGATGTTACTGTGTATGCATGGAGACGTAATGTAGGACTTGGTAGATACGAGCAAAAGTATAGGATTCAGCAAATATTGACTGTATACCTAGCTAGTAACCATCGCCTTGAAGTTTATGGACTTAATGAACAGATGGATGACTATTGTGGGGATATCAATTATAACATCTCTTCTCAGATAAACACAGCCACTCTCTCTTGCTCCGTACACCATTCCCGATAACCAGTAAACATGCAATAATCTTTATCTGGCCTAGAAATCCATGACCATGTGTCGCACAATCTCTGGATATTCCGATCCAAAAAACCGAATTGTAAACAAAACATCGAGACTTGGCAGGGGATAATGCTTGAAAATGGTTTGAAAAATGCTTGATTTACACAGAGCGGAAAAGAAAGAATGACGCAGAGAACATGGATTTCCGCAATTCCAAAATATGATTTGATCGGATATTTATTTTAAGAGATTTATTCAACCAATTAGAGAGTTGGATTTCATACATACTGTCAACGAGCTAAGCTTTTCTGCCAAGATTCTCGAGCTTCCAAAAACAGCTGGAGCTTGTATCCCTGGAAGAGGGGCAGAAAAAGCTCGTCAGTGCTGTGGATTGGGAAATCGAGAGGGATCTCCCCACTATATTGAGGGTATTATGAGGAGAATACTCGAACACTCGAGTTCCAACATTCACTGTGTTTATCTATCGATGTATACACGAGTACGAGATTTAATGACTCTTTTTCACTTTTGTCTTCTCTCCTGATTCATCTTCTTTTATATAGTCTTAAGATCTTACAATCAACTTACGATTCTCACGCTTCCTTCGTTTCTCATCTTCCTCAACCATACTTCAAATCAACAACCTCTTCAACCTCAATTCATATATCAACAACAATAATATCAATTGACTTTCTAACCTCACCACAGAAACAGCCGCAATCATGGTTCACTTGTCTCAAATCCCCAGCGAGCAAAATGTGACTGCTCCTCTCGTTGAGGGCCTCAAAAAACTTACAATGGCTGCTTCGAGCGAGGAGGATGCCTTCACTACTAGCGTCTATGGTTCTAAATTTGCCGCTCAGGATCTTCCTCGACATGAAATGCCAGAGGGTGAAATGCCAAAAGAGGTGTGTGCTCTAATAATCTTCGAAGCTTTGAGGGAGTGTGAAAATTGAATCTGAGTGGGAGCTAATTTTCTGCGGATAAATAGGTTGCGTATCGTATGATTAAGGATGATTTATCTCTTGATGGAAACCCTATGCTTAAGTAGGTCTAAATTTCCGTATTATTGTGGCAGATACTGATTTTTAATAGCTTGGCTTCTTTTGTTACTAGTGAGTCTATGAATTATCTCATCAATGTTTGATTTGAACCACGGTTCCGCGTCTAACAATAATCCAGCGTATATGGAGAAAGAAGTAGAAGATCTCATGACAGAGAGTTTCAGCAAAAACTTTATAGGTAAATTATTCTCGCTACTTTCAATACTCCATACTCGTGCTAACCCATTAAACTAGACTACGAAGAATACCCTCAAAGTGCCGATATCCAAAACCGATGTGTATCCATGATTGGCCGTCTATTCAACGCTCCTACAAATGCAGAAGGTGATGCCGCTGTGGGAACTTCGACCGTCGGTTCCTCCGAAGCTATCATGTTGGCAGTTTTGGCCATGAAGAAACGTTGGAAGAATGCTCGGATTGCCGCCGGAAAATCAACAAATAATCCTAATATTGTTATGTCCTCTGCTGTTCAGGTCTGTTGGGAAAAGGCAGCGAGATATTTTGAGGTTGAGGAGAAATATGTTTACTGTACTCCGGATAGATATGTTATCGATCCAGAGGAGACAGTTAATTTGGTGGATGAGAATACTATTGGTATATGTGTCATCTTGGGAACTACTTATACTGGAGGTCAGTCTTTCTTTTTTGTTTTCCCCCTCTTTTCCACCGAAATCTCTCTTGATAGAATATTACTGATCCCCTATTTTGAATTTAGAGTATGAGGATGCTAAAGCTGTCAATGATCTTTTGATCAAGAAGAACATTGATACTGTCATTCACATCGATGCTGCGTCTGGTGGATTCGTGGCACCATTCGTTTGTCCTGAATTGGAGTGGGATTTCAGATTAGAAAAGGTTGTTTCTATCAACACTAGTGGTCACAAGTATGCTTGAATGGGCTTCGATTATTTTGACAACGGCTAACATATTTTTAGGTATGGATTAGTCTATCCAGGTGTTGGCTGGATTGTCTGGAGAGCACCAGAATACCTTCCAAAGGAGCTAGTCTTCAACATCAATTACCTTGGTGCTGATCAAGCTTCCTTCACTCTTAACTTTTCCAAGGGTGCTTCGCAAGTTATTGCTCAATATTATCAACTCATTCGTCTTGGTAAGAAAGGTTACCGTTCTATCATGAACAATTTGACAAGAACCGCCGACTACCTCTCCGATTCTCTTCAGCAACTCGGATTCATCATCATGTCTCAAAAGAACGGCAGAGGTCTCCCACTCGTTGCCTTCCGCATCGACCCTGAATCCGACAAACATTACGATGAATTCGCAATTGCTCATCAACTTCGTCAACGTGGATGGGTTGTTCCAGCATATACCATGGCACCCAAGACCGAAAATCTCAAGATGTTACGTGTAGTTGTCCGTGAGGATTTCAGCAAATCTAGATGCGATCAGTTATTGAATGACATTAAACTGTGCTGCAGTGTCTTGAATGAGATGGACAAGGAAACAATTAAGAAGAATCAAGAATATATTAAGATGCATTCTACTCATGTTGGAAAGAGCAAGCATAATCATCCTCATTACAAAAATGAGAAGCACAGCTTGCAGGGGAAGACCGGAAAGACTCATGCTATTTGTTAATTCGGGGATAGTTAGTGGATTTTGAACTCTGGTCTGCGGCTGAGATTGGGTATCAAGAGGGGATTTGAAGGATGGATGATGAAAGTACGAATGGAATGATGGATTGATTGATGGTGATTGGAAGCATGAAAATGGGAAGATGGATGACGAATTGATGACCTATGAATTGAGAACGACAAATACGTGGATTTTTAGTTAGATTTTATAAAGATTTATTAGTATTTAAAATATATATTCAAATATATATTTCATGACGCCAACTACACTACAACCGACTCCTCCAAACATTTCAATTTGTAAAGCATTCGCGAATATTTGCCAATCCAGGCTATCATGCTGATCCGTAACACTATCCGTAGGGACTACCCCGGAATTTGATCGGCACTTTAATGCCTGTAATATTTGCGGCGTCGAATCCACTACATGCTGGTACGAGGTAAGACCGGAAAATCAATCAAGAACGGGATTTTGCCTCATCTTGCATTTTGGTGTTTAACGGTCGGTCGGCGCTCACAGGTTTCGCTCAATTTATTTCATTTTCTATTTTCCATTTTGCATTGCACAAGTGCTTTTAGAGCGAAGGTCTATTTTTAAGAGAGCGCGGTGTGCACGAAGATTACTAAGAAAACGAGTTATTCCAACGAGGTAGCCATTCGCATAATACATTGGTCAGAGATACTCGATAATCGAGCGCGAAATAAGAAAGGAGGAGAGGGACACTGAGATTCGGGGAAGGCTAGGAGAATAGAACGCCTGGAGGGGACGAGAAGGCACGAACCGATAAGACGAATCTAGAGAAGAACAATTCTAGACCAGATGAGATAAGGCAGGCGGATCAACAGAGAAAAGAAAAAAAAATTAGGCGGATGATGTGAATAAGGATTGGCTTTCACTGCGCTTGAGGTTTGCGCGAATCAAAGCGCTAGAGTTACTGGGCGGCACTGTGAGGACTTGAAAGGATATTTTTGAAGCCGGAAAAAATAAGAGCAGAGGAGATATGAGCACGGGAGGTGCAGTGGGAGGAGGAGGAGTACCACAGAAGCAGATTCGTTTTGTGAATAATGAGGGACAACCACCTGCGAAGAGGAGGAGGGTTAATGCTGCGTATGTATCCAGTTTTGGGAAAGAGCGCAGAATGGAGGAGTATTTTTCCGGAAATTTCAGCTAATCTTTAATGTGGCACGGCATGTAGTTGTCGAACATGTCGAAAACGAAAAACGAGATGTGATGGGAAACGACCGCTTTGTTCAACGTGTACGGATAATGGTCATGAATGTATGGGATATGCGGAGGGTTCAGATGGGGCTGCGAACTTGATAAAAAAGGAGGTGAGGACTCCCGAGGGTGGGGATGGTGATGGGAACGCGCTTGACGGGGTTTCTACACCTACGCAGATTCGAAGGCCGGGAATTTTGAGGGATAATTCAAGAGATATGGTACCGCAAAAATTTCAACAAAAACCGAATACGCCAGTGTCAAAGATGAGATTTGAAGATGATCAATTGCATATGAGAGATGTGCCGAGGAGGACACAAAGCCACGACACGGGAAATAATCCGCCTGAAAGTCAAAGGCTTGATTATAGAGATACGGTTCTATTTCCAGATGATGGCATTAGCCCTATAGAAAGGGAACAACCGCTACTTAGTGAAAGCACTATCAGTGAGAGTCATCGAGTACCATATTTCAGATATTTTGGTCCAACCGCCATCGTACCTGGATTCAAACAAATGGTTGTTTCTGTTCGGGAACAGAGAAGAAGTATGGGGGCTCGTTCTTCTTCCTCTCTAACCATGTCACCTGCATCTGCGAAGCATGGTTCGACTGGTGGTTCTGTTAACGGAGGAACGCCATCTCAGGCAGGTACGGAACCAAGATCTGCGGTCGATATGCCACTTTATGATCCTAATGATCCTTTACCGGTAAATAGATTAATCATTCATCTTGTGGAAGTCTTTTTTGCGCATCTGGGTTGTAATTATCCTTTTTTGTCAAAGAGACAGGAAAATTTCAAACGTCTGGTGGAAGAAAAGAAAATCGAACCTATTCTTGTGGATGCGGTTTGTGCGTTGGCCGCGAGATTTTCCGATCATCCTCTTCTTACTACTTCGCATGAGTTACCACATCCGAAGTCAGAATATGGACAGATTTTTGCCCAAAGAGCTAAAGCGGCTGTTGTGGATACTTTTCCTTGTCCGACGGTTGGGGCGGTGCAAGCATGTTTATTACTTGCTTATGAGGGATTTGGTGCAAATCAAGATAGTGCGTTATGGATGTATCTTGGATGTGCTATACGAATGGCTGTAGATCTTGGATTACAAAAATTAGACGGAGTTAAACATCAAGGTCAAAAAGATCCGGGATATCATAGATCTTCAACAAATGAAGGAGAGTCTAGTGAACCAGCAGCCACTATTACTGCGGAAGAAAAGAAGGAAATTGAAGAGGAAAGAATTGATACGCTCTGGGCAGTTCTAATGCTAGATCGTGTCATCTCTTCCGGCACTGGTCGACCCGTCAGTCTTAAAGATGAAGATCTCGAGTTGACACTTCCGTCCGTATCGAATAATTCGGAAGATGCATGGCCGGATCCGTTCCCGGCTCTCATTAGAATCATTCATTTATATGGCAGGGTGTCGGATTTGTTGAATCGTATAAGAGGCGTGGATGATGTTACGCAAGGCTTGATTCAACAGCTTTCGGGCATGGAAAGGGATTTGACTATGTTGTATCAGAGTTTGGATCATCGGTTAGGATTTACGGCGAGTAATTTTCAGCATTTTGTTAAGAGTGGGGAGGGGACGAATTTTATACTTGTGAGTTTTTTTATAATATTTCTCGTCAGCAGATTTTTTCATTTTCCGACTTTGTTTGGTGTATTAAATGTTTTTGGAATATTGGATGAGGATGAATTTTCAATGATTCACAGTTTTCCTAGTGGGGAAAGCTTTGAAATATGAAGTGCAGCCAGATTTTTGGAAACCTTGACCTCACAGGTGTATGGACGTTTTGCTAATGGATATGAAGGTCCATTTTTGGTTTCATACTTTAATCATGCTACTTCATCAACCAACTTTAATGCATTCATTCGAAGGACAAGTTTTACAATTACTTCCACATAGTCGAGAACTTAGCATGTCATCTGCTAAAACTATTGCTGATATTTTGGCTTTCGCCGAACTTATTGATCCAAGATCATTTATTGGAAATCCATTTACATGTCAACCGATATATATCGCTGGATGTGCATTTCTCAAAGAAATTGCATTACATACTTCTCAACCATCTTCCAGGGATGCTAGTCCTCGACATAGCCCGATCGGTTCATCGGATACGGTTAAACCAGGCGGGAATCAAAGTCATCATGGAAATCAAAAGCAAAAACATTCATTACTTGCTGCAGCTGCAAATCAAAATTATCAAAGATGCCACAAAGCATTACAGCATATAGAATCATATTGGGCTGGTACTCGATATATTCGAGTAGCTATGGAACAAAAACAAAGTGGAATAGATCCACAAGAGGTCGAAACGTATACCGCGGAAGAGTATACTGAAGCTACGAAACCGAGACATGAAATTATACCTAATTGGAGAAGAAAATTCTCTGCACATTCACCAAGTCCAGCATTACCAGGATCTCCAGCAATTGACTTAGCACAAGCTATTGGATGGTCGCTTACTGGAACAACCAATTCTCCAAGTTCGAATTTAACACTTATGTATCAAAATCAAAATGCAACGGATCATCTGGAAATGAAATCTCATAAGGAATATGGTCAGGGAAATATGATTTATGATCCTATTAGACAAAGTCTTCCAGAAAATACGGCAGGAGGTACTTCGACTAGTGGAAGATTTGATAATACATCAACGAGTGGAAGATATGATAGATATACTTCACGATCGAATCAAATGCTTCCTCCAGTACCAAAGTTTATGCATGGAACGAATATCGATGCAACAACTACTGCTGATGCGGAAATGTTACTGGGACTTGGGGCGGGTAATTCACCTTATGCTACACCGGGTAGTAGTTCTCATCATTCGTTTGATCCGGGACATAGGAATACTCTTTCTCCAAGACCGGGTTCTGCTAGTACTACTGGAGGAGGAGGAGGAGGTGGTGGTGGTGGTGGTGGTGGTGGTGGGTATGATTTTCACCCACCGTCTAGAAGTGGAAGTGCAAATTTCTACAGCAATCACAATCACAATCATAACCAGAATAATCATAACCACAGTCACAGTCACAGTCACAATCATAATAATACGGCAAACAACTCGCATGGGAATAATAACTTGCATAATGGTACGGGGAATACACATGGAAATGCACATGGAAGTGGAAGTGGAAGTGGAAGTGGAAGTGGAAGTGGAAGTGGAAGTGGAAGTGGAAGTGGAAGTGGAAGTGGAAGTGGAAGTGGAAGTGGAAGTGGAAGTGGAAGTGGAAATGGAAATGGAAATGTATACGCAGCGCATACAAATGGATACATGGGAATGAGTCTAGGAAACAATATGGGCGTCGGCGATATGATGATGGAGAGTCAGGATATCGATATGAGGGGTTTGGGCGAGGACATGATTCCTTGGTTGGAGTATTTGCCGGGGGATATGCTGGGGTTTTTTGAGGGGGTTGGGTAGGTGTGTTGAGTTTGGGTAGGTGTGTTGCGTTTGGGTAGAAGGTTGGGCTGCGTTAGGTTTGGGTTGGGTTGAGTTGGGTGTGAGAGGGTGTGGGATGTGGGAGATGGGGATTGGGGGATAGAGGATAGAGAGGATGGGGTTGGGGTTGGGGTAGGATGATTTTGAGGGGAGAGATGAGTGATAAGTAGGAATTATTAGAATAGCTATCTACTTATTTAGCTAGAGATATATATAAAATAAATTTATAAATTACATATATTTTGTGAAAGTTTTTCCCGTCTCTGGTACTCTTTATTACTTTAGTGTAATCCTACTATTTGTGGCGTCTCACACCTGCGGGTCACGTGGCACGCCCCATTTGTATTTAATCACAGGAAAACTCGCTACTCTTGTTTTCCTTCTTTTTTTTTCCTTAGCTTAGTATTTTCTAATACAAGATACTTTACCCAGTATTCTTGAGTGTGACAAAAATTATATCAAAATTTATATAAAACATTAACACTTGAATTTTTTTATTTTAAAAATTATTAAAAGGAATGACCTTACACAGGGGATAGTGGGAAGCTAATAGGACAGAACTGAGACTATATTGGTCTAGTATATTAATCACTTACTATCTAACTTCTAGTGAAGTGCGAAGCTCTCCTACAGAGAGCTTCTCAATCTAGTCCTAATAGGACTAGTACCATGTGCACGTGCTACGCAGGAACCATTCACTTTAACATTTCTAAATGTGACGGAAAAGTCGTAAACGGAGTCAATTCAATCACTTAGAATCTAAAACTAAAGAACTAAGAAGATTCTAAGTAAGAAGGTCTTTATATACAGGGCTAGTGCACGTGAGCCACTAGTGGGTAACAACCGTCACGTAACACTAAAAAATGTTTTACGATTTTCTTTATAAATATTTGATTAAATTTAATTCAATAATTTTTTATTTGAATTATATAATATAATCTTATAAAAATTACAAAAATAAATTTTAAACTTTTTATTATTATTTAGATCGAAATATTGATATTTATAAATTTAAAATATTCTTTTATTATTATTATAATCATAATTATAATTATTCTCTGAAATGATTGAGTTTTGGTGTGAAAAAGTTTTTCATCAAATATAAGTGGTCTAGTACTATATAAGATGCCTACCCAGAGGCAAATTCACTATATCCCCCTCACAACCCTCGCTTCGATCACCTTAATTATTATTCACTCCCATCACATCATCATCATCTCAGTAAACACCCTTTCTATTCGAATGAATGAATACAAATTATTTTTGAACCATACCTATCAAATTCAATCGATGTACATAACTGATATGACTGTACACCGAATAATACCTACTTCAAGTTACTACATCAATTTATAACACTAATCATCTCGCTAGTAAGATCTTATTTACAGCTTACAAGCCAAGCCGTATTAATATCTCCATCTTGTAGATATAAGAACTGCATCTTTTTACTTGTTTCCTTCCAAGTATTTTCATCATACACAACTAAATCAATAAATTCGCAAGGTTTCTAAGGACAGAATAGGTTATTTGCAGTTGATTAATTGATCGATCAATCGATTAATTTGATATTTGGATTTATAAAATTATTCATTCAGAGAAAGAACCTTTTTGTAATTCACCCAATCTTTCAAAAATCTCTCTTGACGACTTTCAATTCAATATGGTTTTTAATAAAAGTAAGTAAGAGTTTTTTATCGTTAACCCTTCTTTTCTCTTTTTCTTCTAATTCTAACCTTCTAACTCCCCTCTTCATCCATCCATCCTCCCTTCTTCCCCCGCATTTCCTTCCTCTCATCTATCTACCAGGTAAATTTCTAACATCACACAACCAGATTCCAAATCCTTCCACAAAAGCAAAAAACCCACCAAACTACCTAAAAGTGCAGTTGCTGATGCGCATCCACATATTAAGATGCATATCCCCGCAAATGATTTTCCTGTTGTTATTTCAAATGCAGATACAAATACAGATGCAACAAGTTTGGAAATTAGCACTATTCCAGCTCGAGTAAAGCGGAATAGAAAAGGGAAATCGAAGATTCCTAAGAGTGCGAGATTGAAGCGTTGTAGGGATGAGACTCTGATTCGTATATCTCCGATCGGGATTGTGGGGGGTGTTGAGGAGGGTTTGGAGGGTAGAGGTGCGTTGGTGATGGATGCGACTGGCTTGGATTCGGATTCGGATTCGGTTATTGAGGAGAGTAAAGGTGGAGAGGTGGATAGTGGGCATTTTGCTTCAGATGATCTTGATCTTGATCTTGATCTCGACCTTCCGCTATCCTTCCAGCATCAAATACCAACTGTTGTAGCGACCATGAGTAATCCTCTTTCAGGGGAAGGAAAATGTTTACCTACAACCTATCTATCGACTTCGGAACCAGCAGCGATCAAAGGGATTATTACTCCAAGCATTTCCCCCAAATTACCTCCTACTCAGATGGCTTCCCCGATTACCTCTGATACTGTTCCAAATTCTTACAATTCGTATACATCATTTATGTATACACCTCCTCATGGCACCCCAAAACCGTTGGCTCCTCAATCTGATCAAAATCCTAAGGAGTCTTCTCCATCTGACCCACTCCCAAAGACCTCGCAATCGACTCCGCTTCTTCCTGCGCATAGTCACTCTATTCGTACTTCTCAGAAATCCTCTGTTTCAACGCTTCCACCGGGATTTTATGAATACCACACTATTAGTGAAACTGTAATTATTCCACGTGCTTCTGAGCATGGCGAAACTGGCTCTGGCTCTGGTTCTGGTTCTAACTCTGCCAATATTTCTAGTTCCGAATCTAGCGGTGGCTTAACACCTACCTCATCTCAATCATCTTTACGAGAGAAATGTAAGATTTCATGTGGAATGAAACCGAGTCTTTTATGTGCCTATATCTTATTTGGATTTTGTCTTGTTTGGCTCATGTGGATGTCCTTTACTACGATTTCTCGAAAAGAGACAAGTAATCGTGGAGGTGTTGGATTTAATGTTATTGGTGGACATGTTTTACCCTACGGTGCCAGAGTTCCGGCAGTGGCTCCTTTCAAGTATGCTCGTGCAGTTAAGGAAGTAGTCCCGACTGCTGAGGTAATTTCCTCCAACTTTGGTCTCAACACGCAAGGGGATCGAATTGATGAAATCACTACTAGTCAAGTGGACAAGGTACTGAACGGACATTTTGATGAAGTGGGCAAGCAGCAGGATTTAAAAATAATTTGGGTACTCTTGACATGGTTCGCATTCGCTTGTGCTTATGTGATTGCTATTATGGCATTTACTGTGCTGATATCAGAAGCTGTGTCGTATGTTCCTGGATGGACTAAGAAGATTTCTACTGAGGAGCTTTCTGGTGAAAAGGTGTAAGGTGAAGTTTGAGGCTGAGTTTGGGGTGAGGTGAGGAGTGTTTTGGGTATGAGGGAAAGGATGATAGATGGGAGAAAATAGTTGGTATGCGCGGATCATAAGATAAAAAAGCTTGTGATAGGGTTTGGTATGTGATGGATGAAGCATTAGATACAATGACCAACACCCATTTACTCAGTTCATGGCTTCTCCGATGGATGGTTGGGAAGGATATAGCAATAGTGTGTGAGCTTTAGAATTTGGTATTTGGGCAGAATATCTGCATATGAACGCGGGTTTCTGGTCTCATTTTGGGGATTACTTTTGTCAAGGCAGTGAAATTTCACCACTGGCTTTTTCTGCGATAATTAATAACTAATTCAAATAAATGATCTTGTAATCTTCTTAAAATGGTACTGATGCCCTGGTTGATACTAAAGTGACAAGTGATATTTTTTTTTTAAAAAAAATGGTAGGGTGTTCAAGACTTCGAATAGCAAACTGTTGATTCGATCCTGCGATAAACTGGAAAGTTTTATAACAAAACAACGATTATTCATATTGAGCCAACAACTTGAAGGCTCGCATTTTATTCCGATTAATATGCTCTATTGCAAACACTAGTGCCAATCTAGCATTACCATATTTAAAATCTAGCATTATCGTATTTGCTTACTCGGTGCTGTGAAAGTGATATACCCTCAACCAACAAAGTGAATATATACTAAATGGTTGATAAGTCTGGCTATGCACTGTTGATTGTAGTAACCTTATGGTCCAGGAGACACAACTCTCCCATGCACATGATGAATTCATTCTTTCTTGGAGCTTTCCCAGAGACTATCTGGATCGGACATAGGCATCCGGAGGATTCGAGTAACACTTGGAATTCAAACTCTTGGAACTCTTGAAAGATGGACGGAAGCACAATTTATATATGTTTATACGGATACTTTATATCCTGAGGAAGTCTGATTGCCAAATATGAAGTGATCAAATTAAAAACCTAATTTCAATGGGCTCATCGTATCCACTCGGTGACGAGAATAGGTAAATGATTATCTTAATTTTAAAAACACGGGGCTCTTGCATACGAATAGTGTTTCGTGTTGTAAGTAAAAGACAATAGAACATCGGAATCAATATTCTATAGCTGTATGTGTTGGTAAGAAGGAGGTGAAGAAGAATATTATGCGAGAAGCTCGGAAGTGACGATGGTTACGTAAGCAGCAGTGTAGTCTAGACCCGAATTTTCAAAAAGTACCGCTATGTAAGTCTCCCAAATTACTTGAACAATCATGGTCGGATATTCTCCGCGGATAACTTCAGTTGCACAACATAACATTCTTGATCGGGGCGTTCCTTAGACGCAGCAAACGGCTTTGCATCGTTACAAATCTAACCATGCACATCACAATTCTTGCTCCGATATTTCGTTATAGGCCTGTATACTCGATCGCAAACGTTCTACAAACTCCTTCCTCAAGATTAACCGGAAATTCAAGCCATTGATTACTGGGAAGATGCGAGTGCATTTCATAATTATACATCAAACGACGATAGCTTGGTCCAATTGACATCGACGACGGATACTCCCCGAGCCCTCGAGATTTCAACCTCTTACGAACTATAAAATACATAATTGGGAAGGCTACAACTAGTTTGGGGATTGGCATGGACCTCTTACGGCATTGAGGATACTGGTTTTCTGTCATAATAAGATGCGCGGTGACTATGGAACTTAAGGCAGGAGAAGCCGTCCTCGTGGAAAGCATGTCAACGCGCATGGTAGGAGAGGAATTAGATTCCCATCTGGAATACTTCTGCGGAGAAACTAACTTGGATCTTCTATTCAAGGCAGACACGGAAGTCTCTTCAAATTTTCTCGCACTGAATAGACATTAATGCCCAAAGTTTAGACTAATAGTACAGCCGGATTCTTATGGAGACAGGATTCTTGCGCTTCGATGTTTTACCAGTTATGAGCTTAAGAAGTTCGCCAAGCATCTTAATTTGTGAACAAACTCCAGCTGCCAGCGTCGGGGATACAGCACAAATTCTAGCTATCTCAATGCTACGATGTTATTCAAAATCCTACTTACGTGGTAAATGACATACACTTCACACAACTCATGAATTGTAATTCGAGGCCCATTCACCGGGGCAGAACTAATGTCCCATCTCTAGACTAACCATGCCGCTCATCAGATACCATGCAGAGGTCAAACATTTTGTTCCAAGTTACTTCCATTACTCATATGTCTACCCTTTATGAATCAGTTATAGGAGTCTTTGACACGTTTGGTTGATATTCAGCGTGTCTCACTACCCCGCTCCCACGCCACTCGCTAATCTCCGAGCTTATGACTTCCTCGACACCAACACTCTTTTAGATGGCAATCGAGATTACTTTATGCGATTCTTTTATATCTGGTAAGAGATTGCGAGACAAGTGAAGGATGATAGCACGAAGAAGATATTCAGCTCGTAGGATATTGTGAGTTACAATTACGCATTCGGAATGTTCAAAGTTCCCTTGTACTAACACTATGTAGCTAGTTGATCGACGAGACACCAGCTTCCTTATCTTCAAATCGGATATCATCGGTTATCCATTCTAACCTATCATCAAGTTAGTTTATATCATCTGGGTCTGATAAGGCTCCTGGTGAGAACAGGAAGTTTAGTTATTTCTCAAAATTGCCTTCAGAGCTTCTAATCCACATCTAAGAACTTGTACGTGGGTTTGAAGGGCAGCAAGTTGTTGCTGTCTACAGTCAATGGATGATATGTACTCCACAGTCTACTTCAAGTAGAAGGTCACAAACAGCACCGGACAGGGTTTACATCACCATCGCCAATTCCAATCGCACTCCATGTCTGTTCCCTATCTCGAAACCTTGCCTTGAAAAGGTATGAGCTTTGCTTTGGCTCGACCTGTTGAAGTATTGCGGATATCAGTGCTCCTCTTATGATCTGCCCTGGATTCATTCCACTGGGACTTGGGAAGATGTAAGTCACTTAAAGGGTGGTGTTTTGGGGTTACGAATTCTGTGGAGCGAAAGCGTGTAAAAGAATAAATCTCAAGGAGTTGGATGAAGATGATTTGCATTTGCAAACTCGTGGAAGCGAGAGATTGGTGATTTCGAGGTCTCTATCTTTTGGGGTCCTTCCGAAGTAGTTAATGAATATACTCCAGTGAGCATGGAAGAATTACTGGATCTCGTCAAATCCCATGTTGAAAATGGATCTGTTACTAGGGAGAGGCAGGAAGAAGCGGGACCGGCCGAACCACGATGGAAGGTTAGCCTGGGATCATTTCAAAATACATGAGCATGCTTGCCGTTGTGCGCACTGCTGTTCTAAAATGCAACGGCCCAAGATTCCGCAGCGGGAAACTCTCGGAGACAGAGTCAATACCTGACTCGAATCATCTAATCCCCAATTCTGTGCATGCATATGCAGTGAAACGGAAGGAAACCCCATCTTCTAGAATCTCTCCGCCCCCAAGTTGACTTGCATTAGCTCTCCACAGCGCATGAAGGCTGCAGAATCTCCGGCTTTCGATATGAAAATAGAAGGAGACAAGACTCCAACTCTTCTGCAATCCAAAGTGTCCGCCTTATCTGCGCTTAACATGTACTTTTATCTACAATACTTTCTAGATGCCCGTGGGATGACCCCCACGAAGTATTTATCCAGCGACTTAAAACTTTTTCAGCCCATGACAGCGTCTTGGCGACAGTTTTATACGACCAGAAGCGTCCGACCAAGACGCCAAGATCTCAGTTAGCGCGCAGTCGAATTTTGGTAACTATATATGCACGACCATACGCATTCATCTTTTTGTTTCGTTTAGACCATTGATAGCCATACCACCTTCCTTAAGTCACACCAAAGCCGAACCCAAAGAGCGATCTGGAATAACGATATTTTGGGCCTCAATCTTTGGAAGTTTTAATATTTTTAGAAATTATTTTGGAGATGTTGATCCTAGTTAATTTGAGATTTGGAGTAAATCCCATCGTCGTTACAAGGATTATTGACGAGGATAGATTGGTATGGTGGAGGAAGAGAAATTTGATAGTCGTGTGTTCTTTTCGCCAAATCCGATCTGGAAGAGGATTGAGATGACGTACGTCGAGATTTGAACTGACTCGCAGATGATGAACGATATTCGGTTGGTTCCTTCCTGGGGTAAATGTGGGGTTTGCTTTGTGGAGGTTCATTGGTCAGAAATGTATCGATGGATGAGATACAGATTTTAGTGAGCCGACGATAAACGGGGTTGGAGAACTGGCGTATGCGTCTAGAGCAGAGGTTTTCGGTGTTGTGGCAGCCACACACGGCCTAGGTGACTTTTTGTCTTTGCCGTCTCACTAATACTGGCTCAGCTTCTCGGACCTCGGCGGTCTAAAATGTTTGGCTCTATTGTGATGATTGTTGGGTCATTCATTCGGGGATTTTCGGCAAATGGCTTGGCAATCCAAACATCTCTATGGGGTTAGTTACTTACCAAAGATAGCCGTAAGATATATCATTCCCAGCATGTTTATTGGATTTGGCATTGTCTTCATTCGTCTCTAGTTCAACATGCTTGTTAATTAGCACACCCAATGGAAGACTAGTTATGAATCTCCATTCAATCCATTTGGCTTGTGAGATCACTGACTACTTCTGGAATTAGCGTTCACACTCCGGCCATCAATACTCGATTTGGCTGGAGTTTGCCATTTCTTCTTTAAGCCTGTCCATCATTTATCTAATTCTTCTTCGTGCGTCAGCATTTTTAGAGCCCGCCATAATTTTGGCTAACGGGCCTAGGATTTCGGAAAGAACTCTCATTGGTAAGATAAAAGAAACGGTATATTCCATATCCTAGTTAAGTATCATGCAATAGCCGCGCTCTTAGTACCACTTTATACACGCTTCATGTTCTCCGGATACACAGCATGGGTAATCAGTATGCAGCGAGGTATGCTTCGCTAGCATATGATATACATGGCCGTTAGAGCAGCTGCTATTTCAGTACTACTTTTCATTTTTCTCTATCATTTTTGCTATAATATTGAGTATAATATACTTGCATATAGTGAATCACATCTTTAATCTTTTTACTCAGACCCGTGAATCTATAACTTTTAAACCATGATCAATTTCATTAGTCTACCTAGTGGTCTAATTCCCTAATTGGATCGCTCCTGCAGTTTTTTCACTCGAACAATTCCTCGTCCTAGCCACCGCATTTCCTCACTATCTACGCAAATCCCCTTGACATGCCCAATACCAATGAGAAATATCTCGTGCTGTACTATATACTTATTTGTAATTGAATATCCTATGGTTTCCTTTCCTATCATGCGGCTCACTTCCTGCATGAAAGCGAATCATCGATATCTGAATCCGCACTTACTGCATGCTTTTTCCATTGTTCGGAAAGGAAAATATCAACAAGAGTTCCTCGTTCATTCATTCATTTTCAGTTTCCTTCAAAACCCTATTTTACTTGGCGTTATTTTCGCTCTTGTATTGATCTTGAATTAGCCGATGGTATGGTTGGTGTATTTATATGTCTAATTTTGTAGATATAGAAAACTAAATGTAAATTTTGTTTGGAATTATTAATTGTAAGATTATCTTTGAATTATCATATGGTGGGATGTGGATTACACTAGTTTATAACAGTCTAGTTTTATTTTTGGTGTTAAGGTTAACAGTGTCGGATGTATTTTGGATGGTAGGGCAGATGTGCCCTCTGAGTCTTTGGGATCTTTAACATCTTGGATATGTGGAAAAAATAATGACTAGGCATTGTGCTTTCCGAGAAGCATTTTCCTTTGTCTGTGTTACTTCTGTTATATTCATCATTTATTTATCTTACGATTTTAATCTCTTATCATCAAAGATTATATTATGTTAAAACTAATCTTACAATGTTCTTGATACCCTCATTCCCATCTATTCACACCCACACTTAAGTTTTAACACCCTCCCCATGCTTGAATCGTTCAATCACGCATCGCAGAAGTATATAGTGAGACTTATGGCTCGAATATAGAAGTACATAAATATGGCTTATTTAACATTTTAGCAGGGTGGTGATTAGATTGCGGGATACGCTGAGGGAGTTTGATATTTGGGTAATTATGCTATGCTATGCTACGTTATGTTAATTGCATTTCATTGTAAGACCTTACTAAAAAAAAATACTTTGGGATTGGGTGATTTATGTATGTATGAGGCTTATTATAATTATTATCATTATTATTTAGCGAAATGCTCACGGAGGAGCATATATAAGGATAACTATAGACGACAAGAAGCCTCTGGGAGATCTCTACGAGTTGCGCGTCACTGCTGGGGAATAGCGAGTGTAATGCGATATCTTGTATTCTTGAGAAGACGGGAATACGAGGAGATGTTTTGGGAATTGGGTGGGAGATATAATAATTTATGGATTTATCGGGGGTGGTGGTTGGGGGATTGGGGGGTTGGAAGGGGGCAAACAACGGTTTTTTCGTAGAAACATGATAAGTTAATAACCTTACTCGAGAATAAAAAGCATTATGCATGAAGGGATGTGATATGTATGTACTGTATAGCACAGCTTGCTTGAACTTGTCTTGCCCACAGTTAGTTCCGAAGCAGAGGGCTTTTCGTTTTTGTGTATATTGGATGTTGATTAAGAGGACTTTTGATAGTGTGTTGGTTTATTGGTTTATTAGTGGTGGTGGTGGAAATATAGTATACAGTATATGAGATATAAGGTGTAGGGTATAAGGTGTTGAGGAAGAGGTAGAGGTGGCGGTAGAGGTAGAGATGTGTGTGGATTAGAAATCCGGATACGATATGGTGTCAGATGGATGTGAAGGTGGAGATAGATGTGTGCATGTACATTGGTTGGTTGGTTGGTTAGTTGGTTGGAAATGAGCAATACAGACTAGTTAGAAGGTGTATATTGAGTGATTCGAAAATTATGGGGGGAAAGGCAGCTCAGGAGGAATGTTAGATAGTAGTTGAGAATTGGAACTTGGAAGAGTTGGATTTGAGATGGAGGTTAAATTTTTGTCTATAGGGGAGTTTTGGTGTTGGGTACCTAGGTAAAACTTGATGTTGCTGTTGGATGGGTGGGGCATGTTGACGACGCTGTGAAAACTAGAGAGGATCCGGCTACGGGGATGGATTGAAAGATACGATACTGGAGTAGGTATGTCATTCTTTATTGAGCTCTCTTGACCTACTGAGCTGTTCGGGTTCCAAGTATTGATTCATACACAAAACGTCAAACACGTAAGTAGCCGTAAAACCACAGATTGATATTTCTAATATAGGAATAGACGAGGAAGAAGAAGTGAAAGCGAAAAGCCATTGAACATCTTCGTTTGCGTTAGAGTTAATAGCGCTTGTTGGATGCTTTTGGATTGTTGGAGTAATGTAGAAGGAAGTTTCTCAAACGGACAATCTTTAGTTTGGGGTATAGAGTACCAACAGCTTAGAACCAGAATAATGGGCTTGGAAATGAAAATTTCAATGTTCAAAAGACAGACTTGATGCTGTAGATACACTCAGTTTACTCATGATTATCCACCAAATTTCCTGGTTAATTGTGCTAAACGCTTATTTTCGGTAGTAAAATGCTGTGAGCACTAATTAGATAGGGTCGGTAATAAACGATTTTAAATCATGGCATATGAACAAAATCATAAAGCTGAAATATGGGAAAACGAAAATTTTGAGCAATTCTTGACTTCAAGGGAGCTAGCCCTGTGACCTTGATGTGGATTCTATTACCCCTCTTGATGGTTATGTCCCCCGCAAACGCCAAACACCATGCCGATATGCATCATCGTACATCCAGTTAAAACTTTACGCTTCAGTAGTAACAGAACCACCGGCATCCTTCCACTTTTGAACGCGTCTTTTAATGTCCGATTCGGTTTGTTGCATAGGATTCAACCTCCTATCCCTAACCATGGCTCCGTAGTTCTCCCCCCATCTCTTAACCAACCTCTCAATCCATTCCTTCTCCCTCTCACTTTGTTGTCTCTCTCTTTTCTCTCCCGCTCTTGAAGCTTGCTCCTCCAACATTTTCACAATCTCATTTTTTGATGCTGAACCCTCCTCGTCACCGAACCCTTCAAATCCTTCTCCTTCTCCATCCTCAGCCTCCGAATCCAAGGGATCGTTCAATGGATTTGTTTTCTTTTCATCATGAATAACTCTTATAATCTTTCCGGTCTCAGGATCCCTTTCGACTCGCGCCTCGGTTGGTGCAAGGCTTTTAGGAATTGTATTTGAGATGGCGAGTTTATTAGCGGTAGAGGTTTTTGATTCGGGTCCTGCTTTCTTCTTTTCGATACCACCGGTAACAGTATTGAGACGACTGGTTAAACCGAGACGACGATAATTCTGTGTTAGGGTTTCTTCTTGTCTCCTGTGTAAAGAATTAGCGTTGATTGCAAGATACAGAATTGAATAGAAAAATTACCAGTTTGCAGCAATAATTGCATTGCCTAAAGGATTCACACGTTTGGACTTTGGCTTGAGCTTGATCTTAGCATTTCCAGATCTGTTCTTCTTCTTTTGGAGTTCGCGACCCATTTTCTATTATTGCAGATAATGAATGAGGTGGTGTAAATGAAATTGGTTTGATAATGTATTGTCACTTCGCAAACTCGCTCACTTCGAAAATCTTCACAAAAAATTCTAAGCTAGTCTTATCAGCTAGCTTATCATCACATGATATTTAATCGGGGGTTAGATCCCGTGATCATAGGCACGTGCTTCTTCAATTCCCTTAACTTTTTCGACTTCTTCACATGCGGTAGTAACATCATGTATATCTTCATAATTTCGATGTAACCTTGGAGTTGAGAGACATTTTACAGTGCCTTAATATATACGTGCAGCACGATTAAGCAGCTCCCATCCCATCTCACATGTGAATATCTTCATCCGAAGTAGTGGACCCTACAGAGTATATACGTGTACCTGTCTAGCTGAATGAACCGAAAGGTAGAGGTACAAACCATCGCGTCCCTATGTCCAATAGTGTTTGAGGAAATGTCATCAGAGAAGAAGTCCCCGCCCCCAAATCCCCACGACTGGATATTAGATATTAGATACCTAGATACCTATCAGAAGTATTCATTATGAAAGCAAATCGTGATCTAATGCTAATCTATTCTATCGAAGTGCACAATCTATTTACACCAGAATGGCATCTTCTCCGGCCTCATTTCCGTCATACTTGTGCCACTCAACAAAGTGTGGATGGTTTTGTTTTGCTGTTGATGGGGTGCATTCATCGCTTATTTGACAACAGGTCTCTTCTCTTTACTGTCCAATGTCCGAAATCAAGGACGATTAGTGTGAACGCCGAAGAGATCTATCCTGCTACGGCGGATGCCGTTGCACTTCGTACCCCCACTATAGCTGTCTTACCTCTGTTCCTCGATTTCACGATCGACCTCATTTTGCTCCCTTCTGATTACCTCAGCCACTGACTTCGAATAATGCTGGAGAGGCGAAGTCCTAAAAGGATCATCAGCCAATCCTAATGACCCTAGTGTAACGTTCCATCACGATCGGTAGATTTCGTCGCTTGACAGTTGACAATTGACAAGTGATTTGAGCAACAAGAAAGAATCTCGAGCGAAACATCTAAGCCAATCAGCGGTGAATCAATAATTGCGAAAGGATCTCGGAGAAGACGGCGAGGATTCGGCAACGGCATGAGCGATGAGGGGCTAGCGGCAGGATTCTGTTCCCAATGAAGTCTTCGTGAATCCTCCACAATGCAATGTATACAATTTATGAATTTCTTCAAAAAATAGCCGCGCAAAATATGATAAAGAAGGCTGTAATATCATAAATTTGCAACATGAACATTGCATCGTTCTCGGTAGAGCAAGTTTAGGCCAATTCCGTCGAGCTGCTGAGAAATTGGGATGGTGGCAGATCCTTGGTTGGTCAAACTTGGCATATCTGAGACATTATGAAAGATGGCGGATCGGAGATATTACCCAGTTTTGATATTGCTACAGTGTATTTAGATAGGACCACTGCAGTTGAACCAGAACTCGACAGGCCTTGAAAAGTTTCGATTAGACTTTTCTACAATCAAGTGTTTATTTCCATTTTATTAATCACCGGTTGTCATGGTTTCCCTTAGCTTCCTTACTGATTTCTACTCCTTATGCTATTGTATTATTGTCACTAATCATTGTGCCGTACTCCCCGGCCCTTCTAATAAATGAGCTAACTTGTAATCGCCCTAAAAAACATGCAATTATCCGCGGAAAAATTCAGGTAGTTCCTCCGCTTGATCGCGGAAAGGCCTCTTCGTGCTTGGGTTTTGTACCTGAGATAGGTCGATACTAGATCAAAGCCCATTAATAATGAAATCGCACATATAGCCGGGCCACTCTCATGTGAATATTGAGAGAAGGTGGCTTAACGACGCCTTATGTTTACGAAAATATGACTCGCGATCAAGGAGAGAGAGAAACAATCGGTAACTCTTGGAAAGAAAAAGCAAAAGATTTACAAGGATCAATCAATCTATCCGCCCACTTGCTCATCTCTCCAAGGTTAAGAAGCCACACCGAGGCATCTAATAACTCCTCATTTCTGCGATTGGAAGAAGTAAGCACGGCATGTAGGCACGGGTTCGCCAAAAAATTATAGCTAAATCAATTGGTAGAGCCCCGTGAAGGTGTACATTTTGGCTATACCTTTGCGTTATCATATAGCCCAGGGGGTGCCTCCCATTGTGGCGCGAATTCCTTCTACGCTTCTTCGAAACCTTCTAGCTCATATCCACACTTAAGAAATTAGGATAGCACCATCGTTGAAGAGAAGCTTTTACATGGGTAACGGTTGTGCTCGGTTTGGAATTTGCCGAACAGACCTTGGGGGGGACGGCCACCGAAAATTGAATTTGTTTTATGCATCTATTGTCTAATTTGTCTTGCAGTAGCAGAAGGAACCGCAAAGGGAACAGAAGGGAATCCATCGGAAATATCAAACCCTCCCGTGGATTTCGTTAATAATCATCAATAATCACCAAGCATAGCAAGGATTTTGTTCATTATTCAAGGTCCAGCCGTGCAAGTTCAACTGATCTGCAGTTGTCTAGATTGAACCCTTAATCAATGGTCATGCGTATGTAATGACAATGATTCGGTTTGTCAAAAAATTTGATTAGCATTCATCCAAAGATTTGTGAAAGGAAAATGAAGATCATGAGGGGGATCCTAGTGTAAATTGGCCCGCAATGTGGACTAGTGGGCGGCCAGACGCATACAATTTGGAGCATGATTGATATAAGTGGTTCGGAGGAGTTGATATCATTTTTCGTAAATGTTTGGCTGGTCTAGTCAATTATCAATATGATGAAGGGGGAATTACAACAGCCATAACAAACGGTTGAATTAATTGCCAGCTACGACTAATTTCGATCTGCCCCCCTCAACTTTTTGCTCAATTTTTAGACTTTTGTGCCTTCGCTGTGCTGAGTGCACACTTTAGCTGCAGAAATTAAACGAGCACGAGCTCTGCAGGTGATGAACGAATCATATGCTAGCCTGCTACCCAACCCCGTTAACACCCATGATGGAACACCCATGATGGGCTTATTTCTTCATGAACAGCTCAGACATGAAAATATTTACAATATTTACAATAATACCCCTCATTAGCTACAGTCAGGACGGACCCGCTCCTGCATTCAGATGTAAATAGCATAGTGCTCCTTATCCATTCGCAGTCTTATCGGTTGTAATGAGACGCTTTGTGCCTTGGTTGCACATTGCGCAAGACTGTAACACCATCGCCCTTCATCATCTCAGTATCCCTGAATCAAAGTCTTAATTGACCTTGTATTGTCACACATCAATAGTCTCATCGTCATAATGGAATTTAAGTATAAAAACGCGGGATATGGGAGATTGAGTCTTTCGAAGACTTGCACACAAGTAAAACAAAGCCAAGAAGAACTAAACACCACCGACAGGGCTGCTAATTCAGGCATGTGCACGGCAGTACCGAATAGCCAGGGGAGAGAAATACAGCCAGCGTTTGCCTCCTCACAAAACGATCATTAGTGGTTGCTTGACGCCGGTGGCTTGTTAGTTACCGTTTACCTTCTCATCTCCGAAATTCCATACTGTCTGTTTTAAGCTATCATCAACAAACTCCTCTCGTCCAATAACTCCTGCGGGAATTGACGCTAATCAAAAGGATGGCTTTATGACGGACAAAATATATAAAACCTGCGAGAAATAGATTACAAGTTAGAACCTGGTCGTTGTATGGGGTCTGCTGGCACTTCTTGAGATAGCTTCCGCAATGGCGAAATTTCCCACCCCGGTTTTTAGATCAAGCTCTACGGCACAGAAAATGAACGGGTATAACTTCAGTGGGTTGATTGTGGATTGAGACATACTAAAGCTTATTTCACATGAAGCTCACGATCCCAAGCCTTTTCAAGAAATTTATCTCCATGCAGAGTAAATAGACTTAAGTCATAACCCTAAAATTAAGCATTATGAGCCCAGAGCCAATTTCAATGCCAATTCGAAATCCCCTCGAGCTTGTTTCCCAGGCCAAGATTGCCACGAGCAAAGGATGAAGAATATTATTGATGAAATGCTAACGACCACCGTGCAAAGCAAGTGAAAGAAGCAAAGATTCCTGCATGGAAGGCTGCGTTGTGCTTCCTCTGCAGACAGAGTTGATGATTTCTGATTAGTCGAATTATAGATTAAACCTCTCGGAGCTGGCAGTTGAAAATGGTCCTCGGTCCCTAAGAAAGCCTGCTAAGTCCCAATTCAATTCCCTGCCCATCCTATCCTACATCACAATCTTTTTTTACATTTCCCTTCCCCCCTGGCAAAGCCGCAGTGCTGATCCCCACCCGTTACTTGAATGTGCGCCGGGGCGGACACACTATCTAGGGGTTATCCATCGTCTAGCTCGCTTTGCTCCTCATAACTGATTAACATGCCCACCATGAATTTCATCCAAATATTGCAACCCCAAGCTTCAGCCAACGGCTATTCTCCACATTCTTCTTTCGTGCACTTGGCTACATTATATTTCAATGGACTTGCATTTCTCTTTTCAATCAAATCTCCAAGTTTTTACCTCATAATTTCCATCAAAAATGACTCTCCCTGTAGCATGCCCTCCTTCCTCTACCTCATCCGACCCGCCTACTGTTGCGCAACGCAAGCGACGCAGAAGAGCTCCAGCTAGCGGTGCCTCGGACGATTGCTTCGCTTGTACCAAACGCAACGTAAAATGCGATCGCAGAAGACCCTATTGTTCACAATGTCTAGAAGTAGGAAATGAGTGTTCAGGCTACAAAACCCAATTAACTTGGGGTGTGGGAGTGGCAAGTCGAGGAAAATTGCGAGGCTTATCCCTCCCCGTTGCGAAATCCCCTCCTGCCCCCAAAAGCCCACCCATCACTCGTCCTCGAGCTGCTTCTACAATTGCGAGACCTTTAGAGAAAAACGAAGATGGTGTTCGAATTAAGCTAGAAAATGCAACTTCTGTACCTGTCAGTCCATTTATGACGTATGATTTTGTCAATATGGCACCTCATGGAAATACTCCAACGACTACCCAGATGTCGGATTGGAATATTCCTGCACCATCGCACGAATTCACAATTCCAAAGTACCATCCTGAGACACAACAACGACACATACAGAGACAATTACCCGGTCAACTTCACCGGATACACACGCTTAGTATCGGGAGGCCAGAAGGACTCGGTCTTTCCAGTTCCGTGGACTCTCTGAGTTCATATCCTGACAGCGAGTATGCATCACCAATCAGCCAATCATTTCACAATGAAGAAGTCCCCTTCCTCAATAGCCCCGCTCCAATGTACAACAGCTACTCTTCGAGAAATACTTCTATAACGGATCAAAATTCGGATATTATGGGAAACTCACGTGGTCCGACATCATGTCCCGATCAATTCTACGCCCAGTCAGAAATGAGTTCAAGCATCAGTTCTCATCAAACTATGTATGATATCGCAGAAGGTCGGCCACCTCAACGATCCTCTCCTTCAGTACATGAGATCTTCTATGATGATGAAATGTTAGGTGAATAATTTTATTCGAGGCGTTTATTGAGATCTTTTTACTAACTATCCTCTTCCTAGGCATGCAAAACTCTCACGAACCTGACGTATATGCAACAAGCGCCAGATCCAGTCATTTTGGATGGACTTCTATAAATGAAGACGATGTTGGTTCCCCCACATCTGAAGCAGACACTTACCATCATATTACTGGACATGATTCCATGTCATCTTCACTTACGTCTGAAATGTCACCCCGAATCTCATTCTTTTTAGATTATTACGAGAAAATCATCTGCCCCTCGGTAGTGGTCATCGATAGCCCTTCTAACCCCTATCGTGAGCACATTCTTTCTCTCGCCTCTTCAAGTCAAAGTCTTCAACATGCCATTTGCGCCCTTGCTGCTTGCAATCTACGCATGAAGCGAAAGCAATCACTTGGGCAAAACCATTGGCGTCAACCAATGGAACTCGAACTTCAAGATCGTATCAATGGTGGCTCTATTGGCCGACCCGTCTGCGTCAGAAGATCCTCTACTCAAACAACTTTAACCGACTCCTCGACTACCGACGCATCACTTCAAGAGGAATATCAACATCGTTCTCTTGCTGTTTCCCTGCTCAATCAACAATTATCTGATCCCTCCAAAGCCCGCCATGATTGTGTTCTAGCCACACTATTTATTCTCTGTCACTACCGCATGTGCGAATCTGGCATCGCCCAATTCCGTACCCAATTTGCAGGCGTCAAAAAGATCCTCGGAATGCGAGAATGTGGAATTGAGACTGGAAATTGGGGATGGATGGAATCCCTCTTTACTTATTTCGACGGCATTGCCGCTTCTATCAATGACCGCGAAGCTCAGCTTCGAGGTGGATACCTTGAAATGCTAGCTAGCCCATCCAATCCCAATCACGCAATCGAAAACATGGCAGGCTGCGATGCTGTCCTCTTCAAGACAATTGCTAAACTGGGGCGTCTAAATTTACTGTCTCAACATCGCCCTGTTATGAACGATTCTATCTCTAACAACTCTCATCAAAATCATATGCATCACACAGCCGGGCTTCATCGACCTCGTCTTGCAGGCCAAGCACTTGTCGATTTTTACAACCTCCATTCCATCTCATTCGATGGTAATGGCTTCGCCTCAACCATGTCACTTGATGACGAGCCCAACTTTCCTATGCAAAGCCTTACACCACTCTCTCCTACCTCCTGCTCTCCTACATCCGTCCCAACCTATATGCCATGTGATGATGCCCATACTACTTTCTGGACTGAATGGAAAGCAGCGCGCCTCGAACTCCAAGAGTGGGAGTTCTCTCCTTCCCACATCGTCTCCTCTCTCCCCGTCACTCCAACTCCGACTCAACTCCGCGACTTTGGATATATATCCGAAGCATTCCGATATTCGGCACTCTTATACACCGAACGTCTCGCTTGTCCCACAACACCTAGCTCGCATCTTAACTTCCAGAATTTGGTCAGCCAAGTTTTGTTTTACGTTACAAGCCTGGATACTAATAGTGGATGTGAGAAGTTCTTGTTATGGCCACTTTTCATAAGTGGAAGTGAGTGTATCAATGAGTTGCAACAGAGCATTGTCAGGAGTAAATGTAGGGAAATTATGAAAAGATCAGGGTATCTTAACAACTTGGCGGGATTGGAGGTACTAGAGAAGTTGTGGGCAGAGGGGAAAGATGGGCGAGCATCTCCAGATGGGATGAGAGGTCAAGCAGGACCTTTTAAATGGAGTAAACATATGGAGGGAGTGGAGGGTGAATGGATTATGGTTTGAGTTGTCGGTCTGATTGGGGTATTTGATTAGAGGTTATGATGTGATGATTGCTTGTTGTTCCGTTCTTGTTACTATGATCTCGCTTTTAATGCGTATCATACATGTCACGTCTCTCACAATACTTTGTGTTGCACATGACTTTTCTCTTCTCTTTTTATGTTATTGTATTTACGACGTCCACTCTTGGTGCTAGTAATCTGGAGGAGGACGGGTTTATGAAATCACTTTTGTACATTGGAGGCAGGCTTTGGTGTATGGAGTGAGTCAACAAGAAGAAAAAAGGATATTAGTGGTGGGATGGAGATGGAAAATTCTTGGTTGCGGGTGGGAGTCATGGTCACGAAAAATGAATGATGCCCCAAAATTATGTTATTTTTATGATTTTATCTTATGTGTTACGAATCATGTCATAGTCTCAGGAATGGAGGTTTGGGAAAAATATATCGCGATGATTGATATTACACGGGACAAAGAATAATTCTTTGGTTTGTTACTCCGTACATTTATCTCACTTAGATATTTTTCCAATACAAAGTTATGAGTTCCCTCAATTTCAACACAATTAAAAACGTTGTTCCCATTCAGAATCATACTTTGGTGTTAGCACCTGAAAGTTACAATGTACCTCGACGTCACAACAAGCATTATCATGCAGGACAAGTACCTACGTATAAAAACCCCACTGAGATGCAATACAACAAACGGAGTACAAAGCACGCACAAACCTCCCAAGTTGTCAAATCTTCAAATGCTCCTATCTAATATATTGATGTGCATATGCACATACCAACTCTAATCACACCGGTCCCCAAAATTAAAGATGGGACAACAGACGCACAGAGAACAAGGAACAAGGTTCAAGCCAAAAGTGGGATTTTCTTTTTCACGATGCGATTTTCATCCTCTGCACAGTCAATGTACATATTGATGAAATGCCTCAACTGCGGAAATCACCCACGGGCCTGTCAAATACCGTTACCGGTATTTGCAGATACGAGAAAATTCTTGGCCTAAACTTAAATGGTAAGCAATGCCTCTTCGGCATTTGGTTGGGTGCCGTCAAGTGCCAAGCAGGAGGCAGAGAATAGAGTGTAGTGGAATGCGAAGGAGTGCATCTATCTAATCAAAGGAAGCGTTGGGTTGCATATAGTCGAAGGTCGAGACCGAGCCCGGCAGCGAGGTGCAGAGACCCAGCGTGGGAAGTTCGGAAGGATGGGATATTTCCGGATGGGATGGGGCACTCTGTGAGGAGAGGGTGGATATTCTAGTAGCGGGTCCGCTACTCTTGGCACTATTATGATATGCCATTACTATGATATATGTCGTGACGCCTGCGTGTAATTGGAAGATGCACTTGCGGATTTTGATTGACGGTTATTTTTTTCTTCTTTCTTTTGGCCGTAGGAATCCCCCGTCGGTTATCTAGAGTCTCCATAACTTAAGCTGTTGTGTACAGTACATGGAACAGGTACGATAACTCTATCGATCATGATCCATAATTCTTACTTTCGGATCTGTTTTCTTTTTTTGGGTCGTGAGAACGCTGGATCGGCGGTTGATCTGATACTTGTTGGAAAATCTTTGCTGGCATCTCTAGGTTAGTGCAGGAGGAATTCAGGAGGAATGCAGATCGCGGAGTTGTGCTCTGATCTTCATCTACGAGCCTCGGTCTAAAGTTCTACCATCTAGAACCTTTTCATCTCCGGGATTTAAAATGAGGTGCTGCTCAGAGGAGATAATTAATCCGTCTTGGAACATCTAATTTACAAAAAGTTTTGAACTTTAAATGTTTTGACGGTGTGAAGGGAACTGCAGAGAGGAGGAAAGGAGAAAGGAACCGAGGTGTGCGAGGAAGAGAGGGTTGACATATAAGATGTGATGTCAGAGGTGATGCTTTGATGTTTGGGAAGTGGGAAGATGAGGTTCTGATTTCTATGCCTTGGTCATATAATCAAGATGGAAAATGGGATATGTAGGGGACGGTATCTGAATCTTAAGGTGCTTGGCATGATGTGAAGTCGCATCATCATGAAACCCGTGCCAAGGGACTTCTGGATTGAGATATTTGATGTGAGCAACTTTGGAGGTTTTGATGACCTTTGCTCAAGCAGGCTGGCTTGGACTACGTTTTATGGGATCGTGAATAACAAAGAAATGTTAATCCTCCAGTCAAGTGACAGAATTGGGGTCAATAAAATATCCATGGATGACGGACAAGTAAGAAAACATCAATGTCGGTCATTTGGTGTAAGAGTCGACGGTGACCTTGACCGTCGAAGAAGCTCATTAATTAATTATATCAACACAAACTCGATCATCAGGTCTGAAAGCAGTATCTTCCGAGTAAGTGCTTTTGTGAGAGTAAGGCGAAATGAAAATTCCTGGAACAGGTCAAATACGAAGCAAAGAAAAATATGAAAAATTCTAGTGAACCAACTCCATATTCTAGGAATATTCTACTCCAGTACTCATTAATATACAGAGATGCTCTTTCATGTGTAAACCTAATCCAGCTTGAAACACTGCTTCTTCTGGTTTGATGACAACATAATAAAGATTTTTTAGTTAAATCTCTTCAAGCAAGGGCATTACTTTGGTGCTCACAGCTTCAAGGTCTGCCTTTCTCAGGAACAACCAGAAGAAGCAAGAAGTGGAAATAATAAATAGTAAATCAAAACACATCTTCCAAACCTCACTTTGAGCAGACTTCGAAGCATGGAACATGAGCCAACGGAGTGTACTTTTGAAAAGCGAATTTGAGGTCTTTTAGTGCACTACGAATCCACCTCATTGCTTTCAATTGGTGCTTAATTCGCTATCCGCTTTTCTAAATTTTTATTATTATTTTAATCCGGGTTCTAATGTAGAGATTGGAATAGAAAGCTGATAGGGAGTAGAGTTGTAAAAAAGAGAAGGGCTGAGAGAACGAGAGAGGGATAGAGAAAAAAGATTTTTAAGGCAATGTGAAATAGTCTTACAAAAGACTAATTCATTATTTATGAAAGTGCTACTTAGTAATAGCAAAATTTAATGAAAATGATAAAAGCAATACAACGGAACTGGCATTGACCAACCACACGGCCGACCGGATCAAGGAGAGTTTATATCTGTTAACGTGGTTTATCAGGACCCTGTACACTTTTACCTCAATTATTACCTTTCAACTTCAACACGCGATTTATCAATATTTAATTATGCAAACTACTTCAAAAGAAGCTCGAATCAATTTAGCTATTGAGGCTATTCGTACATCTCAAAATTTGAGTATTCGGAAAGCTGCAAAACTCTATAATATACCTCATACTACCTTTACCTTTAGAATGAATGGAATTCTGCCTCTTATTGAACTTCGATTAACAAATCATAAAATGACAGAATTGGAAGAGAAATCGCTTTTTCAATATATATTGGATATGGATAAAAGAGGGTTTAGTCCTCGAATAAGTGATATAGAAGATATAGCGAATTATATACTCGAAACGCGAGGTGCGAAGAAGGTTGGAAAGCTCTAGACTTATCGTTTTGTAAAACAATATATAGAATTAAAGATATGTTTTAATTATGTTTATAACTTTCAAAAAGCTCTTTATAAAGATTCAGAGCTTATTGAAAGATGATTTCGATTGATATCGAATATATAGGCTAAATATAGTATTCTGGATTGCGATTTCTATAACTTCGATAAGACAGGCTTTATAATAGGACAAATATCACTATATATAATAGTTACTAAAGTTGATCGATATGGAAAAAGCAAAGCTATATAATTAGACAATCGAGAATGGATTATAACAATTATTTGTATTGATGAAGAAAATTATAATATACCTTCGTTTTTGATAGTAAAAGATGAATACTATCTTTCAAATTAATATACCAAAGATGATTTACTATATGATTGGCTTATTAAACCTATTATCAACAGATGAACAAATAATGAGATAGATCTTGAATAAATTAAATACTTCAATAAATATACTGAAAGTAGGAAAGTGGATAGATATCGAATGCTGATGTTTGATAGGCATGAAAGTTATAAATCGTCAGCATTTCAAGAATACTGTAAGGAATACAATATTATATTATTTAATTTATCATTTTATTCTTTATATTTAATTCAATCATTCGATATCAATTATTTTGGTCCTTTAAAGTATTCATATAATCAACAAATCGAGAACTTTATCAAGATATATATTATTTATATTATCAAAACCGAGTCCTTTCAAATCTTCAAAACTATATATATCGAAGCAATATCTATATCAAATAGTGAAGCTGGGTTCCGCGGAGCTGGGCTAATCCCATTTAATCCGGAAATTGTATTTTCAAAGCTAGATATTCAAATAAGAACTTCATCAAATAGATCAATATCAGTCGATCCTGATATATAGCAATCTCAAATATTTTATAATCTAATCAGAGCTCTTTCCCAATCTACTTTAATGAAAAGTCATATTGCTCGGCATCAAAGGAGTTTACCTACTCCAATATTTAAAACGATTGTAATTTTAGCTAAGAATACAGAGTTTTTAGCTTATGCGAATATGCTTTTAGCTATTGAGGTTTATAATCTCTGTAAAGCAAATGAAGCATTCAGTAAATATTGAAGAGTTAGAAAAGCTTTAATACGAAAGGGAGGAGCACTTTCAGTAGAAGATGGGTATGATATATTAGAACAAAAGAATGTAGAAGATCAAATATAATATAACGAATTTACAAATAGTGATTCTTCAATAAAGAGGTAAACTACTATACAACAATGCAGCAAATGTGGTAGTACTTCATATAATGCACGAACTTGTCAATTAGATCCAGCATTAGTTGATTTTTAAATCGTATGTAATTTAATTCTAATTTATAGTATTGTTGTAATTTTATTTCAATGGAATATGGGCAATTGAGGTAAAAGTGTACAGGGTCCTGATAAACCACGTTATACATTTCACTATTAGCTAATAAATTTTGTTTACATGCCTGTTGTTAGGCTCAATATGGTAAGTACGATTATGGGTCCATATAATTAGGAATCTTAGCTCCAATAATAGGACAACCCTCCTCACACCTACAATATAAAACCATTCTCTGTGAAACAATATTCTGTGGCAAATCAACTTCCAGAAGTCAATCACCAACCAAGAGGACAGACTGAAGGTCAGAGCTGAATTTTCGTTGGATTTTAGTTTCTACAACGATTGATTTATTGACAAGGCCTGCTTATCGTCCACAAGAAGATATTCAAGCAAGGTGCTTTCAATACTTTCAACATCTTCAACCAAGGTGTTTGACACCTTATGACAGTTTGAACCATGACCGCATCCTGTACATACGTGCCGTCAATGCATACGTAACCGGTATGGAACAAAGCATATTGGAAGCAACGCGATGGGTTACATCTACAAAGATTGCACAAGCTGTTGATACGTACGTGTCCAAGGTCATTTGTTGATCAGAAACCCGGAGAAGGCATAGAATTGTTTCTCACGCAGTCCGTCTCTAACCATCAGCTGTAATAAATCCACTCTCCAATATGGACAGCAATTAATCTTCGTTTGGTCATGGACAATACGATTCGTGATGATGCTCAGCAGGAGCAAGACCGAAAGAACGTTTGAAAAGTTACAAAATGGGCTTCGGCTATGCTGCTGCGGACTAGTTCGATCTTTGTATACAAAGAGTTGAACACTAGTGTACATCGAGGAGGATCATCAGCTGACGAGAAGGTTGAAGCCAAACTGTCTATGGATGAGTGGAAGACCGTTGGGAGGATTGCGACGCGGTGTGGTACAATGGATATTTGGCGAATGTGCAGTAGCACTTAGGTCGGAGCTAGTTGGTGCTAAACCGGAAGTTAGCGACCTCTACATAAGGACACTTAAATAGGATTTCCAAAGATCCTGGCTATTTGCCGGCCACTGAGCTGTTTGATCATGGTAGGGTCAGGGACCGCGACACATGTGTTCAAATATATGGATTGGCTGCGGAACATCTAGAACTGTGATTGAGCTATCAATTGTTTTGTGCTAGAAGGCTATGCTGTATTTTTTAATTCGACTTGGTGTATCGCAGCGCAGATTTGGGTTTCAAAGAATGTGAGGTTACGAGTGGTTTTGAGTCCGGAGGCTTCGATAATGTAGTCAATTTTACAGGAAGGATATATCTTGACTCAAACTCTAGTCAAAAAGAAGTCACTTGCGTCCATTTCTCGCTCATTTATGGCAATTTCATCTTTCGAAACTTGGGTGAAGTAGATGAAAATTAGTGCGTCAACCGGTCCAGACTTCAGAATACGCATGAAAGCTATCAAATGCTTTAAACTTTTTAAATACCCTGAATGATTCACAGAGGCCTTAAATTTAGATCGATTGAGAAACTCAAAAGTCTTCCATTATCCGACTAGCTTCCGGACTATTGGAAATCCTGGACACATACCCTAACTCTAAACACTCAGTTTCGACAGCTTCAATCCAGAGACAGTACCACTTTAGCTTCATAATCATTGTCATTGTCATCAAAGATTGAATATGGACGAGGAAGCTTGAAGGACCAGCTAGACACATAAGAATTACAAAACAAAAAAGATTTGGGCGACTTGGCTAAAAGCTCTGGTTTTAGAATTTATTTTCTTTTTTTCCAGTACATGAAATCAACTGAAAGAACAAAACTGAAATCCATTGTTTCTCCGTTCTTTAAAAAACCGTTTAGTCCAAGTAATCAAAAACCTTATCTAATTAGACAAATTGCATCAAGGCTTGAAGGGTTGTTGCTTTTAAAATGTATTAAATGGTCATTTTACTGCTTTCTTTGCACCGTATTGTATATACACATATCCATAGGAAAAAATATTCAGCTTTCTGCGAGATTTCTCGCTACACAGACAGAGTAGTATCAGAGACTTTCATCAAGAATGATTTAAGTCATAATGGAAATCCAAGAAGAGATTTCAGTTTTGTACTTAAATCTACTGCATCATATACCACGTTCTTCATTCTGTATCTTTCCATAGTCACTGAGGTAACTATCGAAATGCCACCTTTCTCACCACCAACTCCGAAAATAACGATGGGCTCATATTTCATTTTCCAATTGTCAGAAACACTAGTTTGAAATCGTGAGATGCTAAGATACATCATAGGATTACCATTATACAGAACAGTTTTAGATCCCGCTTGATCATTCTAACCACCCAACCGTCTCGTCCCCCGTATATTCCCATTAAATCTCTTCCAGCATCTTCCTAGCGCTATTTCCCAATCGAATAGCACCACGATTCAGGCACTGAAAAATAATAATCATTACATCTCCAAATTCCAGACTTCAAGCTCCATGATGACCAAAACGTAGTCCTACACATATCTAAGGTGAAGAAAACGTCTCTAACTAAAATTTGTCAAGGCAATGCCTGACTACCAGCCATCACGATACGAAATCAGAACCACATGAATATTCGGCTAAATATGCATGCAATGCACTATTCTAAAAACACAGGCATGAATAATCTTACTAAGAAACCTATCTATCCCCAAATACTCTGGAATTCGTAAACTAATTCGCTATCTAGACAATTTGAATAACAATTTCCCAAAACTTCTGCGTGGTGGTATATATACATACATCAAAAGTGTGCAGGCACAAATGTTCTCTACTTTTTTCATTCATAGCAACAGCTCACCACACGAGCCAAGGCACTAACCCAAATACCTAGATCACATCTTAAAGAAGACTGCAACCCGTTAATCAATCATCTCGATAAAGTTACAGACAATATCCTCTATCCTGTGCATCAAACGACGCGGATACTAACAGACCTCCTACCTCTCTCTTTACCGAGAACTGGTTTGTGTATCCTTTACAGCACGATGATTTATCAATCGCTTTTCCCTACGACGCTCTAAGAGATATAAATCTCGTCGTCACGGAACTTTTCGAATTCCCTGCTCCTATCTAACTTTTCTATATTACCGCCATCATCCAAAAACATCCACATACAGGTGGTGTAGGCAATAAAACAAAATAAAATACCACAAAACTATAAACCCAACTATATATTTCCTGTGAGCAAAGTCATAAAACATGAGATATAATACAATACACAATACATATCTATATATAAACTATCGATATAAGAAATAAGATTACTATAGCCTTAATCGAACTACGATACAAAACCGAGACTATCGATAATAGATCAAGTTTCTTATCAATAAATACAAGAGGATTTCGGAATATAGACGTAAAGATGAAGATGAAGAAAAAAAAAGCTAGCTCGCTAAGATGAAGTGTTTGTTTTAGTTTGGAGCTTTGTCTAGGTGTGATGCCTGAAATAGAACATAAGGCCACTATCCACGGACCGCACCTAACAACATGACAATCAAGGTCTCAGCCAATTAATTGTAAGTGCGTGTGTAAAATCATATAAAGATGGTAGGATATAGATATACAGAAATACAGAACGGTGCTCATTAGAAAGTAAAACGCTCAAGTCATCATTGGTATCTTGTCATCAATATACATATCCACCACCTCATCCATACATAACTACCATTGTTAGAGAACCTATCCCGCGCTTTCCTTACATAAACCTAGAGCCTCGTGCCCAAGTTGATGTGGACGGCTTTCACGTGAGAATAAGCTATTTTAGTAGAAAAAAGTTAGTTAAACAAAAAACAAAGAAAATTGATGTATATTTATCGGTGGAACTCACCTCTCAAGCCCTCCTCACCTAACTCCCGTCCAATTCCCGACTATTTCTGAGTTAGCAGGAAATCTCTGCGATCATGGCAAGAAGATTCACTTACCTGTTTGACTCCTCCGAACGGAATCCTAAAGTCGGAATCCTGACTACTGTTAATCCACACCATGCCCGCCTCGATTCTCCTAGCAAGCTTATGCGCTCTGTCCAAATTGGTAGTGAAGATTGCACTGCCAAGACCATATGTTGTGTCATTTGCCATTCCCACAGCATCCTCCTCCGTCTTGAAGCTAGCAATAACGCAGAATGGTCCGAAAACTTCCTCACGGTAAATCTTCATGCTAGGTTTGACATTTGTGAAGACAGTGGGGGTAATGAAAAATCCCTTGCCTGAAGGATGGGCGTTTGTGAAAGCTTCACCTCCCGCGATGAGGGTGGCGCCTTCATCCTTACCTGTTTGAACGTAACCTAGGACACGTTCGTATTGAGCTTTAGTAACTTGTGGACCTTGGAATGTGTTTTCAGCGAATGGATCACCAACAACTGAAACTTCTTTGATCTGTTTCTTGAAGGCGTCGATGAACTTATCGTAAATGGAATCCTGTACGAGGATTCTGGACGTGGCGGTGCAGATCTGTCCTTGGTTCGACATAATGCCTAGGAAGGATTAGCAAATAGGAGATTTGAAGGATTGTGCTACAGGAGAAAAAGAACATGACACAGCATGCGGTTTTCGGAATAAAGACGTACCAAAATGCGCCCATTTGACAGCTTGATCGAGATCTGCATCCTCGAAAACCATCAAAGGTGATTTTCCTCCCGTCTCTAAAGTAATGTTCTTCATGGTGCCTGCAGCCATCTTCATGATCTCTTTTCCTGTGCTAGTGCTACCAGTAAAAGCCACTTTATCAATGTCTTCATGTGTTGCAATTGCAGCTCCCGCTTCTCTACCATACCCGTTTAGGACATTGACAACACCTGGTGGGAAGCCAGCTTCCTTGATCAAATTTGCGAAATAAAGGATGCTCAATGGAGTTTGCTCTGCTGCCTTTATTACCACAGCATTCCCACATGCTAAAGCGGGACCTAACTTCCATGCAGCCATACCTAATGGGTAATTCCATGGAATAATTTGGCCACAGACTCCCACTGGTTCCTTGATTGTGTATGCAAATTTGGCAATACCAGTATCTATCACTTGTCCATGAATCTTATCGGCATATCCTCCATAATATTTGAAAACAGCTTCCACCTCTGCAATATCAGCAACAGCATCGTTATAAATCTTTCCATTGTCCCAAGTTTCAATCGTTGCAAGTATATCTGTATGTTCAGAAATGATTGTGGATAGTTTAATCATGAGAGAACCGCGATCGGTGGGAGACATATCGCGCCATTCAGGGTTGCGCATAGCTGCTCGAGCTGCTTTAACTGCGGTATCGACATCTTCTGCGGAAGCGGCATATACTGATGCAATCTCTGATTCATCTCTAAGGATTGAGTTAGCAGTGTGGTAATATGCCAAGTTGGTACAACATACGAAGGATTGATAGATGTGATCTTCTGGCCGGTACTACTTTTCACCCATTCATTGTTGATGAATAGGCCGGTTGGCTGAGTGTATTTCTTGCCATTGGGGGCAGTAAGCTCAACAGTCAGGTCAGACATCTTGGCAAATTGACTGCTGAAAGATCTGTGACAACTTCGTAACGAAAGGGATGAGGGTTTCAAAGAAAATTCAGTCTTCGCTCGAGGAGCCCTGCTAGATAAATACGAGGGGAATCTTCGAAATGCTGTGCTACGCAGATATGATTGCAGAGGTAGAATAACCTTGAACATCTAAAGGAGGTGATCAATGGAAAGAAGATATACAAAGCTTTTCTTTTGTAATTACCATGAGTGGTGCAAGTGCGGGGCTTGCTTCCAGCTATTGTTTGTTTTAAAGGTTATAGCTTTGTGCTTCGTGGGATAAAAAGATAAGGCCAATGATAGCTAAATTCTAGTGGAGTTTTCGGGTAGCCCTTCCTATAGCGTACAAGCTTCATGAAGCTGTAGCTCCCCGCACATAACCGACATTGCCGTCATTTCGATGATGGGCAATTGTTATCTAATCTAGAATTATTGAACAGTATTAAAGCCTCCATCCTATCAGATATCAAAAATAATGATTAATTATCGTGAGTAAGAGACTGGTCAATGGACTTTTCCGTCGCTTCAGGGAAAGGCCTATTTAGTGAGTGAGACCTTTACGCCTCGCTTTCTCCTTTCTGTATACAAGTGTGCCTCTCGTCGACTTCACAAAAAGGCAAAGCTTATGATGTAGGAGATCTGGAACAAAGGAGTTGGGGTTTTCGAGAGACTGACACTGGTTAAAGGGTCAAATACGCGAGGCAAAAATGATAAAATTATGTATAAATTATGGCAGTATGTAATGATCTTAACTACCTATCTATCATGACCCCAAATTATATATGGAATGTAGTGATTTTAGGGTGTCCCAAACTCCCCGTCAATAAAAGTGCTGTAAACTTGGGATTATACACATTATCGTTGTACAGTCTGATGGTTTTTTGTATATCCTCATCCTCGGAAAAGCAACATCGTCTTTAGATACAACCCTATCCAACTTTTCTTACATTCGTGAGACCTCAATTTGCCTCTCTCTTCACTCCCACGTAATATTAACTGTAGGTGTTGATATATTCGAATCCTCCCATCAGATATTTTCTTGCTCGTCTCTAGGAACCCTTTCCCCCTTACTGCCCAAACAAATAAAATAACACTTCCAAGTTTAACACCGCTCCGACAATTCCCAATTGAAAATGGTATCACAGATAGATGATGTTTTGACCAATTCCCACAAGTTGTCCACACTCCAGTCAGAAAAAGAAATGTCTCGCATTCACAAAAGAAACAAATGAAGGTAATGAACAGAAACAGCCGCCAGGGGGGGTATATATAACATAAAACGGGTGTAAAAGCGAAATTAGGTTCGGTCGCCCGAGGATATGCAATTCTTTTTGTGAAAATCTTGCGATAGATATGTATAGTGGGGTGTCGTGTAAAATAGCGTAGTATACATGTCGAGGATAACGATCAAGTATGTAGTCTTAATAGAAGGGGTACATTTGTATAATTGACAAGAAGGTATTAGATCTGGGAAGGAAATTCGTAGCGTTGAAATGAGGGTATAAAATATGATGTGCCGTTTTTTCCATCAAGCATATTATAATAAAATTTAAGTTTAAGAAGAAAATGTCATCTTCGTCCGCCGTTTTCTTGTTTAGGCCATGCTCGATCGTATGGTCCTCGCGAGTATGGGTCGAATGAAGGAGGCCCTGCCGATATCGACGGAGTCGATATTCCTGTCGCTGAACCTGTCGAAGAATTATCAATTCTTAGAGGTGGCAGGCTAGGAAGTCCTTGGCTATGAGCTGATGGGAATCCAGTCTGAACGGGAGGTAGAGTTGAAGCCGGAGAATGCGAGTATGGGACACTCGTAAAATCGCCTTGTGCATCAGTCCTTCGACGTCTTGCTGGTCTTTCACCGCTTTCAGAACCTTGGAAGCTCATTGGCGGGCCGCTTGGTGGAAGGGGACCTGGATAAGACATTGGCCTCATGGAACGAGGACTTGGCGGTCCATGAAGAGCCATATCTCTAGTTCCTGGATTTCGGAGCAGCATATCCCTAAAACGATCTCGTTCTCCTCGGTAGAAATCCCTCTCTCCTTCAGCTTCCCTCACTCTTCGTTCCAATTCCCTAGTCTGTGACTGCAGTTTTTCGATGTTGGATGAGGCCTCTTTCTCTTTTTCCTTTCTGCGTTGTCGGAATCGCGCCGATGCTCCTGCGTTGCGCGCACGCTTCTCGTCAGCTAAACGCGACGCTTGGTGTGTGTCCACGGGTACATGATAAGCCACGCCGTGAGCCGTGGTTATTGTCAGGACACCATAGGGCTCTGAGGCAGAAGCCTGCCTCGAGCTTATGTTGGAGTGGAGTGAGGAACCAATCTGAGAAGCATTGTACGGACCTTCTGATGCCGCAGGCGGTGCTTGTAATTGTAATCCACTTCCTTGCTGCACTGAAGAACTAAAACTCGAACCTGGGAAATAAGACCCACTTGTCTGAGGATTCTGCCCACTTTGATAAGGATAATTGGATGCCGGAGAAGTCTGGCTCGGCGTTTGTGAAGACACTGAGATGCTAGGACTAGCGCTGTGTTGGGCACGCCCAGGAGCTTGCATTTGAGAAGTATCTGTACGTCGATCGACCGGCGTTGTACCTGTATGGGGAAATCCATAGTGCTGCGCCTGAATTTGCCCCGGCGGTGTTGGCATAGGTGGGTTCTCTGAGCCCGGAGTTCGCATTGGTTCTGCCCTTTTCGAGGGTAAAAAGGGAGACTCTTGTGCATTGATAGTTCCATGAATAGGTGCTCTGCCTATACTAGCAGGCCGAGGTGATCTGGATGTTAGCATTCTGCGGGCTGGACCCCTTGGGAAATTTGGATTAAAACTTTCTAAGGAAGGCGAAGTGCTAACGGGAGGTCGACTGGAATAAGGATGAGTAGTTGTCACCAATGGGCTTGCACCAAAATGTGAAGTCGGCCCTGTGATAGAGAGTGGCGAGCCTGTAGTGCCGCCACTCAGTCGGCGACCAGAATTTGATACGCTTTCAGGCTCTGTCGGATTCAGAATTGAATGCACACCGAGATCGCGCGATGGTCCAGAGGACTTCCAATCCTCACTAGTTGATGCGGACTGAGGAGTTCGCAATGAAGGGGATGGTAATGTATGATGAGGTTGTGGTAATCCTCGGTTGCCTTGCTCTAGTTGTCTGTCTGCTGGTCGCCCTCCATGTCGAGGATCATCTCGCACCTGCACTGGTGGGAGAGTAATCTTTTGACTTTCTGGTGGTGAGCGAGATGCAGGACGAGACGCAGAAAGCCTCTGCGACATCGAGTCCTGATCCCCTAACCCTTCTTGGTCTCGAGGACCGGGACATTGACGTTTTCCCTCTCCCTCCCAACTCTGCTGGTAGCTGTGAAGCTTAGAAACAAAATCCGAAAGTCGTCGTTCAAGTAAATCAGAAGACTGGGTTCCGGCAAAACGATTTAGCACTGGAGATGTTTGCGCGTTATCGGCAAAAGCAACGAAAGAAGAACTTTCGCGCAATGGGCGACTTAGAGGACCTTGAACAGCCAGATCGAATATCTATGGCGCCGGCTTGCCAATGAGGCTTTCCAGCGAGCGATGATGGGTCAGCGCTTTCTCCTGCTAATTCTCAGCTTCGTCACTCGAAGTATCCAAATCCAATTTCAATCGTCAAATAGAAAACCATTACTTGTGTGTATGGGTGGTTATTTATGAAGTATTTGTGTGATTCCTGTGAGGTGAAGTGGTTCGACAGGGATTCTTTAAAGAGCATAAGATTTGACCGTGTATATGTGAATCTGGAAGGCGGGCCTTGCCTCGAACCAAAAGAGGAATGAATGACTTGTAATACTGTGAGGCAAACTCACTGAGCATTAGAGATAAACAGAGTGGGTGCCATAACCAGTAGTGTGGAACGAAACGAAGGCATAACGAAATAAACATACAGATATGTGGAGATTCTAAAGGTTGGCGCACCACTCACGGGTCTTACAGCAAAAAAGCTGTTTAAGTGGTTGATGAGCACCGAGGGAATATGAGAACTTAGCTCTGTCGAATTTCTATAGGCTGATGCGGCGGCCTGGTCGTGGAGGAATACCAGAAAATGCAGAGATTGATGATGAATGACTATAGATGGAAGAATGTGGTGGATGACGCTTTTAGCTCTACACAACTTTCTGCATTGAGGAGGAAAACCCCAAGCTTTGTGGTTCTTCGAACCATCCCAGTCCCACGCTCATTGCTCACAGACACTGACTCTACCCTTCACCGCACCAGCACCCACAAGAGTTCATGGAATTGTTTCCAGGGTCGTAGTGAAGCGGGTCTTTATTTTTTTTCTCGAGGCATTAGCTGGGATTGCTTGCTGGATGCAGGCATTGTGGTATTATCCAGGTACCAGGGCTTAAATGTATCCTTTTAAGATGATATCTTAACAAGCCTAGAGGTTCACAATGTCCCAGGAAACTTTTTTCTGGAGCCATACCGTGCTTGGTTCCAGCATTCGGAAGGCGGGAGACCACGCGCAGAAGATCCTTGTGTATCACGCTATATTCATATAGATGGACTACATTAATATTCTCCTTTGAGCAAAGAGTGCTTTTTAGACATTTTTTTCTAGTTGTTGTACCTTGCCTAGGTAGGCAGATGTTCTTCACATCATTTGTGACAGGTACCCATATGGATACATGGGCGCATAGAACGATAATGCATCTAGCAAAGTAATGCAACACACATCTTACAGATGCATAATCTCCCCGCTGTTCAAGGACATACATAATAAGCAATTCGTAAGAACGAATTGTTGTTTGCTATAGTAAGACCGTCCTATTGTATCCAAAACAGATGGATTTTTGGGGTCAAGATAGTCGAAGCTTGAAGGATCATATTTCTCCGTAGAATAGGTAAGAGCTTATTCCCCCGTAATCAGGTTGCTGAAGAAATCGGGATAATAGTGACTCAGAGGTGGGAGGTGATGCTATGCTGCATTAGCACGGTAATGAAAGGACGCTGAAGCCACGGCCTGCGAAATGGGAATCCACTGTAGACACTGTAGTTTTATCGAGTTTCCTTGCTAGTTGAACTAGCTAAAAGTCTAGTATAGCCTAAAGCTGATAGAACGAAGTCGTTGCCGAGCTCGCACGTTCTTCCCATGTTACGCCCTGTAGAAATAAGGAGCTTTGATTGACGGATACCATATCGCTTTGCATTAGTACATCCGCACTCTGCAGGACAAAATCAGTGTGGTTGGTAACTTTTCAACGTGGTGACCAAGTGACCACAACCTAGGTCTAGGTGGAAGCGACACACATGCATGAGAAATCCTGCAAGTGAAAGTCTAAAGAAAAAGTAAGTAGACGGAAACAGCCATTTCTCGCTCCCAATACTCCTATTTGATCTAATTCTCCTCTTTTTGATCATTTACAGAGAAAAAACGCTTTGATATTCCTACATACGATGGATATTTATTGGAGCATTGATTTTTGAATATTCTTTTCTCTTATTTCATCGCTACAGTCCACCGAGTAGAAGGACCCGAGAATTCTGACAGCAGGGAAACTGCATGAATGGGTACATCGGTACGGCTAATAATATTAGACAATCATTAGAATTAGAGCTCAAGAAACCATTTCGCTTGGGCCTCAATATTTCTCACGAACCACTCGCATATCAGATGGACTTTTTCGTGATATTCATAGGCTGGCTCACAAGTTCGGGAAAGAAATTAGGGAAATATGGAAATTATCCAAGTGAGACTTATTTCAATTAAAGATTGTTTAACTCCTAATTTCCTGCCCTGTGTTCTAGGTAAGGATGATCTCTCTGGCCCTCTGTTCGAGTCTTAAATAAATAAAATAAGCTATTGGGCATCTCGAGCGGTTCAATTGAGTACTTGAACACTTTGAGTACTTTAATTTTCTGCGGTTCAATTGTACCCAGGTCTCATGAATCCTTCGGAAAGTTCTATGATCGCCCATCAGTTGTGACCAACCTCGTACGCCAGGTACAGTATGCACATAATGATGTCAAATCGGAAATATTACAACATTTCGATTTCAAACTGTTATATCCCTCTTTACTTTTTTCTAGAACAGAAAATTTATGAACTAGAACCTTGAAATTAGAATTGGAATGGCGGACCTCGGTGATCTTTGATCTTGTTGCAATCTTAACCCATGTCGACACATTCGATCCGGTGGTCGTACGCTGGCTTAGCCACACTATTTCCACACTAAGTTTGGACCATAGCACCGGTGAGCGGCAGCAAGATGAGCTGCATAAGTTCCAGTCTTCTACGCACTGATGTATGTATGTTTGGGGATCCTGGAAGGCGCCATCGCATAGAAGTGTAGCCCATCACATTCGACAACCACTCCCAATATTCCATATCGAGAAATTCTACGCAAATCATTCGTTGATATCAATCGCCTTCTCCGAATATATTGCGTAAGGCGGGCAAGAAAGTAAATCACGGAACAGGGACAGCACACATTTGAGCACACATATGACTTATTTCTTCGTACCAAAAAGGTTGGTCCCTTTCATCCGGCTCTACAGTGAAAGGAAAGTCATGCGCCACGCGCCGTGCCGCTGACGATACCACCTCAAAAAGATGGTCCGCATAACAATTACACAGCGCGCATAGCTGCCCAAAAAGCATCTGTACCTGATCCACAGAGATCACATCTAATGTCATATGATGCCTGTAGATCCAAACTCAAACTCGATGGCACAATTGTGTAAATTTGCAAGCGGTCCTGACGGCCTGATTATGCTTGTATTAAAGACTTATTATCGGGAGAAGGAATTATCCCCAAAACGTTTCGGACAGATGAGATGAACTGGAATTCGTCTATAATAATCTACCCTCTTCAACAACTAGACCGACCGTTTTGTCTCATAATTTCGGTGATTATGGATACGCCATCGTCGACCCGTCGGTGTCTTCCACGATTGGTTGTGTCTCTCCATCTTCTATGGGCGGGCCCCTACGCTCGTTACCAAGCTTTCACGAGAGTTCGAAGTTCAAATAATACGGAAGCTTTGTTTATCGATTTCTTACGTTGTGCTGAATTCTTCTAGATTTTGCGAAGATTGGTACTGTTAGGAACTTCAACCTAAGCAAAATTTTGCAAAGATCGAGACTCGAGAGGAAATTGATAGAACTAAACTGGCGAGGATCAAGCATCCACCGTTAATTTAGGTTCGAACTATTGGTACCTCATCTTAGCGTGACTAGTTATACCACAGACTTTATCTTAGATCCCCGTAGCGTTGAATCGCCGCAAACGAGATTGAACATATTTTTATTCTCGATAAATTTTGATAGCCTTCGAAGAAGAAGTTCACAATCCCATTACCTTCAGTGAACCAAATAAACGAGGATTGATGAAGGGGCAGAATTTATTTTTATACGAGTTCTTTAAACTCTCGGTAGCACCTCCGAATCCTACGGGCAGGCAGGTGAGGCATGCGTCTTTGAAGGTATTGTTAAATGGTTCTATTACAATTGTCTCCAATTTTTGATTGATGTTGGCAGCCCCAGTGAGTTGAATTATGAATATCGCTGTCTATAATTTCATTAATGGCTTTCCAGAAGCCCACACTTCACAAAATTGACTAGAATTTCGTAATTTATCAAGCACTAAAGGTTATCGGGTCCCCATTTTCAGAAATGATACTGCTCAACAGCCAAAAATTACATGTTGTTTACCATTAATTTTGGAAAAGTAGGTTAGGAAGACCGAGAAACGTCATGTCATTAATCAATTCGGCCCTTGGCCCCGATACATGATAAGTAAGAGAGAGAGTATTGGACAGCAGTCCATGCGAGTAATGCGAGTTCATTCACATCACAATTATGCAGACCATATGATACGACTGTGATAGAGCCAAAAAACGATAGAGCCAAAAAACTCACAACCCATCAGAAGTTCAGAAGGAGCGGGGATTTTATGGAAGAGCAAGTCTCCTTCCATCTTGAATACACTAGGCGGAGCCGCCAATACTATAAATTGGAAGAATCAATAAATTGTTCTAATGGATGAAAAGACAACCCATCTACAATGCTGCGTTACATGGATGCGAAATACGAGGCGAGTTGGGATGATTGGCCCTTCAATGCTTGGGGGTCCCCTTGAAGGTGCACGTTGTAAATCCCCGCACGTGCAGATGCCGCATATGTACTCCATAACGGACACGCAGCGGGAGACAGTCGCAGCAAAAGACAGTCATGTGCTTTTCGACTCCAATGTCATTCATTCATTGACTTGATGTCCTCGGACCATGTCAACCGCGAACACTGAATTTTTAAACGTCCCAGCCACCACGTCCGATTCGGTGATACGAAATAGGAAAAATGAAGAGGTTGGGATTAGGAGAGTATGTGATAATATGATAATAATTTGAGCTTTCGGAGCTGTCAGGCCGCTTTATCAAACCAAACCACGGTTACTTGTTCGATATATCCCATGAAGATTACTGTCATAATATGCTATCCAGGAGGATCTAATGCCTGACAATAATTAATGATTTCACGTGGAAACAAACATGGGAACATCCTTCAACTCAAAATGCCGTTGAGTTCCATGCTCACCTAACTCAATATATGAACGTTGATATTCAAAAAATGATTTTTGCAGTTCATACTATGCCAATTTATGACTGATGTAATGTGAGCCACGGGACTCCCGTTTTGGAAGTGACACAACATGAGCGACTTTGATTCCAGAATGGAGGGATAACGCAACACAAAAGGAAAAAGCATTTGTCTGCTTATATTAAGCTTATCCGTGCGCATGTTATCTCCATCTCGTTTGGAAACTATTTAGTCACGTGATCATGCACTAGCATGTACCGTCGGAAAGGGATTCGTCAATTGCCTCAGCAACAATTTGCTGCTCCACATCATCCAAAGCTTGCGAAAATACGCATGGCGAACAGCGGTCTGCCTGTTTGTCTTTCCTGCCATTTGGTCCTAACGGGTCCCATCCGAATCTGCAAGTCGTATGTAAGTCTTATGGGGTCCGGGATTGACTCTCTCTTGCGCAATGTGACGAGATAGCGCCAAGTCGATGATTTTTATGCGTGCGTACACTTGCAGCTTCACCCCCATACCGAATCATATCCACGGTTGCCACGCAGATGTCTGATTTAGGCTTAAGGTATGGATCTGCGACTGTCGGTGAAAGGCGAAGAGACAAAAAAGGGGTTCTAGTCCCAGCGGTGAAGATTCTTCGCTGGCGCCAATGGCAACATTATCATAAATGGCCAGCATTATCGCCTCTGTTTCATGCGCAGCGTGGGAATCGTTTTCAACCTATGCGCACCCTAATGTCGGCCAAGCATAGAAAATGATGTACAGATGTCAGATGTAAAGCAGAAGGGTGGCGATGCAAGTTTTTCCACGTCTTGAATTTCTCAGTAAGTGATTACACGCATTTGTTTGCTGGCAAGTTCGAGTACGCATTACTGCGTCGTTTACCTGCATTTGCGCTACCGGGGCGTAAGAAGAGAGCCTCGGAAAGCTCAAGGGATCTCTTATCTTATGGCTCATCACGAAGTCTCCAAGACTAATCGCCGTCTACAGAAAGCATCAGGATGCACTTGAAGATTTTACTAACCCTAAATCGCGTGTTGACTCTTATGTCCGGGCACTTGAAAACCTATACAATACAAATGAATTCAAGGCTTCAACTCTAATTCCACGCTCGAGACAAACCACAGACACTTATTTCGGCTTAATGAGACGCCCAAAATGGAAAAATCGAATCTCGGTTGCCTTTATCGGGACAGACCCATGAAAAGGTGGTTAGGCTTCGGCCTTCATTCAACTTTAACAGCAGCAATAAAGTACCATCTACACCATACCACCCATCAAACCTACAAAGCGGGGTGGCTGGCAGAGACGGGGAAACTCGGTTTTATGCACGATATAATAATGGAGAAAGTGGGCTATCAAGAAATCGGAGGACAACAATGGCGACACGTCAGAGAATGTGCACCGAGCTCCTTCCAATGCGACGTGTCCCTTCAGAATAGACAAGTCATTTGTGATATAACTCCGGAGTACATAGATATATGGCAACAGGGGGGCAGAGCACAACCAGTTGAAATCCTTGGGACGAGGACTTAGATGCGTGATAGGAATGCAAAATCGAAGAAGCAAAGGTAGCATCAGATAGATAGTAATAAGGGGAACAGTATACTATCTACCATCGTATCTTAATAGCAAAAGAATATTCCTACGACTCAAATGGTATCAGAATGTATCTCAAACATGGAAATCTGCCAAAAAACATTGCTTTTTTGCAATGACGGGAAAAGGCACGGCGTACCGAGTTTTGTTAGACACGATACGGAATGCCAAAGCAAGGTATATGAAAGTGATAATATATCAAAATGCAGAAATACTTATTTCTACCTTTATTTTCTAGATTCTTGGGCTGTTTAGAATCCGTTCCGGGAAGCAATAATCCAAGACCAAATTCTCGCTGAAAAGATTTTCCGATGTGGTGGTGACATCAGTCCAGATGAACTTCCCCACCAGAAGTTCCCCGCACCATATACAATGTGAGGGAGAGCTAGCAAATTTCAACACTAAACACGAACTCCGACCTTCAAGCACCATTAGAACTTGAGCTTCACTTGCCTCAATACCTTAACCATGTCTTCTATACAAACATGGACAGTCACCGAGCCATACATCAACCCGCAGTGTGGTCTCGGCGAAGCACCGTTTTATGAGTCCTCCACCAACACACTCCGCTTTGTGGATATCAAAAAGAAGCGCTTCCACACTATAGATCTCAATGTTGGCCCGTCATCTCTTACCACCATACAGCTAGATATTCCCATCGGCGTTACTGCCGATATCGAGGGTGTAGATTGCACTGATAAGATATTGGTTGGTGGCAAAAGCGGGATTTACGTGATGAGGAGAAGTGACGGGGAGTTGAAGCTGCTGAAGAGATTTTATGATAGTGAAGAAAATGATGAGAGGTTGAGAAGTAATGATGGGGCGGTGGATCCAAAAGGGAGGTTCTGGATTGGGACCATGAATGACTTTTGGGTGGGGGAGCCACAAAGTGAGGGTGGGTGATATTTTGATTTCTGATTGGATATAGAGGAGGAGCTCGAGTCATTGATACCTAACGAAGACCAATAATCGGGCATAACTTCTTGGGCTCCAACTCCCTCGGTTGATGACCATGTGGTATGCCCCGCATTTGACGTTCAGGCTGCTTCATTTCTTGCGTTTTCTTAAGACTAAGTATGATTGGTATAGGTACAATGTTCCGCTTCGATAATGATCTCACACGCCACACAATCCGCGAGGGTCTCACAATTCCTAATGGAATAGGTTGGTCTGCTGATCAAAAGACTCTTTACTTCACTCACACAACGGAATCAACAATCTGGGCGTATGACTATGACGCTGCGACTGGGGATGTCAGCAACCAGCGAGCCTTTTGGAAACTTGATACTGATGGTGAGCCCGATGGATTCGTATTTGATTCGGAAGGGAATATATGGCAATGTATATACGGAGAAGGGCGCGTGTTAAGAATCAACACGGAGGGCCAAGTCACCGGCGAGATTAGGTTTCCGACGAAGTGTATTACATGTCCAGTATTTGTAGGCACAGAGTTGTGGGTTACGAGTGCGATTGCTGGAGGCGATGAATATGCTGGAGCGTTGTTTAAGGTTGATGTAGGAATTGGCGGGATAACAGACTTCAAGTTTAAGTTAGCGAAAGGAAGCGCTGAACTGTGATGATTTGTATTAAGGAAAGTCTTGGTATTACATACATGGTTATGGCAACTATATAAATGGAAGAGGGGCAGGCACAACTTTTACTTGGCGGTTCTAAGTAGATTTGCCACTTGCTACAGATATTTATCTTAGAAGTAGAATATGCAATCAATGTCCAAATCCTACAAGGTATCTAGAGTGTGTGAATGGAGAAACAGTATCTTGCTTCCAGACTGCATCCTTGTAACATGTCTGGCATTGCAGACTTGCAGGATGTTGATGAATTCTTTTGTACTCCCTTAATTTTCTTTCTCTTGTTCTTCTCTCTCAAGATATTATAGTTCTATGCAAATATGGCGGATCAGCATTAAGTATTATTCTTTCTCAATTCACTATCAAAACAAAACTCTAAGGTAGGACTAGTGTCCTTTAATACCATAGGTGACCAGCCTCGTCAAAGTTCTTTACCAAAAACTCTTTCTTTCCTCGCTATACCTTCATGCATTCATATTCTTACATTAGCTATTGTTTTGTGTCTCAAACTTTTCGAGTTCATTAACCGGAACTCTTAATCCGATCTAAGTTTAATTCTCTTAAAGATGTGCATTTATGAGTTTTTCAGTGCTATATAATTAATTGACTTCGAATCAACCATCTAATCCTTTATGACTTCAGTACCCACCAGTCATTGGCCAACATAATAGACACTCTTAAAAACACCTTGATGTGTTTCAAGTCCAACTCCTTTTTGTGTTTTGTTTATGAAATACTGAATTGTGAAAGATTGTAAAGTATCAAAGGGCTATCCAACATGGAAAGGGGAACGTGAGAACATGGTCAGCTGGTACATCAACATCCTCGCCAAAACCTACTTTGAAATCTTCTGGGCTGCTGGTCCCTTACCTTAGGTTGTTTTACAACTACCCTCGAAATCGAGCACTTCTGCTACAAGCACAGTATTGATTCAGGCACCAAGGTTTTCATCTACGAATTTAGGAATATTAACTCCGTCAATGGTAGTCTAATTCAACCAGGTAAACACTTTGTCTGACACAGTAGATACTTCTAGGATGTCATGCCTGGCAGTGATTGTTGTTACAAGACATACTGGAAAGTGATATTACTTCAGTTATAGAATTTTTCTGCCTTCTTTCATGGAATTTATATGTTTGTTGATTTGTTTCGAGATAGCTAATAAGTATTTCAAACGGAGACAATGGTAAGATGCAACACAGGTTGATCAGATATGAGAGTTAGTTTGAAGAATGTGATTGAATTAGAGGTCCATAAGGAGGGAGGGAGATTCGACTTTGAGAAGGTCACTGTATTTGCAATATTGAGGTTAGACTTTGAAGACTTTGTGTTGACCTCCTGGGATCTTGGCAGCATATGCATATAAGGAGCAAACAAAACTCAACTTTTAATTCATTCTTTCCTTTTTGGTATACTGTTTGTTTGCTTTCAATATTTTGATTTCAAAGCACTTTAATTCCGAAGGCCGAATACCCAACCTATTCCTTCATTTTTTGAATATATACTCGCAGCTTAACTGCTCAGCTAGAAAATCAGTCAATTCAATCTGATGCTCTTTCTAGTCTCAAGAAACCCAACACTTTGGTATTAATGGTAGACTAGCTAGAGTTTGCTCTCCTCTGGGATGTCTAACTCAATGATGCTTTGACATTCGAGAGAAATAATGATAACCTTTAGATTGCTGACGATTTTGGTATCTGGTCGCACGCATAGAATCATGATCATGAATATCAAAGATTCTATTCCATAAAGTGTTTTTTAAGCATCTTACATGACTGAAGTGACAACTATAGATGAAGCAAGATATCAATATACAACCACCCACATTGGTACACTCTCCCAAGTTCATAATCATGTTCAAGAACATCGTATCAATTGCTCCCAAACCAGAAAGAATCATGGCTAATAGTTCACAAAACTATCTAAAGAAATAATGAGAAATAAACCAGTTATTCTGCCACAGACATAGCTCAACATATCTCGAGCAGCCAATAATAATTTTGTTAGGCGGTGAATTCTAAACTCTTAACAGGTGAATATCATTCAATATCTTTCTCACTTTTGTCCCAGCGCGTTCTACATCCCTTCTCTCCTCAACAATAATTTCTTCAATTTCCTTTCTTTCAGTTCGAACTTCTTTTCATGCTCGATATTCGAGATATATCCTCTTCTGCCATCAAGAAAAGCCGCAGTATCTTTGATCCAAGTGTAATCTCACAGCTCTAACCTCCTCTTCTATCCACCGCGTATTTGCGCAAACAGTTCAAATTTTGAATTTCTTTCTTACGATTTGCCTCTCAAAACACTTCAATTACTATCGAACCGTACATTTAAGTACCTCAATTGTCATTTTACATTTACCCTAATCGTTTGCAAGTAAATAGACACGCGTCATGTCGCATTCTACGTAAGAATTCCCTTCCACGAATTACTATCAATTTTTAAAACACATAGCACTAACACGCGCGCAGTCACAGTAAGACTACTGGCGACAGTTTCATCATGTCTCCACGCATCGCGCCGTCGGAGTCGAGGTAAGATTCCCCCTTAATCGCTTCTCAATCAAGTTTCACAGGACAGAGGAACTAATAGCTATACAGTGAAACCACCGCCGAGAGCTCATCCATATATGCTGATAATCAAGCCGCGATTGAAAGATGGGCTTTCAGCAGAGCAAGAACTGAAAAAGAACATGCGGCATTCAGAGAAAAAATCTTATTTCAATCCGCCGATTTCCATCAATTTCTCTCCGACTCGGCGAAGTCGTCCCCTCAAATCGCGGTACCCTCTCCAACCTGGGAGAATATCCCTTTTCCTGTACCAGTTCAAACTCCAACAACCATGGAAGACCCAGAGAATCAACAATCGGAGATGAATAAAAGCCCCAACGAGATCCAAGAAATTCCCCGTCGTCGACCCACGCCAATTGACTTTGCCACTCAACTCCAGCAGCGTCCTAGAGGCCTTGCAGTACAAAATCTCCCTTTCGATCGCGATTATTTCGACGGTGAAAATTCAGGTTTCGAAATGCGACCTATTCTACACAGCGAAAATGATGCTCAACCTACCAATCGAGAGACAATGATTAAAGTTGGTGCTGTGTTCGAGGTATCCAACGGCTCACGAGACCTTTGCTCTTCTTCCCTTACCAGAGCTTCTGATATGGCTACTGTGAGTCACATAGCCAGTTTCTGTCGAGGGCCTCTAAACTGATGTGATACTATTGATAGAACTCTTCTTTCGTCCACTATAATACCGATCTGGGAGAGTTTGATAGTTTGACTAAGGATGAAGCTACTCGTGATATCTTACCCCAAGACAAAAGTGAAAAGAGGAACTGCATATCCGTGCCTTTGGAGTGGATTGGTCGCCAAGTGGGTAGATTCTTCTAGCTTCTCTGGCATATAAGTCTTTTCCACAACGCCGGTTTGGCTCTATTCAAGACCTGTCTTGATCTTTTCTGTCTCATGGTATCTGGTAGTTTTGTTCTTCACGTTGGCGCTGTAAAATAGTTTCATTTTATTCAAGGGTTGGTTTTAAGCAGGGTCGATATGGATTTATACTGTACAAATGGGTGTATATGTAGATGGCGAGGACGGAAAATTATGATGGTGTGTTTCTTGTTTCAATTCAAAAAGTTTATGGTTCGTCGCGAAGGATGGGGATTGTTGATTAATAATGTTTTCAATAGTCTGGATTGTTACAAGGCGTCTTCTTAAGGACTGATTTCATGGTCTGTTCAACTATGGCTTTGCGAAAAATGTTTGTTTCTTCTCCAGCGAGCGCAATGTGTTTTAGTTATTGAATAATAAGAAAACTTCTGTAATCATTTGATTCGTCATACTTGGGTGTATTCTCTGACTTAGTTACCCGTGACATTCATGATGAATCATCTCTGCACCGGAATACGGTAACATTAAGCTGTATATAATTATATTGTGTATATTTTATTCTCTTAAAGAGTCAACTTCTGGGACGTACGGTTTCAAATCTGGTACCAAGACTTTAAGTATCTTGCGTCCCATTGAGCCTAGAGATCATACAACATAATTCTCTGACGCATAGCACGAAGATTTGGATCGACATCGACATTGTGTTGCAGCATCTTCTACATCAAGGCCAACATCTGGATAATTTTGCCCGACTACATACATATCAGCAGTCCGCTTTTCTACGAATCATCATACCACAGCACTTGTAACATTTACAACAGCTCATAGCAAACGTTCGAAAACACACAAACCACCAGTAAATCAATCCATTCCGTAGCAGTGATGATCCCGCCCCCCTTTCCTCAGCAACCTCAGAAACCCATAAGTACCACTAACAAAACCCACAGCACGCGCAAAAATGTTCAGTTACCTCGAAGCACTCCGTCACAGATCCGAAAAAGAACGACAAATCCGCGAAAGACTCACTCAAAGAAGAGGACAAGAGTGGCGCCACAACACACACAGACGACGCCAAGACGAGGACTCAATCCGCTTCCAAATAAGATATCAACAAGCCAAAAAATCCCAGATTAAACGACAAGTAGAAATTGACTATATGGCAGAGCGGGTAAGCGAAATCTATGCTTAGCAGTGTAATCAGCAATACAGAGACAGTTGCGGCGATTTCGGGAGTGGGGAAGAGCGGCTAGGAAGCGCAAGTTGCAGTTGGTGGGATTTTTGGATGGTGAGGGAGATGTAGAGAGCTGGAGAGAAAATATTAAGGAGGATGAGGATGATAAGTGGAAGAGAGAGATTCAACTTTGTATGAAGAAATTGGAGAGTAGGAATCGGGTGGAGGTTAAGTGGGATTATTTGGTTATGTGGGGGTTGAGTATTTTGTCGGTTAGGCTAGCGGTTTTTGCTTGTTTTTCTTAGAGGGTTTTATTAGGCGAGAGATGATGTATGGATGTCGGATTGGGGTTCTTCTTACTTAGTGTTTGATATGCAGAAAGGAGGATATTTTGGTATGGTACGGCAAATACATGGAGCTGTGGAATTTACAGAGTCGGTGGGATATCACGGGAAAGCAACTTTTATTGGAAAATTTAGATAGATAGCTAGCACTATTAGAACACATTTCATTACGAATGATGAAAGTATCATATCGTGCTTTGAATGGTGATGGCATTCTATGGATGACTTTGTGAATGTTAAAATTAGGTTTGAAGTGAATTATAAAAGCATGTACCTTGAACAATGTAGACATTACTATGTTATACTTACATATTCAAACAGACATGACTCGATTAGGATACTAACTATCACATTTAAGCAACTTCAAACTTAGAGTGAAGGTAGCAAGAACAAAATGCAGATCCGGGAGTATAAATGAGTTTAAGTATAGAAAAGAATACACATGACCAGAAGCATAGAGATGATAGGGTAAAACCCTGTACCAAACTCCTCTCTACTCATATTTTATATTTTTACTAGTGATTCCAAGCTCTATGATATTCATTCATCCTACATCAAAAATTTCCTTCGCTCCCCCTAGGCTAGGACTGAGGTGAAAGAATAGAAAATGACTCAATACGGTTCGGATAGATGATACGGTTTTGGTGGAATTCTTCAATTTGTTTTTACCAGCTGTACGAATTAATAAGTATGGTAGTAGATAATCATCAAGAAGATATGGTACAAACCGTGATCATAGTTAGTGTATCTGAGACTGCCGTATACACATATCGATCTGAATATATAAAGACTTTGGTTTCTTGATAGAAGAGCTTTCTTCCACATCCAACATAACACTTTAACATTATCAAACGGGTCTTCATACAATACAGACCAAATACATTTCAACTATCATATCCAAACCTTCCACAACAAAATAGGTTATTTCTACCCCTTTTCCGGGGTTTCAAAGTACTTTTCTACCATCAGCAAGTCATAAATCCACACTCAATTCACACCAACAAACATGTCTCCTCCAAACTCAAGAACAAAGTTTCAAATCCGATTCCAGCAACATTGCCGCCAGCAGCCGCAGCAGCACTTACACCACTCATTCATCCGGCGTAGATACCAGCAATGAAGAATTCGACGACATCAGCAAGGATATCGAACTCGAAACTCTCCCAACCATCAATCCACAAGCCATCAAAAAAGCCAGCAGTAACAAGCCCAAGAAATCTCTCATCAGCAAGCTCAAAAACCCATTCGAAAATCCCATCTACCTTCCAAACGCCATTCTCACCTCCGCAATCAGCATGGCCATTACCATCCCTATCTGTCTCTCACCATTATACACCAACGAGCTAAAATGGACCGTATCCGTTGTATTCAAGAATATTGCAGTTATCAACGGCACGGTGGATTATCGTAATGGAACGATTGCGCCACTTAATGATGTGAATCTTGTTGGTTCGAATCTTACGGTTCAGACTTTCAATTTTGTTGAAACGGCTGATTTTTGTACGAATAATATGTTTCATTATTTTGATGTTTGGTGGCCTTGCTTTGCTTTGTTTGTGGTGCTGTTGAATTTGTCGATTTGGCATTTTGTTACGCTTCGGTGTCGTTCGGTTGTGGTTAGATATTCTGAGGGAAGAGAGCATTAGTACGTGATGTGCTATTGATGGGCAGTGGTATTCTCGTGGGTGGAGGATGATAGCGGTGGATGAGGGCTGATACATGATAGAAAGATTGTCGAGGAACATGTGTCACAGTACTTTCTGTGGCCCATTTTTCCACTTTCTTTTTTTCTTTCCTAGCAAGGAGTCGAAGGCATTCGTATTAGAATGTCTTGGGGGTTTAGAGACGATAGGTCGTTTGTGTTAAGGTTTTTCCTATGTTGCGGTTAATTTTACGGAAGATGATAGAGCATATGAGTGAGGGACAAAAAATCGATCGTTTTATGGCTTCGTGCTGTGATACATCATATAGTCAAGCAGGAACTATCGTACCTGCGAACAAAGATAGTTCATATTAGTTATTAAATCAAGAAAACTTTCATAATGTTGTTGATAAGGGATTCTTCAAATCCATAACTCGTAAATAACTCGGGTGACGAAATAAAATAAGCATGACGGGTCCAACTAAGTAGATAACCAAATGAAGGTATTGCGCAGAGTCTAGACGTAGTTTTAGCCAGGCATCAATTTAGACATAACGTCCTTCCTATCCCAACAAAACGCTACACCAGGTCGGGTATAATAGCATACCTATGTTTCCTATATATATGTTCAAACTCGATGCTATATACTTTCTCCTTCCCAAAAGCCTAAACCCGCATGAGCACAAACGAAAAATGTGCTCTAGATATATGCAAAGAGGTTTTCCACAGTTTGAACTAGCGTTGGGTATACCATTTTCGGCGATGGAGTATGGCCACCCGCCCGGCGTCAACAACTTGATAGCCAGAAAAATCATACTGAATAATGAAGCAATGAAGCGACGTAGATAACCTAAATTTATTGACAATATACTTAAATTTCAATGTTTTGTCTTCCACCTATGGTACTCGACGGAGTTTCAGCATTGTGTGCCGGACGTGATAAAATTGTGTTCTTGTAAGATCTTACAATCCGTGAAAATGCTGAATTGAGTGGATTTCTACCCGTCTAGTCCATATTTGCGTTCGAATCTTTACACGAATTTTGTTGTCATCGGAGACGTCTTGCATTATGAATTGAAGTCTTGGCCCCAATCTGCATTTCGTACTAAGAGATAGGAGTCTACCAAGGCGAAGTACTCGTCCGGGAGACTTGTTGAATTTATTTGAGTTAATGATTTCATGTCTCTCGTTGAACTTAGCTGCACTTCTAATGGCCCATGTATCTTCGTATAATCGCAACAAAAGAGGGGTGATCTCGATGATTGCAATGAGAATAACAGGAGAGGAAGAGTTTCCATGCAATTGTTCCAGAAATTGCTGGGTAGATTGACTTCTGCTGTCTTATACGCGCCGATTATCTCTCTCTCGCTACCGGGCTTGAAGGTCTTTCAGATGATACCAAAACCCCGACTTCTCTTTTCCCAACATGGATCTGACTTGTTGATCTCGTAGTGTCTGAAGATGATTGCCCATATTCCCTAAGTTTAGATATTTAGTCTATGAGCAGGAAAGATAACAAGAATGGCGTACTACTTGAATGGGGTTGTTGGAGGGTTCCCAGCATCTCCTAAGAATACTGCAATGGAAGTTCTTGAACTTGGCTCAACTCTACCTTCAAGACCCGTTCCCTTGCGAGTTATATCATCAAAACGGCTTGACCTCACACTTGTTCACATACTACCCGCATTGTCTCAACTTTTGTCTTTTCTAAAGTGTTTTCTTTGGAATCCCGGCGCTCATCTCTAAAATGCTGATTCATTTCTTCTTTTCCCTCCTCCACCCTGGCCCTCACCGTGTAGGTTTGCTTCCCGGCTTCTTTGTGAAGAGAATCTCAATAAAAGGATATCCCAGACAAAATATCTTCCGCAATCTTAATATTCATTGATACAAGATCTCTTCCGATTTTTGAATAGTTCGATAAAATCATTTATATTAAAAAGTATATGTGAATATTCTATCTTCTGATATAACTTTTATGCCCATCGATACAGGGTATCAAGATAAAACTATCTTTTTAAAGTATCTCGAATATCTTACAAAATTCTTTATAACCGCACAGTATTATGCATAAGAGTGATAATCTCCGGCATTTATATCACAGAGTCCAACTCGAACGAGCTAGAGTTAGGAAATTATGTTCGAGCATGAATCAATTCAAACTCGCAGATCAGAGGACACTACCTTCCCCTACCTCTTCCTCTTCCCCTTCCGGCCCTTAGTTGGTCCCTTTTCCTCCAAGTTTCTTCCCTTTCTTCCCATTTTTGCCTCGTTTCCTCCAGTATCATTCGAGCTGTTTTAGCAGCTAAATTACACTGGCCATCAAGATCACATCCAGCATCCAAAAAGACACCTATAACTTCGTCCTGCAATCTCATCAAATCAGCGTTTGTCCAACGCGTATTCCCATCGCGATAGGATCCACTAGTCAAACGCCGTTTATCATTTATATAATACCCGCCCGCTGCTTCATGTAGTGGTGTATTCCCTTTGGAGTTTTTAGCATGGAGATCAGCACCTCTACTGATGAGAAATCGCACTGCTTCGATATAACGCAAATTACTCGCCGCAAAGTGAAGGGCAGTATCGCCATCTGTATCAGCGTCATTGACATCCGCGCCATTCGCCAGAAGGAGTTCCATCAGTGCCGTATCCTTAGTTATCAAATGTAGCGGCGTTTGTCCTTTTTGATTACGTAGACCCACGTCTGCGCCGTGTTCGAGCAACAGCTTCACAATAGCCTGAGCGACAAAGGAATGTTCGCTATCGTTTTTTGTTTCTCCAGATGATGCGAGATGCAAGGGCGTGTTTCCTTGCTTATCTGGAATTTTGATAGAGCTGGGATTGCTATCTTTCAAGAGTAACTTAATGGTTTTGGTAGCTTGGGCAACAATATCGTCTCTGGCCCAAATTTCGTTCTCAGGCTGATTGAAGCTCCCAGCGGCCCAGTGAAGAGGAAGAGATCCAGAACTATCCCGGCATAACAACATATCTGAAATTTCCATACCGCTGCCTCGACAGTCCAGCAGGATTTGGATGCCTTCGGAATTAAGGTACAAGCTACCCATATGAAGAGGAGTGAAATCTTGGAGAAGCTTTTCATCGTATCCAGACCAAGACTCTAGCTCTCTTGCTGTCTTTGCATGCACGTCGGCACCTTCATCGATGAGACGTTTCACAAATTCAGGACTAGCCCTAGAGATAGCTAGACTGAGAACCGTTTTATGAATGTTCGCGTAATTTGTAGCATCACGAGCGCAAGCACCTCGGTCAAGTAGAAGCTGCATAAGCTCCTCACTACGAGCCACGTGATGGCGTAGGTCTCCCTTTGGTTCACTCGGTGTTGGCGCTATGTCTGGAAGGTGCGCGGTAAATGAAGCAGCTGCGCAGAGCAAGGCCGTCATGTCCCATTTCCGGGCGTGAATATCAACATATGCAGGTTGACAATCCAACAGAAAACGTGCCGTATCAAGATGAGCTCTGCTACTAGCCACATTTAATAGCAGGTAGTCTGTCGAGTTGGGAGCATCGAATTGAGCTGGAGTTCCATGGATAGCGTGATGCTCCAGAAGTATGCGAAGACAATCGGTAGATGCATAATAGGTCGCGGTGTAGAAAGGGTCCGTGTAAATGGCTAGATTTGCCACCAAGCCGCGCATGGGGTCTCTTATCAAGTATTGATTTAATGCAGACACGTCATTGAGCTGGACAATTCGACATAAAAGGGCGTTTGCGTATTCACCTTTTTCGTAGAGGGCCGTGGTGCCGTCATGGTCAAACAGAGCGACGGATGTAATATTATCTGGCTGCTGGAATTCGCGATAGGGCGATACTGTTACCGGTTGCTGTGCAGCCATTTTGGTTTTGTCAGAAACGAGGAGGTATATACATTAGATGTGGTGAGACTTGGAAGAAAGAGAGGAACGAGCAGCTGTTATATATTGTTTTAAGCGAAGCCGGTGTTCACGTGACGAATAATCCACTCGCTAACATTTGCTAGTTTCAAGGAATTAGTACCTAATTACATATTTATTTTTGTTTATTTTACAATTATTTCAATCAATCCATCCATTGAATTTTCTCATTATCCCGAGGTTCCTGTGGGTGCTGAGTTTATATCAGGTGCAGGACCCCCGTCCGGAAGCCAATTCTGCTGAAACGCACCATATTCAGGATTGAGATTGGAATTTCCATTGAATCCACCTACAAGTTCGAAACCGCCTTGATCCCCTGGCAATGATGGCCATAGATATTGCAAGTTGGTAAGACTCGTAATTCCTTGCTCATACATCCAAAGATTCTGTTAAAATGTGCATTAGTTTATGACTATTGAAATCGGTTACAGGTATCAAAATCGGTCGTAAATGTTAAAACCGGTCATGATCATTAACAGTGATCATAATAATCAAGACCGCTTATGGCTATCGCGACCGGTGCTATCTGGACTGGGGGATGGATGTGCAATTGATAGTTTCACTTACAAATGAATTTACAAGGGTAGCCCCCACAGAAGGTCGTATCGATGCTTGAACAGCAGCGTTCAAGTCTAGACCTAGATACATTCTGGTCTGAATATCGTCGCCTATAGGACAAGACAGAGCTTGAGTGCGTGCATTGTAATTAGCCATGTTGCCGTTATTTACGCCCCCAACATAAGTGGAAGAATAGCGAAACTCTACTCGGGGCTCGAGTGTGTCGTCACCAGATCGAGGGGGGCTTCTATTGACGGTTTGGCCATGATATACAGTTATGGTACCGACACCCAGATGCCAAAACGTGTCGTCATTCGTGATCTCTTGTCTAAATGTGTATCGATCCAGGGGGATATGTAAATGAAATACGATCCAGCGATCGGCTGCAGCTGTATGTGTGGTGTCGGCATAGGCGGCACGCTGAGCTGCCGTGGGGGCCACGCCTGCAGTAGGACCGATCCAAAAGGCCAGCTCTAATATAACTTGAGCACCTGATGGATTGAGCCAGCGAAGGTAATGCAGAGACAAATCACCCTGAAATATAGTCAGCAAGTGAGATTTCCTTCAGCTTTTGCTAATCAAAGTTGGTAATCAAAATGCAAATCTTTCAAACAAATCAAATAACATACGTTCAATACGCCTCTGATGGCTTGAGAAACAGACGGCTGGAGTCCGTCGGCGGTGCGGGCAGTTGAAACCATTTCATCGAGTCTTCGGGCGGAGATCTCTCGTTTGGTGGTTACGAGATCATCCCAGGTACCAGCATCATCATCAGGACTCACGCACAAAATTGATGAATCTGTCTGCAGGTTTTCAAGTCCGTTAGCTGCCTCAGCCATGTTACAAAGCATATCGGTTAGCAAGGTATCGGTGGCATACTCGGGATCTCCCGTCCAAGCGTTCGGGTAGAGTGTATCCCTGAGAACGGTGTAATTCATGCTACCGAATCCAGCTTCACTGGTATCATCGTTCCAGATCTCCATCAAGTCAGTTCGGGGATATTGGGACGTAATCCACGTCGAAAGAATGGGAATCAGAACTTCGAGAGTAATGCCTTGGTCGGTGGCTCGCTTCTCTAGCGATATGCTTCGCTTCCACCCCAAAGGATCGGAGGAGAAAGAGGCGCTGTACTCAGCTTCAAACCCACCAGGGCATATAGGTGCCGCCAAGTATTTCTTGAGATAAGCATCAAACTCCTTTGCTGTGGTGTCCTGGTAGGTGGGTGCTCGCGGACTTACGGTGCTTGTCGTAACGGTCCCACCACAACAATATGCCTCCTTACCCCAAATGCAGTTTTCAACGTTTGGCGTTTGTCCAAAATCATCCTGTTCGGCAATCCGAATCGTACCTGAAGGGCAGGTATCGCTACAGTATTTCTCATTCTTGAATGCAACCTCAAATCCAGCCCAAGCGCAGTTGGTGAAGGCATCTGGAACGGAGTCTGCGCAGCAATAGTTGTATTTCTTTTTTCCACTGCATGATTTTTTTCGTCCGCCCCAACCCGCGCGGGACCCTACGATAAAATTCGAATAGCCTGATGGGCACGTGTCATCGCTTTCACAGCTAGAAGTCCACGCGCACTCGGAATAGGGCTTTGTCGAGGATGTAGTGGTACAACAAGCCGATTGATAGCCTGACTTGCATCCGGCGGAATTGGTTCCCACTTCAGCTTCGCCGCTGTTGCAGCCGCCCTTGCATTTACCATTGTTGTGAAAGCCTCGCCATTGACAAGTCGGTACGTCGGTTGAAGTAGGACAGCACAAGGTCTGCGTAAGTCCAGAACCTGGCCAACACTGCGACCCGTCGAGCATAAGTTGCGATTTTTTATCGCCTCGAACAACAGTGGTGAAACCAGCGGGACATGTTTCTCCACAATTAGTGAATCGGCAGTACGCATCCTGCCCGCCTTTACTGGTTGTCGTCGTATCCGATGTCTCACTTTCAGTAAGTGCTAGACCTGTGGAAGTATCTATGTTGATTTCATTGCCGAGCGCGGCTGCTAGCCCTCGTGAGAGTGTGTTATTGCTGTCATCATAGTCGACAGACCAAACCAAAACGCCCCCAAGACATTGCGACTTCGCAAAATCGCTCTTGATCTTGAAGGTTTCCTGATCATCAAATGAAACCCATTGGTCATTATCCCACTATGAGATCACTTCAATTAGCTTGCCTATTCTAGATGTATTTGGAGAAATTGTTTTCAGAGGATGAAATTTGCACCTACAGTTATGGCTTTGACAGCTGCGTCCTTGTAGAAAACTGGGGTAAGGTCGTTATCACTCATGATCTGTTCGATCTCACTACTCAGAAGGATACCAGCTGAAGCGCTGCAAACGCCTTCGTCTCCAGCCGAAAGATACGCGCAGCCGGGGGTGTCGCAGTTGGAGCTAGCAATGGTGAAACTACGGCCGTAGAAGGCCAAACCTAAGTTGACCTTAGACGAAGTAATATTGTTCCACCATAGCAAGTTCATTGAGGATTCTATTTCTGTCAGGTTTGTGTGTGCATCTAGAATAGCACCAGTCCACTCATTCCCAATGTCCCAGGTGCCATGTAAATCATAAGCCATGTAGTTGAACCAATCCACGGAGGGTTCAATGGAGATCAGATCCTGCGAGATTATGGGAGTTAGTTTGCCATTTTTCGGTGTCTTGGGTTGGGCTCTGCATGGAAGTGGACTTACAAAATGCTGTAGATACCAGTAGCTGGTAGGCAGCGTAATGGAAAGACCATAGCTGTACTCATCCAGTGCTGATTTCAAATTGGCTAAGAACTTCGGGTAATTGGCATAATCTTCAGTTCGTCCACTACGATCGGAGGCCGCGGGATACTCCCAATCGATATCAACGCCTGAGAATCCCCACGTCGTCATGAAAAGGGTCAAGGAAGAGAAAAACACATTCTGGTGGGTGATATCGGCGGCGGCGAGATCCGAAAAGGTCGTCGCTGTAGCCTGGTCACTGTCCGTGAAAGTCCACCCTCCGATGGATAACCAGAATTTCTGCGTTGCATCGCGTGTTTGGAGGGCCGAAAGCTTTGTATAAAGCGCTTCATCACCATCTGCTCCGGGGATTACTTCAAAAGTATCTGGGTTGATACTGCCAAAAGCAAAATAGATGTGCGAATAAATTCCCTGGGGAAAGGACTCTGGAAGCATTGCATCGCATGCGCGAGTAGCACCACCTGAGGCATAGTAACCGATGACACGGGTTATTGATTGTGAATCGACATCACAGGAGGGTATGGTGGGAGTCTTGGTCCCACAGAACGACTCGCCTGTGCCACAGAATCCATACTCGCTACAGCAGACATTGAGCGGGCAAGTGGTGCTATTGACGTACTCGGACGCCCAGCCACCCGGGTTACACTCAGCTTTGGCGTCACAACTATTGATACAGTTCTCCGCACTGCAATAATTAGGACCGAGACCGCAAACATTGCTTTTAACACCGCAGCATCCAATGGCACATGGCACATTAGCATCGCAATAAATGTCGTCTGCTAAAGCCCAACGAAGCCAGCTCAAGCCGACGAGGACAGTTATAGCCTTCATGAGTCTACTCGTAATCGTTAGTTAGATTTGACAATATATGCAAGAGGACATTAGATTTCGAAGCTTCGGCTACTGACCACGATGATTTTCAAGCAAAGAGAAAAGACTGAATTGTACAATATCGATCTGCACTCGTCGTGGGCTTGAATACAATATTTATCGTTCTCAACCCAAGGCTCTTTTACAAAAATTGAGCTTTCACAAACACAGTATAGAATAATCTGCCTTCTGAACGCATCCTCGTGTCTAGCCCCCATTTACCCTAAATCACGCTGCGGAAGTTTGACTGGTAAGCGCAGGTCTTTGGGCCTGCAGTTCTCATCTCAAGATCACTTGCTATACCCGACTAAGAAAGTAATCTCCGTTCAGATCCATCATTAAACAATGGGTTTTCTGACTGTATTAACATTCAAGGCTCGATAGAACAATAGTGGGATTAGAACTATATCGATATTTTCAAATCCTGATAGCAACGACCCCGGTGACCCAGCCCGGATTGAGAAACCAGTACTTTCTGGAAAATGCAAATTTTTGCAGTGCCGTTGCATCAATAGCTGACTGTACGGAGGCTCCACTCAGACTTTAGTGGAGCCTCTGTAGGTATAATAAACTGGGCCAGTGGAGTCCGTCATCTGTTAAGATTAATGTTCGAGGGGGGCGCGTAAGCTTTCACCTTATATTATAAGCTGAAACCAGGAACAGTTCATCACATTTGTGATGAACAGATGTGATGAAATTTGTATGTTACAATCGTCATTTGGATATCGCTACTTTCACCACGACTGTTCTAGTGTTGTAGCCGTATTGGGTGAATACAATGTACGATTAAGCAGCAGGTTTTTTCTTTCTTTTTGCTGTGATCCTTCCGACGGTACATGGCAGTATGCGCTTCAATTTTTTCAGGGGCATTAGCCAATGTGGGGATTGGGCAATAATATCTCAGCTAACGTCGCTTCCACTTTTGTTTTCAATCTCATCATCACTTGTTCCTTTGTATGAGAATTTAATTATTATTCGATTAGTAAAACTGAATCTTTATAGATTGAAAATAGAGGAGCGAGCGACAATGAGGTTGAAAATAGAGGTAGGAGCGACGATAAGGCTGAAAATAAGAGTGGAGACTACGATAAGGTTGGATCCTTGTAGACCCTTAAAATCTTAATTATTGCTGAATTAGTATGATGGGGTTACGGAAAATGTTGTGAATGAACTAGCTCAGTTGCGAATAGCCTCATTTTCACCTGAACGGGGTGCATTGGGCAATGACCCACGTTGATTGGTGATCCTGAAATTGGCCAATGTCCCCGTAATAAATTAATTTCCGAGGAAATCCTCCAAGTCAGATCCTTACGATTCCCGTGCCAGGAAGCTGTTGATTGTTTTGACATCTACTATCACCAGAAGAGGCATTCTCCGCTCAGCAATCATTTATTCTGACTCAAACGATAAGCGGGGTCAGCCGCTAGCTGTTGCAAAAACTGACTGCGTCTCTTGGAGGTATATCCCCGAAAAATGTTCATGTATCCTTGGTTTCCGTGAAGTATGGCTCTGATCTCTTGTTGCCATCTCGTTATAAGTGTGGTGTGCTCTTCTCTGCTCCTTCAAGGCCGCTGGCACTCGTACAACTCAAAATTATGGCCATCGGTAGTCACAGACTCATCGCCGCTCTTTTGGCAATCTCTCATTTTGCCAACAGCCATTTCGTTCCTCATCCTACCTCCCAGCGACATGAACGAGATACTGATGCTGCTGCGGCATTCACTGGTTTCTCCATTTTCTCCAGTGGGTCCTTGTCAAGCTTGAACCTGACGTCAACTTGCGAGGCCGCGCTGTACCAAACAGTTTATTGCGACGACGATACTTCGTCGCTATTAACGGATGGTTATGTTGACAGTTTTGACAACTCTACGGAAGAGGCCTTGTTCTGCGATGCAGGTTGTGAAAGTTCGATTGCGAAATTGCACGACAGTGTGCTAGCTGCTTGTGGTGACACAGAGGGTCTGCTTGAAGGTCTTCCCTTTCTGGGAATTGTCGATGAGTTCTGGAGCAACTGGAACCAGTCCTGCTTCACTGATCCTACCACCGGGGAGAACTGTAATGGTGAGGAAAAGACTGCTGCGAAAGTGGCGCTAATCCCTCTCCCTTTTCATGTATCAAAACTTTCTAATTCTCTCTTGCAGACGTCGTAGCGGCCTTCTCCAATGTAACAGACTTGTCTGATATCCCAATATCAGACTTGTGTTCGTATTGCAACGTTCACATGCTGGAAATGATGCAGGCAGATGCCTACACAGATGTTTATAATGATAACTGGGTAACTACATATCAATATGTCGCTGATGCATGCAACCTGACCGTGGCCGACTTCAACGCTACAGCTAGCGCGTTCAATGTAACCGGAGTTATATCAACGACGACAAACTGTGTGTCTGGGATCACTTATACAACCGTGGAAGGTGATACTTGTGACTCGATCGCTCTGGCCAAAGGTGTATCGGCGGCAACTATGTACTACATCAACTCTGATATTAACAATTGCTCTTCCGTCACGGTGGGAGCGACGCTCTGCCTACCTTTGACCTGCACTGATCTCTACACGGTCCAAGAAAACGACACCTGCACCAGTATTGCCGTGAACGCCGGACTTCTCACGGCAAATGTAATCTCCTACAACTCGCATATCAATTGGAATTGCAGCAATTTGCACTCGACAGATCCATATTGGGGCTCAACGCTATGTGTATCGACACCAGGAGGAACATATACGGGCCAAGCAATGAACACCACAGCAACATCTGACGTGGCAGTTTCCGCGCCTGCAGGCTCAACCGTGGCCTTGAACTCCACTACGGACTGCGGCGAGTGGTACGCCAACGATGGTAGCAGCAATCTCACGTGTGCTCAGATCTGTCTGTCATACGAGATTGCTATCAACCTGTTCACCGAAGCCAATACATCGTTGAATAAGACGACCTGTGATAATGACCTGGTGTTAGGAAATGCCTATTGTGTTGATCCATTGACAGGCTGGGATTGGACCGCGACTGCTTCAAGTAGTAGCAGTTCAACTACCAGTACAGCGCCATCAAGTACATCGATTGTCACCGCTCCCGGACCAACACAAACTGGCATTACCAGCGCGTGTAACAATTATTATGTCACTGTCGACGGTAACTCAGACTTTGCAGTTCCATCATTTGTCCGCTTGCTAATTCATGAGAAAAATAGGCGATTCATGCTCTTCTATTGAAACAGCATACGATATCACACTTGCTCAATTCTACGCTGTAGGTCAAATCTCCTGGAACAATATTTCTAAATTTGGTCAATTCATGAGTTGAGACATTGTTTCGAGGAGTTTACTTCCTCTTAAAACAATCTCAATTGCTCTAGAAACACCCTTATTTCCTCCTAAATCATTTAGAACAGGCAAGCTAACTCTGGTCTCGTAGTGGAATCCGGCGATTGGAAGTGATTGCACAAACCTTTGGCTTGAGGAAGCATACTGCGTCGGAGTATATGGGTCAACGGTAACTACAGTGACCGCTCCTGGACCAACACAAACTGGTATCATCAGTTCCTGTACTGAGTACTATGTCACTGTCGCAGGCAAGTCAACACCCGAGTTTTCCGCAACCTTAATTCGCTTGCTAACCAGAGGAATGGGAATACAGGTGATACTTGCGCTTCAATTGAATCAATATATGATATTACCTGGGCTGAATTTTATGCTTGGAATCCTGCGCTTGGGAGTGATTGCACAAACCTTTGGCTTGAGGAAGCATACTGCGTTTCCATTTCTTGATATTCCGCTATAGCACGCCGTTAAAAGGTTTCTAATACAACAATTGTAATTATCTATAAATCGATTAGTACTCGAACATTGAAAGTCTTTCAGATATTGGGGATTATCTAGAAATCGAAAGTTATTGAAAGGTTTAGTAATTCAAACCCTTTAAAAACATTGCAAACTTCTGCTTATCTTTACCATATAAATATACTAAAAAGGAAATATTAACGTGGTTTATCATCGGGTCGCCAATATCACCGGGTCGCCACTTTTTTCACCATTCAACCACTTCAATTTTGTATTATTCAACAACTACTCAATCAATTGATTGAAACTATTAAGAATCTAATAATCTAGGGTCTATTATACTATTTTGACAAGTTCTTGAATTGTGACCAGTTCTCCCACATATACTACAGTATCGACTAGAAGATGCTTCCCCATTAGAATTCCCTCTCTTTTGATGCTCGTCGCGTTGAATCTGAATATCAACCTCTTGTTGAGATAATATATCAAGAGCCTCTTGTCCAGTAAGCACTCCTCCTTGACGTAATTGAATCTTTTTTGCGCGTCGACTTTTGCTTAATGCCTCGTTTGCCTTCCGAAGTGTACGATTTTCTGCACTTAAAAGTGTATTCTCATGTGCTAATCTCTCTGTACCTTTAGCTAGAGCTAGTACAGTTTCGAATATAGGTATAGGAGAGCTTGATTGATGACGACTTATTCGAGATTTTACTAAAGTTGATTGAGAAAGAGCTTCAGTTGGATTGTGAGGTGTTTGAGAGATCCAAGGATCTATATTGAGAAAGGGGGGAGTAGGTGTATAAATTCGAATATCTAACTTTGAGAGTACAGCTTCAGGATTAAATGGTATTAATCCAGTTCCTCGAAACCTAGCTTTTATATTCTGAGATGTAATTGATTGTTGATATACAGCTTTGAAAGCTATAAAGAATTCAACCTTAGTGTGTGAACGAAGTGAATGACTTCAATTCAATTACTACTGTAATAAAGAACTAAGCGAACGCGAAAGAGACTAGCTCTTTTAGTAAGTCTATATAAGACTTACTACTTTCAATATGTAGCTAGCTCTTTAGACAGAATACAATTAGACATACAGGACCTACGTAATCCGTGGGTGCTACGTCTTCCGTATCCTTCTCGTACCAACACTTAGAGATATGGTTGATATGTGCCTTGATAAATCCATCAATTTGATTACCATACGAGCGTTTCAGGACACTAAAACATCCAACATCGAATGATTGAGTTAAATAATTAGAATACGCTAGTAGCTTTATGCATATTATATTATTTGCTTTGCAATATGATTGAAAAAGTATTGATTCATAACTTTCGTGTCCATCCAGCACTAACATTCAATATTTGCCCTTTCTTCGATGAATAGTATATTTATCGAAATACTTTAATCATTCTAACCCTGTCTCATTATTCATCCATCCATTGGAAGTAGGTTTAATAGCCCAATCTGTAGGAAGATCGGTTTCGGTATACCAATTCGAAAGGTGGACTTGTCCTTGAACTATCAGAAATGGAGGTATAGTTTCACCCTCTCCATTACCACATATAATTGCTGTAGCCCATTCTCGATTGCCTGGTTGTATTGCCTTGCTTCTGCCATTTCGTTCAGCACTAGTTACAACCATACAGGCAACTATAATCCCCATCATGAAGCCTGTTTCATCGAAGTTGTAGAAATCGCAATCCTGAATACCATATTTCGCTCGCATATTCAATACCACTTGAAACCACCTTTCAATAAGCTTAGGATCTTCGCAGAGAGCCCTTTGAAAGTCATAAACGCAATTAAAACGCGTCTTTAATCCGTATGATGCTTTACGAATCGATGAGCCCAAAGCTTTCCAACCTTCTTTGCCCCTCGCGACTGAAGAATATAATTCGCCATATCTTCCACACCACTCAATTTAGGTGCAAACCCTCTATCATCCATATCAATTATATACTGAAGAAGCACTTTCTCTTCTAATTCAGTTATTTTATGCCCATTTGCTCGAGTTTCCATTTGGTTATTTCGACCGTTGATTCTATCGCGTAGTGTAGATCTAGGTACTGAATAGACTTTCGCAGCTTTCGTAATTGTCAAATTTTTAGACTTTCGAATAGCTTCAATAGCTAAGATGATTCGGGCTTCTTTTGATTGTGTTTCCATGATAATTCATTGAGATATCGCGAATTGAAATTGAAGTGGTTGAATGGTGAAAAAAGTGGCGACCCGGTGATATTGGCGACCCGATGATAAACCACGTTATACTTACTAGTAACAAAATATCTATCCAATATGAATTGCTTGTTTGATTGTGAATTTCTACACAATTTTTCCACTCCAGTTTTCCAACCCAAAATCGATCATGATGTATTGATAAGACACGAGATGAATGCTTCATCCCAATGTGTGATTTATTGCCTCAAGTTGCAATCTCCGCAGGCTCGGAGGCTGGTCGATACTCGCGGCTGGATACTCTCCCTTTTCACCGGCAACTACCGAGGAAGAATCTGCCATGATTGAAACTACGCCTGAACTTGCAACACCCGCCAATTTGATGAACCTTGAGAATCTTCATTTTCAGTATCAACTAATATACCAGAAACCTTAATTATCAAGACTTGTCTTAAATCTGCAACTCCCGTCGGGCTTGATGACACCTGAAATCACCATTTTCACCATCAACTGATGACACAAAACCCGTCATGTTCGGGACCCTGCTTGAACCTGTATTACTTTAGGTTTAGATGAATTTTTGTCCTTGGGATGTTCGGCACCATCATCTTGCAACTTCAGCTTGAAACGTGGATTGCAAGACGTAGAGCTGAAAGTGGTTGAGGCGGGCGCGGGTTGAGATAGTTGTGAAGGTTGAAGATTATTCCACACCAGGGCAAATCTTATCTTATCAATGGCTTAGTAAGATTACTAACCTTAGCGCAAGGTTAGATCTAGAGCAACTGATCTTATCTTATCTTATCTTATCGCATGAACAAGCTATGGAAAAGCTACTTCAGTAAGCTAAACAGATCATACGCCTCGAATATAACTCACATATAAAAAAAAAATCTAATAAATTAACTCACTTACATACCAAATCTATTCTAGTTTGAATGAACCTCGACAAATTCTCTGTACACCCACAATCTTTAAACGACTTTTGATAGCTCTTACAAGAATCACCCGTTAATCATAGAAGGAAAGTAACCGACATGATATCGAAATCTTAAAGCTGCAAATGAAGTCATATTAATGATGAGATTTCATTAGAACACTAAGGAGATAGGCTCAAAGCGAAACTGCAATCCTCAGAATTCCGTTCAAAGTCAAAATTAAAACTCTCCGGACAATAGATTCATCGACAAAATTACACTTGTGAATGATGTCATAGCAAAAAGAAACTTGATTGGCTTATTGAAGAAAAAAAGCTAAAGGGTAATAAATTCATCCAGACTATGTTGATACATTACTACACTACCCTATTCCGGCCCTGTACCCCTCTGCTTCCTTATTCTTTATACTGGCCTAGCTGATTCAGGAGCTGTCAGTCCGTATTATACATACGATTATTTGTTAGCATTATTAGCTTGAAAGGAGAATTGACTTTACAAGATAGACATCTTACCTATAATTACTCATCTACCGGGTTGATGAGTAGTAATAGTAGTATTAATATTAACTTGATACCAAATTTGAGTATTCCATATGATCACTATGATGAATTGTCTCAAGGTTACCTATCAACGAACGGAATGACTATTAAAGAAATATCTATCCCCAATTCAGCTAATGCCATCGACAACCTTCCACTGATCTCTCAATAATATTTCCAAGCTCAAAAAAGAGTGCCCAGATAGAAATAATACTCACTTTTCTATGTAGAGCACAAGGCAAATTTCAAATTTGAGGATAAGATAATCTTATGGAATCTATACTCTCGATTCTAATAACTTGAAAACTTTATTAGAGGCCCAACTGCTGTCTGCAGTGACTGCTCTCGATACTATCATGGAGACTTCTCAGCTGAGAGAATGTAGTCTCCCAATTTTGAGTTCATAGAGTAGATGAGGTATTGGAGCGCAAGTGTAGGTGATCAATTCTAGAACTACCTTCGTTCAGGTGCGTTAGAAATCATGACATATTATCACCACGAGCTTACGAGAAGATCTTGAATGCAAAACAAGTGCTGAGTTCTGATAATAATACATTGCTGTGACTGAAATGATAGTAAGTAATCACAACATAAACATCAAAAGCCTTTCAAAGATAGCTCATAATCATAATTGTATTGAAAGCCAAAATCCTGCACTCAAGTTTACATTCTGAACAAATAATATACCAATCTAAACCCATCCCATCCCATCATTCAATACAATCCAAATTCATAACATCATATACATATATACCCAACACTCCCATCATAGCATCAGCCCAACCCTTTACTTCTTAATCGGCTCGCCCCAAGCATTCAACTGTTCCCCGCTCCCACCACCACTTCCTCCTGAGCCACCACCCAACGCACCACCCAAGGCGCCCGTCGCACCTCCAGCCACGTTCCCAACAGTGTTAGTAGCACCACCAGCTACATCACCCACGCCTCGAACAGTAGTATTCAATGTGTTTCCGAGTCCCTCAGTCGTCTTTCCAAGCGCACCGTTAACGCCTCCGAGGAGTCCTCCTTGTCCGTTGGCTTGTTGCCCGCCTGTGAGAGTGTTATCGAGTGCGCCGACGAGCCCGCCGAGGAGTCCCCCACCTTGATTTCCGGACATGTTTGTTAGGGTTGGGGGGTTGGATTGGGAGTTTTGTGTTTGATTTGATTTGTTTTTTGGGTAGTGTGCGTAATTTCTTTGCACAGTGTGTAGTTTTGTAAATAGTGTTTGTTTGTTTGTATGGTATGATCAAAACTTAGCAAGAGAAGTTCCAGATATATATATATATATAAGTTCTACAAAATGAATCCTCGCCTAAACGCCCCTTCATCACATGCACATTACACCACATACACCACATCTTCCATCATATTCTCGATCTTCCGCTGATGCAATTTTCAAGATTTCAGGTTTTTCCAAAATCAAGGATGGGACCCACGCTGGACCCTGACGTAGATCGTATATTAAAAATGACTAGGGTGTTGAAAGTCTAGCCAACGGTTGTGCAGGGCCCGTATGGAGGGCAGCTTGTTAGACGTCGATGGTGGGGTATATCAAATGTGGAGGAGTGAGATTGACGTAATTGCCATGAAGAATGGGTACAAATTGAATCTGGATCCTGCACGAGATCGTGATGAAGGTGGAGCAGTGGATAGGGAAGGTCGACCCGAGGTCGTCAGCCACAGAATTTTGTAAAGATCTTGCTTTTTAGATTTACGTAGCCTATGGAGTTGTCTGCAGGCAACCTTACTTACAATTGGGTGGATAAGTGATTGGTGGAAACGAGGGGGGACGTAACGTGAGCTGCACGTGATTCAATCACGCGCTTTCCACAAATGTTGGGAAGTGGACGACAACTCACATCTAGATATCTTGATTTATACCTTGAACTTAGCTAGATCCCCTCCATTAACCGAACTAGAAGTATTGGAGACTTTGGAGAGTAATTGATATCTTTAACCAACCATAATTCTTGCTGAGTCAACCGAGCCTTTTCTCCAGCATGCAAACGAAAAAAGTCTACTTCAAGCACCACGGAACCAAATCCTCCACTCAAGCCATCTGCCCTCACTGCTCAGGCATATTGATAACAAAAATTCGTCCCATCGCTTGGATATTTATCCGAAAAGAAAATCCCACTACTAGTATCACTCAAAACCAAATTATCCATCCACTGGTTATACGCTGTGCAGACCTTAGTATTCACATCATACGAATATGATATACAAGGTGTAACTCTTCCACAGACTGTTTGACAAGTTACAAGATCGTCAAGGGTATATGTGCCAAAGATTTTTGAGGTAAGTCCTGCTTCTGCCATGCCTTGGACATTGCAACCGTCGATATTTTTAGCGACGATGGTGGTGGACGGTGAGTCGTCTTGCGATGCATCGGTTCGGGGAATGAGTTCCATCATGGGGTTTAGGGGAGAAGCAATTGCGAGAGAGGCGATCATGAAGAGGATCAATGATGGTGTTAGGCGAGCCATTTTGCCGTTCTGCTATTTTGATGATTGATTTGTGTAAATGCGGTTTCTGATCACTCTAATCGAAATAGTTATGATGTCCGAGAAAACGGACAGTTATGGGCGAGAGGAATCGTTTATTTATGTATGAAGTTGTATCGACGATTTTTCTACGATTCTGGGGTCGGGGTTGAGCGGATCTCAATACTACCATAGGGTAGTACCATTTGTCATTGAAAATGGAAATTTCTCGCATATGCACCAATTCAGCCTGATCGATTGTTGTCTTACATACTGCGCAACACCTTGTATCATGCACTATAGTTCTTTCATTCGACTACATTGTTTTGCCTTGCAACAAATACGAATAAACCACTAAAATAACTGCCTTGCCGATGCTCAAGCTTTTCCAAGATGAGAATCTTCCGCAAACCACCTTGATGTGCTTACCGATCTCGGAAACAGCGGGAACTGTTGTTGGTTCAGCTCGCTGTCCGCAAATTCAGGTGAGTAACGTCCAATGCTGAAGTGCATTGCGAGTTTTAGACATAGCAAAGACTTCTGCTTTGTCCCAATTTTTGATCAGCTAGACATTGGCATCTTAAAGTATGTGATTACAGTTCTTTAAAAAGTACTAGTGCCCATGTGCAAAGTCGAGACGACGTTTTTTTTAATCAGCTTGGAATGGTTGTATTTGAAGCTCAGTCTCAAATATTTTGAAATCACAACTGCATAATTTCCATGAATCAAGAGCCGCTTACTCTTAATAATAGGCCCTCGAGAGGTATTGATTACGATGGTACTGTTCTCCGCTTGTGTAAAGTCCTTCGAGCTGAGAGTGCGGCACGTTTGTCGACTGCGCTGCCAATATTACCAATACCAGGATCCCAAGAACTTTCCCATGAAAATCATACCCCAACCCCGCATATCCTGCCACGGCCCGTGTCGAACGGATAAGCGGCGTAAATAGCAAGCAAGATGTATTGTAGCATTAGCTGTAGCATTTCCAATGTTTGTCGTGGCGTTGGAACAGAATACTTGTGATTCAAAGATACGTTACATAGAATCCTAACATTAACATAGACTTTGAGTTTACCATGACTGCTAGAGATACCGATATCCATCCAATCACAACCGAGCTGCGGACTGCATATAATTCTAACTGATTTTGGTAGAGATTGGACAAAGTCGGTATCAAAGTGACTCGTATACTATCCCAACAGAAGTATATTATCCACTGAAATCGTAGGTACACGGCATAACTTGTGAGTATCCTCGCATCTGATAGTCACCACAATTCCATCGTAACGCCCGGATTTGGAATTTAAGAAATATCATGTTTGTTTCCATGACTCAGGTGCTACTTTCTCAAATTAGCTGCTTGACTACTCTTTGAATGCAACGAAACTGCGAGGACTATGACAGTGGTTGGTGATGAACTTGTGGTGCAATTACGAAAGCAAAACGAGATTGCGGGGAAAGAAAATCGACTCTTCAAGATCCTTTTTGCTCTATTTATAGAGTAGACCTGAACCATTATACGCACCATTATAAAAACCTAAATGATCACAACTAACTGTGCTCTTTTCCAGTTGTACATTGATTACAATGCACAATTCTGGATGCATTTGCTTCGACCAATAATATAGCTTGGGTTCCATTTGCACTAAGCTGCGAGAGTTGGGTTCCATGAAATATAATGAACCGGACTTCGAATCAAAAGTTTTTGTTGCACATCTGTTTCTCACTTGGGGCCTTGAAATCGGTACCGAACGAAAATCCCCAAAAATGACCTCTAATTTTCAGATGTGCAATAAAACTTCTTTCTTATCATCAAGTAGTTTAGGAGAGTTTTGTTGCATATCTATTTCGGTTTTCGGACTGTAGAATCGGTGCTGACTCAAAACTCACAACAATGTCTGGATATACAATACAATTTCATCAAACATTTTGTTGCAATATCTATTTCGTTTTGGGGCTTTGGAGTCAGTACTGAACGAGAGATCCAAATCAATCCCAAAAGCATATTTGATATTCAGATATGCAACAAAACTTCCCATATTCATATTCCAGCAACGTAAAGAAAAGAATGGTTAAATAGTAAAAATCTCATTCAGATCAGAAGTTTCTATTGTATGTCTGATTCTCAAAAGATAAATTCTGGGGCCCTAGAACCGGCATAGAGCAGAAATCCCATAATGATTTATAACTTTCAGATATGCAACAATAATCCTATACTATTATTAGTAATTTGAGTTAGAAGGTAATTGGGTATCTGAAACAAGTAGATTAAAGGTCTTTGTTGTATATCTGATTCTCAAAAAGATAATATTTTGGGCTTCAGAAAGACGGTACAGAGCAAGAATCCCAAAATATGATCTCTAGCCTTCAGATATGCCACAATACTTCTAGACTATTACCAATATAAAGGGCAAGGTGATTTGATATCTAAAACAAGTAAACCAAAAGCTTTTGTTGCACATCTCAAGGATGAAACTTTTGGGTCCTAGGATCGGTACGGAAGAGAAATCCCAAAATGGTCTCTTATTTTTAGATATACAACAATACTCCCATACTATTAACAATCTGAGGAATAAGGTGATTGGATCCTGAATCAATAAATCAGAAGTTTTTGTTGCATATCTAATTTTCGAAAGACAATTTTTTGGGCTTCAGAATCGGTACAGAACAAAAGTCCTCAATCAGTATCTGGATATTTGGCACAAATTGATTGAGAGTTTTATTCCATATCTGAGTTGTGTGTCTATGGTACTACACGCACGTTCTGTAAGGACAAACAATGAGTGCATCACCTCAAGAAATTAAGGTCAAAATGACCAGAGATTCAATCCTTTTTTAAACTCGTATGTGAAGGAGACAACTGCTTTGACGGGAAATTTTCATTACAAAAATAACACTGCTACATAACAGTACCCAGTTATACTACCTAACTTTCAAATCGTGGAAAGTTGAAATTATCATTCCAGCTGCGTTCCTAGAGATTGTTAGTTATACTTGTTTCCCACGGAATGATAAAGTCAACTTACTATGACTATCCACTTTCGACTCATCCATTCTCCCATCCTCATCCTCATTATCATCTTTCTCATCTTTCTTCGCCCGTGATGGAAAAAATGAACGAAATGCCCACACTGACCCCTTCTTATCCTCGTTTCTCACATCATCATCAGCATCAATAGTCATAGATTCACTCAATTCCTCCACATTCGCAGATGCCTCAGTTTCTGGTTTAGACTTGCTTGAACTCCACAAAGAACTAACTCCCTTGGAAGCATAACTGGGAATAGCTGCACCTGCCTTTAATCCCGTTGTGGCAACACCAGTAAGGCCAGATCCCGCTCTTTGAGAGATTCGGTACAGGCTTTGAAGATATGATTCTCGTTGCTTGCCATCTAGGTCGTTTTCTTGGATATCCGGAAGCGGAATTGCAGCAGCCGCAGCGACAATGTCGAGAGGGGATTCATCGACTCCATCCATATCTATATTTGGTACAGACTCGGAGTTGGTACCGGTACCGGTGAAAATCTCACCTTCTTCTGTTTGTACTCCTGCAGCGTCTTTCTCTGATACAGTCTCTGGTAACAATTCTGGGGGCGGTGGTATATCCACAACTTTGTTGTCGCTTTTGAACCATTCAACGACTAGATCCCTTGCCTGTTCGGACATCTTGTCGTAACTATCGTTGGTTTCGGGTTTGAACATACTCATATGAGCGTGAACTTCATCCTCGACTGCACCATTAACACTTCTAATGAAGAGTTCATGAGACTTTTGTTCTGGTGCGGGTATCGCACAGAAAGTTCTTTCAGGAACAAAATATCCACCTGACCAATAGCCATTCTCTCCCAACGAAGTGTAGAAATTTCGGATTCCGATTCCTTCAATCTTGGACAGTCTCTCAAGTCTTTGAACCATCTCTTTCTGTCTCATTAATGCACCCACAAATTTAAGATGGCTTGACAGCCATGCGAAAGATTGACCAACACTATCGCGATTGATATATGCAAGCCCCTGACCTAACGCATCATACCCTTGCTCTGCACCCTCTTTGATAGAGTTCTTGTTAAGATTTTTGACACCGGCAATAATGGTCTCCCGATTTCTGTAAGCCGCCACACCACCAGCCGCAATTGCTCCCACGACACCAGATTTCACAGCAATTCCTTCCCATATCTTCCATCCCGGACTAGCAGTTCTAGTTGTCGCTACCACAGAACTGCCTGCACGTCTTGCAGCTTGTTTCGCGGACATTGTCGTTAGAGATCTAGCACTAATGAGGCCGGCTGAAGCAGCTGACATTATGTTCCAGATATTGCTGACCTTAATCAAAGTCAGCACTTGTCAAGCTTCTCGTAGTTTTTCAAATTACCTTGTTGTATTGACTGAATGCTCCGTACACAAACATAGAACGAGCAAGGCCGTTGTAAGGGGTATCAAACGCGAGAATCCCTTGAATAAGAGGGAATATAACATGGTTGGCGTCTTTCTCCTCTTGATCATGATGATCGTTAAGAATGGAGAATAGTGCATCAGAGGCCACAAAACCTCTGAATGCAATGTTAGTAGATTCATGGTGGCTCATGTAGAATTTTCAGTTCTTACCCCATTGAATGTGCGACTAAAATGACGCCCACGGATCTATCATTCGGTGGCCATGGATTTTGGGTCTTTTCTTTCCGAACCTCCATAACCTTTCCTTTCAGCCTATGATTGACTCGGATTAGTTAAGGGAAGAACTTCCTAGTTGGAACCACATACCATTCGAGAAATTTGTCAGTACTATCCAAAAGACTTCCTCTCGTCTCATATTTGGGATACATAAGAAGTTCAACATCATCATCTGGTAGCTTTTCTGCTACATGCTTCTTAAGGGACTATGTTGAAAGTCAGTAAACTTAACCAAATTGCACCATGGAATTCGAATTTTCGGCTTACCTGTGGAAAGTTGTAAAAAGTCTCTCCATCACCCTTGAATCCATGAATGAAACACAACAAAAGTGTTCGCTTCATCATAAAATCGTATGATAAATTCGTATCAAATTCCGTAAAAGATGGAGATCAGCCACGAAAGTATGGGGTTTCAATTATTATTATGGATATGATCTTCTTCTTCAAAAAGTGGCTGTGGCACTAGTGTTGAATAAATGCGTAAAATCATGGAAGCAGCTTGTGCTAAATTCAAGGTTTTGACTTTCACATGAATTTTTATGTCATGACCTCACGAGCTTAATGTCACAACCGTCTTATACGTCATTTTTGAGTTTGTTATGCAAAAGACACCACTATTCCTCACATTGCCAATTTTTTTTCGGGTTGATACTGTTGAGAAATGCAGTATCAAGTGGAAGGTGTAGATAACAAAGAAGAGACATCACAGTCACCATCGCAAGTGCACGTGATTGTTCTACTCGACGCCTTAACAACAAAACATCAATCGAGTCGATTCCGATCGTATGAACATCATTGAAATTTTTGGTAAAATACATGAATAATCAAAAATCCACTAGCTATAGAACATAAAAAGAAATAGGCTAATTTTCCCAATCCCAATAAAACCGCTATAAAATACAATCATTCGTGAAATCGTGAAATCATTTATTTCTTCTTCTTGCCCGTGAGGGAATCAACCACCATTCCAAGTCCAAGACCGTTCAAAAGGTTCTTCAAACCAAGACCTCCGAGGAGGTTATCGAGCAAGCCTCCGAGACCAAGTCCGCTGAGCTGTAAAGACTGTTAGACACATGTTCATAAAGGGTAAATGAATCCACGTGATGACTTACCAATTTACCAACTATGCCCAGTACACCACTCAAAAGCAAGCCAACGGCCGCAAGAATCTGAGCGAGTGGCTCTGAGAGAAGAGACCACAGAGGATTGATTTCCTTCTTGGCGTGGGGCATGCCTTCAATCTTTCTTTTGGCATTTTCGATAGTCTCGGTGACAACTCCAGTGAGCTGTGAATCATGATTAGTAAAACTATCATTTTATAGGAAATATCGAGGGAACTTACTTCTTTGATACAATCAGCTAAGTGATACTCTTCTGGAGTAGCTTCATGAGCTGCTGTCTTGGCCTTGGCTTGAGATTGAAGTCTTCCACCTGGGTCAAGAGCACGGATAGCGGCGTTTGCCTCGGAAAGAATGCGACCACCTTCTTCGATCAATGGCTTAACTTTGTTGACAAGATCCTCTTCATCTAGATCATCCTTTGGTGTACGCTCAGCTTTGTCGATGTGTGAAATGATCATCTTGAGAATTGGCTTGATCTTGTCAAGAGCATCCTCAACGCAGTAAATCATTTGTTTACAAATCTTCTGGTCGAGTTCGGCTTCCTCTCTCTTCTTCTTCTCTTCTTCTGTCTCTTGTGGCTCCTGTTCAGGCTCTGGCTCTGGCTCTTCTGGCTCCGGCTCTGGTTCAGGTTCATCTTCGACAATGTCATCGAGAAGAGTCACGTGTCCGAGTGAGTTACCCTTTTGATCGACAACATCTCCATCGTCGTCGACCTTCTTGCCTGCACAGACCTTGATATCTCCACTAGTCAATTTGCCGATAACATCTCCATTCTCGTCAACCACATTACCCTCCTTATTAACTTTGCGACCAGACATTGGGTTGATATCTTTCTTGGCCTCCTCTTCTTGCCACCTCTCCGCTCTTCCAAGAACGTTACCATTCTTATCAACAATCTCGCCATCATCATCGACAGCTCGTCCAAATAGAACATTGGGATCACCGGTTACCAAGCGACCAACAACTTCGCCAGCTGATGTAACAACCTTGCCTTCTTTGTTAACAGTGCAACCGTCGAAATCTGTGAAAGGACCTTCCTTCAATCCTTCACGATCACCCTCTGGAACGACTTCACACTTGCCAATGATGTCGCCTCCCTCATTCCTAACAAATCCATTCTTGTCGCACATCTTGCCTGCGAGTTGCTTGATATCTCCCTCCACAACACGACCATAAATCTCGCCAGACTTGTTGACGACGTTGCCTGCCTTGTTTACACGCTTTCCTGCTAAGGAAGAATTGTCGACTTCTGGCTCTGGTTCGGCTTCCGGAGCCTCCCAACGCTGGGCCTTGCCAAGAACGTTGCCGCTAGCAGACAAGATATCTCCGTCTGCGTCGACCTTCTTGCCCTTGAGTTTTTTGGCATCACCTTCAATGACTTTGCCAATGACCTCGCCGTTGTGGACAACGTCGCCGTTGGACTCAACTGTAGCATCTGGGAAGTCTTCGAATGGTGCTGGCTCCTTGAGCTCTTCCTTCTCTGCTTCTGGAATTGGCTCAGCTTGACCGATCTTTTTGCCGTTATCGCCCCAGATAGCTCCCTCCTTGTCACATCGTCGACCGATCATGTTCTTCAAGACACCTTGAATAATACGGCCAACCACACGACCGGAATCATCTGTAACATTTCCAAGCTTGTTAACCTTCTTGTCGAATAGGACCGAGTAATCTGGTCCTTCCGCCTCTGGCTCTGGCTCTTCTTCGGTACGTTCTGCCTTTCCAATGACGTTGCCATTCTTGTCGAGAATGTCACCGTCCTCGTCAACAGTCTTGCCGATCATCTTCTTGACATCTCCATCGATAACTTGACCGATGATTTGTCCCTCAAAGATTACCTTTCCTGACTTATCAACGATAGCACCAGGGAAATCCTCAAAGGGTGAAGATGCATTTTCCTCGGCTTCTGGGAGGGGTTCTGCACGGCCAATGACCTTACCAGTATCGTTATAGATCTTACCCTCTTTATCGCACTTCTTGCCGGCAAGCTTCTTGGCATCACCTTCAATGAGTTGACCAACTGGGTTGCCGTCTCTGTCAACGATCTTTCCGGCTTTGTTGACCTTAAGTCCTTCAAGAATGGAAACAGGTGGGATGTTAGATTCAGCTTGATCCTTTGCGCCTTCAGCGGTGTCTTTGCCTTCTTCGACAGCACCTTCGACACCCTTCTTGGCTTCTGAAACTTGTGATCCGAGATCAGCCTTTGAGCCAAGCTGGCTTCCGAGCTGACTAATGCCTTCTGGAATACCGGCATTCATGATCTGCTCTCTGATGCTGTCTGGAATTGGGAGTTGATCAAGTGGAAGCAAGTTGACCTTTCCGAGAATACTGCCGTTCTCTCCGACGAGATTTCCCTGATCGTCGACATTGACACCTTGCTTGCCGACCAAAGACTCAAGGTCAACATCATCTTGGAGTTTACCAATTGCCTTTTTATTGGCATCAAGAATCTCACCGGACTCTTGGATTTCAAATGGACCCTTGAGTTTGGATTGAGGGATGATCGGCTTTTTGGTCTCTCCTTCAAGGCCAGATTTGGCGCTATCAGCAGGAGATCTCAAACCATCGGCGTTCTCATCGGCATCTTCAACTGGATCGGCAGATCCAATGACACGGCCTTCCTTGTCCAAAACATCTCCTTCCTCATTGACAATACTGCCCTTGAGTTTGGACTTGTCAATATTGGCTTCATTAATCTTTCCAATGACATTTCCATCATCGTCAACCACCTGGCCCTTTTCGTTGACTTTTCCAGCAGGTTCGACATTATCTGCAACTTCTCCGGCCTTTTCGCCAGTCTTTTCTGCAGTCTTCTTGACGTCTCCAGCCTTTGATTTGGTCTTGTCCTTGGCATTTCCAGCTTTAGACTCTGTTGTCTTCTTAGCAGCTTTACCAGTGGTAGTAGCCTTACTTTTGACGCCCTTACCGGCTTTAGTAGCCTTCTTTCGAACATCGTCTACTTCCTTTTCATCGGAAGCATGTGAAGCTTTCTCTGGAGCATCTCTCAAGTTACGTGAATCTTCGTTTGGATCACGCTCAGTCAATTCCTCCTCTTGGCCCTCATCGTCATCTTCTTCTCTTCCTTCCTCTTCTCCCTCTGCGACCCCGTTCTCCTCCTCTTCATCTCCCTCGTAATCATTGGTGAGATCCTCGTTGTCTGAAACGGCTGATTGTGCCATTCTGTCAGGAGAATCGGGTGGTTCCGAACGAGTTTGTACTGGCTCTGGTGTTGATGGAGATTTAGGAACGTTCTTCTTTGCACTCTTTGGTGCTGGGGACTTTGAAAATGTCTTAGTTGGGGATTTTGGTGTTTTGGATGAAGCGTCTTTTGGCGCTCTCAAAGTTTGTTGATTGTCTTCAGTGTCTGTCATACTCGATTGTTGGGTATCTTAGGTGATTCGTAATTTTCGTATTATGGTCTGTACTGTTTATTAAAAGTAGTGGTCATGCAGAATAAAATTTGAGCTCATACTGAACCCGTGAGCTCTTCTTGTATGCAATATCAGACTGCTAATTTCCGGTTTACTTGGAAGGATAGAGCTTGGATAGCTTGGATATGATGTTAATACGTCACATCTAGGGGGCTATGATGTTACAAAGTATCAACTTTCAGGCTCTCTACGTCAGCCACTGAAAAGTTGATAGATTGGTGAGCCACACCATCCTGAAGTTCCCTATCGAGTCATGATGGGAAAGCTGGAAGGCCGCAGATTTCCTGGCAACTCCGCGTCATGGCAAAGTAGTGGATATAGGCGCTGACTCGCCATTGGTCGAGCTCATTGTACCCCGTGACGTGTCCTCGAAATCAGGATGTTTCTCGAATGAAGAGGCTACCTTCGATCGACGATGTATTTGCCACAAACGTGGTTTCAAGCTCGTTTTCTTGGTATGGTCGAGAACCAACTTGGACGGATCGTAGAAAGGTCTTCCTTGTTCTCCCCTGAAATCAAGCATGACATCAAAACTAACGACGCATGCATGCAATATGTGAGAAGTTTAGGTTGCCGGCTACCCCAGTTTCTCAGCCAAGCAAGAACACCCTTTCATTCCGAGTAAAATCTAGCCCCAGACAGCCCTCAAAATCGCGTCCCTGGAATCTGGTACGAGATCACTTTGATCGCGTCGTCCACTCAAGTAAAGGCGCGTACAGTACAGGGAAGACAAGCCATAATCCTTCAAAAGCCACGAAGATCAAGCCACAAATTATTTTTTCTTGTCGTGATAGAATATCCCCACTTGTCAATTGGACTCCAGTCCTGAACACACTAAAATAATCTGACACCAAACGGTCTACTACCCCGTTCTTCATGAGCCACATTACAAGGAATATATCCTGTTATCAGAACGTGAGCTGTGATGTATCCATTAAAACGCGTTCGATATATTAATATCACGGAGATTACATCACTAGACTAGATTTAGTTGGGCCGTGCCGCGGAGTGCACTCGCCACATGCAGAGTGGTGGGTCGACCTCGCTTAGGCCTTCCTTCCCCTTCATTTCGAATCTCTAGCGACGTTGTTCTTGTTTTCCAAGTTTGGATTCAGGATTTATGCCTCACGTTGATTTTGATGCGTTTTGGTTGGTTACATCATTATTTTCTGGGGGCGTGTGAATACTCAAGTGCAATTTTGAGATTCAAGATTCTTAGCATTGATTTGTGGGGTGATAATTGGGGTTGATGGCGTATTATCTGTCGTGATTGCCCTGTTTTTTAGGTGAACTGATTCTCAATTTAGTATTACGAGTATTTTCTCACATGCTTTCGTGAAGGGCGTTGACAGGGGTAAGAACTCTATACTGACGAAGTTACCAGTGTGTTGAGAAAGACGAAAGCTCAAAAGTGAAGACAAGAAGGTACACCGAGGGCTCTTAAAAACAGTTATAAAATATTCAGAGTTATAGTAGGTGGCTAGAAAAGGCCTAAATGGGGTCGTCCATGTGATTGTATTAACATGACTTGCAAGAAAAAGATGTAGACTAAAGTGGAATTTTCAGAACAGGTCAACGAGAACTCAAAAGTTTCAGTGAAGACATGTACATTATCAATTTGGTAAGGAATTAAATGCTAGAAATACAATACAGAAGAAATTACACAGTATGCTTCTGCCCATTATTTCAAAAGCCATGCATATACTGAAAGAATCGTAAACCCTCAAAAATACAAATCCAAATGATCCAAGTACGCACCCAACCAAAATCATTACCATGCTATCTCACATATTCAGCCATTGCCAATGCCCATCCTTATCATAACAATATCAACCTAGTTTCCAGCTTTCATCATGAACGCAGTAGGAATTCTAATCTGCAAACTGATACCCTCATTGGTACTCTTTACATCCAAGAAAATATCACTTGGACTACTTCCAGCATCGAGATCTGCATTCTGTCCCAATGTTCCAGCCAAAGATCCTACATCCCCAGCCTTTGGTTCATCAATAGATTGGACTTGCTGTGTAGCTCTAGCTTCCAGTTCTTTGGATTTGAAAGAACCGACTGCTTTGCCGGAGAAATTGGAAGTAGCTTGACCGATGACATTTCCTTGGTCATCAAAGAGATATCCGTCTTTGATGACGGAGATACTCTTTCCAACAATATCATTGATGTTTGGTATGTTGACTTGTACATCCTTCGCGCTGTCTACTGCATCCTGAGCTTGATCTTTGATTCCATTGACGGCACCGGTTGCTTTATCAGCACCAGGTAGACCTCCCAACGCATCTTTGGTCTTGTCAGTACCATCACCTAGAGACTTCTGAGCATCATCTGTAGATGGCAAACCACCCTTGACATCATCAGTTGTATCCTTCACGCTTCCGAGCTTTTCCTGTGCATCACCTGTAGCACCTTCAACTTTGCTCTTTGCATCGCCAGCGACTCCATTGACTTGGGATTGAGCGTCGCCAAGTTTATCTTTTGCACCATCGGTTACACCGTCAGCTTTGTCTTTTGCATCACCTGCAACTTCGCCGACTTTGTCACTGGCATCTTTTCCAAGGCCGGATGCTTGATCAGCTTTGTCTTGTGCGGTGTCTTTGACATTCCCGGAAATTTTCTCAACATCACCCTTTGCCTTTGATCCAACATCCTTAGCAGTATCAGTTGCGCCTTGAACAGCATGGGTAGCTTGACTAGCGTCTGGTGCTTGTTCGGCAGTATCTTTGATCTTGTCTGCTCCTCCTTTAGCGGTTTTGGATGCCTTGTCTCCAACATCCTTCGCTTGTTCAGTGGTGCCAGAAGCAGTATCTTTGACTTGATCAGCTCCAGGTGCATCTTTAGTAACATCTTGAGCTTTCTTGGTGGCGTCACCTAGGACACCATTTGCCTGTCCTTGAGCTCCCTGTGCAGCTTTGGAAGCTTTACTGAGGAATTTCTTAGGTTGTTTAGTCGCTTCCTTTGCAGGTTCAGGGACGGAGTCTTTTGCATCCTCGACTGGCTTAGTAGCTTGTTTGACAGGTTCAGACTTGGTTGCCGACTTGAGAGGCTCGATGCTTTCCTTGAATTCTTCTGGAATAGGAGCTGCAGATGTAATGACATCTGGTTGAACATCAGGAATAGCCTCGGCCAATTCATTTTCGTCGTCCTCTTCTTCTTCTCCTTCCTCATTTTCTTCATCCTCCTCTTCCTCGCCTTCCCCGTCTTCTCCTTCGGAATTATCCTGTTCCTCCTCGTCTTGAACATCGGAATCATCGTCGACTTCACCCTCATCATTCTCGCCTTCATTTTCTTCCTCGTCCTCCTCGTTATCTGCCATTTCAATGCCTTCATCATGTTCCTCTTTTTGGTTTACCTTTTCTGGTTTTGATTGTTCAAGCTCAGGCTCAGGTTCAGAATCATGTTCTTGTTCTTCAGGAGCTGGCTTTGGCTCCGGTTTCTTAGCCTTAGAAAACTTTTTTGGTCGGGGAGCTTCCTTCTTCGGTTCGGGCTCATTTTCTGCCTCTTCTTGTTCGGGCTCTTCGGGTTCTTCTTGTTCGTGCTCTGGCGCTGGCTCAGGCTTATTGGCCTTAGAAGACTTCTTCGGTTTCTGTTCAGGCTCGGGCTCCTCATTCTCCGATTCCTCAGGTTCGTCGTGCTCGCCGTCTTGTTCAGGCTCCGGCTCAGGTACTGGCTCGGGTTTCTTAACAGGCTTCTTAAACTTCTTAGGCTTAGGTTTACTCTCGGACTTTGGTGCTGGTGAAGGCGATGTTACTTCAGGTTGTGGAACATTTTTGTCAGCTGGAGGAGTTGCTGGTAATTTGGGTGCGAATTTCTTGGCCTACATTGTTGTAGTGTTAGCCTTCTGATTTGCATCGAATATTCTTTCAATTTTTCTCTCTTTCTCTTCTCTCCTATCTCATCACTTTGATAAGGTTTCCTTTTTGGTGGCAGAAGAAGTAAAGGTTTAGAATTGTGTTCGGAGATAAAGAGGAGAAGGACGGTTGGCGAAAGGAGGCAGATAAGCCATAGCAGGAAACTTACTTTAGTGGTGGAAGCCTGCTTTGTGGATTTGCCTACATCGTTGGACTCCTTTGGAGTAGGTGGTGTAGGCGTGTCTTTTACCGACGGCTTTTCGCTAGGTACCGAAGGAGCATCTGATTTAGAAGTTGCTGGCTTCTTCTTGATCGGAGTTTTGTTGGTCTTTTTCAAGACCTTTTTAGGAGCTTCTTGTGTGTCTGCCATTTCTGTGATTGTTGCGGCTGTAGAAGATATGAATTCGATAGAGTCTGGGTCGTAGCGAGATGTGCGGTGCTTCACATGTAGCGTCCACTGATAACGAACAATAAATAGAGGACACAGTTGGGCGGATGCTCTGCACAAGTATATAGAGGTTTCAGTAGTGTAATGATCAAGGCCACTAAACCTCAATGCTGTGTTCCTCTTAGTAATTAGATGCGTACGGAATGATCTCACTGTCTTGAACGCATCACAAAACCAAGGCTAGGCCTAACTATGACCCAAGTTCTGATTGGAATCAATCATTGCGTCAACTCTGACGCTACACAGATTGTGGGAAAGATAGAGCTTACAAGCTTCCCCGGGAAATAACAAGGAAGTTTGACCATATATTACATGGCTATAGCTCCTTACCGGCCAGAATATCATACTTGCATCATATCCAGCCGACCATATAGCTTGGAATATGTTTGATTGGGTCTAATCCTCCGGCTTACACGCCACATTTTGAAGCAATCCTACGGGCATCATACATCTAGCCAACTTGTGATCCGGAAGATCAATGATCTTTTCAAGTTGATTGTCGGTAAGTAGTGAGGTCCTCAATATCTTCATCGAGATTTCTCCTGATGACATACAGGATGCGGCAATACTTGCATGCACCAGCCACAGCCTTCGAATAGCCCCGCTTTACAGTTTATCCGTGCACAAATAAGCTATCCCAGCCAGAAACTGGTAAGGTTAGTGTTATATGGAAAGAGAAGAAAAGTTTGGGCCAAAAGTTTAAAGCCGATCTAGAAAAATCATCTTGTCGTGCCGTCATTTTTAAGTGCAACGCCGATCACTGATCGCTAACCTTACGAAACTGCGTTTCACACGAACGGATAATAAGTTCGGGAATATTTGGTCTGAAAGTTTCCTAAATTCTAACACAAGCTTCCTATGCTCAAAAGTCTTTGGTAAGAATTCTCCGGACGCAATTCGTATGCACAATGGCTTTTTGCATAGAGAAGTATACGAAGCAATTAGCCGTAATTTACAAAAAGAAAAATGAAAGAAAAAAAACTTGGAAACTCGACAGGGTTCGACGCTTCGAATTTATCTGCCAACTAATTTGCCTCAGTGTACCTGTACCTACCTAAATTTGCTCATATTAGGTAGGGAACACAACCTGCAAGCCACCAAACAATAAGGATCAAAAATACGAAGCGCGGGGTGGTAATGCCAATACCTATCAGGTCCAATTAGGTAGTTGTGACTTATGAATACAAAACGTTCCTGAATTGCGTAGAAAACGCGAAGATTCGTGATAGCTCCTCCCTCCGGCAAATAAGTTCCGTAGTTCTGATGTCTTGCCAAGATCTTTTGAACAAGTAACTTTAGTTGACAGACAGCGGACTAATTTAGAGGAACTCGTGGAAAAGACGTGGGCCGCTGTTCTAGACTAGTATACGCTATGGTGATTACGACACAGGCTAGAAGGTCACTGGAATTTTAGGGAATTGGAGCGGGGACAACGCTATCGAAACACTACCAGATAGCGTTCATGTACTCATTTTCATACTATCCACCACCATTCATGTACCTAACAATAATTTAAAATCAAAAGGAACAACAATCATTGGAAGTTGTAGTATCTTGCATTGGAGATAAAATCAACGCAGTTGATCTACCAATAATCGTGAATATGTCGTAAAATTTCCATATCCAAGATTTTCGATCATTAAATCTAAAAGTACAATGCCATGCCATTATCATCAAAATATCCAGAACCCCACCACACCCAAGACCCCGCATTCCTTCATCATGAACACCAAAGAAATATACCAAAAGCCCTTCATATAAATGGGGTGGCAATCCAACCACCTCTATCAAACATGCTCTTCACTCTATCCAGAACTAAGCAACACGATTGATGTTAGAATGGATAAACCTTTCGCTCAAGACCTGTTGAAAATAATCAGCTCGACCGAGCTTGTAAACTGACATTGAGAGGTACTAGTTCTCGACATTTATACAATGGGTAGGACTGGATTTTATATATGAAAATATACAAGAGAGGGGAATGAAAAATGGATGGAGGAAAACGTACAATAATGCCAAAGTCAAATCACCATGAATCTTGGCTTTCAACTCGATCTCAATTTCGAGGTTAACATCTAATCTCAACTTCAAAGGTTGTTTGCCTTGATCTTTAGCGGCACCACCTTGTTGTTGTTGCTGCTGCATTTGCATCATTTGCATTTGCTGATCGTGTTGTTGTTGCATCATTTGCATTTGTTGCTTATAATCATTTCCACCATCCTCGAGGAATTGAGGACGATCACGTCTCTTACGACGGGGTTTGCGAGCAGGAGCTTCCTCTTCCTCCTCTTCTTCTGGCTCAGGTTCCTTGACCTTACGACGGCGATGCTTCTTCTTTTTCTTTTCCGGTTCGGGTTCCGGTTCGGGTTCGTCGTGAACAGCAGTGTCTTCGCTTTCTACTTGTTTTTCGGACTCCTCTTCTTGGGCTTCTTCTTCGCCGCCTTCGTTTTCGTCAGCAGTGGCTTCGGCACCAGTTTCCGCCCCCGCTTGACCACTGGCTTCCCCTTCATTTTCATCTTCTACTGATGCCTGTGCCTTCTGCGCCGTACCTTCTTGTTCTTCCTCTCCTTCTCCATCTTGTTCTTCTTCTCCATCCTCATTCTGTTCCTCATCTTGAGCTTCCTCGTTTTGCTCTCCCTCTGTTTGTTCATTCTCTTCCTCTTCTCTATTGGGTGTGGCTTCAGGGGTAGGCACCCCCTTCTTCCCACCAACGGGTGTATTGCTTTTTGGAGGCATGATGAGATGTGGATGTATGGGATGTGGGGGATGTGAAGGATGTGATTAGGTGATGTGAGGTATGGTTTAACACACGACGGATACTCGTATACGTTAAGAAAAAAGTATATAGGGCGTGAATCAAAATTAGATTTTGAGAGAAAATAACTTAGCACAACTTGTAGTTTTGTCTTATATGAAAGTCGAAAATTTGTAAACTTGGAAATTCATGCCAAATTCTATGGAGCAAGCTTTCAAGCAACATAACTATGACATAACCGCTGCCTCCATTTTTATCCTTGTAAGATGCAGGGGCATTTTCCCTTTATTCTGTCGAAATCGTAGGCCATGAATCCTGGATAAGATGATTTATCGCAGGGGTTTGTGGTGAAGGTGGGAAGTTTCGACAAACATGTGGGTCATGAAAAGCTGCAGGGCTGCAAGTAACCTTGAACCTAAACGACCAACTCAGTCGAGTTCCCGAGTCTAAGGGCACACAAGTCTGAAAATCAAGGCTAAATGATACTCGAAACAGGTGCAATTGTAAAAACTTCGATATTTCTAATTATCCGCACAGAAGCTTTTCCAGGCTTTTTTGGGCATAAGATTTCCAACATTTCCAGAATCTCTCAACACTGAAAGAATAAAGCCACCAGCCACGAATACTTTCCAAAGTAACCTCTCTTCAGGCGCTCACATCCAAATAATGCTTATGGTACTTGTGACTTCACCCGCATGATATCATTTCTAGTCTTAATGGTGAAGGAATAACCCGACAAGTCGACATGGGGCATGAAGAGATAAGTTGTGGCTGGTGAACAACTAAATCACGAAGCTTTGTCCCACAGCACGTTTCTGACACAGAACTCAATTGAACACTACTCTCGGACCCACCCTCCCCAAGACATTCCAGACAAACAACATTACGATAATACAGAATATCCAAGATAACATTCAACCTTGAGGACGACATACCAGACAGAAGTCACACCATGGCATTATTCTTAATGTTCGTAAACGCGATACCGACGGTGATTGGTACCGCTGAAGCACTAGATGTGCAGAAAAAGGAAGATTTGGCTCAGAAGCATAAAGCAAAGTTCTTTATGACAGCAAATTTTGCTTTGGATGGAAAAGTTGCCCATGAAAAGGAAGCACAAGTTGTCCTACGCGATAATAGGGTATGTACATCAAGTTACCATGTATTGCTGTGGAAAACTGTGGTGAAAGAAAAGGAATGCTAATTTTGTTTAAACTATCCGCAGATGTATCTAAATCACCCAGATGCGCCAAAGGAAGGACATCGATTTTGCGGGTACTATTTCATGTATCCAGGCACTGAAGAACATGGATTGGTTTCGACGATTCAGGATAATCCTCCGATGCTAAATTGGATATACGTCGACTCCAATACTCTCGAGGTACGATATGGCGGTCGGGGAGATACAGTAGGAAATTTAGCACATCCGTGGGAATGGTCGGAGGATGAAGTGAATTTGACATTGGAAGAAGATGAGGGATTTGTTGCCGTGGAAGTTGAGCCTAGATTATGGCAAATATATTTTGATAGGAACGGGGATTTCTCCGGCCTGCCCAAAGGAAAGAAAATTCAAGAAGTTTGCTTGCTTAGACGGATGATGTGTGGCTGGAATAGTCAACTTGTACCAGCCGATAAGAAAAAGGAGGGGGGTTGATAATTCAATGCTGGAAATAATATAAAAATTCCAAATATCATGATACACGTCTGGGGAATTCCCATATGTACTGTACAATCCAGAACTACAACACGCACGAGACCTGACAAGATCATATTCTCGAAACATCAAACCTGTGCAAAAATTCAAAATAATCAATTAACATGCAGTATGACGAAATCCTGCTTCTTCCAATCAAGAATATGGGGAAACATCAGTCGAGGGGATGCCTGTAACAGCCTGTCGAAGACCCACTGAGATCAATATATTTCTCCAGCCACAGTACAATTGTATTCGCAATCTGCCAACTTTGACACTGCATGGATACCAAAAACTTGCTAAAGACGGGCCTGAAGAAATTGGCCACAGGCTACTACCCCGAAAAACAAGAAAACGCCTTTCGGCGGCAAGGGGTCTGCATCAAATGGATGACGTGGAATCAGAGTAAGCAGGTTCGATGATCGAGAAATCCACTCAGTCTTTCTTTTAAAGAACACAGGTTCGAATCACTCATAGTCTGATATTCATTCAAAAAAAAAACTTTTCTCTACCATCTTATCCTTTGAGGATAATCCTACTCCCTCATTTTATTTTTAACACCCATTCATACAGAGGTCTCTTTCGAGTCCTACCTCGACAATGGCTAGCCAAGCCGCGTCGAAGCCAAAGGCTGCCACCAAAACTGCCACGAAAGGCAAGAAAGCTCCCCCAAAGAAGAGACAGCCAGAGCCAGAATCGGAATCTGAAACCGAAACCGATTCCGATGATTATACCTCTGAAGAATCAGAGGAAGAAGCACCACCTCCACGTCGACAAGCAAAGCAAAAGCAACAGAAACAAGGTGGCGGTGGTGGACCACTCGGTGGCGTCGGTGATATGGTTCCTCTAGGACAAGCAACCGATACCGTCGGTGGCGTTGCCGGTCAAGCTGGAAACACGCTCGGCAATGTAGCCGGTGGTGTACTCGGTGGTGGTGAAAAGAAGGGAGACGACAAGGAGGATACACTTAGATTAAGGCTAGATTTGAATCTCGAGGTAGAGATTACGCTGAAAGCGAAGATTCATGGTGACCTAGAGTTGGCACTATTGTAAGTTGATACCACCTTTATTATTTCTTCAACCCCTCCTGTTCTGACGATGGTAAAAGGGACACTGGTGGATAAACATCTCTTACACGAGTATTTGTTTGCAGAAACGGTTAATAATGTCGTCCGCCCGTTCCAGCTTGATGTAATCACCGCTTAACGTATGGCCCTGTTTTCGTTAACTTCGAATATTTCACCTTTCTAACCTGTGAAAAGTCTTCCATGAGGACAAAACTTGGTTAGAAGCTTCTGCTAACGAGTTCGCTTTTTGCAGGAACTAATTGGCTTTTCGATTTCTTTCACGTTGGGATAGAATCTTGGATTCTGTGGAGTGGCATATGGGAGGACCGGGTTCTGATGTTATGAAGGAGTTCTTTGAGTGCATGGAGAAATGGGAGAATGGGAGAATGGGATCGGTTTTGACATGTTCGACATGTATTATATACCCATTCTCTAAAGTGGGAATTTTTAATGCCTGATGACTTTTCCAACATACTTGAAAGCTACCTGATGTGACCATGTATGATGATGTAGCTCTTCAGGTTCCGAGGCTGTGTGACGTCTTTGATGATACCCCTTTGTGCTTTGGAGAAAGATCCGGAGTGAATCAAGCGGAGGTTTTGATTGTAACGAATAGGGTCCTCGGGGGACGCGCTTGGTGCACTCTTTACGATGACCATTGAAGAGTCGATTCAGAGGAGTGAAACTTGGGAACTAGATCGTGGACTCAGCACTGCACTGCAATCCCAACCACATGTGTATGTACTGCTAACCATTTTAATCGCAAATGTAGTAAAATTCAGAGCTGAAGCTCCAGCAAAAGCTTCCTAATTTCCTCTGAGAATAATGAATTCAAGAAAATAAATATGCATGAAAGAATGAAAATAAGTAAAATCAATCACCGTGGTCGCTCCTGTAAGCTGTAACTCCATTCTGGAGCAAATTTCACAAGTCCATGAATTCTTGATCTAAGACTTCGATACTTGTTTAAGATACACAAGGGAAGAACAAAATCATATTTCTAATAAGCTGGTGTGCAAGCAGAGATCTTCAGATAGATGTCATGTAGTCTTAAGAAAGGAGTACAAAGTAAGGGATGAAGTCTGCACGTGACTGACTCGACTCGATTCTTACACTACATGACTTAGTGTGTTTAATACCCTAGAAACTGCTCGGTCGCAAACTTTCACGACTTCACAACTTAACACTTCTTTAACTTAGCAAATCATAAAAGTATCCACAACTATTGATTGGAAATGCTGCGGGTCGATCTATCCCAATATCACCAAGGAAAAGCAATTGACTTTCAATTTTTCCCTCGAAAAAGTATATGCAGATCCGCTTTTGGGGACAAACAAATTCATTCATCCAGACAAACAAAACATTTGTGTAGACATCCGAAGAAATAGGCCAAAGCATTTACATTGCATAACCATAAGCATAAAATCCTATTCAGATACTCGTCTGATCAGCAAGGCTGTTCAGCTATCACGGGTTTGCAGATAACACAAAAACAAAACATCAATACTTGAGATGACAAGTCACAATTGACGGATAGCCACTGATTTTCTGCATAGGATAGTTTCCATTACTGCAGTAACAAGCTAAAGAACATGAACAAACGCATTAACTCTATCGTTTGCATCTTTTCCTCCAAACAAGTCTCAATCAATCAAAAACACAATTAGAAAAAGCATATGATTATTGGTAGTACCGCTGATCATGCTTCGATATCTCCATCGAAGTCAGATCCGGCGTCGACCTCAGTCCTCCCATTCGCCATAGTTTCCTCGGTGTATTCAGTTCCCTGAGTCTCACCATTCTCAATTTTGCTCTTCATCCTTGAAATAAGCATTGATCTCGCCCTCCTCTTCCTCTTCTTCATCGCTCGTAAGTGTCTAAAGGTTCAGTTAGTAATCAATTAGGATATGAAAGCCAGCAGTTGTTCTCACCTCCTTAATCGGGGACCTAGTTTTAGCCTTCCTGCTTGGAAGACTTCGTGCAGGTGTCTCAGTGGTAACTTTCTTATTCTCTTCCTCGTCATCATTTTCAAATTGGGCTTCTTCGTCTTCGTCATCGCTGTCTATTCCAGATTTCGAGCGCTTTTGCTTCTTCTTAGAACTTCCTTTAGGAGTTTTGCTTTTCGTTGGTGATTGTCTTTTCTTTGGCGTTGCTGGCGGAGAATCAGTGCCATTTCCATTTGATTCCAGGTTGGGTAATGTTTTTTTGAAACGTGTCCACCTCATCTGAGCGACTGACTTGGTGGGGACATTGACATCCTTCACAACTTTGTCCCAGTCGATTTCGCCGTTGAGTTGATTGAGGATGGAAGATAGTAGCTTCTTTTCTGCATCGGTAGACATGGTTGATTCGAATGTACACTGTGTTCTGGAAATATGGATAAATGTGAAGTGAACCTTGATGAACAAAATCTAAGGACGGATCACTGTTATATATGTATTCGTCATGTTGGAATCTCCCATTGAGATCGAAGAAGTAATTTGTTCAGCTGAATTATCTATCTACCCAAATTGTCAAGATCGGAGTCTCAGATGAACATTGTAAACATTTGCAAGCACCCGCTTGGAGACCAGTCTCCCCATCAACCTATCATTCAGCCCTTCCTACTATCATTTTCCTCCGCATAAAAGCACTCTACATTGTCCTACTCCGGCTCATCATCCTCATCCTCATCCTCATCCTTGATTAACTTTCTTTTCTTCGACCCAGCCTTTTTCCTTCCGTTTGCAATCCCCGCTACCTTCCCTGTCTTCTTCCCATTCCCTGCATTTGGCTCAGAATTCATGTCGGTCTCCGCATCATCACCGGATTCGTTCTTAGCCGACTTTCCCGATACAAGACCATACTTTTGCTTATATCTAGACCAGCGCTTGCTCGCAGCACCTTTCGGATTCTTGCCGCCAACGATACCGAGGTCTTGAGCTAATAGATCGAAATCCAAAGTGATAGTGGCAGGGTCAATTTGTTTAAATACGGCTTGGACAAGCTTTTGGTCTTCGGTCGATTCGGTAGACATCGTGAGAGAGTTGGGATTTGTTTCTGGACTTGAGACTGTGAGTTAATGTGGTTAGGCTTGAGTGGAATCAAGAGGGTACTGACTGTGGATGTGATTTTCGCAAGTGTGATTGTTGCTTGGGAGACCTTAGATGAAGGAGGATGCACATTCATATAGATATACGAGACAGTCGGGACGCTGTTACAGGGATACTGCACTAGGACAATATTTTTATTGCTTATTATGTCTCTCCTTATGCAAATTTAGCATATTCCAAGACAAATAAAAAGTATGTGGCTGCAGGGTTTCAGGCCTCGTCTCCTGATGACAATCCATCTAGTTCATTTCCATTCTCCCCGATCTGCAGCCATTCTATACCATCCTCAAATTGACCATTCTCCTGCTTGACATTCGCAACCAGCCCATCCAAATGTCCCTTGTCATTATTTGTTCCTTTACCCGGACCCGGTTTGGAAGTAGCTGCATTCAAAGACACGACGATCGAATTATCAATTTTCTTTCGTCGAGCAGGTGGCTCATCCGATCCCTCCTTCACGGCTACCCGCTTCCGTCCTCCTTTCTTACTATTCATTTGCTTCTCGACTACGGCGGCTGCTTCCTGTCCAACACCCAAATTATCATCTGTAGCCTGTACAACTTGCGATGCATCCTCGTTGTTTTTGAATAGTTTGGCCTTGAATCGGTGCCAGCGTACTCCTGCGGTTCCGGGTTTAATACCAAGTGCTTCGCCCAATTTACGGTTGTCGACTGGAGGAAGAGGGTCCCACTGGCTGAGTACGGCGATGAGGAGTTTTTCGTCGTCGCTTTTTTCGGAGGAGTTGGCTTTTGGTGGCATGATTGTTGTTTGTTTGTTGTGATTCTGCGATGGGGATGAAAGTTTTGTGCTTTTGCGAGGTAAATGCGTAAAGTTTTTTGTGGAATGTTTTGATGATGGTAATCTTTCCGGGGAAGGGAGATGTGTGTAAAAGTGAGAAGTACAAGCATATCAAAGGTCTCACAGTCTCAATATAAATACCGAAGACAAGGCTGGTTTCTAGGTGATTCTTCATTCATTCATTCACTCATTCATTCATGCATGCATCTGCCTAATCGAGAACTCCATGCATCCCAACCATCAAATTATAGGTGTCTCTTAACCCTGCGCAAATCTTAATCCTCGTCGTCCGACCAACCCATTTCATTGTACGGCCATCCAAACACCCCTTGTGTTCTCTCAATCACTTCATTACCGATTTCTGGAGACGCAGTCGAATCCTCAACAGGCTCGCTCGCCACAGATACCGCAATATTCTTTTCCTCCACCGGCTCCTTCTTGACAACTACTTGAACGCGTTTTCGTGTCGCCTCCAACCTTGCCTTAAATCTCGACCAACGCATCGATGCTGCTCCGTAATTGATGCCTAGTTCACTGCCAAGCCGATGATAATCGAGATTGGGTAAACTTTTCTCTTGGTTGAGAATAGCGATGAGGAGTTCCAAGTCGGCGTTTGTCAGGGCGCCGTTGGCCTCGGCCCTTTCTCTGAGACGTGTACGCCGCATACCTGCCGCTGTGGGGGTAAATGCCGAGATCTGCGCCTAGTTTGTTGTCTATTCTAGATTCCCATTGGCGAAATACTCCGATGAGAAGCTTGGTATCGTCTTTTCGTGTCATTGCGCTAGATGTTGTGGATGTTTAATCTGATCGTTTGCAGGTGGTTGATGGAGAGAGAAGCAGAGTTATTGGCAGGAGTTAATTTTCATCATTCATATATCAGTTCAAAGGCTAAATCGGAGTTAGTTCCAGATAGTTCATTAATCAACTAATCAGCTAACAATCATTTTATTCCTGAAGACTATTTGCATTTACCGATTATCCCAGTGAGGTCCGTAAAATTCCAGTAACTCCATTCTTTGATATCATGCATTGTTCCTTGGCCACATCCGAATCTTCAAAGACATTAAATGAGGAAACCGCTTCTCCTTCCATGAACTTCTCTTCTTGGCCAGATTCATCAGATACATCCTTCTTGACCTTCCCATAAGCTCCACCAGCCTTTTTTCTTGTGGCATCTGACTTTTGCTTCTTAGTAGGAGAAGTAACATCAGTCAATTCCACATCATTACCTTCGAAATCCGCTTCGTCTTTACTGCGCTTCTGACTTTTGTCGCCAGCACCTCCTCTCACCAGCAATGATCTTCAAATCTCCAAATTTTCCTTCTTTAATTTTTGCCGTCAATCGAGCCCACTAGTAGATCGAAAAGTCAGTATTTGTTTATCGTAGAACTAAGTCCAGGAGTAAATTATACTTACGCCAACACGAGCAGCATTTGGAGTGGGAAGCCCTAGATCTCCGGCCAACCTGGCATTGTTCAGCGCGGGGAATTTGTTATCCTCTGAGACGAATTGACTGAGAGCAGCGATGAGGCACTTCTCATTGTCGGACAAAATTGCAGGTGCTGGTGCCATCTTGTTTGGTTTTATTGGAGTGATAGAACGTGTTTCTGTGTTTTTGAGTGTATTCTCTGGAAATATTTTGGATGGGAGGGAAGGTTGTATGATTGTGCAAGTTTGTTCAAGAGAAAGCGAGATTGTAATCTTACAGATTTATAGTAACTTGTCCGAAAGGTGAGCAGTGAGATTTCAGGATCGAAAACTGTCAAAAGACTGCTTTGATAGTATTTTATAAGAAGCTAGTCCTATTTCGGTATATTTGGGGGATCTTATATGATGATTCGCTATGGTTGATATGGTAGTCCGGATGATCTCAATCTCTAATCATTTTCTTTTCTTTTTTACTACGAGAATCACTCTGCGAGCAAGAAATTTCACAATAGACATAAATAACCCTTCAAAATATCACATTCTCCCAAGTATCTCCATATTACTTCATCGGGTGAGCTAGATCTTGCTTTCCCAAATACACACCTTCATAAAAATCTCCGAAAACAAGCATTCACATCCCTGTGCCTCTCTGCAAGCCCAGTCTTCCTATCCGCACAATCTCAGATATCATTATCATCGCAATCTTCTTCATCGTCCTCCACTTTCACAACCTTCTCCTTACTCTTTCCTTTCGCTGTCTTCTTCACACCTCTGTTTCAACAAATATTAGCATAGCACTCTTCACTTTCAAAGCACCGACAACAAGAATACTAACTTGGCTTTCTTGGGAGGAGCCATAGGTTTGTCTGTCCCAACTGGTACTTCGACAACTGGTCGTTTCTTGTCTCCAACTTCCTTGGGATCTCTATCAACAAAAATATCCCCCATATCTCCATAGTCTCCGTTTTTGATTTTTCTCGTGAGTGCACTCCATCTATTCTTGCAAAAGGACCCGATCGCCTAGGCCAATAGCTTCTGCCAATTTCGCATGATCTGGTGAGGGGAGTGTTTTGTTTTCCGGAGCTTTTTGACATAATACTCCGATGAGCAGTTTGAGGTCTTCAGTAGTGAGAACCGCAGAAATGATGTATGGATGAGTGAATGAATGGATTTGGTGGAGATGAGATGATCGTTGTGGGGCTGAAGGACCAAAGTATCGTGATATTCAAAGATGGGATTTAAGTTGAGAATAAGAAAAGGAATAGAATATCCAGAGATTTTACACAATTAATATACAACCATCACTTTCCGAATTGTTTCGCAGAAGTATTCTTCATTCATCCATATACATTCGCATACTTTCCATCGCATTAACTAGGCTCATCTAGAAACACATTTGCTTTTCCTAGAATTTTCATCCACGAATGCAAACTCTCCGACATTCCTGCCTTTCAAATCCTTGTTTCCTTTCCAGCTCAACCTAAAAGTCCTGCAACGAAAATGCACGCAAAACCTTCAAGCCTCATTATGAAAATACTAGACTTCACAATCCATAGAATCAAACTCCGACTTGATAACCTCTCCATCCGATTCTGCACCAACAATTTCTTTTTCCGCCTTATCGATTCCTCTTCTCGGAGCCCGTCTGACAACCCGTTTCGTAAGAGAAGTCTCACGATCATCTTCAACCACGATTGGTTCACCCGTCTGTCGTCTCCGTACCGGAGATCTTGGTCTTGCTGGCACATTGCGAATCTTGAGGTCCCCACGTCCTGCTCTTTTTAGTTCATGTCTTAATCTTCCCCATACCCCTTTCGCAGAAGCATAGTTAGGCAATCCGAGGTCTTTTGCAAGTCTGTTGTAATCAGGGGTGGGAAGGAAGTCATTTTCGTTATTTGAGAATTGGGATAGGCCTGCTATGAGGATTTTGAGTTTGATTTCGGTTGTTTGGGGCATGATGATGAGATGATTGAGAGTGTTGTTGTGGAGTTGGTATTTAGAATGGGATGAGTATGTCATTTGCAAGGTCAGGAAATTTCACATCGTAGATATACTTTCATCACATCACATAAGATATCAATAATTACTTTTTCTCGAATACCCATCCCTTATGCAATATGCAATATGCAATGCAAAGCACAGACAAAACCCCTTCCAGCCACCAACACACAAATCTGCACCTTTCTCCCAGCCCTGCATAATCCCCGTAAGCCACAATAAACCTCAAGCCTCATCATGATCAAGATGCCCATATACAAACATAGCATCCTCAAACGCATTATCCTCTTTATCACTTCCCTCCAACTTCACAACTGTCTTTGCCTGTCCTTTATCTTTCCTTTTGCTCGGGCTCGACGTTTCGCCCGTATCATCTTCGATATGTACCTTTCTCTTTCTGCCTCGGCTGCTTTCTTTTTTAGGAAGAGACTTCTTGGGTGATGTGTCAGGCGTGAAAGACTTGGGAGTTGCAATGCCAAGTCGTTTTTCGAGACCCTTAAAGCGAAGTCGAGTGCTCTCGACCATAGCTCTTGTGATTTCATCGGGCTCGATTTCGGGCTTGATAAATTGTGTGAGGGCTTTGAAGTCGACTTTTCGGTCTTGCGAAAGCACTCCTTTTATGAGTTCTTTGTCGTTTTCGTTCATAGTGGATGACGGTGATGAGGAGTTTGGAGGTATGGAGTTATTGTTTGTGTAGAATTGTTTGCATGGTGGAATAGGGATTCATATAGGCTGGATGGAATTTCTAGATCTAATGAAAATGGAATTGTCGAGCAACGAAACAACAAGGATGAAAAGAAATCATGAATTTGTTTTTCTAGTCCTGCAAGTATTGCTTCATCTGTTTGCTGCATTATTCTCCCCGCTTCTCGGCAGTTACCTGGCCCACCTGAAAATATCTATCACATTTCCAGGCTATGCTTCATATTCCTCGTCGTCATCCTCATCCTTGATAGATAAATCTTCCATTCTCTCAGCTTCCGCAGCCACCTGCATATCTCCATCTTCTTCTTCCTCTTCTTCTTCTTCTTCTTGTTCATCCTCCGCATCACTAATGTCTTCCACAAACCTCGTAACTCTCGCTCGTCGAAACTGCAACTTGCGCGATGGCGTAACCGGCTCCTCCATCTTGATATTGACATCCATGCTTTCCTTCTCATAATCTTTTTTCTCGCCGTCTTCCTCATCCATATCCATTTTCTCATCTTCATCGCTCTCTTGTTTGATGACCCGACCACGTGATTTCTTAGGGTTTCCTCGCGCATTTTTCTTGGGACTATCTCCAGCTTTCTTTGGTGAAACAGATCCAATTTTCTTGCTCACGCCGGTGGTCTTTCTAAAAGTGGTTGGTCTTGCTCTCTGTGCAATTTTTTGTCTGTAGCGATCCAATTTGCAGCGAGCGGCTTCGGGAGTGGCAACGCCGATGAAAGTGGCAAGTCCTGTAAAGTGTATATGTGTTAGCGGGATGTGATGCTGCGATGATGTGATTTTAGATGAATGGTATTAAAACACTCAGGTCATTTGGAAATGAAAGTGGAAATGAGAATTCTTACTGTCGAAGTCAATGCGCCTAGGTTCTGATTGAGTCAAGAGTCCCATGAGGAGCTCCTCTTCGGGGGTTGACATTTTGGTAAATATTGGGATTTTGTTCGTGATCTGTTGTTCTAGATGCGTTGAAGGTTATATTTCGTAGGCAGAAGTTGTTTGTTTCTCAAGAAATTAAATCCAATATATGACTTTGTAGTTGAGATTCCCCTTGTCTAAGACATGAGGAACTCAGCGAAGAGAATCAAGCTTTTTATAGTTTTACCCTGTAAGTTCTCGAAACGGAATAGACAAAATTCGAATATTTTTTCTAGGCAGCAATGCATAAGTACATCATTCTCGGGAAGGAAATGCAGACGCTGATTTCATTTCATAGGTGTGCACAAATTTTCCAGGAAGTGATGTTCTGGCACAAAGGCCCGTTCGTTGTCTAGATTCACACCTCAACTCTATAGCAAATAAATTCGCAATGTCATTCTCGATAATGAAGATCATTGCTAGTAAATTGTTCCATCTATGCATTCTGAAATTTGAAATGAAGTTAACCCCAAATGAACCTCCAGCACTGGAGTTTCTGCTCATGATCGATGTGAATCTAAGTTCCTCAAACCCCATCATAACTACTCTTCCCCAATTTCAAACCTCTCTTTCCCTTCGCAACCCTCGTATAATCAATATCCTCAAACCCAGAACTAGATTCCTCTTCCTGACCTTGATCATCAATGCCTTCCTCCTCAGTGTCATCATCACTCGATCTCTGTTCACATTTAACAACTTTCATCGCACTCCGCTTCGGAAGTCTCCTCGCCGGCATCTTAAGCATCTTGACATCCTGTTCCTCATCAGTCAAATCCGCATCATCAATCTTTCTCTTGCCACTTTTCGTAGGCGTCTCTAGCACACTTTCCTCCCTTGAAATCTCGTACTTCAGTGGCGAGCCTGCTAGTTTCGTTCTTGCAACTTTAGTGTTCGCTTCTACTTTCACGGGACTGCTGGCGTCTCCATCACTCCCATTTTTGTCCTCCTTTCCGTCATCCTTCCTATCATCTCTGCCTTTTCCATTCCTATCCTTGACTGCAAAACTCTCCAAAAGTCTCCTCCACCTATGTCTCGCAGCATTCTGGCCATTAACGCCCATATCTTTAGCCAAGCGTTTGAAATCAATTTTGCCAACTGTGATTTGTCTGAAAAGAGCGCTCATAACAAGGTCATTGTTATTTGTTTCAGCAGTCCCAGTAGGTGTACCGGGAGCTTTTGCAATACTTTCCTTGAATCGTTTCCAGCGATATCGGGCGGCATTCTCACCGTTGACTGGAATGTCTTTGGCCAACTGCTTGAAATTGATTGTGCCATGACCACCTACATCGATTTGTTTGAAAAGGGCTCTGAGAACGAGGTTGTTGTTTTCGGTTTCTGTGGAGGTGGGCATGATGGCTGCGTGCTTGAATTGATCGTATGAATTGTGAGAAAAGTTTGAGTGGATTATCTTTGGTAAGGACGGTATTGTAAAACTTTCTTGTGGAGGTGAGTGTAGTAAAGATAAGGAATAGTTCTCGATTTATGGTTGATACATCACAATTACCTACGATTAGAACCGCCTCGAGCCAAAAGTGAAGGTTCTTGAACTTTCCTTGCCCATCTGACCAACTATACTTGGGCAATCTTTCTTTTTCGATAACAATCCTCAATTATTCTCGCAAAAGTAAAAATAATAAAAAAATAATAATAAAAAAAGAAATGAAAAAAAAAAAGAAACAATCAAACAAATAAAAAAAAGTGATGAAGATGTAGCCCCCCGCATACAAGGATACGTGCATGCATAAACCGCAAAATTTTATCACATTTGGGACAATGAGCTACAGACTTTTCTTCCTTGCGCTTGCCGCTACATAATGTATTGATCACTAGCCCATAATTCGATGCTCCAGAATGTTGCAAATCATACAAATCTAATTATCCTCGTCCTCATCATCCTCATCCTCATCCTCATCTGCATCTTCTTCGGCTGCTTTCTTCTTAGCCGCAGCATCAGCTGCAACCTCAGCCTTCACAGTATCCCGAGTAGCCTTGACCTTGCCACCCTTTCCCTTTGAAGTGATAGCCTTAACGTTGACAGGAGTTTTGCTATTGCCCTTCTTGGCTGCGGCCTTCCCCTTCTCAGTCTCCTTAGTAACAGCTTTTCCACCGACAGTCTCCTTGGCAACGACCTTTCCGCCACTCATCTTGATGGTGTTGGTTTTCTGATTATCGCCGCCACCATCGCCATCGCTATTACCTTCGCCTCCGCTTTGACTTTTAACCTCATCTGAATCATCCGTACCAGCCTCTTCCGCCTCGTCACAAACAACGCCCTTGCGCATCTCGATATTCAAACGGGACCACCGCTTATGAACAGCGGCTACTTTCAGACCACCCAGCTGTCCTCCGATAGCTTCCCAGTCGACCAATTTGCCAATTTCCTTTCTTGAAACCTGCTCGATGATGGCCCTCATCAATTCGGTATCTGCGCGAGTAAACTTAGATGCTTTAGATGGTTTCGACATTTTTTTTTAGCTTTGGGTGACGTTGTGGTAATTTAGTGAAGGGGTGAGGATTGCAAGATTGTGTGCTTGAAAGGTGGAAAAGGTGCTTTGAGATTTGTGGTGTATCTGAGGGTCATTTGGAGAACATGCGATAAATAGTGTATGAGACCCTTTGGAAAAGAATGACACTAATGTTTGGGATGCAGGAGCGAGATTTTGCGTAGATCATTCCATCCATAGATCGAACTTCCATGAACACCTAAGACCTGTGAATGCCCAAATTTGTCCATTGAGTAATAACTGAAGGTGTTACAGCTTAAGTGTAGCACAGCACCGCTGCGGTGGGAGCGATTACTTCTTCGCATGAACTTGATCAAAATTCTGTTGATTTAGCTCTCAGAAGACCCAGAAATAGGCATGGAATGCCCAGGATGGTAAAGTTGCATTGTAGATGTATCGATCTTTTGTTTTCTGCCGAGCCTCATACAGATGCACCTGATTTGACAAACTAAAACTGCAACCTCGATGTAGGTTGTAGATACTAGTCTCGCTGCACAGGTCTAGGCAGGGCTAGGCAGCCTAATTTTCACCTAAAAGGAAGTGGATAAGTCATAGACTGCCATGAGGAGCTTGATCAGAAGGCTGTACGAATGTTTTGGTTAAATTCGAGGTGTTTCTAGATATTGGTAACCGCTTTGAACTTTCTTCATTAATGGGTAAAAGCCCACATCGGAGATTTTTTGAATACTGTCTACCAATCATCCAAAGCTAGCTCGCAACTCTACATCGTACCACCAAGTAAAATTAAGCTCGCGTTTAGTATCTTGACTTCAAGCACAATCATGCCTCCCAAGAAAGTGTCCCTAAAACTCGACAACAACACGCTTGTGAGGACCGCCGTTACCAATCAAATCAATCTCGCTGATGAGTTTAAGCAAATATGGAATAAACTTGATCATGATCGTTTCATTGAGGATATGGGTGTTGGCAACAGAAACGCAGCTTCTAAAAGGTATAAGAGATGGGCAGCCGGAATCGTCAAGTCAAGTGTTAAATCGCACGGATATGATACAGATACGACCGACACTGAGCACAAAATTGAACCGACTGAGAAGGCTGTGAAGGAGGTCTGCGCACCACCAACGAAGAGAGAGACCAAAAGAGAAGGGAGCGTCCCCGCGTCAACAAAGAAAGGCGCAGGAAAGAAAAAAGCTACTGGTAAGAAGAAGAAGATAGAGGATGAAGGCTTGACTGAAGAATGAACAGGAAAAGCAACAGTCTCCGCTGACATGAGCGACGACTTTTCTGAAGAGGAATCCGAGGAAGGTTTTTGAGGTCGAGAAACAGTGGAGCATGAGGATGAAACGTAGGCGGTTGAGTTGAACAATTGTAGGAATTATTGGTGTTTCAATCCATAGCCATTTTGTGAATGTGGAAAGGAAGGAGCTGGATGATTTGGAACAGTTGATGCATGTTGCGCTTGGGTGAAATTGGATTTAGGAGACGGGATTGAGTTTGTACCTGGATCTCGCTGCGAGTGATGGGATCACTCTGGCGTCAAATGAGATGCATCACACACTTTTATACTAGTAATACGTCCCAGAAACTGGATTTGCTCTGTGTGACAGAAGATTGATAACCTACCACAGCCATCAATGCCATGGACTTATGGCGAAATTCCCTGATATTAAAAGCAATGCTTCATTGTGGACCTAACGAATGTATTGAAGGTCAGCTCTCGTTCGCCGTGATTCAAAATATCCCATACTCTCTTCAGTCAAGGTGATAGGACGAATAAGTAGCAGTTTCAACACAGACTGTATGTTGGGTTGGGTTGAGTTGAGGTTGAGGCTGTTTAGACGTTGATTCTGCACGAGAGATCTTTGTGCACGGACCATCGTGTACCATTTGCAGCATGTTCGAACTTACTTGAAATTGTAGACAAACATTCACCATGTAGCGACCAATCAACCATGGTAACACTGCTGAATCGGAAGAGCCGTAGGAATAAGGAATTTGGCATGCATCGTGTTTGCACTGCTCTATACTATAGAGCTCTCTTAAAGGATTGCACATAAGTACATGCCTTCTTCCGTCAAGCACCCGGAGAATGTCTGCAAAGTCTCAGTTCCACAAGTTGACTCCTTTTCCCATACAGTAGCAGGTGCTCCTGGCCTAGGAGTATTCCTCATGCAGCTCGTTAATCGAAATGGCGCAACCTAAGGTCAATCTGAATACTGATCGAAATGCAGGTGCAAGGAGTCGCATAATCCATACGGAGTATGTGCCGAACAATTCTTTCCCACTCATCAACTTCCAATTTCGAACGATCTTCCTTCTTAGGTATATACTATATAAATGAGGAAGTGGGTCTAGAGGACAATAATATATTGAGCAGTGTTTGTGGCCTGAACTCAGTGAAGGAGAATGGTGGATACCTGCCACTCTTATCGCTTTGACTCATGGGGAGGTGCACGTTCAGGCGTTGCAGCGCTATGGCGATTTGTCTTTTGAATATGATGTCCATATGATATACCTTATGAAGATGAGCACGCCGGCGATACTGTCCATGGAAATGATTGTTTTGCCCTGCGTCAGGCACGAACTGGACATGACGAATTTGGTGCATTCATCTCAGCTCTCGTGGGTTCATTGCAGTTATAGGGAAAACGAGAGATCTATCTACATATGCTCACGATATACGAAGAGCTGGCATGTTAGTGTCGCCTGGAAAACATCCACAAAGACCATTGAGGTGGCATTGTTCACATATCGAGCCGCCAGATTTCCCTTGAGGAATTTTTCAGGGAGATGTACGGTTTCGTTCCATGACCAATTCACGAAAACTTCTAATAATACCTTTTCTGGATGCCACCGAAATATCTTATACTGTGGAATTTTGCCATATTGGTGCGCGCACATGAACAGCAAGCGCTGCGCAGCAAAAGAATGTCTTCAAGATTCAGAATCATGAATGCTGAAATTTTTTTATGTTTATTTTATTTCATTTTATTTTGCTATATAAAAACCTTTAATGTATCCTGTTATTTGATTTGAACGCGACGAGGATACGGAAGGCGACGTATTCATCAGACATGACTATCGGAAAGCGCGGAGGGCAATACCCCTCTGCCAAACAGCATAAATTAAGTCCACGAATATACCTGGTTACTGCAATCATACGATTCGACGACAGAGAGCTGAGCTATTCTAATATTGAAATAGTAATCAACTATCAATGGTATGATATTATGTCGGAATCTACGTATCCAGATAACCTCGGTAAAAGATACGGAGGAAAGCTGCCTAATTCCTCTGTTCGGGTATCTAGTTAAAAGGCCTGTTGAAGTCGCAAGCCCTGAAGGTATCACGGTTAATATGAGTCTTGTCTTGGAATAAGGGTCGCGCACTAGCTAATTACAGACTGCGGAAGACACAAGTCCGCTTTATTGCACCGGCTAATTCTTGCGGTCCATTCCCCACGATCTGGTGATATAAACAAATTGCTTCCTGATATAGTTTGTTCCTTGGATGCCGATTGGCGGGTTTTACCCCAGATTTAAGAAATCAGTGCATGTGTTTTGCGGCTGTCGTACCGACAAGCCTGTGAAACCCCATAAATTCTTTATTGACTACTCCGTACATTGTGGACATCCACCCACGCAGCCCCATCCGTCAAATCAGTGGAGTGAGGGGAAAAGATCGAGACTTATCTTGGACTTCTACTATTTTATGCACTACTATTCTTGTACATGCAGGGATATTCTTCCGTCTGCAGAAAGGTCGCCAGTATGGCTCCATTTTTGAGAGATTTTCTTCTCAAGTATTGCTCAATGCGGAAGAAGGATTGATGTTTTTCCTTCATTCACAATCTATCCCACATTTGATGCATCACAATCTTCATCCCGGGCCGCCGGGTGCCGGGTTTTCGTTACTGCCCTTTGCATGTCTAATTTTGCATATAGTGGGATGGAAGTCAAATTTTCACCGCATCTCGTTCTCTACATAAATAATGACACTGCCCTTCTTCTCAGTTTGGCTTGTATCATTCCATTGTACTTCCGTTTCATAGGTTTGGCCAAATATCTCCAGAATGAAGGTATCAGTTGCGCTTATCACGTCCTTTGCCGTGGCTCTCGTGAGAGGCCAAGCAGCCGGTTACTCACAGTGTAAGTAGGAATCTTTGATACTGCTGTACATTTGCTGATAATTTATAGGTGGAGGACAAGGTTGGACTGGAGCAACAACTTGTGCATCAGGATTCACATGCACCTATTCAAATGTCTACTACTCGCAATGCGTGCCAGGCTCAGGTTAGCTGATTTCTGTAGATATTCTTTGACATCTACTAATGTGGCATCCAGGAGCCACAACTTTAACAACAAGTACCAAGGTTGCTTCTACCTCAACAACTAAGGCAGGCACTTCGACTGCGAGCTCCGCCAGTGCGCCTGCGAGTACAGCTACAACCATAACTAGTTATGCCAAAGCCGCAGGCACTGTATTCGAAATCAATGGAAAGAAGACATACTTTGCAGGAACCAACTGTTACTGGTGTGGTTTCTTGACCAACAACGCAGATGTTGACTTGGTTATGTCTCATCTTGCTGCTGTAAGTTCATTGATAGCCTGTTATTGACACTGTCTAACATGTTATAGTCTGGACTTAAAGTGCTTCGAGTCTGGGGCTTCAATGACGTCACGTCAACACAAGGCTCTGGTAGCGTTTGGTATCAATCTTTCATTGCAGGGCAATCACCAGTAATCAATACTGGTGCCAATGGCCTTCAGCGACTCGACTACGTAGTACAATCGGCTCAAGCTCACGGAATCAGTCTCATCATCAACTTTGTCAACAACTGGACCGATTACGGAGGAATGCAAGCATATGCTACATACTTTGGCATTTCCTTGACAGATTGGTACACCAACGAAGCAGCTCAAGCACAATACAAAGCATACATTGCTGCAGTAGTAGCTCGTTACAAGACAAACACCGCAGTTTTCGCTTGGGAGCTTGCCAATGAACCTAGATGTACTGGATGTGCTACCTCAGTCATCACCAACTGGGCGACAACCATCTCTAAATACATCAAATCTCTCGACCCTAACCATATGGTTACAGTCGGAGACGAAGGATTCGGTCTCACCGTAGCAAACGATACCTCCTACCCATTCACTTCAGGCCCTGGAACATGGTTCACCGATCTCCTTGCCATCCCTACTATTGATTTCGCTACCATTCATCTCTACCCAGGCTCATGGGGAGAAGTTGACTCTTGGGGATCTTCTTGGATCTCTAGTCATGCTAATGTCACCTCCCTTGCTGGCAAACCACTCGTTTTGGAAGAATATGGTACCGACACCCATCTCAATGAATTAGCATGGCAAGGAACTGCTCTTGATACCGACACTGCTGGATCTATGTACTGGCAATACGGAGATACTCTTTCCACGGGAAAGACTTCGGACGATGGAAACACCATTTACTATGGAACAGATGAATACACAACTTTGGTACTCAACAATGCCGCTGCTATGAACGCAAAGGCCGTTCCATAAGGAGGTGCAATTTTGCGCTGTGTTGACGAAAAAGATGGAAAGAGAAGAAATAAGTGACTGTACGTAGCTTTCTTAGTTGTAAATAAATATCATACTGTCATTCTAGTCTCATTGCCATGTTATAAATCTTCTTTCAAAAGTGGTGACTATATAGACTCAGAGCAATATAAAATTAGCATAATAACGTTCTCGCACTCCTTCTTTTGTCTGTCGAAAGTAGTCTAAATTTTGAAATATATATCAGAGAATAAAATTACGTAATTATATTGAATTACCTAAAGGAGGTATAAATTGTGATTCTGAAATTTACAAGGCATCATATAAGTCCCTTTATAGACATACAACACGGCGTATTTTCACGCCATCTCTCCCCTCCCAGTCCTAACCATCATACACTCCACGAAATCTTCCCCATCCACCACAGGAATCACCAGTCTCCCCCTTTCCTCAAAACCAAAATACTCATAGAGCCCCTTCCCTACGGGACTAGCCTCCAAATACGTCTCCACGCCCTCCTCATCCGCCCTCTCCAATCCCCATCTAATCAAACTTCCCGCCGCCCCTTTCCGCTGCCACTCGGGCTTCGTAGCAATAAGTTCTAAATACCAATGTTTCCTCTCTCTCATAATATCTCTCCGTCTCTGAATCAACGTTCCGAAAAAATGATTTGCGAGGTCCACGTTACAACCTTGGGGCCATTGGGGTAAGCCATTCTTTGTGGCTACTGGCGCGGAACTATCGTTCCATTTTGCGAAGGAGATGATTTCTTGGGTTGGGGAGAAGGAGTCGTATATGCATATGAAATGGGATGAGGGGTCTTGGATTTCGCTGAGCATGCTGTTGTACCACCATGTCTGGGTTGTGGGGAGGGTGCGGGGGAAACATTTTAGGGAGATCGCGTCGTTGGTGAAGGCGGAGAGGTAGATTTCTGTTAGGGTTTTTGCGTCGGAGGGGATGGCCGGACGGAGTTGGTATTTCATGATGGGTTTTTAGTTTGAGAGATGGGAATGCGGGGGTTGATTTTAAAGTTTGGTAGTTTGTGAAGATTTGTTGATTTGGAGGGTAGGGGAGTAGGAATTGGTCTCGCATGTTAATTTCATAATGTTTTGGCATTCGAAGATCTACTGCTCTTTTATGCAATTACTATCTGCATACCAAAAAAGGGAAGCTTTTCGCTCTCGTCGTCGTCGGCGTGAGTCAGCTTCTATCTGCATGATGATTTGTCATCGCTAATCTTAGTTTCACCAGAGTAAGGTTACAGTACTGTAGATTATATTCTACAGCGTTTGTGAGAATTATCACCGCATCAATATGATGAATATTCACATCCAACATTATCATAAGTTTTACAATTCATGATTCAAATATGAAGCATTAAATATAGCTAACTCTGTGCGATCTACATCAACTTAAAAAAAGACTGCGGGGGCTCTATATACACAGCCGACCTGTCACTCGCCGGCTAATAATGTTAACATGGCCCACAAACGGTAAACTCGTCCGAAATAATATCGGAATTTCGCCTTCACATCCGGCTTATGTACCTGGGTATTTATTAGGCTTTTCGAAACTCATTTAATCGTTGGAGGAAAATTATGTTTAGGAAGCTTGAGACCACGTTTCCTTTCTTCAATCGTTGTTATCCACTCTTGACAGACGACCACTTTTTATTTCTGATGTTTCGTTCCAGCGAGTGTTTACTTCGAGTGATCAATTTTGTTTGTTTTTTACTAATTTTCTTTGTCGTGTAATCAGTAACCTTAGTCTTCCAAAAGAATCAAATTCAAGATGAAGATTCCTTTTGCACTTGCTATCCTATCTCCTCTCTTCTTTTCGACATCTGCAAAAACCGTGCTTGATGTCGAACCAATATACATCGGCGATGTATTCTATCCACCCTCCATGTATTTCCTAGCATGGACACCATCCACACCATCTGTATCCAAAGAAGTAACCCAATCATCAAAATCAACCTCGCCAGAATGGTGTCGCACCGCAATCGACATATCGGACCGCGCCAATTTCTCCATTGCGCACCCGCAATTCACACGTGGAAATCTCACCAATTTGAGATTTCACAATTATTTCTCTGAGGATGCATATATCGAGAGAAATGGAAAGAGATGGGGAGAATGTTACGTTACGCCTGAGAGTGGAGATGTAGGGGTATGTGGAAACGGAGATCGATGGCTTGGAAGGGGAAAAAGGACGTGGAGTTGCTGGCCCGTTATTGAGGATGTTCCGCATCATCATGTTATGGGACAGGAACAGCAAGAGCTGGATATTGGGAGTATGAGTTTGAGTGTTGGGAGTGGTTATACAGGAGCTATGGAACGTTCTACGCAGGCTCAAGAAACTGGGGGACCGTTGGGTAGTGAGGTTAAGGAGGCTTTTACGGCGGTTATGACGGGGTCGAACTATTAATTGAGAGATCTTTTTTTTTTTTTTCATTTTCTTGTACATGATTTTGCTTTTCCTTTGCCTTTCTATCTTCTTGAATTGATATCGGATTGCTGATATTAGACGTGGCATTTGGAGTGTATCTTTATGCTTCTCCCTGCCACAACGCTACTACTCTTCCTTTCAGCAGACAATTCACTTCTTCCGAATATTTCCCACACCAAGTACAGCAGCATCTTCGCCCTAAGTTTATACTAACCTTCTCCGTCCCGCTGACCCTGATATCCTTCGTCGCAAGCTATCCGAATATTCTCCGCAACTACACAGCCCAACTTCGTAGCATCCAATCCAGTCTCCCTCAATATCATCTCAGAAAACTATACTCTAAGGCTAGATTTCGCATCTTCAGAAATTAAATCATACGCATGTTGACATCACTCACATGCTCCCTCTCATCCTCATTCTCATATGCTCTAGCAAACACACCCCAGCATTTTCCCATCCAAACCGTATCAAACCTAATTCTCTAAATATGCGCCCTATAGCTAAGACGAGCCTCTTAAAGAAACCCTCGCATAAGCTTTTTGTATATTAATACCATGAGTTCACCAGTTCTCTCAACCCAATTCCAATATCGTCTGTAGCCCGCACACACAACTATGATCCTTTACATTCAAATCCGTTTCGTAATCTTACCATATCCAATTAATACGTGTATGCCACATTGATAGAGATTGAGCATCGGATTGGAAAGTGTTAGATTCATCATAGTTGGCTTGGTGATACGAGGGTATGACTCGCTTCTTGGCTTTGTGTCGTGCCGTGTAGCGATGATTATGATGCTGGTTTTATGGATGTTCGATTTGTGTAATGATGTTTGGTTTTGTATTGATGATATATATATATGTAGTTTAGCAGAGAACTTTGAAGATTCAAATTTCAACCCGGTTGTCATGATGTGATTCTATCGATGAAGGTACATTCAGGGCTAGGCTTTAGATGCCGTAGATACTGCAACGGAGTTTTGGATACTCATAGGGTGCTCTGAAAAGTCTAAAAATATCTATTGTTCCTGAAAACTGGGTGTCGCGAATGTTGGGATCGCTAACTACGTTTATTAGCTGACATATTAGGTGCCTTCAAACAGATGACAATGTAGTTGTGGCTACTGCATTCATAAGTGACTAGGTATTTTTTCAACTGACATACACTCAAATTCCGGAATTTGCACACTTCTTTGAATATATAACTCCCAGGAACCATTTGAAACGTGCAATGCCTCGTAACTCCGCATATTTGATTCCAAAATTACAGCCATCGGCGGTGACTAAAGAAAACCAAAAATCAGCGAGAACATTTTTGACAATGCTATCTTATGAAACATAGGACATTTCCCAACTGCTGCCATCAATTCCATTCTTACTTATTCTACACAAATACTCCGTTAGTATTTCAGCTCCTTTTATTTCAATAATTACTCCTAGAGTTTGTACTTTGAAGCCTTTCACAGCCAATGTAATCGATATCATAAGGAGTTTGAGTAGTAGTTTTCATGAGCTCTTTGACTGACTTAGATAGGCTTAGCTTGCCGACTCTTATATACTGCATATGTGCCTTTTACTCTTGATTTCAACCGACTGGGGAGACTCATAGTTGCTTGACGTCATCTTTGTTCCGCACTAAGCAATCAAGGACTCATCTATTCACTCAATTGATCTAAGCCTTTGTGACTATGATCTAGCCACGGGGCAATGCTATATAAGCTTCTCATACCCAAACCTCAATTCCTTCCTGAAAAAAGTATTTCAGGGCATAGCAGATGCAGACGAAGACGGGAGGGCATCGAGACCTTTATGCTCATTGGAAAAACATGGGTTGTATTTTATTACCATCCAGGATCTAGGTAAAATGAATTATTTATCTAGAGCTGGCGAGGAAAATTGACAACAAAAGGATACGACATGACAATGCGATACTGAATATGACAACAAAGGTGTATTTACCTGGGACAAAACTCAGACATAGATATATTCATTACTCTTAGATTTACAAATTTGGTCTTAACATCAAGAAACAGAAGATTCTTTGTGTCCTATCGGAGCAGCTCCGCTGTATTTGCTCTTACAAAGAGTCCATTAATGCTTGATATTATTCTGTCGATTCATGTATCTTCACCGCGTGTGTCTTTTATACCTCTCAAGTGCAATCCGCGATGCTTCTCGCATACTATATCAGGTAGCGAAATGGTTTTCAGAGCTGTTGACTATCTTCAACTTAACCTATTTCACAACTGCTGGATATCGATTTATTGCCCCTGTAGCTAGTATATTTTGTGGGAGACAGGAAAGTGTCCTTGTAGACAGTTGCACTTCGATACTCTGGACGGAGAAGAAATGGCAACGAAATTAGAGCGAATTGAAACTTCCACATGATCGATACTACCAGAATTCATCATCTGTTTTCTGTACTTTCCCAGCACTGATATTTTAAACGATGCTGATAATGCAGAGGAAAACATTCATATAAAACCATTATTCGACGAGATGAAAAGCGGACAACAACATAACCTCATAACTAATGACAGGAATCAGAAATCAATACTATTTTTCTAATCCACTGAAAACCCATACATCAATGAACAAAAATTTACTAATTGGCAGCCGATCCGTCGGAAGACTATGGACTCCTCGTCTCCGCAATTTAAATAAGCCCCCAGTTATGAGCAGCGCTGTGCCTAGTTGCGGTATGTATGGCAATGCAGGGATATAGATATACGAGAAGAAATTGGCATGGTTTATATACGACTGTCGGATCCAACTAGCGGGACCTTTTGGTAACTTGGTAAGTATTGGCCTTTACTCTCCAGTAACATCTATATTTGCAATATCTTACCAAAGGATTTTCGAAGCTTCTGACGCACACCACAGTATAACTTCCTCCGTCATCCAAAATCTATGCTCATAACATATTATTTTCTTCGAGCTAGTTTGCAAAAATCAGAGTACTATAAAAGAGAAGCCCGTTCCGGTATTCAACCGTACCAAACACTCAAAGCACAACTATTAAATCAGGCATGGAACGATGGAAGAGCTTTTTCCTCTGTTTTCTACATGTTTTGAACGTGAGACTTGAAACGGTTTCACCCCGTTCACAGCTGCCATATTCAGCAGCAAAAATAGAGGATAAGTGAAAAACAGCTCGCAGTTAAGACGGCAACCATTAACAGAAAAATGGTATTAAGAGCAAGAATTTACAATTTTGCGCCAACAATAACCATTAATGAAAATGACAATTTCAACAGTCGACAATAACTCCTGATTATCTCGAAGTTTCTGTGTAAATCGACCACTAATAGAATTCAAATATGAATCACCATTCTTTTTATGTATTGGTCGCGTTCCCCCAAGGCCTTCCACCCTACTCTGAAACAACTATCACTGATAGAATAAGTGTTTTTAGTGCAGTAAAAGTTTATCTCAGGGCTTTCTTACCTATGGCTGAAGCGACATGAGCTATTGGTTCCTGATATCACTTGCGGAAGCGACTATTATAACATTCAGGAGAATTTATCATTTGTGAGGTTTCTTCAAGCAAGCAACTCTCAAGTTCAGGAATTGGCTATCAAGATTCACATCATTCAACACCTCCCTTTTATCCTTCGATGTAGAGCGCTCGCTCCGTCACCCATGTCCCATCCATGTATTTATATTATCTTCCAATTGGTCCATCAAAGTACCACGTTGCACATCCCATTTTGATACCAGATAAGAATATTCAAATCATCGAAGAAACTCAGTAGATGTAGTTCAATGGTAGAGACACACTTCTTAGTGTGAGCGTGAGGTTGAAAAGGACTTATTGTTATAGCTAGAAGTTGTAGCGGAAGATTCTTCTTCACTTTGCATTCAGGTCACTCTACCAATAGCGTGGGAAAAGGAGGTTGATTTCTTTCTATTCCATTTTTGGAGCGAGTTCAGTATAGGATTTTGTGCTCCTTTTAGACATATTAAATTCTCCTTACTTTTTGCAAATTTACGCTCCGGATGTTATCTTTTCCTACAGAATACCTGGATACAGTTGTGTCTATCCAAAAATTAAAGTGTCTCCACTGATTTGAAGCGAGTGACCCCTCCATCAGTCATATCCACGAGCCTACTGTCTGTTTCATTAACTTAGAACCGTGGCTCAATCCCTTCAATGAAAATAAAGATGATCTTTTAAGGTATCTACTCCATCCTGCCGGTACTAAACTCGCTCAAAAATTCCACGTTTGATTTTCTTATGATCCATGCAAGCGACGAGTACGTCCACGTTAGTCCCCCTTTTTTTGGTCCCAATGAACAATGACATTTAATTTTCAAACTTCTCAAAATCACCGAAAACATTACGCCCCCTCGCTGAACCCAAACATCATCTCAGCAACAACCAACGAAAAGATAAAGATAAATTCGACAAACACCATCATGATTTCCTCCAACAGTACTCAAAATATACAACAATGAAGACAATCACACACATTTCTATCCACATATATACTTTCGAACTGCGAAGTTCACCAAGAGACTCCATCTACATCTACACTTTCATGGTTTTCTTAGTAAGGCTCTGTTTGATATTCACAAAAAGCTTGGATACGGGAGTTAATATATATTATATATCCCTACCCAAGTCCCAGGAGAGGAAATCCTGAATGTAAGTATCTCCTATTGATGAAGTTGAAGGTTTAGATTCACTTGAGATCTAATCATATGTTGTCCCCGTTCAGTGTTCGAAAATGAATCACCTTTTTACTCTAGAGTGATCAAGACTTTACAAGCTCTCACAATTCACCAGTTCCCGAAAGTTCCTAAGTCCCTACATCAATATCACAGCACTATGAGGTGGATCGCACTATAGCTAATCACCCCCAAGCAAATATTCTCTATATTATTCTTATTCTCATCCCCACTATATATCTCACAAACACCTCTTTATAAACACCACAATAGCCAAAGTTACTCAAGATATAATCTTCCAAAGAGGTGATGGTTCTCTGCAGGTCCGAGAGGTCCGGTTGGGGTATTTCTTGATATTCGAGCCATGATTGTGAATGATTGACACGAATCGAGTCCTAGATGATAGACTTTGGGGTTTAGAAGTTATAGTAAAAATAACAGATAAAGAAGAGATGATGATATTAATATTATAAATTCTCGGCAATAAGATTAATAAAATTATTAAAGGTGGATCAAGTGTATGATATTATTAGAGTTTAGAATGCTATGGTAGAACTGTATATAATACAGTAGATTGATGTACTAGTGTAATGGTAGTTGTGACCAAAAGGGTGTTTATAGACCAGCAATTGTATTTAACTTAGAATCTACAGGTGAAGAGCACCTGTAGATGGGGATAGCTACTCTATATATACACAAATGAATGACCTAGCCGCAATGGCTAGGCAAAAAGAAGTCATATTTATTCCTCCAATGGGTCTTACTTTACCGATAACCATTGATACCTAGTACTTGTGCGGATCTGATCCTCAGATCACCTAAATCGCATACTAATCTCGAGTAATCGTATCATGTGTGGACATGGTTAATGTACCTGAGGTTTCTTATATAATAAGGGTGGGAGGAAAGCAGGGATTTCCGTCACAGTAGTGGATATACACGTGCTTTCTAACAAATATATAAATAAAATAAATAATAATGATAGATATTATAAATATAAAAGATTTTTAAACAATATAAGAATCTGAAGAAGAATTAAATTAGAAACTCTTTATTCAAACAAAAATCTTAACATCAAGGTATCGAATAAAATATTGTTGTAGGTTGTTACGTGACGGTTGTTATCCCACTAGTGGCTCACGTGCACTAGCCCTGTATATGAAGACCTTCTTACTTAGAATCTTCTTAGTTCTTTAGTTTTAGATTCTAAGTGTTACGTGACGGTTGTTACCCACTAGTGGCTCACGTGCACTAGCCCTGTATATAAAGACCTTCTTACTTAGAATCTTCTTAGTTCTTTAGTTTTAGATTCTAAGTAATTGAATTGACTCCGTTTACGACTTTTCCGTCACATAGGTCTAGTACCTTACTTTCCGGTCACCCCTAATTCCGGCCACTTTTCTGTTACAACGGCTATCTTCTATGCCGCGTCACATGACTAAACCAAGGTAACGTGATTAAAGTCACGTTATGGACCGCTGAGGAACGCTGGCTGTCCAGGACCGCTGCGCGGTCCTGACTAGCCATAGGCATGAAGGTCTATATAATCAAGATGGATTTCCTTTATATAGAGCTTCGTGCTCAAGATCAATCATTTAGTATACTCTACTATTAGTTACGAATTGCATATCATTATTGTCATTACTTCAAGTCCCTGCTTGACGCCTAGTTATAAACCTACTTCGAGAGCCTAGAGCACTTCCACGTGATCTAGACGGCAAACCTCGTAACATTCTCATAGGTTCATTCATGGGAAAGTGAAATAGGAAATACAATCGCTACTTTACCACTCACCCTATATCCTTTCTCTTCTATCGTATTTTTCACTTAAACAAGAGTGAAAAAAAAGATACAGGATTTATATTCATAATCTCATTAAAAACCACAAACTCACTACCTTCCCCCTTCCCCTTCCCTTCTATAACGCACATCCCCCACGCACCAACTCAATCCTCCTCATCACCCAAAAACCTCCTCGGATCTAAACTACTAACATCCGCACTCTTCGCCTCACCCTCAAACAAAAATTCACTCATCAATTTCCCCGTCGCACAACTATTTTGAATACCCCAACAAGTATGACCGGCTGCTAGAAAAAGTCCTCGAATACCCGTTTTACCAATTAGAGGACCACCACCACTACGTGCTAAGGGGAGATAACATGCTTGTTTTGCTATGACTTCTCCATTGCGCATAGGATCGGATATGGATCCTATGTAATCTATGATATCGTTGCAACTTGATTCATCGCATACGACCAGATTTGAGGATCTAGGGAGTGGTATGCTTTCATCTCCTTCGCCTGTGCATGTATTAGTTAGTCTTTGGTAGGTACATAAATAGGAGAGGAAAACAAACCACAAGCGTAGACTGTTCCATCAGGTCTAGCATACATTTCGGGATTAACCATTTTATCATGTTTTCTCTTCTTTTCCCCATTTTCCCCCTTCCTTCCAAATCCTTTCGGTAAATCGATTTCTGTAAATACTGCCCAAGGAGATACATCTGCCTTGATTACCACACTATGAGCTCTTTGAGAAGTAATTGGTGCTTCTGGCCATACATGAGAAGTCCAAGGACCTGCAGATAATATGACATCATTCGCATGTAAGGTATGAATATGTCTTGTCTCCTTATCTTCATATGTAACACCCGTTACACTATTCCCCGTACAATCGATCGCTGTAACGGAACCATAAATAATTTCCACACCTTTTTCCACAGCTAATTCTGCCATTGATGTAGTAAATTGATATGGATGTACTTGAGCCGTTGTCTCGGGTGTCCCCATTTCGGAATACCATTTTATATTATCCTTTTCAAACCAATCCAAATGAATCGGAAACTCATCACCCAAATATTTCTTCTGCTTTTTCATATCAGTTTTTGGTAATTTCTTCCAAACCTCTCCAGCATTCTCCGAAGAATCCTTAGGATCAGCTTCAGGAATTAATCGAGCTTTAGCTCCTATAGAACCACAATGTAATTGACGATACCCCCATCGTTTCGCCCCATCATGTTCTTTTGCCAATTCGGCATGAAGTTTGTAGGAAAGCGGAACGATACATTCTGGACGTGCCCAGAGAGCAAGCAGGCCTCCTGCTTTTCCTGATGCTGCTGAGGCAATGTGTTGAGCTTCGATGATGGTGATTTTTGTGGTGGCGGGGTTATATGAGGGGTGTCGTGTGAGGAAGTAGGCAGATGTGCAACCGATGATTCCACCACCTGTATGTAGATTAAGGTTAATTGATAAATAAGTTGGTAGAGGATTTATGGTTTAGGGTTTGAGAAGTAAAATGTAATATTAGCTACGTACCGATAATTACTATATTTCTTTTGGACTCGGTTGATGAAGTTGCCATTGTTTTAATCCAGTGCTCGGAAGGCTTCTTAAGCATTGATTACTGGTAGTATGTACTCCGTAATCGTCTGGATTGTTACAAATAAAGTTTCAAGCTTTGATGCAGAATCAGAATGTCTTAGGATAAGGAGAGCTTATCTTATCTTAGCCTAGGTAGGGAAGTGCTTGTAACGGCTCATTAGTTACTCCGTATCCCGTCCCCAGATGTTCACCTCGTGCTTTTTGCCGCTTCACTATGATTTTCGGTAAATCCCGTTCCATCACTTCCATCACAATAATTTTAAGCCGAGGATGTTATACTTTTCTCCACTTTGGTAAATATCAAGAAATATCAAGAAATATACTTATTACTCTGTGCTCTGTATTACTCAATATTACTCTTTTACAACTCTATATTAATAACAACAAATTAAGGTTTATAATCCCCAACACCGAACGGCATCAAAATTACCAAAATAGATAAACATCCGAAAATCCCTTTGACAAAAAGAAACTCTGGTGACTCTCAAACTTCAACCCCTCAATCTCCAAACATTCCAGAACTCTTCAGCCCTCACTTCTTACAAATAATCCTTCAAAAAACGTCATTCGATCTTTTCATGATATGATACCCATACACAAACAATTAAGAATCTCAATTCATCCAATTCAATTTCTACATAAAAGCCTCTTCCCTTTGAAACTATTCAATCCTTCTTCTTCTGTTTCCTTATATCATAATAACTTCATCGCACGATCTTACTCGAGAAAATCATTTAATTCTTCCCTCTTTACAAATATTGGTTCATTACCAAAAATAAATCTAACTCTCACAAATCATTCTCCTAATTCCGTTCAACGACATATACGATATCTTACCATGGCCTCTGCTACTTCTATTTATGAGTTTGAACCTTTGAATAGTAAGTTCTTTTATTCACATTCATATTCATACATCTCCATCACATCCTGCATCTCCATCTATCTACCCCTCATGTTCGCATACCTACACAAACCATTCCCACAAATCAATCAACTATACTAATCAAACTCCACTTCAGAAAAAGGCGAACCAACTCCTCTCGCAGATTACAAAGGCAAAGTCCTTTTAATCGTCAACACAGCTTCCAAATGTGGTTTCACTCCTCAATACGAAGGGCTCGAGAAATTATACAAAGACATGAAGGAGAAACATGGAGATGATTTCGTAATCTTAGGATTTCCATGTAATCAATTTGGAGGACAAGATCCGGGAACCGATGAGGAAATTCAAAGTTTCTGTCAGATTAACTATGGAGTTTCTTTTCCTATCGTATGTTTCTCTTTCTCTTTTATTTCGCATACATGCTCTTCAGTCCCTTCCTTTCCTGTCTTCCCCCATTAATAATAAGATCTTATATAGAACAATACGCTAACCCCTCTCTTTCTCACCTCATAGATGAAAAAAGTCGACGTAAACGGCGACAATGCAGCTCCACTCTTCAAATGGCTCAAGGAGGAAAAACCAGGTCTTCTCGGTCTTCAACGCGTAAAGTGGAATTTCGAAAAGTGGTTGGTGGGTAGAGATGGAAAGGTTAAGCAGAGATGGGCTAGTACTACTAAACCGGAATCTTTGGAGAAACCTATTTTGGAGGCTTTGAATGAGACGAAGTCGGAACTTTGAGGGGTGCGTTTAAAGGTTGGTTGTGGGTGTGATGTTGTATGATGGGAGGGAGGAGATGGGAGGTAGGATGTGGGAGGTCTTTTGGATTTTTGAAATGGCTAGGTTATTGATGATTGAGCGGTTTGATGGCTGGTATGATGGTGGGATGTTAATTGATGGATGAATGTGCAATTTTAATGAGGGTTGATACCATAAAATAAAAGAGCCTTTCCACTCGATCTAGGTATATCTATCTGGTCATGAAATTCTGAGTATATTTAGAAATTAATTTCTACTCTACAACAAGTCAGTCAAAGCGCACCCTTTCTTCCCCCAAACTATCTACTAAGTAAGTAACCTCTAGTAGGTATAAAAAACCCTCTCCTCCCTTTCTCCCTTTTCCTTCATCCTTTTTTTCCTCCTCTTACCTTTCTCGTCAGCATGGGGTTATCACAAACATCACAAACGCACTCACAATTCACTATCCACTATCCACTATCCACCATCTAGAAAAATACATACATACACACATAAAAGATATAACTAATAATACCTATCCAGCTCAAATACATCCCTAAATATAAATTAATCTAGATATCTTGTCCTCTATTCGTTTTTATCGAAGTATTAATATTATTATAACTTACTCCTTTATTACCTTGGAATATTCATCGTATTTATACTAAGTTTAGGACTTTCCATGGTTTCTCACTTGAAGGATATAATTGGCGTTGATTAATGATCTGTGAATGGATAGAAATTTAATTGGGAGGGGGATGAATGTTGCGTTGGGGTAGATGAGGGGGGATGTGATATTTAGAAGTATTTTTATTATGTATAGCTGGTCTATCTCTTTTTCTGCATTTTACTTTCCATAAACTAGGGTTGGACGCTTTATGTAAAGTATGGTATTGTTAACGTGGTTTATCAGTATGTGCACCATATCAGCATATGCACCACTTTTACCTCAATTATTATCTTTCAATTAAAATAAAATTACAACAACATTATAAAATAGAATTAAATTATATACAATCTAAGGATCAATTAATGCTGGATCTAATTGACAAGTTCGTACATTATGTGAAGTACTACCGCATTTGCTATATCGTCGTATAGTAGCTTGCCTTCTTGTTGAAGAATTATCATTTGTATATTCGTCATATCGTATCTGATCATCTATATTCTCTTGCTCTAATATATCATATCCATTCCCTACTGAAAGTGCTCCTCCTTTTTGTATTAAAGCTTTTTTAACTCTTCAATATTTACTAAATGCTTCATTTGCTTTACAGAGATTATGAATCTCAACAGTTAAAAGCGTATTTGTATAAGCTAGGAGTTCTGTACCCTTAACTAAAGCTACAACTATTTCAAATATTGGAGTAGGTGAGTTCCCTTGATATTGAGCAATACGACTTTTCACTAAAGTAGATTGAGAGAAAGCTTCAATTGGATTGTGAGGTGTTTGAGATTGCTATATATCAGGATCAGCTGATATTGATCTATTTGATGGAGTTCTTATTCGAATATCTAGCTTTGAAAGTACAATTTCCGGATTAAATGGGATTAGCCCAGCTCTGCGGAACCCAGCTTTATCATTTGATATAGATATTGCTTTGATATATATAGCTTTGAAGGCTTGAAAGAACTTGGTTTTGGTAATATAAGTGATATACTGTTGACCTCCTGGGATCTTGGCAGCATGTGCATATATATTGCATGATGCATATAAGGAGCAAACAAAACTCAACTTTTAATTCATTCTTTCCTTTTCGGTATACTGTTTGTTTGCTTTCAATATTTTGATTTCAAAGCACTTTAATTCCGAAGGCTGAAGACCTAACCTTATTCCTTCATTTTTTGAATATATACTCTCAGCTTAACTGCTTAGCTAGAGAATCAATCAATTCAATCTGATGCTCTTTCTGGTCTCAAGAAACCCAATACGTTTACATCATCATTTTAAACCCCAGTTGGAGATAATTAACTCAGATCATCCTGACTACCAACAAGGCATCATGGATACCAATGACTTTTCTGAGGAGAAGGAGTTACACGAAGGAGTATACGGTGCTTCCCATCAGGAGAAGACGCCCAAAGCGAAATTAAGATCTTACAAAGTGCACCGGTCTCAGACCTATCAATCTACTACTCAACTTTTCCTCTCGGCTTCTTTGACCTTGCACTCGAGATTCGACACCTGATCTACAAGGAATTATTTAGCTTTGCGATGCCTATCTCACTTAAAACTGGCTTTTGGGATCTTGAACCACGCTAGGCATCAAGAAGAATTACGGTCTTTCTCCAGCATTTCTACGAGTCAACCAACAAGTCCACTTCGAAGCTAGATCATACCTATACTCCAACAATCAATTTGACATTTCTAGCATCAATCACACATATCAAATACCCACTAACGATACAGCTCTTACCTACTTTTTGAGAAAGATTGGTAATGACAATATAAGCCTTCTTCGCCACATTCAGATCGATTTTCCCACCCCTTACTGTGGAACTTATAAAATCCCACTAGGAATCTGGAAGGCGATGGAAGAGTTTGTAGGAACTGTGAAGCAGATTAAAGATAAATGCACACAGATCAAGAGAGCGACGATGCAGCACAGGAATAGACGAATTAATACATTTCTTGAAGAATCGAAAGTAACTGACTGGATAAGTGAGCAACTACACTCTATTCCGTCCCTAGAAGTTATCATTGTTGAAGCTGAAATGCCCGGAGGAAATGAAATATGGGATTAAAAAGCGAGGATGCGTGGTTTGGATGGGAAGTTCAAGTCATTCCTGAGGATTATTTCTTTACATATGATTGGTCATCTCATCCTGCCGATTGGTAGCAATTCTCTTAGAATGATATAATTATTCTGTTCATAATCAAGATATCGCATATTCTATAGCAAAGTTATAAAGAACTCATCTGCCTACTGCGTCTTACAATCACTGCTAACGTACAGCTTGCAGCGTCAGCAGTAACTCAACTTGAGATTTTACATTTTATATTGCCCAAACTTAAAACAACGATGCAAAGCTTCAAATTCAAAGGTACAGATTTGGAGACAACAACAATCCTCTAGCTTCTACAAAAGGAAAAAAATTGACGGCGAGAACTCTCCTGGCCCAATCCACTAGGTCTACGCACACTTTGAAACTAAACCGCGAATTACCTTTTCAAATAGAAAGGGCCAGCTGGCATTCCATAAAAATTTTCCCATACAAATCTCCTGCTTTTCATATTCAGGAAAGAATCAAATTCTAGGTACTTCTCCACATTCGTTGGTAAAGGTTTATTGAAGAGATCCATAACACCTTGATGATCAGGCTGCATTGGGGTTGTTGGTATGAAAAAAAGAGGGAATTTTGTTTTCGAAGCAGAGCCAGTGATAGTGAGAGAGATGAATTGACGAGGGATGAGGAAGGGAGCCACGTCGCTAAGATGAGATAGCTATATGAAATGTAAAGTTTTCTGATAACAGCAAAGATGTAAGGTGAAAGAGACATAACGCAGGAATAGCAAATATCAGGAATCAGGCAATAACACCAACGCAAAAATGTAATTTGATGAAGATCAAAAACTCCTGAATTCTCATCTAAAGTCCATCCCATCATATATATAGTGATGACCGGATATGTCTTATGCAAACGATATTTACTGGTGAGTATTAAATCTCGCCAATTGCCCAAACAATGAACATGCATACATCAACCACCCTCATTTACAAAATGCTACGACCACAACCTCCATTAACATTCATCTATAAACTGAACTCGACCTTCATGACCTCGTCAATACCGTCCTTGATCGCACTAGTCTTAATCTCATCCAACCTCTTCAAAGGTGATCTTGGGTATCCACCATAACCATAGTAGCTCTGGATCGCACTCTTAGTGCCCGCAATGGCGGCCTTGGTAAGAACCCAATCGCCCTTACTCAAAACCTTTTGTAACTCAAATGCCTCATCTCTCTTGCCCTCTCTGTACAATTCCCAAACTTTGACACAGACCTTTGGCATGACATTTGCACCACCAGCAATGATACCGGAACCACCGGAGACCAAAGTTTGAGCGGTGAAATCACACATGCCTCCAAAAGCCATGTAGCCAGATCCCTCTGAGAAGGCAGTCTTGGCATTGGTAGCTAATGCAACACGTGTGAGTTTTCCGGTGTTACCGCAGGTGAATTTGGTACCAATGATGTTTCGGTGTTTGGCGAGACGGATCAGGAGATCGGAATCCATATCAATACCGGCAACTGCGCCTGGGTAATTGTATAGGATAATTGGTAAAGGAGATTCATCAGCTACTTGAATGAAATAGTTGTAGACAGATTCTTCATCCATAAGACCACGGAAATACGAAGGAGGTAACAGGAGAACGTATTCTCCACCTGCTTCTTGTGATTCTTTGATGAGGGAGATGGTGCCGCGAACGGACCCTTCTGTAGCTCCGACGATAATTGGGACTTGGTCGAAGCCAGCAGAATCGAGAGCTTCACGGGTTGCACGTGTAACGGCTTGCTTTTCGGCGCGGGAGAGATGGACAGCTTCACCATTGGATCCCATGGTTACTAAACCAACGAGACCAGCTTCGGCGAGACGGATGGCGTGTTTTTTGATGGAAGGAATGTCGAGATCTTCCGTCTCGGGATCGAAGAATGTCATAGTTGGAGCGTAGATACCATCCTTGAGAGGTCGAAGGGTTGCATGACCATTGCTACCGTTGGTTGCCATAGTTGTGATTTTTAGTGGGTGAAGATGTGTAGGAAGTGGGAGTTTGGTGTAGAACACAAAAAATTGTGAATTTAGATGTAGAAGAAAAGATGTGTAGTTTTAAAAGGGTATATGTAAAGTAGTATGAGAAGAAAAAAGAAGAAGGAAAGGAATATAGAAGTAGGAAAGACTATCTTATGTATATGCTAGCTCTAAAAAGTGATGAGAGATCCCCCCTGAATGACTTAACAGAAATGTATACTAAATTTGTCCGAGGGCGGATGACCTATCTTTTTTCAATGGCATTAAAAATAAGATTCATTTATTTTCCATCAACACGCCGAACCTAGGAAGTCAAATTGTCAATGGTCTTCGAGACTGGAATGTTGTACAGGGTTTCCCTTGTAGTTTGTCAAATGATGAGCTAAGTTTGTGGGTGTAGTGGGGTGGAAGGTTTTGAGCTTCCCCGTATAAGATTTCTTCCGATTTGTATTTGCATGTTAACCATGCATTGATAGCAAGAAGTGGCAAGAGGATTGAGGAAAAGCGGGTTGGGGTAGAACCGATCAGACGACTAGAAAAGTTCTTACTTCAGGATGCAGAACTGGTCGTCTTTCGAGTTGCTATGGATGTGTTCTTTGTACATAACCTTATCATTCCTGTTGATCGTTTACTCGTTTCTCGGGCGATGAAATATACTATACATCTCATGACTAAGAGCATACTATCATAGAGTTATGCATGTTAATATGATTTGTAAATTAATATGTGTAATACCTTCTCGCCAGCAGAAGTCCCTCATTCAACGGTGGTGATTGAGCATCTGTTTGGTGCTCGTCGACTAACAACGTCAAACCACGATTTTGAATGTCGTCAAGTCCGGAAACTATTCTTCCACCAATGAAGTTCCTGATGATGCCAAGGGCGTGGGGTAGAGACATTTCCAAATGAAATTAGTTCAAGCTACTAAAACGGATGCGGGGCAAATTTGGGGGTGGAAGAAGAAGTTTCAAGGTAAAAGACTGGGGAAAATAGCATCATGATCAAAAAGTATTGTGGGTTCTGACAAAATGATATATGATCTAGATGCTGAGCCTCAAGTATGTAAACCGTCTAATAAGAGAACAGATGTTGACAACGTCACGAAGGAGGTTGGGGGGACAAGATGCTGTACTTTATGAAATCGAGATTGTGAGATAACGGCCTGAATGAATGAACGATTGGGAAAGATTCTAGTAATAGGTCTTACTGCATCCTTTACTTGAGGGAGTCAAAAAGGTCGAATGTGTTCCCCGTGTTGTATTGTACCATAATGCAGAAGTTCTTAATTAAAATAATATCAAAAACATACAAAAATAGTTACTCTTCAAAAGCCATTAATTTTCCTTCTATGAGCAATGCCTTCAAGGTTCGTTCCAGATATCCGGACCAACCCCTTCATCCCGCAATTTTTCTCGCTTTTTAGCCCCGGATAATTAAACAGCGAGAGGCACCGATTGCAACCCCTCAAATTCTCCGCCAAAACTCGTGATCCAACAATTTAATCCTGTATGTGGTTGACCAAAATCATGGTCAAAGCAACTGTAGCACTACCTCCATTATGAAATTGAGAGTACCCCCCACTATCTTGATCATTCCTACTACTTACATCTCAATTGACTTTGGGTAATTCTTCATTTGCTCTTCACCTTAGTCTATTTCCCAACTTCAGTCCAAACAAACGAAAAATATCACACAATCATCATGGCTTCAGAATTGAAACCCCTCAATGTTCTCATGGTGGGAACTGGTGAATATACCACCGGTTTCGTAGGGGGTGGAGCTTCGGGGTCAGATAAGAAAGTTGGAGTTGTAGGACTCTCATTATTTGATCTGCGAAGACGTGGAAAGGTTGATAAGTTGTCCATGGTTGGCACATCTGGAGGAAAATTCCCAGCTATCCGTTTGTCCCCCATTTTAACCTCCATTGAATTGTGTAGCATCTGCCATGTATCACCAACTGACAAGCTTCACCAGGTGAACATCTCAAGAAAAACATCTCCCAAGTTTACAACAGTCTCGACACATCTTTCGATTCCTTCCCTGCAAATGACAAAACCGACCCCTCAGCATACAAAACCGCCATTGATGCCCTTTCACCGGGTGATGCCATTACAATCTTTACTCCCGACACAACCCATTACCCCATCGCTCTTTATGCCATTGAACGTAAAATCCACGTTCTAATAACAAAGCCCGCAGTCAAGATCCTTTCCCAACATCTGGAACTTCTCGAAGCTGCTAAGAAGAATGGTGTCTATGTTTATATTGAGCATCACAAAAGATTCGACCCCGCTTACTCCGATGCTAGATACAAGAGTTTAGGAATGGGTGATTTTAATTACTTTTACAGTTATATGAGTCAACCTAAATCACAATTGGAGACATTCAAGGCATGGGCTGGTGTGGATTCAGATATCAGCTATTATCTCAATTCGCATCATATTGATATTTGCGAGTCGATGGTTTCACAGCAGGGATTCTTACCAGTGAAGGTCTCAGCGAGTGCTAGTAAGGGAACGGCTGTAGGACTAGGTTGTGATCCAATCACCGAAGATACTATATCTTTACTTGTACACTGGGTCAAGAAGGATGATCCAAGCAAGAGAGCTACCGGTGTGTACACAGCATCTTGGACTGCTCCACAAAAGGCAGGTGTTCACTCAAATCAATATTTCCACTACATGGCTAGTGGAGGAGAAATCCGTGTTGATCAAGCTAAGAGAGGATACGATGTCGCTGATGACAAGGTTGGTCAATTAATGTGGTATAACCCATTTTACATGCGTTACGCACCAGATGAGGAGGGCAACTTTGCCGGACAGACCGGTTATGGATATGTCAGTTTCGAAAAGTTTGTCGATGGATGCAGGCTAGTTAATAAGGATGGTGTTCCCGCCCTCAAGGTCTTAGATGATAGAGGATTACCCACTTTGGCAAATACTGTAGGAACAACCGCTATTTTGGAAGCTGGAAGAAGAGCATTAGATGAGAACAGGGAGGTAGAAATCAAGGTTGAAGATGGAGTTTGGTCCCTAGTTTAAGGGAAATATTGAGAGATGATTAATACCTAGGTGTCTAATTGAATTCACTGCAAGGTGCAGCTGCAAATTAATTCTTTGCTTCTACTTAATCTTCAACAATTAGGAAAAAATTGTCAATCCTTATTCTTGCTATCGCCTTCTGACCCACAGTGACAATTTGCCCTGCCCTTCTTCCATTATTATTCTAGGTGTTACCTTTAAATACATTTCCAACAAATTGTCTGCAAAGCTCCAAAAAGGTTAGCTAGTAGCATTCAAGCATGATAGAGGAGTACCAACTACCAAAGCAACGCTGTATCGCTTGGAGACGGCTGATTTTCCTGCACCATTCAGGTTGATGGTATTTCAGTCATCAACACTCGTGGCTGCAGTGTACAACTTGTTTTGTTTTGATATGTTAGGTGAGAACAAGAGGTGTTCTATGTCAATGCGAGATTAGGATTGAAATTGGAGATTGAGGGTGAGGGTGAGATCCATGGCTCGGAAATATCAAGTGAGATCTTCGCGTTTTGAAGGTGGATTTGCAAATTTTGGAGTTGAATTTCTCTTCTTTGAGACAAGGTGAGGATGTATTGGGCGTTTCTTTTGCCTGATTTTTTGTTATGGTCCAGGAGAAGGAGCAGGGGTGGGAGAGGTGGGAGGTGTATGCTTCGATATCGTCTTTTGTACTACGTGTGGTGGTTGGATTTTTGTGTTAGTCAATTGGGATGTGAGGATATTTGTTAGTATTTCCAAGACTACCACGCTACTATGCTGGCTGTTGTGAAAATGAATAAAAGCCTTAATGGCGGAAATGAATCACCTGGTGGCAGCACGTAGCCAGTCTTTCGACCTTTATATTATGACCGGGCAGAATGTAATTTTGGTCGTTTACATGACGCTACGTAGTTCGAGGCAACATTATAATTTATTTTTTTGTTGGTTGGGTTTTAGGCTCGATGTTTGTCGAGTTTGTACTTAGATGGAATTTCATTACATCCTTGCTCTCCTTTTTCAATAGGACTTAGCTAGCACCCTGGTTTATATCACAACCACCACGACTCGTGGACTCGAACATGGATACTCCACGCAAGGCATTTCGAAGACATCACGACATCAATTTTCTCGTGAGATATTTTTGTTTAGCATTCCAGAATCAAATCGAGATTCCACACCTAAAGCCTACATTGTCTAGTCTACATCGCCTCGCAGTAGTCGGCCGAGCTGAAACTCCAGTGGAGAACTCCATGCAACGACTAAAAGCCATGATAACTCCTCCATTCCCTCATACAACCAGCCGTTGTATATTTCCTGTGGTCAAGATCATTTTAGAATACATATTCAACATCATCTTCATCGTCATCCTCCAAATCATCCACCTCGAGATCATCCACATTCACATCCAAGTCATCTCCATCATCACTACTGAAGTCAGTATGTCATCAAATAATCTATTTCCAGAGTCTTACCGCTTAGTTTTCTTGATGTGACTGTTAACAAGCTGTTGCTGCTCATTGTTTGCCGCGGTAGCGAGGTCCTTATTCTCGACCTTTTCGACACACTTGACCACAAGAATCTTGGTGCGTTTGTTGACCGAGGCTGTGTATTTGCCATGGGACCATGTTTTCATGCCGTCTTCAACGACTTGAACTTGATCATCGGGAATTGTTCCGCCGGCTTTTTGTTCAAGAAGCCCATCTTTTTTGATTCCACCGGTCTTGTTGTAACATGTGTATGTAATCTTCCCGGCTTGAACGTTGGCTACCAGGAGGAGGAATGCCAATGATAATGTTTTGAATGCGTACATTTTGAAGAAAAGTTAGGTTCTGTTTATAGATCAGCCAGATGTTTGGAGGTTTGAACGTTGGGTCACAAACGGTAAGGACAGTGATTGTAAGTTGACTTGTGAGAAGGTATAGAAGATTTGTTTGAAGTGAATGTGTATTGTGAATGGTCTTTCATATTCACACTGGGATTTACAATGCTTTTTATACTCCTTCATCGGGCTTGCTAATGCTTCATGAAGGATGATGTCCATTTCATCCAAGACCTCACGAGACCTGATGATTGGAAATGAACAAGCATGACAATTTGACACAAACCAAAGGAGGAATTAACGCATTGAAGGATTACAGCAGCAGGAAGGTAAATTTGGACATCTTACTCATCCGTACAATTTATTCATGACACCATTAAACCTACATTCTATACTCAGCAATCCGTTCCCACGTCAAAGAAATGAAATCTGACGGTACCGAAGCAGACTTCCATAAATTACCACGTCCTACGATTTGACAATCCTTAATCCTTATAATTCTGTCGCCCCACAATTTCTATATTTATACACTAGGATAACTTTATTCGAATCTGGGTTCTCGCTTTACTGATCTGATGTAATATTTGAATCCTTCACAACGACATCACCACGTGGAATCTTACTAATTTAATGAAAAAATCATGCGTCTTTTGATATTAGATAGCATCCAGTCTTCGAAAGGAGAATTCCTTTTCTGGATTCGCAGCATCTTTTGACAAAAAGCCATGTTACAGATGAGGTTGTAGGAATGACGGCTGTGGCTGTGTGTCAGCTTGGTGTATTTGATTTGAAACACACTCAACTTTTAGTATTCTTACGCTTGTCAGGTATGGAGTGCACGTTATTAGATATTAATGAGAGGGTACAGAATACCAGTCATTGATAATTTGTTGTAGGAAAATCAATGGCTACAGCAGCAGCAGCCATTCTCTTTAAATTTCCTCTATTTACAAACTTTGTTCCAGATTAATTATGCCATCAAGTATAGTATGGTGCATTGCGTGGGATTGTCGAGAGGGCTCACTGCCGGTACAAAAAGTGTCCTCGGTTGCTGGCTCAGATCTACTCGAAACTATGAATATTCCTTTTGGCATTAGAACTAGGAGTCTCACAGTCTGTAGTTTCTATGTCTGTTCCTTGTGATGTACATGGAGCCATTGTATTATTATGTTGGATCACGATAACTGAATGATGAAAAAAATGCTATGAGCTTTGCAACAAGGAGTGGTGCAATAGTTCAGGAATTTAGCATCTCCTCTGGTCGATTGTATCTGAAGCCGAAAGGCACGTCATTTACTTTGAAAGTAAATTATCGTCAGTGGCATTGAATTGCGTAAAACAACGTTAGCTTTTTGGTAACAACATGCTTCGAGTCAAATTTCAGTTGGTGACCTCAAGTTCTAAGGGCCCGATGGTGATGCAATGATAATTAGATTTTACATTAACAAAATCAACGACTTGAAGAATCTTTGGATCCCGAACTATCAAGAATCACAAGTTTCGCTCTCCACGTCGCTACTCGAATCATTGAGCGAAGAACATCGTACACTATGAGATGATAAAAATTTACTGAAGGACAAGTCAAATGCGTATTTGACCATTATTGCCTAGACTAGATCAACATGTGCAAGGCCGAGAAGTCAAGGATATTGCTAGACGTCACTAGGGAGTGTTGTCATTGCCGAATTTTTAGCAGGAATATTCAATAAACATTTGCCCAAACTCATAGACTCTTAATAAAACACGTTCGCTAGAGAGACTCGGCAAACACGGGAAGGTTTAAAGCCTTATTATAGGGAAGTGAGTGACCGGGACCAACTTCAAAATTTTGCTCCGAGTATACAGCTCAAGGAGCTAGAGGGGATGACTTTACAACTCGGTGACTTGAGGTTGATAGAAAAATTAGAATAATCATATGAAGCCTATCCATCACTCTAATACAACTCCCAATTCAAAAGAAAAATGTTCGGAGACAATTAGATGCTTCCAATCGATACAGTATACATAAATCAAGAAGAATGTTTTGAGCAAAGGGAAAAGAAGATGGCCGGCGTGTCTGGGATATATCAGAGAGTTTGGAAAGTCGTCGTTTAGCTTCATGCTATGGAAACACCCATTTAGACTAGATTGCAAACTCTGTGGTTCATAAGTACACAGATCTTCGGCCAGCAAATTTTGTATATCGAACTAGCCTATCAGTCTTCAGACTTGAATTTTTTCAGGAATAACTTCCATGGTGCTTGGGAAGTGACTCCTTACTACAGAGATCGGCCGTTTTGATGGTTCCTGATTCAAAATAACAGAAGTATACAATCTTAGATCACAAGGAAGATGTAAGAAAAGTTGACCTGACCTTTGAACTGGTTTGTTTGTTCCAAGTCAGTCACAGAAACTTTCAGCATGAACACCAGTTACTCGGAGAAGCCTAGGCTTGGGGTGAGATGGATTAGAGCTATTGGAGTCGATGAAGGAAGAGAACTTGACGTTTCAGCCTATTACTTCTAATAGGAGCTCATTCTGTGTTGGCTGGAAAGTATGTAATTCTATGAGGTATATTTCATAACACCAACATTATAATCAGAGAGGACGTTATCGTAGATTCTCACATACAAATACCAGGTTGGCAAATTGAACAAGTTTGGAGCTACATGGTCGCAGCGCAGAGTAATTATTAAGGGATCAGAACCAAATCTGAAGGTGGTGAAATGTCATGAGTAAATTAATCATTCGCAAGCTCTTGCTTTGGAATAATTGTGGCAATAGTGCTAAAACTGTGTCGTCGATGAAAACCGAAAATATCTCAATCTATAAACATGGTTGTCTGACATAGAAGAGATCAAAGAACACTGAAGACACATTCAATCCAAGAAAAGCGATTCATTATGTGCTTATTATCTACGTACTGCAAAACAAAACTTCAAAGCGGGGTATTAATATAGCCATCACAAGAGGTATCATTTCGTATGCCAACAGCAATCTCCATCCAATAACAAAAAAAGGGAAAAACCGACAAATCAAACTCATTTCTTCTCCAAACTCTTCTTCTCCTTCTTGCTTCTTGGTGCGCAAGAAGTGAGAATGGTAGTCAACCAAGACTTGTAAGTGAATCGTTTGCGAAGGGTAGTGGATGAAGAAGATGATGATCGAGAGGCACCAGGAAGGACTTTCTCGATGATTCTATGAAGGGAGAAGAATGATGTTAGTCACGAATCCATGAAAACTTTGAGTTTGAAAACCAATATGAGGTAGGATCATCTGTTATTTCTATATTTCTTTCTGTTTTACAATCATTTTGTTTCCATGTCCAATCATCCACCCAAGCCTCTGTCATCAGTAAGAAAAGGCAAAGCGCTCCACTTACTGCGCCAAAAGAACAGCCCTATAGTAAACTTGTCCTTTGTCCAACTTATCCATTGCCTCTGCGATACCTGACTCTGTCATGGGGAATGTCTGAACAATTGGTTTAATATCATGGAATGCGGCAAACTCCAACATTTGCTTATGTGCACTTCTGTTTGCAACAAGGTTTCCTTGAATATTGACACCCGCGGTAAGGAAGGGCATATATGGGATCTCGAGGTTCTGGAACGAGACTGTGAGGGGGAAGATGGTGGAGCGGGGTGCCATTATTGGGAGGATAAGATCCCAGTTTGGTTGAGCGGCAGTGGTAACGAGGAGACGGTTGATGAGTTTAGAGACTTTGAGCTCCTTAGCATCTTTGGTGGCGATGAATTCGTGTGCACCTAGCTTGGTGGCTTCATCCTTCTTTTTATCGGAACTGCTCAATACGACAACTCTGCAACCCATCTTGGCAGCAAATTGAATAGCCAAATGTCCTAATCCACCAACTCCCATGACAGCAACAACATCTGTGCTCTTGATGCCTTGGAGGGCAGAAAATGTGGTAGCACCTCCACATTGCAGAGGGGCGGCATATTCATCTGGAATGGAAGCGGGTGTAGGGAAGAGGAAGGCCTCACGCCAGATGGCATGGGAAGCAAAAGATCCCTGATCAAGATTGGCATAACCGTAGAGAGCACGTTCGGGACAGAAAACTTCGTTTCCAGTAAGACATTCGTGGCAGTGACCACAGGAATCGTGTTCGTAACCCCAGCCGACACGGTCACCTTTCTTGAGATGCTTTGCATCAGGGCCGACGGCTTCAACGATACCAACACCTTCGTGACCGAGAACCATGTCGGCACCTTTCTGTATGGGGGTTAGCTAAAATTAGGAGGTGAAGGAGCGATAGAGTAAGAACTAACGTAGTGGAGATCAGTTCCGCAGACACCGGAAGCAGTAATCTTTACTAGGACACTATCACCCTTAAGCTCTTCAGGCCTAGTGGTGGTGCTTTTGATGGGGGTACCATCAGCTCTGCCCTTGAAAACTGTGAAGGTAGGCATGTTGAGTGTGCTATGGAGAGAAGTAGATGATGGAGGAGTAAATTTGGAGAGATGCAATTTCTGGTAAATTTATTGAAGAATTTGGAGCTCTTAAGAATCAGAGAAGAGAGTAGAAGAGGAAGTTGGTTTGATGTCGAGAAAAATGTAATTCCCATGGCTTTCAAGCCTCATTATATAATCGCTGAACTCAGGGCCGGCCCTCCATGTTCTAGGTCCAGGCACCATCCGGGCCATCACCCTGTGATTGAAACACACATCGGTAACCCAACTGTACAACACATGTATTCACGGGGTTTTTCGCAAGTACACTTCCGGATCTGAGTCACCCACGACTTAGTTGATCCCGAAGGGGAATATGGAAGACAAGTTATGGGTCTTCTACCAACATACTGTATGATCTCAAAGAGATTCGGACTCTTGGCAATCCACTGAAAATTGGTCGGACGAATGTAAGACCGAATACCATTCCTACAAATTTTCCAACTATTCTATGGATATTCGGATTTTTTGATATTTGCTGAGGGTATTACTGGGATGAAAAGCTTTCTAAACGGGCTGATATTCGTCCAGCCGATTTCCAAGCGAATGTCAAAAGCCCGAATCTCTTGAGATTAGTATATCATGAGATTACTATCCAATATATTCCAAGGTGTGTAGAGGGACCCATCTTCTTCAAGCCATACAATTAACCCCGAAGCACGATTTACTAGGGTCTAATCTCCGGACTCCCCTTTAGGACCCCTCCATGTAAGCAAATGTTGGTGACCAAGTGTTCGTTGATAAGACAGATCGCCAGATAATTGGTAGCAATCCCTGATTTTCTGCATAATGTGGGTTCGGTAAGTGGGTGTAAAGCTGGAGTACCGGAGTTTTAGCGTGCGAGTGAAGGAAATACTACCCCGCGATTCTCTGTGTCGCATTGTAAACCAATGGGATTACAAATTTGGACGGTGAAGGTTTTTTCTGTATGCAGGGTAATTAAATGCTGTCGGCTTGATGCCAACGGACGGTAAATGCTAATGTGCGAATAGCTATACTTGGAAGCGCTACGAACGTGAGATCTCCTCATGATTGGTTTTCATTACATTTCTATGGCTGAAATGGTAGTATGGTGAATTCTTAGTCAACTTGGCAATTATGTGTTACGATGAACGATTAGATGAATATTCTAGTGGCTAGATCATTATATCAATACGAACAATTATTGCTTATACAAGAGTAAGTACCGAAGGATAATCTCGGTATTGTGCCACTACTCCACAGTATTGTTTCCGAATACAGCCCCCTACATGCGTTTACCATGATGTGCATGCTGCCATACCATTGCCCACCCGAAATTGAGTTTGGGAAAAGTTTAGTAATAGAATGGAAAGAATCCTAAAGAAAACAACGCCTTAAAGTGATGCCCCCCCATTTATCATCATGATCATCATCATTATTCAGGAAATATCGTCCCCATATTCGCCCATAACATCTCAAAGTCTGTATATGAATCTGCTGGGAATGTCATATCTATAGATTGAGCCAATATATCTTGCAGTTCTGCATTTGTCTCGTTGTCAAAAGTCAACGAATCTACACCTTGCATGCCAGTGAAGCTATCGTCGAGAAGACTTTCATAGCCAGAGTCTCCTGCACTGATGACAGACTGTGTTTCTTCGGGTTTGATAATCGCTTTTGACTGTTGCACCATCATCTGTTTCTCATATGTTTGCGCAAGACGAATATCGACTTTAGCACTGAGTTCAGTCATGACGTTAGCAGCGCTCGCGGCTTGGGCAAAATTATTCCCGAAGTTGTCAAAGACAGCAATAGCGAGGTCGAGAGCACCTCGTGCTGCTCGGGTTTGTGTGCCGTGTGGATATGCGAAGATATAACCGACGAGTGTCATTGCGCAATTCCATTGCCATTGGAAGGATTCTTGCCAACCTGCTAGGATCGACGTCGACAAGATGACATGGTGCATTATGTGCGTCAACTGCATGGCGTGGCCCACACATTTGAGAGCGATTTGTTCTGAGAGGGGGGTAGGTGTGCCTGATGGGCTGAAGATGATAAATGGTCGGCACAGGTTAGTGCTCAAGTTGTGATACATGAGTTCGAGAAGGAGACGTTGACGCTGAAGCCAAAGTGGTGCAAATGGCTCTATATTGATATGAGACAGGTCTGTGGAAAAGGGAGATCCGCCGTTGAGACGATCGGTCTTGAGAGCCATAGGTACGCCCCTGAGCCATTCATCCATTCGCTCCAAATGTGGTTCCAGCATTTCCGCATATGATCCAAGAGCCTGCATATCATCCCAGATCGTTCCTCTTACGTTGACCGTATTAGGTACTGGAGTGTCATAAAATGCAGAGTAAGCCGAACGGGCGACCAGTAGCAGTTTGGTATTGTGTAGATTCCAGGTCAACCAGGTGACATTATCACCCAGAGGAGCAAAGCTCTGTCCTGCAGCGATAGCAACGTCGCGATCATCTGTCGGAAGTGTACAGGTAGTATTGCACTCATGAACCAAGAATGGACGACCGAGTTTCATACTCATTTTGCTCTCCAAAACGTACAGCGTCCACCACATACGCTTTCGTAGCTCTCTTTCTTTTCTTGGCATTTCTTGGGGAGGTTCAACATGCAGGCCGAGCATGTAGGCTGTTCGTACAGCGGCACTGCAGGCGCTGTCTGCCATGTTCTGAAATGACCCACAGCAGAGATATATGGAGCAGAGGATATGGCATTGAAGAGTGGCTATGGTGGGTGCTTCTAGATCGGCAGCTAGAAGAGACTGGCAGCGTCGGTAATGCCATCTGCCAGCAATTGTTGCATCATTGACGTTCACATTGGCTCTTGAGCTAGGATTATGTGCGCGTGTTATGTTTGGCAGGAAAGACATGCCATACTGCATACACATTGCGAGTATGATATCGACAAGTGCGGATGGCTTTCTCTCCTTGTCCGAATTTATCCATAACGATTGATAGTGTTCCTTAAATTCCTGTTCATCGATGATTGGATTCGAGGTATAGTATGATTGCCAGAAGAGACCAAGAAAGTACTCTTCTTGTGTTGGTGAAAGATAGTCGCCAACATTGAGCGGGTCTTCTATCGGGACCATTAGTCCGTTCTTGTTATCTGATGTATCCGCAGTAGTCGGTCCATCGAGTACTTTACTCGCCGAATTCGGTAACATGGCATGAGCGGAATGTTTTTGGTGCAGCGAAGCGGTTAAGAAAGTATTAAGACGCCCGATGAAATAGTACAGCGATGCTGAGCCATACCACGTCTTTTGTGGAGAACGTGCAGTGCTAATGTGAATACCTTCCCACTCCCTCTTGATTGTATTGGCATCGAACTCAAGACCGTTCATACCACTCAGACCACTCATACCGCTCAATCCAATGTCATGTCCGGACCGAGAACTGCCTATGCTGTTCGGCGGTGAAGGAAGTCCGTGTGGAGGAAGCATTTGCATGTTTTGTTTGTCGCTTGAGCGCTCTTTATCAAGTTCTTTCTCTAGTTCTTGAACCTTTTGCTTTAGACGTTCAATCTCGCGATATGCGTGTGGAAGTGTTGCCAACTTCATGGCACCGCTATTACTGCAATTACCCCCTCGGGTTTTGCAGTTGTTACACGGATGATCATTATCGCATTTGATGCGATGAACTCGACACCAATCGCACGCTTTGGCCACTTGACTTCGTTTTTGACGTGGACGTTGTCGTGGAGGAGGTTCTGGAGATGCAGAGGTACTAGAGGTGGTGGACGGCATGCTAACGAAGGTAGTGAACATTTTGGATATGATGTGGTGGGTATCAAGAAGAGGCAGAGAGGGTTTTGCGTTGGAGGAAAGATGTTGGTAGTATGGATGTATATGCGCCGCAGCCACTGAAATGTGATAGCAGGTCGCTTGCTACATAAACAGACAGAAAGCTGCTACTCGTGATCAGTGGTTATTCTGTCCCTCCTAAGATGAATTCTAAGAAGGTCGAACGATCTCAAGATATGAAAGATAGAGAATATCGATTCCGCATGTACAAAATATGGAGTTTGTGTGATTTGCGGTGCTAAAAGTGCAAGCAGATCTCTACCATTCCTTATTTTGTGCACGGGCGGCACAATTAATGAGTGTTTTGGGTGCCAAGGACTCTACCCCAACCAAGCCCCACCTGAAGGGACCCGGGAAGATAGGTGGCTAGAATACCACTGAACTGCGGTTTGTACTATTCGAGTTTTTCCGTGGATGATAACTAGTGTCATCACGAGAAAATGCCTAGGAAGAAGTGTCTAGGTGGCTTTGGGAATTGTACGAAGGATTATCCATCGCTTTCAAGGTCTTCATTAGACAAGTCAGTAGGTATTGACCAATGGTTAATCATAATGCCACAGAACGTGCTTCGGAAGTACCGTTCGACATCATCTCATTTTCTATGATGCATTACAAATGGCCCATAGATTATCTGAAAAGAGTTCCCAAGCTTTGACTACTTAGGTACCCGGTGCAACTGATTTAGGCGGAGATAGCGTTTTAGGCTTCGGAGAAGAGCCTACAAGCCCCGTAAAGGGTACACTAAAGCCCCTGTCGACCTGTCATAATGCATCACTAAAGTCACTAAAAAAACAGTTGATCCTCATTACTCCACTCTGTCTAATCTTATCTACGGAGTACGAACCATTTCGAAAAGAGTTTTCTAATAACAAACTCGACATCTTCAATATCTAATCAATCATCATGGAGCATCTCGATCAATAGATGACTCCTTTGTAGAGTATATGTACTCAATCACAATATTTTAGTTATGAGTCTTCTCGATTCCGTAAAACGCCCAACAATGACACCAGTTACCGCAAGTCTCTGTCTCTCATTCAATCACAGTACACTCGGGTCCTCAACACGTGAGAGGCTTATACTAATAAAATTGAGTTAATGCGGTCTAGGGCGATATTACTGCCACAAAATTACTGGCCAGAACTTCAGCTATATATACTCGGGTCCCAAGCCGTGCAACCCGAAACACGGCGAAGAGCCGATTGAAGTCATCACGAAGTAGTCTATGGCATATGGCCCGAATTTCTCCGTCTGCTAAGTAAGCCGAAAATTAAAATAAGCTTACTTTCCTGCTAGAGAATGGGATTTGCCGTGTCTCCATACCCTTTATTGCTATTCCAGCATTCCGGAAATGCGATTGCAAAATAGTGTGGGATTCCTGTTTCACTTTGTATAGGCACAGCAGGAGCCAATCAGAAAGCAAAGAAGACTGCCGTGACTGATTGTTTCTTCAAGACTCATCAAAAGCTTTTGTGGTAGTAGCCGGTGTGCTCGGCATTGTCGTCGGTGCTTCTTGGGTAAGCATGGCAGATACGTTGTTGGAGCAAGGTCAAAATCCTTCAGAACAAAAGGACTTACATTCATTGGTCTTGCCATTCGAAAATCTATTTTCAGCGTCTCATTCTTCGATAAGGTGTTTGTTCAAAATCGTATTATTTCTGAATATAGAATTTGCTTGGGGTATGGATGTAACGAGATTATTACTATGCAAACTGCACGTTTCTTCAGCGGGCGGCATCCTATTATCATCCCGCGCGTATGGGTGTGATGTAATCCCGCCTGTTTCTTTAAGGGTCTTGCAGATATGCAGCGGGCCCGAGTCCATATATGCGGTATCTCTCGTGGCTTTTCAGGGACCTTGCAGGACCCTGAGTTCTGCATGGTCTCGGGGAACCAGGCAACCACATCAGCACCCATAGCTTAAACATGAAGGAAATATCACGTGATGCTGATTGAGCCAAGAATCTTGGAACCAAACACTCGGAATCGTTGCACAAGATTTTTCACAGTTGCTGGGACGGTTTACAATCACGTTCCCTAGTTACTTACTTTAGTCTTCCCAAGAGATGCAGTGATCTGCTGTCAAAATGCTGTAGAACCAGAAGTACAGAGCTGCCGTCCTTACCCGGACCAAATCACAATTCGGTCGCTTATTTGATGAAATCCAAGCCGGTGATATTGTCTCAAGACATTCATCATTATTGGCAGCCCTAGCTCGTCTCTAGCGTATCTTCCTTCGCTGATCATGGTCCGATGTACGAACTAAGGCACAACTAGGCTCCCGCTGCACGTTAATCGCATGTAAGCAGGGTTACCACATGTCAACAACGTGAAATCACCAACTGCTTGGTTCCAGAATCAGTCACTAAAGCGTGCTGATCCTTTTTAGGAACGAGCTGAACAAGGGCTCAACCTCACTGCCTCTGCGCCGTGCGTGATATTACAGTCAGCCAGGGTTCTTTCTTCAACTGGCTCGACTTCGGGATATCGAATATCATTCGATTATGGATGGTGAGGTGAGACTTTACGATAGTCAACATCATGGGTGACTCGGACGAGGACGGAAGAGGTTTGGGAGCTGGTCGAAGCATCAAGTTGAACCTCTATATAAACTGCTTGGAGTCTCGACATCAAGCTACATCCTCATCCTCATCATCATCTTCTTCTCTCAGCTTCATTCATTACAGAAGCCTCTTTTCCGATCGCCATCCTTCCTTCACTTGAAGACCACTTCCTCATTCCTATCTTTGCCTATCATCTTTCTCACTAGCAGATATGTTTACCAAGGACTTCACAGTCGCCGGGCTAGCAGCCCTATCTTTGGTCGCTCAATCCCAAGCAGGACCTACCTTAGGCACTTCTCATCTTAAAGCAAGAGCTCTCTTGGGTACCTCTTTCGGTGTTCCTGGGCGCAACGCAACCTATGATTACGTTGTCGTTGGTGGTGGCAATGCTGGTCTTACTATCGCAATGAGATTGGCTGAGTCTAACTCTGGTACCGTAGCTGTCGTTGAGGCTGGAACTTTCTATGAGATCAGCAATGGAAACATTTCTCAAGTTCCTGCCACTGATGGTGTCTTCGCTGGAAAAGGTGCCAGTGATTGGCAACCTCAGATCGATTGGGGTTACCAAACCACCGCGCAATCGGTAAGTTCAAAGACAAGAATAGAAGCAGAAGTGGCTTGCTAACATCCATAACAGGGAGCCTACAACACTTCTCTTCACTATGCCCGTGGTAAGACCTTGGGTGGTTGCTCTGCTAGAAACTTCATGGTCTACCAACGTGGTACAGCTGGATCCATGCAGAAGTGGGCCGACCAAGTCGGCGATGATGCCTACGAATGGGATAACTTCCTTCCTTACTTCCAGAAGTCTGTCAACTTCACCGCCCCTGACATGAGCCTTCGATCTGCCAACTCCACTCCCCAATTCGTTGCTGCCGAAGCTGCAAATGCTCCAGCTACTGGACCACTTTCAGTCACTTGGTCCCACTACGCCCAAGCCTTCGGTACCTGGGCCATTGAAGGTCTTGCTCAGATCGGCATACCAGTTATCCCTGGATTTTTGGGCGGATCTTTGATCGGATCTTCATACCCTACTTTCACCTTGGATGCTGAAAGAATGACACGTGAATCTTCTGAAACTTCTTTCCTCCGCGCTGGAATGAAATCACCTGACCTTAAGGTTTACACTCTCTCCATGGCCAAGAAAATTCTCTTCGACGACACCAAGACTGCAACTGGTGTTCTTGTCGAAACTGGTGGCTACCCATTTACTTTGACCGCCAACAAGGAAGTTATCTTGTCTGCTGGTGTTTTCGGATCTCCACAAATTCTCATGGCGTCTGGTGTTGGACCTGCAGCTGAATTGAGTGCCATCGGTGTTGATGTTATCGCTGATCGCCCAGGTGTCGGAAAAGGAATGCAAGACCATATTTTCACTGGTATCGCATACCGTGTCAATGCTCCTACCATCTCGAAACTCGGAAACGATCCCGCGTTCGCTGCTGAACAAGCTGCTCTATACGAAAACACCCCGGCTTCTGGTATGTACAGCAGCCCTAACACTGATGTTCTCGGATGGGAAAAGATTCCAGAAAAGTACAGAAGCGAATGGAGCAACGAGACTCAAACTGCTTTGGCTGCTTACCCTTCTGACTGGCCTGAGGTTGAGTACATTGCCATCTCCTCTTTCTTGGGCAACCAAGTCGTCTTGGGATCTGACCCAAGTGATGGATACAACTATGCCACATTGTCTGTTGCCCTTGTTGCTCCTCGATCCCGTGGATCCCTCACCATCACCTCCCCAGACACCAACGTCGCTCCAATCATCGACCCAGGCTTCTTGACCGAGCAATCTGATGTCGACATCATGGTAGCTGCCATCAAGCGTATCCGTGAATTCTATGCCACCGATGCTCTTCAAAGCTTCGTCATCGGTGATGAGTACTTCCCAGGTTCTAACGTCTCTACCGATGCTCAAATCGAGTCCTTCGTCCGAACCAGTTTCAACACTATCTGGCACGCAACATCCACCTGCTCCATGGGTCCGGTCAATGATACCAACACTGTCGTTGATACTCAAGCCAGAGTTCTTGGTGTTTCCGGCCTCCGTGTTGTTGATGCTGCCGCTTTCCCACTCCTTCCTCCTGGACATCCTATGTCCACAGTTTGTAAGTCACATCCTTCCTATAATCATTAGCGTACGAACAATTATTAACAACGAGTTTAGATGCTTTCGCTGAGAAGATTGCTTGCGACATCATCGGCTGTTAAGCAGCACGCCTCTAAAGCGCCAGCACCCGACCCATGTCGGCTCCTCATTTCTCACAATTCATCAGACTTTTTTTTCCGTTGTCGATAGATTCTTATTAGAAGCATCACAGCTATATTACTCTCTTCTTCTTTTCTCTTGTCCTTCCGCCAACTGTATCTGAACATTTTGATGCACCACTGGAGTTCCAAAATGTTCTGCACACAAAAGTACGCAAAGCACTCGACCACTATCGATCTCTGCGTACAGACATTTTTGCGGGAGGCCAATGTACAACAATTGCTCGCATCCTCATTATGAGGGGTAGCTTGAGCATCGTTGGGTTTTTTTCCTTTTGATATGGTATTTGGGCGGCGGATTTCTTTCATATGTACCGTACAAGGAAACAGATGTACTATACAGTCAGACATAGATAGTGGCAATCAAAGTTTCATATAGCACACTCACACTTTCTTCTGCATGTGCTTTGCAGATCATAACCAAATTTTGTCGATCATGGTGACATTGCAGGTTCCGCCAAGTTGGAAACCGCCAGGGTGTTTAATGAAAGTGAGTTCGATAAACTGCGAGTAACCTTTGATAAGCTTAAATTGTCGTCGCGGCTGCTTTCTTGCGTCTCTTTTACACCAATCATTCGATTTGCACGGATATCTAAAAGTTGGAAATTGTTACACAAGACCTCATTACTGATCTAATATTTAGCAAATGCCGCCACATCCAACCAAAAACGAACATTCATGCAGGTCATAAATTAACATCATTGCCGGTGATATTTCGTTGGTTAATGTTAATTGCCGACGATGCTGCCGTGCATAAATCAGTCGCTGATCTATCATTCATATTTATATATTTTACAATGTCAACTTCAACATAATGACTCGAGTCAACCTTCTGCTATAACAGCCTCAAATGAAACTTAGCTAAGGAAAGCTTAAGTAAACCTTAGTGCAGAACCTCAATCCTCAAAATTCATGCCCAACTACTCACGGATGATTTGTTCGGACACGGATATGCTGCGGCTACTTTCAGGGGTGTCTCGCTTAAAAACAAAACCTACCTCGGCTAAAATGTCTGCACCGAAAAATCACAACACCGAAGCCTTCCGAAATCTTATCCGTCTCCACTTTAACAAATAAGGTGCCTGCAAATCTCAGCTACCCGCCATTCATTTCTTGCCGCTCAGCCCGAAGCGCATACCCCGAGTCGTGTCTAGGATGTGACACGCACATGCGATCTAGTTTGTTACATAAATCGTAACTGATCCAATCGTTTTTCACAAACGAAGTATTGCATATGCCATTAATGAGATTCTACGCAGGTCTTCTCACGCTTACATGCGACAATTGAAAGTTTCATAGTTTGAGAGCCACGTGATACAGATCTAGCCCCCAAATTCAAGTAGGGAAGAAGTGGTTGCTAAGGAAATGATGCAGCCATGCCCAATGCCATGTATACTTAGCGACTAGCGAAACAGATAGGTGTGATATATGAGGCTGATGAGAAGGTCGTGCAACGGGACCCGAATAGATGGAGGGTGAGCTCTCAAGCTTGTTACCTGGCAGGCTCGTTGTGTAGCCGAACCGACCATGTGAAAGAGATAGTTATGGAGCTTTGTTGGAGAGGAAATGAATAAATTAAATGTTATAGCTCTTCCAACCTAAATAGGTAAGAAGATTTTTGATTGCAATATCACGTTCCGTGAAGGTGTGTCAGGTCACGTGCGTGTTATCATCCACGTTACCGAGCCACGAGACCACCAGCCACAGCAACAATTTGAGGATACATTTCGAAAACTTGCGAAAGAAAATCGAGAGGAATGGGAAGGGAATTGAAGGGCTTTTGTTGTGACTTTATTGTCAGATATGATTACCATGAATCAATGCAAATCATATCACTTTCAAATCAGGCAAAAGATGTAATTATGGTGTTATCAAATTTGTTTGTATTCTTATCGACTATTAAATATGAAAAGTTTATCATGATTCATCAATGAAAACCCAAACTCCTAAACCATCTATCCTATATCTTATCTATACCAGATACCCAAGTCTATTCATCAAATTAAAAGATATATATGAAAAGATACATGAAAAGATACATGAAAAGAAAAGTGACAAAGGAGATTCGTTAGAAGACAGTTATGTCTAGTTCAAAGCCAAGAATGCATTCTGAACCGCTGCTGGCTCTTTGATGCCCCATTGAACCATCCAGTTCTCTAACCACACTCTGTTCAAAGGACCAAGAGTCCTCAAGGTCTTACTGGCAGACTGAGAAACAATGGTAGGTAAGGTACGAGCGCCTTTCTCGACGGCACCACCAGCTGCTGCCTTGGAGTAGAATTCAAGAAGGCGCATGGCGGGGTTGGCATCGACATCGACGTTGCCAGTGCGTTCAGCCTCGTCGACAGAAGCTTTGAGTGCATCGACCCATTGCTCAAATTTGACTGGTTTGACCATCCCCTTGGGGTAAGCGGCAAGAAGGTTCTGCCCCAAGTCCTCTTCCCAAGAGGAGAATTGTGGGTTGACAACGTGGTAAGTCTTGCTGTGAAGAGGAGCGGAAGAGATAGCACCTGTGGCCTCGTCAAGCTCTGGTTGAGATGCAGTGTCAAGGATCTCGCACAAGACTTTGGAGAGCTTGTCTACTGGGAGCCAATCAATGTGATCTCTGGATGGGAAGGTCTCTGGCACAACACCGAGATGGGCAGATGAGACAATGATAGATGGAATGTACTCGTGTTTGTTCCACATCCCCTTTTGTTGCTCAACTGGGCCAGCAACAATACCAACACGGCAGACTGCAGTGCGAACACCGGAGATTTGAGCGGCTTTTTCAAGGAGGGCCTCAGCGATAAGCTTGGATTGACCGTATCCCATAGGAGCAGCTGCAGTAAAGTCGAGGATTGGTGCCTCGGGAACACCACCAACTCCCTTGTATCCACCGACAGCGGCGATGGATGAGATGAACATCACAAAGGCGTTGTTAGTAGAGCTGGAAGCCATTTGAGCGAGGTTGCGAACACCGGTGATGTATGGCTTGAATGAGTTGAGAGTCCAGTTGAAGTTGACTGGCCATTGGCAATGAAGGACGTGGGTAACAGTCTCCAAGATTTTAGCGTAGTTTTCTTGTCCAACACCCAATTGGGAGTCAGAGAGATCTGCCTTGAGGAAGGTGACTCTCTTGGAATCAATGGGGCTCAATCCCCTTGCGGTGATGGCTTGTTGATACTTCTCGGCACCACCAGCAGAACGGTCAAGGGCGTAGATATGCTTAACGTTAAGGTCGTTGTTCATCTCATTGAGGAGGTATGAGCCCAATGAACCGGTAGTACCAGTGAGGAGAACGGTAGTTCCGTTGGTAATTGGTGTGACACGGGGCTTGGTCTCAACTGGAAGAGTGGAGACAAATTCTTGGAAGAGAGACTCCATGGCAGTCAATTTAGGGTTCTTCACTTCCTTCTCGTTAGGATCGGCACTTTGGTAGGCACTATCAGGATCTTCAGGTGCCAAATCTGCTGTCTTGTAAAGGAACTCAGAAAGTTCGACCAAAGATGGGTTGGAGTAAACAACAGTAGGAGAGATAGAGTCTGCAGTGAGGTTGTTGCCACCAGAGATCTTAGCGTGTATCTTGAGCTCGCGGACAATTTTGATGACGTGGAGGGAATCTAAGCCAGATTCGAAGAATGCTGCATCAGGTCCGAGGTTTTGAATACCAGCAGTCACTTCAATAAGATCCTTCAACCATTTTGCTATGTTGGTGCGGTCGGCAAAGTCAACTCGCAAGTCACCGACTTCACCTTCTTGGTCATCGAGGTTTTCAGCAGCAGTGTAGACATCCTCGATATCCTTCTCATACAATCTGTATGTCTGATGTCTTTGGATCTTACCTTGACCAAGGTAGTGCATTGGGCGACTAGGATCAACAAACAAGATGTGGTATTGATCGAGCTGGCCGTGAGCCGGAGCGTGCTTGTTAGCTTGATCGATAGCTGGAAGCATCTCTTTGATCAAAGCGTGGCGTTCAGCTGCACTGTTTGGTGGCGCATCTTTCAAATCAACAAGAGCGGCTGGCTGAAACTTGCCACGGCCGACAACCATGGCACCCTTGACAAGAGGACTGCTGCAGATGGAAGCTTCCATGAGAGCTGGAGCAAGTTTCTCTCCGTTGCTGAGGACGATAACATCATCAGCACGACCTCTCCATTTGTACAAGAATGGCTTAGCTGGATCAGGATGGCGAGAGTAGAGATCGTTCATTGAGTATTCCTCGAGCTGAGGGAAGGTACTGAAGATACCTTGGTAGTAAAGATCCAATTCAGGTTTTCGCTCAATGAAAAGCTCGTGAAGACCATCCATGTACTCTCTGAAGACGATACCAGAGTGAGTTGGGTGCCAGTAGAAGTAAGCCCAATCCTCGACAGCAGGAGCCAATCGTGGAAGACAAGCGGTCTCAGTGGCTCCAAAGTTGGAAACAACTCTGCAATGTTTGGAGATAATGTCTCCGGCAGTTTGAGAGATGGCTGCACCACAGACAAGGATGTAGTTGAAGTTGTGGATACGTTCAAGGGATTTTGGGTCGTGGCTCAATTCCTCGTAGATGGATGGGGGGCCAATTGAGGCGTCGACACCGCCGTACTTGTGAATGTCATCGGCATATGCAGCGTGGGGTACAACATTTGCAGAGCCGTAAACAGTTGTGACACCGAGAAGGAGAGACATGGTGATACCGATGTTCAAACCACTAGTGTGGAACAAAGGCATAAGGTTGTAAGCCCTGCGAGATTGTTGGTAGACTTCAGTGGTGGGGACATAGCCATCGATGGCTGGAATAGTTCTCCAAGCCTCATATGTGCTGAGGATCTCATTCTTCCATGTGATAGGCTTTGGAAGACCGGTGGAACCAGTGGTGTGGAGGACAAGGCATGGGTCGGTGCGAGCCTCAGCGAAGGACTTGCTGTAAGGATAGGCACGGACTTCCTCATCTTCAAGCAACTCTTCAAGTTCAGGCACGGTTGCAGTGCGCATGTTGCGTTGGCTCAAGATGTTCTCGACATGAGTGTTGCGAGCTGTCAAGAAGATGTGACAGTTGGACTTCTCAAGCACATTGAGAGAGCCGGCGACGCTGTTACGGGGAGAAAGATACAGCATCTTGTATCCGGCTTTGATAGCGCCGAACATGAACAGGAAGTAACGAATGTCACCTAATTATCATGTTAGTCTCATACAATTATATCACAAAGAGGAAAGTTTAGACTCACTGTGACCTTGATAGGCGACAGCTGGAAATTCACCAGCTGGTGCTTTTCCGAGGATTGACTCCAAGTACCAAGCGGTGCGGTTGATCGCATTTGCAAAGGACTTGGCAGATACTTCCACAAAGCCATCTTGTGGCATATCAGTCTTTGGGTAAGCAAAGATTGAATGATCGGGAACCGTTCTGGCGAGCTCATCTGGGATAAGATGAACCAAACGGGCGGGGTTGGCGTTGGCTGCGTCGAAGGCGGCTGCGACATCAGATCGGAGAGTTCCTGCTTGAGACATTTTGAAAGTTGGTTTGAGTGATTGAAGAATTAAAAGGTATTAATATGAAGTATTATTAGATGTAAAGATAGATGATTGGCTCAAAGAAGCTTTAGTGAAGGTGTTGGGCGTAAAGTGTTGGATATCTAAGACTCAAGTATTGGAAGACTGTGAAGTGATGTTCTGGCGATGCCGGGATAGAATGTTGAAGATGTTGTTGATGATGAAAAAAAGTATTTACATCGACAACAACGACATCTTATATATCAGAATCTCTTTGTCTGTCGACATAGTGTTTGGAGAATATTCTTCCCAAACGAGTGTCTCCATACCGCGCAGCAGGAACATTGGATTGAGCAGTGATGGTATTCGCGGGGAGTGGAAAACCGGAGCAGAGCTAACGGGCTACTTTCGGCCTACTCTATCTCAAAGATACTCAATGTACCATACGTTGAAGCTTCAGGAGTGTCCTCCGCAGGAGATCTGAGATTGCTGTTGGATCTGGAGGGGAGATTGGCGCAATTGGGAATCCTGGAGCTTGCAAAAATCTCCTAAAGTCAACTACCAAAAGCTACTCCAGGAGCAGTATTGCTGTATCTGACATTGCTACCTTCTCCTTGGGAGTCAGGTTAGCGTCATGCACCATGATACCAATCGTGCATCCTAGATCTTGCAGGAGTTTCATGATTCATTGCCACAGACGTCGATGGAGCTTCTAAGTTGGGACTATCAGACACGTTATGCTCACTAACACTCCGCCATATCTCTCGGAGCTTGGGCCACACATGCAATTGAGGGGTTTTTCGCATGTTTTGATTATGTTTGTGGTGTAAGCAATCTTAATGGAACTGTATTCTGATAAGGAGTTCAATAATACTTTACCTTACTGGGTTAGGCTAAAAGCTTAAAGTGGTGTGTGCGAACGAAGGTGTTTTGCCAGAATGCAATGTCAGGATCGAAGTAAGGTTGTGTGGAGATTCCGGATGCTGCACCGAAAATGTAATTGCCCTGGGCAGGAAATGATTACGCTTCAGTTTTGGGTTGTCTACTAAACTTCACAATAGCTCTAATACAATCAAATCGAGTAAATTCCGGTGCTCCTACCGAAATGTAAGGTTTTTTCTGCAGAAATTCCAGGTGTGTGCCATCTACCAAAATTTCAGGGTAATTCATATGGGAGATTTCAATTCTAATCTTTGGCTTGAAACGCCATTACACGGAAAAGCTTACACATGGGTGTATGGAGTTAGTCTTGAATAGTCTTTGGAAAAAAAGCGGAAGGGCAAGGGAAGTCGGAAAATTTGTCGTAGTTAGTAGGATGGATAGAGAAATACCTTGGGGGTGGATGTAAAAAGATTCATGTCAACTCTATACGGGATTTGTAATCACTTCAATTTAATTATATTTCTATTTAAATATTCTGAATAAACTTACTAGGTAATAACCAAGCGCGCAGAGAAAAGAAACTATATATGAATATTAATCTTATTGGCTAGTAGAATGTGGTACGAGGTCATGGATGGTGATAATAAAGAATTTATGTAAATATGCAAATAGTCGGAGTCAACTCCTGAGCATATGTCACAAAACCACAAATAGTTCCCATAATAGATTAGACAACTTTTGAAAAAATATAATAATATACATGTTCGTATTGTGAAGAAAAGCATCCGTTCACACCATGCTTACATAATATGTTAGAAGACCTGAGAGCTTGTGATCATGCAAGATCAATTGCGTCGTGTGAACATACACCAAATGAAGCTCAGATATTCTCCGCTTGAAGATGTATTTGTTCTTCACGAACTCATTGAGGATAACAGTTACCGAACCTGACTCCCTGTCTCCGATCATGCGAAAGCAGGAGAAACCGAGCGGGACGGAAGAAATTTAAATTTTACAGTTTCACGGGCCGAGCCTTTCTAACAAACCCATATTGAAGAACATCGGGTTTGTCCCCACATTCTTTAGCGACAAATTCACGACATCCTTCCCACTCCCCCTTTCGGTAGTGGAGTCACGGAACCTCACCCGCATCCTATATCGGTGGCCGCGAGTATACATATTACCATTACCCCGACTGCTATAAATGAAATGCATACCTCTTTTATTTTCTCGTCATTCCAAAATTTTGCCGCTCCTAGCACCAATATATTTGACTTCATTAACCCCAATATTTACTACGAGATTCTACACCCGATAACAAAATTATTTGAATAAAACCCAAATTCAGTTCAAAAAGAACAAGAACAAAACAAATATGCCTTCTTCCACCAAGCTTCCTACCCGTGCCTTGGGACGCAATGGCCCTCAAATTCCCGCCCTTGGCCTCGGTCTCATGGGTTTAAGTAGTAAGTTCATCACGGTGGATCATTAGAGGACATTGATATTGACGATTCAAAAACAGCTTTCTATGGAAAACCGGGCTCAGATGAGGAGAGATTCGAGTTCCTTGATCGTGCTCATGAGTTAGGCTGCACCCATTGGGATTCAGCTCAAATGTATGGCGATAATGAAGTACTTTTGGGCAAATGGTTCACAAGAACTGGCAAACGCAAGGACGTAAGATTGCCATTATTGAGAACACAAAGCTGAAATATGGATGCTTACTATTGCCTAGATTTTCTTGACCACCAAATTTGGTAACCATGTCACACCAGAAGGTGGTCGTGAGATCCGCAATGATGCAGAGTACATTCGTCAATCTGTGGCGGAGAGTTTTGAGAAACTTCAGACTGATTACATAGATTTGCTTTACTGGTTCGTTCTCCTCTACCAACTTCCCAAAAATGGATATCGTTCTGACAAAAATGTACTAGTCATCGATTCACTGGAACTATCCCAGTCGAGACAATTGTTACAGTTATGAAAGAATTTGTCGAGTAAGTTTTATGTCCTTTGTGTTCCTTGACAGAGACTAATTCTGAAAGTGCTGGCAAAGTCCGCTATTTGGGCCTCAGCGAGTGTGGTGTTGACACCCTCGAGCGTGCAGTGAAGATTCACCCTATTCACGCATACCAAATTGAATACAGTCCATTCTCTATGGACGTCGAGAAACCAGAAGTTGGGCTTCTCGACTGCTGTAAGAGACTCGGTATAGCACTCGTTGCCTACTCACCATTGGGCCGTGGTATTCTCACTGGTCAGTACAGATCAGTTGATGATTTCGATAAGGACGATTTCCGACGAACAATTCCCCGTTTTGCCACACAAGAGAACTTCGACAAGAATCTGAAACTCGTTGATACCATTACCGCGATCGGAAAGACGAAGAATGCATCGCCCGGACAAGTCACACTTGCTTGGATGATAAAGCAAGATCCTCTCATTTTCCCCATTCCAGGTACTAAAAAGATTAAGTACTTGGAAGAAAATATCGGAGCTCTTTACATTGATTTGACAGATGAAGAGGATCAGGAAATTAGACATGCAATTGAGAGTGCGGAGGTAGTTGGTACTAGAGTTGCTGAGCATCTCATGGGTGTTCTTGTGGTTGACACACCTCCTCTCACCAATTAACGGGTTTCTGAGGGCGTTGGATTTCATAATGGAAATTAGGCACCAGCTATTGGTGAAAGCGTTTTTATAGTATCTTCTTTTTATATCTCGCAGCAGAGAAATTTACCACAAGTTTTTTTACTCTCGTTCAATATTGCTGGTTCCTGTCTGTGAAGAAAAAACTCCGTGAGAATAAGTTCACTTTGAAGGTCTTAGCATCTTATTAGCAAAGTAGGCATGTAAAGTGTGCTAATTTTGGAGAGGCTCCCTGATCACTGACCTTAAAACCTATAATAGAGGTGTACAAAACAATTGCAAGGCATATAGTTAGTTTACCGATGATAAGGTATACTCATTCGGCATCATTTGAAGCTTCCTTGCTCATCTACTTGTCTTTTGTTTTCATTATTCCACCTACACTTGCTCACCAACAAACGGCATGTTCAGTTTCCAAATATTTTGGAAAGAGATTGAAATAGAACGCATGTTATTCTAGCTGAGCTACGTTGTCAAAGAATCCTCAAAATCCACCTTGGCTTGTGCGTCCGATATGGCTAAATTTGCTGACATAATCAAGTTTGTGGTCCAGAACCTTAACTCAACCGTCACACACTTACCCCGAGTCAAAAAGCACAAGAGCTTCTTCATCTCGGGTAGAATCTTAACTCTAAAGTTAGCTACCTAATTTAATTCTGCAGCAGAGAATTGGCTAAATGCACTCATCTCGCACTCTGTCTCACTAGATGTCCTGTTGGGGTATGCGTTTGGGCTCCGGGGTGTGTATACATTACAGGTAATCATTTAGCGTAGGGTCAGCTCTATAACTGGTCTGCATGAAAACTCCGTCATCACATTAATTGGCTTCAACTGGTGTGTAAACAATAAAAACGGGACCTTGCTGAGATGGAGTTCTTGTGTTGCCGGAGCTAACATACGATGTGAGTGTTTGGAAGAATGAGGGACGTGTATGAAGTATGGAATGCGGGAAGACCTATCACTTTCACGATTCCGGAGTTGAAGAAATGACATGAACGCGAGAATGGGATGTATCTACGAGGAGTTGTTTTACCGGACTCTCGTTTTCGGTATGAAGTCGCAAGCCATGGCTGACCGATGCATCCGAATCCTCAATCCGAAAGGTGTTTATCAAGTCGGCTCCCCAACGCATATTTCATTCATTCTTCAGTTCACTTTCATCAATATCACTCTCTACTCTTCTGTTTTAATCAATATCTCTTTCGCCCTATTCATAGCCTCCTTAGTTGTCGTTTAGATCATAATGGCCCATCTTACCCCAGAGCATATCTTGCACCTTTACGATACCTTCGGAGAGCTCAGGGTGCTCGATGATATCATCCGTCATCGTTCAAAAGACAATCCTCCTGCTCCTATCTTGGGATATCCCAGGGTTGAAGATAATCCAAGCGATTATGAAACCTTCACTGGTCAGCAGCTTGATTCATTTGTCGATGCTGCCTGCAAATACTTCATTAAGAATGGTCTGAAGCCTGTAAGTTAATATAACATACCTTCAAGAGTCATTCGAACACAGCTGACTTCTGATCAGGGTGGAAATAGAGTCATTGGCCTCTACTCTCCGTCCAATGTAGACTTTGCCGTCACCTTCTTCGCCCTTAGCCGTTTGGGCTACACTGTCCTTTGCCTTTCCCTTCGTATAGCACCCATAGCTATTATCAACCTTCTTAAGCAAACAAACTGCGAAGTTATAATCCGTGGTGATACCTCTCAGATCGCTGCTACTTGTGATGCCGTCGCACAAGAAGCTACTTTAAGATCAATCGTTATTCCCATGCGCGCCCAGTATGGAATACCACGCCCAGCAAACGAGAAGCCATTTACAAGAGAATTTGATCGTGAAGTTGAGACCAATGAAGTCGCTATTGTCATGCACAGTTCCGGATCCACTGGTCTACCTAAACCAGTCTTTCTTACACACAAGAATGTCTTGACTCATCCGGTGCAAGGTGCTGGAATGCACAACTTTGGCGCACTTCCATTATATCACATGTACGGTCTCTCAACAACACTCCAAGCTATGTACATGGCAAAGAAGGCAAACTTGCCTAGTGCTACTCTGCCAATGACAGCAGATAACCTTATGCTTGCAATCGAAGCAACACAGCCTGAGGTTTTCCACGCTGTACCATATGCTTTAGGACTCTTGACCGAGCACCCAAGAGGTATGCCATATCTTAAGCAAGCCAAAATTGTCACTGCTGCTGGTGCTCGTACTCCAGATGAGCTTGGCGATCTATTAGCCTCAGAGAAGGTTAACATTGGTGTCGTGTTTGGGACGTGAGTATTCCTCTTCCCTTCAACTTTTAAGTCATGTAAACTAATCCAAGGTAGTACTGAAGCAGGTCTTCTCGGTGATACTATGCGCCGTGCTGAAGGAGATGACTCATGGAATTACGTGCGAATCTACTCAAACATCAGAAGTTCTATCTACATGGACCCTATAGGAGACAACCAATTTGAGTGTGTCTACCTTAAGAGTCATCCAGGATTGTCTGTCTCAAACTCAGATGATCCCGCACCTGGTTCATGGCGCTCAAAGGACGTTTTTGAGCCCCATCCAACCATTCCAGATACTTGGAAATACGTGACTCGTCTTGATGATCGTGTCACCTTGAGTAATGGAGAGAAAGTTCTCCCACTTCCAATTGAAGGTCGTCTTCGTCAAGAAGAAATCATTCGTGAAGCCGCCGTCTTTGGTGTAGACAGAGCTATTCCAGGTGTCTTGATATTCAGAGCTTCCGATGAGTTACCAGATGACGAATATCTCGAGGCTATCTGGCCAGCTATTGTTGACGCCAACTCGCGTGCCGAGGGCTTCTCTCAAATCACGAAGGAGATGGTTGGTCTCGTACCATCAGATGTCGAATACCCTAGAACAGACAAGGGAAGCATAATTCGTGCACAGATCTATAGGAAGTTCGCCGAGAAGATTGATGAATTATATGACAGTCTTGATGGTGACGCAGAGGGAACTCTAAAACTTGATCTCGCAGGCATCGAAACTTTCTTGACCGAGACCTACGAAGACATTACTGGTCACCCTCTCGAATCTGTCGATACCGATTTCTTCAATGCCGATATTGACAGTCTGAGAGCCATCCAAATGAGACGCATTATCCAAAAGACTCTCGACCTCAATGGCCAACAATTGAGTAGCAACGTTGTTTACGAACATGGAACTGTCAGGGCTCTGGCACAATACTTATTCTCTCTCAGCTCCGGTGAAAGCGAGCAAGATAAAGACAACGTTCCGCTGATGGAATCATTGATTCAGAAGTACTCCACATTCGGAGAAGTTGTGGTATGTTAATTTATCTTACCTTTTTGGTTTCAAAATACTTACATAAGAATAGATCTTGACTGGTGCTACTGGTTCCTTGGGAGCCCATGCCTTGTACCAGATGGTGAACAGCCCCAACTTTAGAAAGGTGTACTGTCTTGTTAGAGGAGAAAATCCTATGGACAGAGTGATGAAGTCTATCAAAGACCGGGGATTGTCTCTCACTCCAGCCGCAAAATCTAAGGTTGTTGCATTCACTGCTGACCTTGCCCTGACTGATCTTGGTCTCGGAAAAGCTATGATTGAGCAGTTCAAGACTGAGGTATCTCTCATTATTCACTTGGCTTGGTCTGTCAACTTCATCATTGGTCTACAAAGTTTTGAACCTCATCTTGCCGGGTTAAAGAACCTTTTGGATCTGTCTCTCGCAGTCTACCGTTCAGAGCCAGCCCGTCTATTCTACGCTTCCTCCATCTCTACGGCTGAGAACACACCAGCACCCGCTCTTATCCCAGACGCGCCAATTGAAGACTTCCACAACGCATTAAATATGGGTTACGCTCAATCTAAACTGGTTGGCGAATACATGGTCTTGAATGCTGCTCGCGGAGGAGCACGAGCTTACGCTCTCCGTATCGGACAGATTGTTGGAGATAGAGATAATGGATTCTGGAACGAAGCTGAATTTGTGCCCTCCATGATCAGGTCCGCACTTTCCATGAAAGCTCTTCCAATATTCCACGAGAACTGCTCATGGATTCCAGTCGACACCCTCGCCACTGCTATCCTTGAGATTGACGAGAAACTTAAGGCACTTCCCCGACCATGCGCTATTGACAGCACCAATCCTCCTATTGTCTACAACATGGTTAACCCTGCCACTTTCACCTGGGAAGCACTTCTCGGCGAACTGTCTACTGCCGGTCTCGATTTCGAAGCTATTCCTTTCGGAAATTGGTTACAAAAGCTTAGAGAGTCAGCTGCCAATGGCCAAGAGGAACAAAATCCAGCCGTCAAACTCTTGGATCATTTTGAACAGCGATATCTTCAAAGTAACAACGGCCATGGCTACAGTGGTGCAGAGGCTAGTGCAAGCTCAAGCGGTACTAGCAGTCCTCGAAGCAGTGTCTCGGGTACTTCAACACCAACTAGCAAGGGAACAAGTATTAGCGATTATGAAATCGTCGGAGTCACATTTGACACCAAGGCCATATTGAGGGACAGTAAGGTTTTGCAAAGCCCACCTGATATTATTCAGGATGGCTATGTAAAGCAATTTTTGAGCCAATGGTTGAAGAAGTGGGTTAAGTGATTCAAACCCCAGGGATGATGGGATGAGATCGAGGTACGATAGACAGTTTACGTGAACACGGCTTGGTTTTTTCTTCTTCTTCTTTTGCACAGGGAGGTGCAAAATTGTTCCAGATAACAAGACTTTTCTTTTTCATTATGGAGTTTTAGGGATTTTTTGGCATCTATTTTTGTAATCGAGTGTTTTTAGTTCACTAACTAGTTTCATGATGAAATGATATAAATGATTATATGCTGAAAGACCTATCTAAGGAATCAACTCTGGGCGCCCTGAAAATAAGTGCCGTAACCTTAAGGGAGTTCATCATGTTAGTGAGCAATCCCCGCTTCCTACGAGTTTAGCGAGGAGTCTTTAGCTTTTTTTGAACAATTACGACTTCTTAGTTGTAAAAAAGAAAAAGAAAATAAGGTATAGATGATGTTTAGGTTTAATCAGTCTCTTTGGTACATTGTGGAAATCTTTGGAAATTCAGATCCATCAAGGTTACCAAGCATATCTCGCAAATATTCAGGCAAAAAGATCATTATGAACTCAATAATCTTTGGGTGGCTGAGCACCCCTCCACAATTTCACTCTACAACTATTTCGGCCCCCTACAACTTACAACCAAGAACAGCATCGCCGTCATAACCGGCTAGGAAGACAAAACTACTATCACATCTCCACAGCAACGTGAAATTCTCAACAGGTGCACCTATCAATACTAAACCTCTTCCCAAAAACAATAAAAGCCAACTTCTACTTCCCCGCTCCCATCCACGCAACCCCCAACTTATGATCTAATCTCCATCCCGGGGCCAGCCGCTGCAGAATATAGATAGACCTTCTGCATGCATATGCAAGAATACCTTACAATTCAGAAAAACAAACTCAAAAATCCGGGACCCAACCGAACTCTCCTCCCATTGTCTTTTCTTTTCGGCAAAGTCGGGTCTCGTAGCACAAGTATTTGTATGATATGTACATATGTTCGGCTCGGGTAGGACAGGAAGTCAAAATATGACGTGCCAAGAGTCGGGATGGGAATTGCGTTGTACGCGGGGTTTGGGGGAGGGGAACGGTGTACTCGGGTTACTTTGTTGTATGGGTTTGCTTGGGGTTGATGTTGATGCTGAACAGAGGTGTGCTCCGAGATCGCTGGGAGGCATGTTGTGGGATGTTGTGGATGTGAGGATGGGGAATTTTTGGGAATGGGGTTTTTATGAGATTTCGGGATGGTTTTTTTAGTCGTAGCTATAGGAAGGGTTGTATGTACCCCGCGTTTTCAGCCACTTAATGTCTCCCCGCCATTTATCAGCCACAGTAACTGCTCTGATGTCATGTTTGGGATGGTCTCGGGTGTATATAATTTTACCACAGAAGTCGATACTAATGGTTATATCATGGTATGGTATTGAAAAATCGACAAGCAGTTTTGTTGAGCGAAGTTTGGGTTACAATATAAGTTTCGGCGAATTACTCTCATCCTCATGGCCCTAGAATTAAAATAAATTACTCTTATAATCTTCTAATTGAATATATTTTACTTATGCCCTTCAGCTTTTACAAGTCAAATTCTATTTTTTTAATGATTAGAAATTTATATTAGGGGCTAGAATCAATAACAATAAAAATAAGTCTGTATTAATAAAAAGATTAGAGCCTACAGTGGAAGAATAGAATTTATAAACAATAAAATAGTAAAAGAATGAAATCTCTAATAGGAGAACAAAATCTACATATTTTATAGTAGAAGTATAATCATTATAGATTAGATTCCACTGAGGGGTGTCAAAGTGAAAAGTATTAAATTTGAGAGACATGAAAGAAGTAAAAACTTACTTCGCGGGGTAGGAGAGCAATTCGCCGTACAATTTTACATACAACTTAACTATCATTTTCAAATCGGACTCCAAAAATCAATATCAAAGGACAGAGTCGAAGTTAAAGAACATTTTACTTTCTATCATTAGCTTCTCTACTTCCAGAGACTTGCTATTTTTTCTTTTTCGATTGTAATCTTGTATAGACAAATTGAGTACGTATCAATTTTTTCGAAGATATATATACATACTATGTTTCCTCTCTTAAAATTCTCTAATGCCAAAGCGCCTTATTCCAAAACAAACTTCTCTCATTGGCCAAGATATCATCTTGAATATACATCGTATCGTTAAAGACTAACTCCCTACCGGGCGAAGACGAGTTTCCTCCATGTAATGGCCAATACAGTTTATCCTCTGGCCACATGGTGTTTGGATTTCCGGTCAAGATGAATGACACCAAGTATTTCTGCATCTTAAGCGCAACACTGAAATCAATGTCTCTGGTCGTGACAATACCTGCGCCCGCAGCAGTAGTTGTAGTTGTAGTATTGGCAGTGGTGGCATTGGTTTGAACAAGGGTAAAGTTGCTGTACCAATAATAATTTTGATCCATGCCGTGAGAGGCTACACCAAGGGCTACCATGGCATTCCAAGTCTGATTGTTAAGAGCTTCGGTCAAGGCGTAGTTGTGGGCAACCAGTTCGAAGTCTTGGTCTATATCTGCAAAGCGAAGTCCTTCGCTTTGATAGTCCGCTGAAGGATATAGGTCCTCGATCTCACTGATGATATCATCTGTAATGGAAGGAAAATAAAGTTTGAGGTGGGGACCAATATCCGAGCTGCTGTTCACGCCAGAAGGTAGTCTTTGGTTGATTTCGTGAAGTTCATGTGTTATGACAAGTGGACCGGTGAAATTGAAGCGTTTTTGATAAAACTGAGATTCATCTGTTGATTTAGGTTAGTGATGACCGAAGCTGTGTGGAAATGGTCACATACATGTTTCGGCAATGAAGTCACCATCGACGCGAGGTTGGAATTGGTATGTATATTTAGCGACCATGTTATTAGCCGCGGTAGAAAGGGTTGCAAAGTCAACAGAGCGCATGCAAGTCAAGCTGCCACCTGCGCATCCAACAGACGTGGATACGTTCTGCCAGAGTGCCTCGGAATGCTGATTTCCTGCTCCAGGTACTAATCCAGGAGACATAATGTATGCACGAGCAAAAGTTTGTTCAGCACGACCGGCGAATTTCTAAAAACAAATTGTCAATGAATGATTCATCTACCGGCTTGGATGGGGTTAGTTTGGTACCGTAATCTGGAAAAGATCCTGTGAAGCACCGGCAGAAAATCCAACGGCCACTATCTCTTCTGGATTACCGCCCCAATGACTGATATATCTTTTGACCCAATCAAAGGCATGAGCAGAATCCCAAACTAATGCATTTGAGGTGCCTCCTTGGTGATTAAGGGTTGGACCATTGGCAAGACCTGTCATTCCCAGTCTATAGTTATAGGCAACAAAAATGAATTCCTTGCTCAGAGCGAAGAGAGCTTCAGGAGTTACTGCACTCTTACTTCCAATGACAAATCTACCACCGTGTGACCATACCACAACTGGGAGACTTTTGTTCGCACTGTTAGCAGGTGCCCAGACATCGAGGTAGAGACAATCCTCATAGGTTGCGCAGTCGACATTTTCTGGAGCCAAAGTACCATTGTTCACAATTGTCTCGACAGGAGGCCATTGTGGTTTTGCGAAACGAAGATCTCCGGTCGGGACAGCAGCGTAGCGAATATTTTGGTACTTGTAATATCCAATCGATTCACTACCGGCAGTGGCAACAATGGTCGAATAGTCCAAAGTAACAGATGGCATAGAAGTGGCCGTAGTAGTTGCTGCACCCACAACCACTGCAGCTGAAGCTGCCATCGGCAACAAAAAATCTGTAGAAAAACGCATGGTTGGAAACGGTCAACCGATACTAATGAAAGAAGATTCAAAATGGAAGCAACGAAGCAAAACAAAACAGAAACTGAAGCTCAATGAGGAGATGAATATCTATAAAAGTATACAATCTTCAACGGAGAATACCATGTCCGATGAATCACCAAGATGTGGACGGTTCTCCACAAGTGGACGACCCCTAAACTTGTAGTGCCGTTTAGTGACCACTAAACTTTCTTTGCGGGGGAAAGTAACGGTACTTGGATTAGTATCTTGAACTAGTATAGTGATCTCGCAGTCCGTCCAACCACGGGCACTTCTATGGTGCCTCCGCACAAGGCTCCATGAGGTCTGTGTTGATTTCAACATGAACCGTCGGCGGTGTACAAAGCTTTGAATGTGCGAACCCGAAATTGACCCTGGAGCTAGCTTCAAAATCTAACTGAATGCAAGCTTTGGACTTCGATAAGGCCTGACTATTCGCTAATTTGCACCCATAAATACGGCGCTTTCGGTGTATATGCACACGCTGGAAGATCTTCATTCGTGATTTGCATCGACGTCCACCAGTCCACATTAGCTTATCATTGCCAATACATACTTGACGCGTCCTTCACGAAGCTAAGCCATGATTACGAGCTGTTTTGTAATCTATCTTCCTTGGAAAAGGAATTCGTGCCGCCCCTTCTATCAATACCCTCAGTTGTCCGAATGAACGAGATCTCGGATCACAAGCGAAGCGTAGAAGGGAAACAAGCCTCACCGACTAAAGTGCTAGCCAGAAGAGAGAGAATCCTCATTGTATAGCGTCTTGGACGAGAAGCTATTCAAGAATGGTGTAAATCTTCTAATCACTCGTGCCGTCAATCAAAGCCGAAATTAACCCATCGATTTCAACTCGTGCACCTTTTGTCCCAGCTTTGACCTAAGGTTACTATTTCTCTTCTTCATCCTACCGTTGAGAAATTATGTCAGCGCTTCTCCCCGAGTGCGGTAGCATCGACGACAATATATCGTGCAAAACTCAGTCTTACACGGCGTTGAATCAAATCACATGATACGACTTGGCCATTCTCTAATCAATCCAATCTTGCTTTGGACATTGGGGTAACAACACTCATCTTCGACGACTTCCATTTCGCGTATGGTCAGCCGTGGTTTAGTCTTATTCCATACAAAACTTAAGGAATCCGTCTTGATTACTCCTTTTGTGATTATTACCTTCTCCAGGTAAGCCTTAAAATTACTCCGTTACCTCCTTTAGGAAGATTTCCACTTCAGGTCAGTATTTTACTCTCAACATGACTTTGACTTCAGATAAATACAATAGATGACACCACTGTCAATAGATACACACTCTATTTTCTACGGATTGCTATATCTGTTCCCTCCGAAGGTCTTTCAAGCGATGTAAAGTTTCCTACCCAGATCATGCCGACGCAAATCCGGAATGAGACGATACTTCGGCATCATCCATTGATTGCTCCATCTTCAGTATCTGGCATGGCTACCGATAACAAAGTCACAATGATTATGGAGTCAGCGAAATCTCTTCTTTTGTGGCTTGAAGGAGTCGCCACTATCATCACGATATCAACTTTAAGTGCCAAGCCAAATGCGCGATCTTGATTGATGATGGCAGGTAGTGAAATAGTTTGATGAAAGCCAAGAATACATAATCAGCGTTGACTTTCAGATATTTACAACACCAGCGAATGAAGATACTTTTATGGATCCACCTCAAATATTCAAAGATACAGAACAGAATCCTTTCAGTCTTAAGACAGAAGGTTTCATCAGCCTGGCAGGGCTGTGATAAGGTCCAGCTAACTAAGTCTTATGTATGTTAATGTTAGCGTCGATGATACCAGATTCGTTATTGAACCGGCCTTCAATCTTACATTCGGCCCTCCATGCATGCATCTTAAAAATGCCCCGATGAAATGGCTTCCCCCCCAGGAATCCCAAGACTTCAGGATTCCCAATGAAGAAAACGGGACACTACAGACAAGCATTTTTTGCTGAATTGTAGCTACTATCCTTGCGTGTTCCAGGATTCATCGGGCAACAGTCCCCTATCTTCATCGGCAAAGCCGAACAGTTTGTTTGCCACTGCCGAGCCACCTCGAGACATCCAGTACCGATGAAAGGATTCATGTCATGATTCGATTCATCTACCGACTCTATCTTGCGTTGTCAGACGTCTATTTATCCACGGGCTCTGCCATTGTAATACCTACAATCATATTTATCGAGGAAGATATCGGAAAAGGTCCTAATAGGACATCGTGGGAGTCATTCTTCAAGAATGGGTTTCTACTTGAGCAGAAACTGCTAGGGAGTAGGGCTACTCTATCTCAGTAGAGCACGAATACTTCTCATGTGGAAATGGAAGACCAAAAGTTGGAGTTATGACTAGCTGTGATAAATCATTCTTTCGAATCACTCAGATGAGTAGTGTTCAATTTTGATGATACCTCTCACTCAACAAGCTCCTTGAGAGTTTATAGAATCATGAGAGCGACTTACTTTCTATTCATCAGACTTGCAAATCCAGTAGGGAAGACCCACGGCTTTTGTGTGCGTCCTCGTCGCTTTGTTACAAGAGAGGAGATATGATACTCTCATTTATCTATACACTAAGGAGTTCCTTTTAGTCTCGTTGTATTCTTCAACTACAGGATGATGTAAGTCGGCTTCAGACTAAGATTTAGCTCGGAATAATATTGAAGAAATATATGATTTCATTCTAATGATCTCTTTGTAAGGTAGATGCCAGCCATCTAATTATCTTAGCCATCTAGTATGCATTATTGATATTCCATTTCAGGGTTTGAAATTCAAAAATTTATATTTTCCACAACTACAGCTATAGACGAATTCATAGACTAGAAAAATCGCTGTATTAATATAGCACATCCTCAATTTCCACTCAGTATTATAACAATAAAACTACCTAGCTAGTACACAATATCCTATTAAAATATGACTTCAATCACTCATCAATCCTTCTATTAAAGTCATTAATCAAAAACAAAAAATGTTCAAGATTCTCCTCTCCTTCCATTTACTATTTCGATCGTAACGTAAAAGTCACCTAGACAAAAAAGTGAAATACTTTCCCTCTGCTCTCATTGTTTTACTATAAGCTAGCAGTTTTTATATAATCTTACATCATTTTAACTCTAAATGATAGCCCTAATCAGAACTTATATTTATCTATCTGTAACGATACTGTACTGGAGGCAGCAGCTGCCTAGGGTTCGTCGGTTGGTAGTTATGGGTTAAAGCTTTATCATTGGTATTCACTTGGAAGTGAAGTCGTTACTAGATCAAGTAGAATGTAGGTAATCTAATTGATAACTAAGTTGAGCATGAAGCTCCTATACTATGAAAATAATGAATGTTTATATACTGGTCCTTTCCAGGAGCCTAGAGGAGCCTATGCTCCTGGAGGCTCCATCACGTGATCCCTACTTGTCCCACGTGATGGTGAATCGTGACAATGGTATATAGATACAAATGATACGAAAAAAGTTTTCAAGATATAATAATATACTTTATCGCTATTTTCTGATAATTTACTGATTATATAATTATAGTATCTCGATACTATTTTAGCTAAAGAGTTCATTTTAAAACAAAAAAACACAGCAAAGCCAATATTGAGAACAAACGATCTTATCCTCCTCCTTACCCATTATTAGACCTGGGATATATCTATTTTTCCAATCGAAGATTAGCGTTTGGCATTTGCAACAATTATACTTTTCCTTATCTATACCGGTTGTCGACCCGCCGAATTGGTTGATGCAATCAAAGGGAAAATTGCTATTGGTTGCGATCAAATATATGAAGACAACAATTGGGATAATGAATATGAGGGCTTGGATGAGACGAAAGATGATGATCTTATATATGAGAATCCAGAGCCTTGAGTCGATCCAAAGATCTCCGATTGCGATGATAAGAATGATGAGAATATTCTTATACGAGAATATAAAGCTCTCTATTATGAAGATATTCGTCTTTGGATTATCTGAAATCCTACCTTTGGAGAACGTAATCTCCTTGAAATGGAGACCACTCTTGTTCATCACAAAGGAGCTGATAGGAAACCCAAATCATACGTTCTTGATTTGATGTGTTTTGATCTTGCTAATGTAATATTCGTAGGATTATGTTTCTTTTTCACAAAGAAGCTTTACCAATTCTTTGTCCTATTAACTATATCTTAATCATTGCTACCAGGGATAATACAATCAAGGTAGACGGATTTACTCACGCCGAACCTTTTTTTTTATAAACAACCTATAAAATCTTATAAAAGTAGTTTTAACGTATTGGAAGCTAGAGAAACTCAAAATACCGATCTTTCGGTAGATGATATGGATATTTGATGGTCTATCAACATCAGAACATAAAGCCCTCCGTTACTTGACCTTTGCATATTACCTTGATCGTCTTGATTGAGCTGCCGGATTTGCACAGAAGCTAACCAGCTATTGTTTCCATCGAAATATTTAGAATACTATAAATGGTAAGATATTTCTGTAAATACTTTGTATTCTTGTTGATATCTTCTAGGGACAGTTACAATTGTTGTACATGATTAGATGATAAAGTATAACCCTCAGATAGAAATCTTTTGCGGATCTTATATCAACGAAAAGGTCCGGTTTATCGTTCAGATGCGGTATTAGATCAGCCAACGAATATCGGATTCCTTTATGCCTTTATGTATATGAATCTCACATATAATTTGCATGCCCCAATCGATGTACTCGAAGAGATTCTGAAAACTCTTTCTTCGGATCTAGAAATAATAGAACCTAAAAGAGAACGCAAGGAATACAAAAGACAATATAGATCCTACAATCGAGCTCCACCTGAAATCCGCAAAAAATATAAACAACTCCGTCGACAAATTGATTCTTTACAGAAACAATATGATCGAATAATCAAAATAGAGTTCTGGCGAGATTATTTCGATTGTATTTATAATAAAGAACTAAAGAGACAATTCAAAAAGGTCCCTATAAACGAATATGTTGAACCTGTCGTTCATCACCAGCTTCCAGAACGAACTCGACTCCAAGAAGTGCTTTGTGATTTCTCGAGGGACATAAGCCCAAGCGATATCGTCAACCGCCGGATCCGTATCATTGACTTAATAATAGCATTCTCCTATCGACAAGAACAAGAAGTTCAACATAGCAACCACTCAAGTAGGGAATCTTCAGAGTTTTCTGAGGAACAACCTTTGTGCGAGAACCCCTTTCCTCTTCTTTGTAAAAAGATTTAATGTATTATATGTATCGAAGACAATCGAAGTACTTATAAGTATCGGACATGTACTTATACCACTTCACACAAAATGATAAATCATATAGATAGCCATTTGAAAGAAGTTCCGAAATTCCAGAGAATATCCTATGCTCATCCTGTTTGTCAATCGGAAGTGCTTATTCTTAAACACTTACAGCACTTCAAGAATCATGTACAAATTGTGCATGGTATCAGCCTTTGACCCTAACACTATCGAATAAGGTGTTAGGGATTGATGTAACAACTTGAAAAGGATCAACAGTCCATCGGAAGGGTAACTTGACCAGGGCTTCGGTGTTATGAGGTCTTGCCTTCTAGATCACGTGGAAGCAATCTAGGTTCTCTCGAGGTAGGTTTATCACTAGGCGTCAAGTAAGGGTTCGATAATAACAGTAACTAAAATGCAATTCGTAACTAGATAGTAGAATATACTAAATGATTGTTTGTCTTGAGCACGAAGCTCTACAGTAGGGAAATCCATCCTGATTATATAGACCTTCATGAAACCGATTATCATCGCTATCATTATTATCATCAGAGGAACTTTGCTGATAATGCTGATAATTAATTCTCATCACCTCTTGGCTGCTAAGACCGCTGATAATTCTGGGTCACGTGGATAGGCCCTTTGTTACCGAAATAGGCTCCGAATCAATAGCCTCCACTCCCCCATCTAAAAAGCTATTCACGACCATTGGTGAAGGTATTGCCACATAGAAGTGAGCTAAAATCCCTGTTGAATAAAGAAATAAGTGGATAGATAGAATCAAAGAGCGTTTATATAAGGTTTACAATAGAATTTCTCCTTTGTTCATCTTTGTTCCTTCTGCACCCTGAATCCATCTGTCAAAACTCATCTGCCTCTTCCCTTCGCTCTATTGCTACTATTAATTGGGTCCTTCTCGCTCCTGCTTTTCCAGGAATTTCCACAATTTATCATATGAAGGATGAAGAGCGATTCGTTTGCTTGGATTATGCCATGTCCCTGAATTGTGCAGAGATTGAACAAATTTCCATTCTAAAGCTGTTATTCGTAGCGAGCTAAATAGTGCGCCTGGTGTTTCAATCTTATATTTTCGAATAGCTTGCATAATCCGGATCATAATCTCCCTCAGAGACAGAAATTTCCCAGACGGATCTGCTTCATTAGCCGTAACAAACAAGTTTGTTAAGTGAGGAAAGAAGGAATTGGGTCGCTCCCAACGATCAATCAGTTGCTCAAACCCTTTGATATCGATTATAAGCTGTTGAATATTCTCTGTACCTAGCTCGTCCGTCCTTGCTACATGCAATACATCCCAAATTCCAGATTTACCAGATTCTGTTGTGAGACATATTATATCGCACTCCGGCCGGAAATGTATACCATCCCGGTTAACCAATTTATGCGGGATGATTGTGTGAATAGAAGTCGCAGCTTTGTTGTCCAGAAAGCTTCGCACATAGATAGTAGAGCTAGAAGCGAGGCGTATACCAAAGCAAAGGTTGTATGCCCCGATGGCTAGCTGACGAGACTCTTGGCATGTATGAACGATGGCTGGTAGTCGAAGCCTATAAAATCGACGAGGTTTCTTAGAAGCAAAGCAATCGTATATACAAAGTCTTTGTAGGCCTTTAGACGAGACTTTCCCGATTCCATCATTTCTATCAATATAAAGTATTCTTTTCTTATCGCAATCAGATGGCATAAACGGAAGGCCAATCGGGATGATTTGAGGAGGAGGGATCATAAGCTGCCATATTTGGCAGCGTATCTCAGGTGGGAGTTGCGGAAACAGATGAAAAGACTGAAGTGGCTCTAGAATTCCACATCGAAGCCTCCGCATCTCCTTTTCCTTATTTTGTAATCGAACCTTGAGCCTCATTATCTCCTCATCTCTTTCTCGGACCTGAAGCCGGAGCTCCTCATTCTCTCGAACGCAATTGATCGATAAGCATCCCTTTTTACATTCAGAATCCATGATAAGACAAATATAAAACGGGTCGATAGCGGTTCGGCGATAGTGTTGGAAACTATAAAATTTTAGGTCTGTTAAGAATCAGCTTGCATAAATAATAGCGGAGAAGGGCTTTTAACAAAGAACATACAAGTAATCGTTAGTCGGTAACAGAATTTGATAAGAGCAATAACACTATAGTTCCTCATATAGAAGTGAAATCTTTACGAATTAATTTACACAACTTGATGTTATGTGGACGTTACAATACGATTAATGAAAAGCTGTGGTGGTTTTTACTAAAGGTCAAGCAGGGCAATGGTTGTTGTGATAGATTCCAGCCTGTAGGCAGGGCTCTATTAGTAATACGGTAGAATATCCTAGAATATTCTGGTGGGGGTTCGACACCACCACCTTTGTGTAAATAACCTGGTGTTACGAGGTTTGCCGTCTAGTCACGTGGAAGTGGCTAGGAACTCAAGGTAGGTGTCAAGCAGGCAATAGGAAAATCATGGGGAATTAGGAGAGCTTGGGCCTTGTGCAAAAGCGATCAGATTTCATCGAATTAATATGTGATCTGGGTCACTTTAGGATCGTATGCGCACGCACCGTCAGAAAACACGTGACTTGGAGCTTTTGGAGCTTGAGGATCCAAAAGGATCCAAGGGAACATGAAGATCTATATATTCAGTATGAATTTCTTTATTGTAGAGCTTCGTGCTCAAGATCAATCATTTAGTATACTCTACTATTAGTTACGAATTGCATCATTGTCATTGCTTGACGCCTAGTTATAAACCACCTCGAGAGCCTAGAGCACTTCCACGTGATCTAGACGGCAAACCTCGTAACATTTATCACTGGTATTCACTTGGAAGTGAATTCGTTACTAGATCAAGTAGAATGTAGGTAAACTAATTGATAACTAAGTTGAGCACGAAGCTCCTAAACTATGAAACTATTCTGACTATATACTATCGATTTCCTGACTGCTAGCAGTGCTAGCAGGCTAGCATAGCTAGCACATCACGTGATTCTACTTTTCACATGACACTAATCCTGCGATGGTGAATCGTGACATGTATGTGAAAAGTGCAACGATAAATATATTCGAAAGTCATTTGTAAGTAAACTAGCTACTAGGCACTCGGCACTCCTATCTCTTCTCCCTCTTCCCTTCCCTTCCCTTCCCTTCCCTTCCCCTCCCCTACCACTCCCACAAGTTTTTAAAATAATCAATAAAATCTTCGAAAGAAATTTTTAGGCAAGGAAACTTTCTCGATGCCTCCTCTCCTCTCATCTTTAACCCACTTATCGCAAACTATTTAATCTCCTCTACCCATCTAATTCTCTAACCCCCCATTTTGAACCTTCTCTAAGATGCCCTTAAACTCTTTCCACTCCTTCATAATAACCTTACAACCGGCCTCCAACAAAACGCCCTCCATCCTCTCCCTCTCATCCAACTCATAACTCCCCACATAACCCACCGTGAAAATGCCCGCTCGAACCGCTGCCGTAGCACCACTCTTACTATCCTCAATCGCCACACATTCCTTTGGCTTGACACCCAATTTCTCCATTGCAAAAATATAAACCGCCGGATCAGGTTTACTCGTTGGTTTGGGCAAACTACTCGCAGCGCTATAAATCTCCCCACCAAAATATTTCGCCTGATCAACTTTCTCTACCGAAGCTTTAACTCTACGTAAAGCACTGGAAGATACAACAGCCATTTTATATGTTCCTTCTTTCTCAAGACGGATCAATTCTTCATCGACACCCTCGCAGGGTTTAAGAGCAGCCTTGAGTTTTCCAATCACTTTATCTTCTTCTTTACTCACGTAGCTTTCTAATTCGGCATCATCCATTTCGTAATTATATTTTTTCTTGAGACTTCCAATCATACCGCGGAAATTCTGTCCGACGAATTCGTGTAAGAGTTGTGGACCTGTGTAGCGGTCATTGATACCGCGAGCGGAGAGGATTTCATTGGCGAGATCGGCACAAGCCTCGAAGGCGAGGGATTCCGAGAGTACGAGAGTGTTGTCACAATCGAAGAGGAGGGTGGTTATCTAGTGGAGGAGGTTAGTTGGGGTACAAATGGGTTGGGAAAGATTGGTTGACGCGTGGAGGGAGTTGGAGCTTCAGATCATGAATGATTGATCGATATAAATGAAGTAAAGGATTAAAGCACCAAATCAACCATCCATTCAGGATCAATCCATACAAACACAAAGTATAGAAGTACAAAATTATAAGTTACCAAAAAAAAAAGGGAGAACCAACAGGAGCCATATTTGCAATTGTCAACAACAGAAATACTGAACAGAAGTCGTAGAAGTCGTAGATTCGTACGTAATTCGTATATTCGTAGATTCGTAAATCTTATTTATCTTCCTCACACAGAAGCAAGAGCAGACGAAAACCACAGAGCAAAGCGTGTAATTCCTTCTTTCTTTCTTGTATTATCTGTCTTTTCGAATGTCGAGAATTTGAAAACTAGAGACTCTAGGATCAGGTTGTAGGATTCTAGCCAACTCAAAAGAAGAACAGAAAGAATTCGTAAAAGGAGAGGGAGAAGGTGGATAAAGTACGCGGATATCTATCTGTGTGACCTTAAAGTATGTGAAAGGATTCTCTCGAAAGGAAGAAGAGAACTTAAGATCTTAAATCTTACACTTTCCGTAGGTACTACGTACGTACATACATATGTTGAATCAGTGGGGTGTCATTTTCTCCCCTCTTTCCTCCACAGCATAAGATTACATATATGCACAACAGTTCCGTGTAACTGTAACCCCTCGTGTAACCCCGCCATTTGATTTTAATGGAATGGTTCGTCTGTATTTCATAGTATGACGCCGATTATTATGGGGCTTGTGCTAAGGTTAAGGTTACCGCTTCCTTTTCTTCTGTTCATCCAACAATCACTAGGGTTAATTCAATTCTACTATCCTGCTTTGGTAGATAAATATTAATATCATATATACCAAGATAATGTAAAGCGTTATAAAACTTCCTTTCTTATTTCCCTCCTTTTTCTATTACCCAAAATTATTAATCTTATCGTTCAATATAAAATCAAATAACTACCTACCTAGGTAATAATCATATATAAATAAAACTTACAAACTAAACTATATTCATCAATCAATCTACCTACCTAGTATATCATATCATTTCAAAACTTCACAAATAAGATTACAAAACATACTATCAGATACATAGCTACCTACCCACCCAACCTTATTTTAATATATTTACCTAGTATCTATCCCAACCAAGTCCCATTTCGCCTTCCCATACCTTCTCTTACTCCATCCTACACTATCCCACCAATATCATCCATCCATCCATCCATTCAATCGTCACCCATCACACATCCTCACACATCCCATCACACAACCCCATCCATACATCCTCCCACATACTCACAAGTTGGGCACCAATCAATCCATCAATCATCGGGCCGTGGATAAACCAAAAATCTAAAGACATTTAACTACCTAACCCCAGACAAGAAATACCTAAACTAAACATCTCAATTATAAAAAAGAATCACAAACAAGATCTTATATCAATAAAATCACACTTTAAACATTAAACCTTCCGCTTTAAAATGTTTGCTTCCATTTCAACAACCTTAATTATCTGTTAATACCAAACCAGGTAAAGTAAGTAACTTCATAATTTCTTAATTTCATAATATCATAATTTCTAAATAAAAAAAATCATAAATAAAAAAAATCCACCGTAAAGATATCCTCTGGATCCAAAATCATGCTTATCCTCATTCACATTCACACTCACACTCACACTCACCCTCACCTCACCCTCTAACGTCATACTCCTATCCTCGTGTTTACCTATGTTCATGCCAAGTGAAGCCGTCCACAAATATGTCCCTAAATCCCCCGAAATGTACATATCATATGCAAGTCATGTTTCCTTTTTATCACATGCTGTTCTCATACAATCAAATACATATTATACATATAATACATGCAATAAATGCATGCATTCACATGTAACTGTATGTGTTCCTTCTTCAACCAATCCATCCATCCATCCATCCATACACCAATCCAGCAAATACATACACATAATTTTGTAAGTATCCATTGGTATGAAAACCACAAGAGTACGACCAGAAACGCCAACGCAAAATCATCTATTCTGTGTCATTCATCCATGCATCCGTTCATGCATTACTCATTTATTGATGAATAATGTATTTCCTCACGGTTCACCAATCACGGGGATATTATCATAATTCCCCGTAGGAAATTGAGCTCGTCCTGTCCTAGAGTTTTGCGATCCTCCATACCCACTCGCACTATATCCTGTATACGCCGTTGAAGCCTCCAAATCATCATGATGAGCCATCGATGTAGGTGCGTATGAACCTCCGTAACTCGAAGGTTCGTAATCTGGTGTGTGAACTCTCCCTACGAAATTTCCTCCGGGATATCCATCATCGTGTAATTCATGTTCTTCATGTTCTTCTGCGTTATGAACGGGTGCATATTCGTCATCGTGGGGAGCGGTGGAGAAGGCTTCTTTGTCGGGATCAATCATGGCTGCGTTATTGGGGGCTCGAGATGCGCCTGGTAGATACCCTTCTCTTCTGTAGTACATAAGGCCATAAACTGACATGGCTGTTGAAAGGATCCAAAAGAGCCTATGATTTTGGGTCAGAGATCGACTACTGAGGGTCTGATGAAGAGGGTAGAATCATACCATAAAAATACTCCCAAGCCAACAACTGCCTTGCTCACTTTACAGCCATTTCTACATTTTCCAGTTCCATTCCAATTTGCGACGGCTGCAAATGCCGATAAAGCCATGATACACCAAACGAGATCAATAACCAACAGCGCATATGGGTTTGCGAATTTCCTCGTCCTTGGAAATCGTACCGTCATGGTAAGATATATCACTGCCGGTAAAATCAAGAAAGTCTATTCAAACTCATCAGTAACCAAACACATCTCATCTGCGAAAGGACAAAAACATACATAACCGAAATTCCATCCGAGTCTTCCATCAACAATTGCAGATGATCGCATCACGACAATATCTAAGATCCATATGACGACCGCCATGGAGAGCTGTATGATATGTACCGCTAGTTTGTACTTTTGTAAATTATGTATTGAGAACTCCATCTTGATGGTATCTTGATGGATGAATGTGAGCGCAATAGAATGTGAAGTTGGTACGTATTTTCACGGTTTGTTCGGAATCTTGTGTTTGTAGGGTGCCTCGTATATAATCGAGGGGCTGAAGATAAAAGCAAACGCAGAATCACCTAAGTGTGTGACGTTTGTTCGGTGTGTAGGTATGTAGGTATGTAGGTATATAGGTTTAATATTCACGATCCTGAGAATAAAAAAAGAGGTTCTTGAAATGGAAAGAAGAAGATAGAATCATAAAATGCAAATGATAAATGATGTAAAAATAACAACCAGGCAGAAATCAAATCAAACCAAAGCAAATAAATCCCCAAATCGTCAAGAGAAAAGAGGCTCATCAACTCGTACGCGTATCGTATTATTTTGGGTATCAGTTTAGAGTAATTCGTTAAAAGCTCAGCTGTTTTATGAAATCTTGGTTTGTGATAACTTGGTTGCTCCTTGATTTAATATGTTTCTGGCGAATCAGGTGGATCAGAAAGTGATGGGATTTGTTTATTTTAAGTAATAATTGGGTCAGACCATTAACCTTAAGTAATAAACCGTCTTTTCTCGTGGCCGGGCAACCAGTAGCTCAAAAGTTAATGAGAAGGCTGAGACTTTGAAGCAAGGGAGGCTGCGTAGGGTCTGAATGATATGATGTAGATGTTCCAATGTAAGTATGACTTTCAATTTATATAAAACGCTTATTATTATTTTAACCTCTTGAATCGCCGATTATCATTTCAGACATTTTGTTCATAAGTCCATGGATAAGATAGATCGTAGGTATATATGAAAGCAATTCCCACTTCTCATCCAATGTGCACAAACATCAGTACTGAAATTCACGGTTGGTAGATGATCAAAGTTCCCCGCACGGTACTTCGGTAGGTACACTGTAAACTAGGTATCCTCCGCTATATCATCATTTTCGCGCCGGACAAGGGACTTCACCGCCGATCTCTAGCTTTACTTATCCACCAACCCACCAATGCATCACAATCTCCAAATGGTTATCGTCGTCGACGTGGAAATCTATTACAATATGATTTTGAAAAAATTACCATCAATCTTCAAACATCAGAGAAAATTGGTGAGATATCGGTGAGTAACTGTATGTTTGATTTATAATTCAGAATATCTTCATTGTATTCACACACATCTTTGCTTCTCTTATCTTTGGCTCCCGACTCTATATCTTCTATCATGATAAATCTATAGCCACATAAACAAGACATTACACAACCTTTACTCCCGTCCAAAATGGCTTCATCCAACCATTTAGATGAAGAAACACCCCTCCTCTCCGATCCTACCGTCCAATCACCATCTATCTCAGAAGATCCTTCTGCATCTGCAGAAACAACAATTATTCCAGATGAACCCAGTACCAAACGTCTAGTAATTACCCTAGGCGCAGTCTGGGTAGGTGTTTTTCTCGGCGCCCTCGATTCAACTATTATCGCGACCCTCTCTGCTAGCATCTCTACATCTTTCAATTCCCTTTCTCTTCTCTCCTGGCTCGCTTCCGCATATCTCATAGCAAACGCAGCATGTCAACCGCTTTCTGGTCGTCTTACCGATATCTTCAGTCGAAGAACGGGTCTAATTGTTAGCAATATACTTTTCGCTCTTGGAAACCTAATATGCGGGTTGGGCAGATAGTCAATGGGTGATGATATTTGGGCGAGTGGTCGCAGGATGTGGAGGTGGAGGTTTAATGGCTATAAGCACTTTTGTGGGAAGTGATTTGGTTCCGCTTAGAAAGAGAGGGGTAGTGCAAGGAATTGGAAACATTTGTTATGGAACGGGAGCGGGATTGGGAGGGATTTTTGGAGGTTGGATAAATGATACTTGGGGATGGAGAATGGCTTTTCTGGTTCAGGTACCTTTTATTGTGGTTTCCGGAATCGTGGTTGCTTGTTCCGTCAATATCCCTCCTAAGAAAAGCGAAAAGTCGAAATTATCAAGAGTTGATTTCTTGGGCTCATTCACCCTGGTTCTTACTCTCGTTCTTCTTCTCCTAGGGCTTAATTCCGGTGGAAATATAGTTCCATGGAATCACCCCCTCGTCTATGTTTCGCTTTTCCTTTCTTTGGTTTCCCTACTTGGTTTCATATACGTCGAACTATACATCGCATCCGAACCCGTCATCCCCGTTCGACTCCTCGTCAACCGTACCGTTCTTGCAGCCTGCCTTACAAATTGGTTCGTCACAATGGTTATCTTCATGATTATCTTCTACGTACCACTATACTACCAAGTCCGTGGTGTATCAACCACTGCTTCTGGTATGCGACTTATCCCTCAATCTATCGGTGCCTCTATAGGTTCTTTAAGCTCTGGTATCATCATGAATAGGACTGGCAAATACAAAGCTGTTAGTCTTGTTACACTTACCATGATAGTTATCGGTACTGGTTTATTAGCAACTTTAAATCCAAGTACTCCGGATTGGCCAATTTATATCTATCTCTCCTTAACAGGAATGGGTTACGGTGCAATTCTCACTACCACACTTTTGGCCATCATCTCAGCAGTATCTCATGATCATCACTCCGTTATCACATCAGCATCCTATGCATTCCGTTCTACGGGATCCACAATTGGCATCACAATCGCAAGTGCAGTATACCAGAATATACTTAAAACACGCCTGTGGGAGAAATTTGGGGATCAACCAAATGCGGAGGAAATTATCAAGAAGATTAGAGATTCTTTTGATGAGTTGAATAGACTTCCCGAGGGTTGGAAAGAGGGTGTCATGGAGAGTTATATGGATTCTTTTAGAGGGGTTTTCTTGACGGCTTTGGGTTTTGCGGTGTTGATGGCGGGGGTCGGAAGTATGATGAAGCAAAATGTTTTACATGAGAGATTGGATAGAAGTTAGGGGTGTTGAGGTTTTGAACCTTGGACCTTGGATGTTGGATCTTGATTGGACCTTAGATGTTGGAAGGTGAAGGATTGGGGATTTTGAATAATGCAAAGATTTATTCAACGACGGGAGATTGATCAGTCGGGTATTTTCGAATATCTAACATCTTTGATGTTTTGTCTGTGGTACTGGGATTACAATGGAGTGTATATAGTAAGTATACTATACTTAAATCGAGACGATACAATGCAATGGAAGGACAATACAAGGAGTTGGAGTCGGAAGATATCTTAGATATAGATGATGTACAGCAGGAAATTGTAGGTAGATGATGGATTTACATATATATAGGTTTGAGAAACGAGAGATATTTACTGTAGGTTCATGTAATATTATGACGTTATCATTCCATGACAGATATTGTGAATATATGAAAAATACCAATTAATATCTAATAAAATAACATAAGAAAATTTAATCCTAATCTTTCTGATTACCTAGGTATCTAAACTCCACGTTTGAATTTTGAAAAGAAGAGAACCAGCAGGGAATCTTAACTCCCGCCCTTTTGATAACGCCCCGATAGACATGACTCTCTGTCTTCAGAGAACATGTAAAGAAAATACAACTCCATCCACTTCATCTAAATAGCGCATCATACCTCAAGCACTACTAGGTACAATTGCGGAATTTCTCAATCTCCTTCTTCAAAACGTCCCTCTTCAACTCAAGAGCCTCTTTATTCAATCTCGCAACCTCATTTTTTAGTTCCGTAACTTCATCTTTATCGACCCCCGAAGCATCCTGCTTAAATTCCGAAACTCTTTCCGTTCTAAGTTCTTCAAGTTGTTTATTACAATGGATAATTTGCTCTGAGAGTTCGACAAGCGAATCACCCAATTCCGTATGTCGACGTGCCAGTCCTGCATTTTCTTCTTTGAGTTTTGTAATTTCACCTCTTAATTCCAGGATTTCTTCAGCTTGGTTTCGGGCTTGCTTTCCCAATATTTCAATTGTGCTATATATAGATGCGATTTGTTGGGCTTGATCGGAATTCTGCTCTTGGAATGTTTCGGTGCTCTTGTGATTCTGAAGCATCACGTGATGCGTAGCGGTTATCAGTTCGTGTACTTCAATGAATCGATCCTCGATATTCCATGGTTCGTTGACATTTCGCTTGCTGTGATCGGATGAGTTGGCTTCCGAGCTGTCTGAGCTGTAGAAGTCGTCATCCGATGAGATCTCGATGGAAGGTAATGGGGTATCCTTAGTAAGAGCATCTGAATCAGTGTCTGACAAGTTGTCGAACATTTCCTCTTGACGACTAAACACAGGACTGTTGATCTTTGAATGTAAGTCTTCATCTGTTTCAATAAGATCCTCTGTCCTGCTAGGAGATGGAGCACGAGAAAACATATTAGGAGGTTCTGTGATTTTCTCCTCGGTATCATCGAGGCCCACAGAGACGCTACGACTTTCAGTAGGAAAAGCAGAGTGGTGAAAGAACATGGGTGGAGACTGTACTTCAAAAATATCAGGGCGGTCAAGGTTATGTATTTGATGAGACTCCATGAAAAGAGCAGAGTCTTGATCGGGTGAAGCATTGTAGAGGTCACTCTCATATCCGTTTGGTGAAGCATGTGACATTTCCGTCTTGACATCTTCATCGAGCTGCAAGACGTTCTTGAGTTGAGCGACTCTTGCCGCTCTTTCAATTTCTGCTGGAGAACGACTGCCTGCAGTGACACTAAATCGAGATTGCTGTGGTGCTTTTACATCATATCCTTGATAAGAATCATACGCTTGTCTCTTCGAAGGTGGTAAGTCTTCTTCTTCATCGTCAGAAGATAGCCTTCTAGTGAAGCGCTTTGAGTTTGGAGAAGTTTTCTTCGTAGGGCTCCAGTGATTTGATACGTCGAAAGATTCGAATTTAATGTCTACCCAATTGTAAGATTGCTTTCTGTTGAAGCTCTTTGAATTTGGAGAGATTTTCTTTGTGGAGTTCATGCAATTTGATACCTCTCCTCTTGCTGTTTGAAATGACCCTGAAGGTCCTAGACCAAAGAGCTTTACACTGTTAGTTTCAATAGCATCTTGAATAAAATCGAGCAAAGCTTACGTTTTGTTCTGAAAGATATTGGTCTTCAAAATCCTCTCCATTGCCGCTAATTGGGCTTATTTCTCTGAGTTTATTATTGTCTGGAGCCATTTTTCCAATTCTGTGGAGAATATTGTTAGTTTTGCGGCACCAAATGAATAAAAACATTGACTTACGGAGCTTTGAAGTCTTAAGAAGACAGGGTACCTCTGATTTAGAAGAAAAAGCAATGTCGGAGGGAATCAGAGAATCTTAAATCTTGTGATGGTTTGAGACTAGGAAGGAAGAGTACCGAAGTGAACAGACTATACCTACAAGAAGAGAACTTACATCTGGCTAAAAGATTCAAGGCGTTTTATAACTAACGTTGCTGTGGGAAGGACTTTCCTAGTAAACCAAGTCTTCATGTGATCTTCATGCGATCTTCAAGTATTTGTTGCATATCTATCTCACGCGCACGGTACTTCAGTTCGAATATCTAGCCAAAACGGTTTTGGGATGTACAAGCCGGTAGCATTAGCTATGGTTAGATCAAACGGTTTACTACTAGTAACCATACTTAAGCAAGAAGCTTTGATCTCTGTTTTAGTGTGCCAGGGAATTTGAACGCTAAATATATCCGCTAATGGGCAAATACCTGGGATATGTGTTCCTAGCCCAGCGCCGTCACCGTTGATATCACTAGGACATCTAGAACGCCCTATGCACTTGATAAGACTGAAGATTATAGTCAGGTTTAAGCTAAATCATCTCTGGCATTTTGAAAAATTTCAAAGAAAAACTTCCCCCAAGCCAACCAAAACGACTTTTAATCTTTGTAAATTCGGATGTTTTGAGTTTTAACGGGGTCGTTTTTTCCTCGGGGTAGTTTTTTAATCTATCTACTGGTCCAGGGGACGACAGAGGTTTTGCTAGTTTTTGTGGTCGGGGTAAGGCTAGTTAGTGTCTCTCCTTCCTCTTCTAAGTTGTGATAGGTTTGGGTGTTGTTGAAGATTGCGAGGTTTCGAGGATTACGGTTTTTTGATGAAAATTTAAAAAGAGAGGGTGATTTATGGGGGTTGAGATGGTTGCTGTAGTCATGTCCTGCTTTGGCTGGGCTGGTCTATTTGAAGGTTTGCTTTTTTCGAAACGAAAGTGATGGAAATATCGATATTGTATGTATGGATCGAACAGGCTATTTTTGGAGGTCCTATTGATTGTTGGAGAGGTTTTTGTTGATGATGGTAATAATACTGGCTGTAAAGTAGCTACTATTAAAGAACTCAATAGGGTGGAATAGATTTCAGGGGTAAGGTACATCGGATTTACTAAAATTGTTCCAAGCCATTTCAGCTGTAGAAATAGTAATTCTTATCGTCTGTCTGTACTATTGATATCCTTATTACTACTGTTGAGGGGGAAATTAATCATAATCATTAATTTACCTTACTTCTCTCATCATATAGGTATAGTTTATCACCCATAAAAGAGACTTGGTGAAATGGATATACTTAGCCCAATTTGTTAATCTACTAGTGCTCCAACTATATCCAACTTTTTCCATACTGCTGCTGTATTCGCTGAGTCGAGGAACAGAAAACTAAAAAGTTAACCTCGGCTAAGAATAAGTAAGTCATTGTCGCCTTGCTCAAATGCCAGTTAATTGTACTTATCATTAAGTGGCTTTTAAGGACTTATTTTGTCTAGAGGGGATAGATACTTCGAAGCGTTTAAATAATCTTACAAATGAGGGAGTTTGCAAGTAACGTATTAAAGAGGAGCAAGAATTGGAGAAGAAAATGAGGGGAAGTGGGGGAAGAAAGAGGAAGGGGAGTAGTGGGCTGGATGAGTAGGATATTCTAAACCGACAAAATCCCATTAAAACTCACCAAAACTTCGACCTCACATAATCTTACTTAAGTTTTAGAAAATCAAAACATGAAAAAGCAGCAACAAGTTCTTCCCAAGAGCTTATACACATAAGTCATATCTTCATAAACAAGAGCAAGAGAAAAAACAGCGACATCCGCTTCGCAATCGACGACGATCAAAAGAAAGTGGAAAGCCTATGGCAATTTTGTTAGCTAATCACATATCCCATTAAAATATACGAGGTGAACTTCCTCCTCGAGCTGGCAATCCTCCTTCCTCCTCATGCCTCGAAAGTTCGTAAATTCACATGCTCTCTTCCGTTCGTGTCCAGATATGTATTTGAACATGCAATACCTATGCTATTGCCATGGTGAAGAATAGCATGGTATACGCTATACTACATGGATCGATATCGACAAAAATAATATTAGTATTAGATTAACGATAAAAAAGCAATGATATCTGTTTATTTTTATCTTCCCGTTTTCTCCTCTTTGAGATACCGAATAAATCACCTCTGATTAATTTGTAATTGTAGTTGATTTATTTTTCTTTCCATCTCTTGTTCTTTTTGTTTCATCTCTTGGTCCTTTCGTGCCACCTCTTGGTCCTTTCGTGCCATCTCTTGGTCCTTTCGTGCCATCTCTTGGTCCTTTCGTCCCATCTCTTGCTCCTTTAGTTCCATCCATTGCCGCAATTCTTGAAGTTCCTGCTCATTTTGTTGTATCCGTTGCTCAGCCTCTTTCCCCAGTATTTTTTGATCGCACAGAGCTGTATAAATATCCGATTCATCAGAATCCCAATCGCAGTCTGCATAACGTAATCGCTGCCGTCCCTCGCTCAAATGAAGCGTTTTTTGTAATTTATTATCATAGGTGTATACTTCTGCAGTGTGTTCATTCGAACTGATAGCGATTTGCAAAATATGTGAGTGAATATCAGGATCTAAAAAGGGTTCTGTATTAGATCTTGAATTGGTTTTGAAATGAATAAAGTGTTATTACCTCTGATTTCTAATGCCTGAACTGTTGACTTTGGACAGAAATTAAGGACGATATAATCTTCGAGGATACCCCATCCGTGATATTTCCCTCCAATTCGAAATCGGTCCAAATGTTCTTCTACTCTATTCTTATTCCCAGACTGAAGTATTTCGATACCCCATTTTTTGTTTAGGATATAAAAATCTATTCTTCCATCTTTAGTATAAGAATATTCAGAAAGAATCTCTATATTATTAAGCTCATGACTAAAACAGCAATATATCTCGTTTTGAAACGCTGCTTCTGGGATCCCCCAACTACTTTGAGATCCCGGAGATTGTACTTGTAAAATAGATGGGCTAAACCTTTCTATAACATTGAGACAGGCTTGCCGAAGGGTGATTTTATCCAAACGAGTGCCTGGTTCTGGGCCTGGGAAAAGACGGTGATACGCATATCTGGTATCTATAATCAATATGGGTACAAATTCAATGTGGATAAAGATATTATATACCTTCGATGTATTGGGGAAGCAAAGGTATAGGTGATATCCCGTCTTCCAGGGTATGGCTGCTCGGTATGCAGTAAACCCATCTTGTAGCAAAAGGTAAAAGCATCATTAGACTCTCCATTCGGTAGAGTATAACCATGCAATAGCTCTGCTGCCGTGCGCAATGCCGCTTTCACCCTGAAAAATGGGATGTGGCTGTAAGGAGGCTTTTCAAGATACTTTTTAACTTGAAGCTCTGATTTAGATGTCCAAAGTCCTCGACCCCACCTATTCAATTCAGTTATGAAACCACTGTCCTCAGCAATAAGATCACAGCATAGTTGAAGCGACCATGATCGTGTACAACGAATGTTGTCCGGAAGCTGTCAGATGTTATTTACAGAACTGTAGTTTAGTGAAGATATAAAGGAATATAACTTACATTGGTGAAACAAAGTTTCAAATAATTCAAGATCATGTCAAGTACGCCCGGATGACCATTAGTAGCAGCATGAAGATATTCAAACATACCATTCTCAAGTTGAAAGTTCTGCACTGTAGCCCACTTCATCACCATAACAGATGTTTCTTTTGGTGTAAAGAGTATGTGTAGATTATTATTTGCAGATGGACGAAGTTCGATACGTTGAAATGAATCAACTAGAAGAGCTTGAGATGCAATCCCTGGTTCGTGAGCTGCGGAAATGCCTGAAATTCCATAAAGACAGACAAGCACGAATAATGATTGCGATCTGGTATTATAATTTTTCAAATTTTGATGCCAAAATTCTCCGTCCTCGTATGAATTTTGGGCTTCGTCGATCAGGAATACCTTTCTAGCTGCAGGATTGTGAGGACGAACTTTGGAGTTTTTTGATTGCCACTTTGATGCTTCGTTTCCCAGATATTTGTCAAATGGAAGATTATTACGCTGTTTCATAGTCTTCCACTCGATGTACACTGGTTCTAGATCCCTGTGCTCCTCAACTATGTGATAACCTAGTAGCTTAAGAATAACTGTCTTGCCTACAAAAGGTGTAGCACGGATAACCAGAACCCTTGTATCGAGTAGTCTCTGCATAATCGAGGTAACAAGATCCTGTCTCTCGCAAAGGTAATCACAAACAGGGTTCCAAGGATGTGTCATATCGTGATGATCGTCAAACTGATGCGTACAGTTGGTACAACTATCAACAAGGGAGGTAAAGACTCCTTGTTGGCAATTACACCTTTGACAGAAGAAGTGGGTAAAAGTGTTAGGAGGTAGGCTTGGAGATAAAAAGTCTGTGTTTGCTAAGGATAACTCGTCTTTATTGTGGCCTTGATGTTTGGGGGATTCTTGTTCTGGCTTTGGTTCTAGCGGAAGAGGCTTCTTCGGTCGTTTTTTACGGCTTTGGTTGAACAATCGATTTAGCCGACGAGGTTTTAGAGAACTAACAAGCTTTTGTGGATAAGAAGTTTTAGAAAGATATAACTCTACATCATTTGCAATAGATGAGAAACATCTTTTAGATTTAGATCTAGTAGTTACAGGCATTTTCCGCACTAGCTATGGGCAAGTAAAAGTAGATTTGTGAAGAGGAAAGAAAGTTCTTGTTTCTTCATAATCAATATATGAATAGAAGTTCTTTGTTTGGAGAAAAGTAAGTGAAAGGAATTGTATTTTCTATGGGTTTCTCGGACTTGGTAGAGGGCAGGAATTCTTTGTAGTAACCCCTTTTGAAGACAGCTAATAAAAATATGTCACGAAAGCACACAAGATGGCTAGAAAGTACTTGCTGGCGCCAATTTCATGTGCTAGATCCACCAGTCGCAACCTTCCCGACCATGAAGCAGAGCTCTCAACCGTGCGTGATCTCAGGGAACACCCGAAGCCGAAACCTCTGTCGAAACTATCTGGATAAACTATGGAAGTGGAATTCGAGTATTCTAGTAAGAGAATTTCTTCGTGATTGAAATCATCCCATCTCGTATCGTTGTACTGAACAAGACGACCATGGTTCATTTGTCTTAGTCATGAGGTTGGCGGGGTTGGCGGGATAGGAACTATAATCGCTGAAGGTAAGAAAAGAAATTAAATAAATACATCCTTATCCTTTCTTAACGATTAGAGGATAGTATTAGGCTTCTGTTGGGTTTCTTAAGACCAGAAAGAGTATCAGATTGAATTGATTGATTCTCTAGCTAAGCAGTTAAGCTGCGAGCATATATTCAAAAAAATGAAGGAATAGGTTGGGTATTCGGCCTTCGGAATTAAAGTGCTTTGAAATCAAAATATTGAAAGCAAACAAACAGTATACCAAAAAGGAAAGAATGAATTAAAAGTTGAGTTTTGTTTGCTCCTTATATGCATATGTACTATATATGCATATGCTGCCAAGATCCCAGGAGGTCAACAGCTTCCAACTAGAATATTTGAAGACTTTGGTTTAGTTTTTGGAAGTAGTTCAGGGGTTTAGTTCATCCAGAATATGGTTCCTGAATGTGGACGTTCATGAAATTTGGAAGGGAGGGATTAGTGCTCGAGATTGTATGAAACCACCATCTGCGCTTAGTTTGTAGATGTATCGGTATACATATGATTGCGGGTCGATAGGAGTCCTAATTAGTTTGTTGAAATGGGGATGATATAGTTCATTGTAAGATATGTATTTGTGATCCGGAGCTGCCGGGTACACCCAATTTCATAACGTGTGACCAAAACTAATCTTCAAATACTCGGGCTAGTCTTTGATGAGGCCTAGGGATTTAGCGAAACACATTTCTACACCAAAAGTATCTATTTCAAATATATAACGTAATTTATCACCGAGTGGGCCACTTTCACCTCAATTCACACTCTTCATATTCAACACGTGTTTTATCAACCATTTATTATGCAATCTACAAATAAAGAAGCACGTTTACTCTTAGCTATCGAAGCTTTTCAAAAAGATAAAAAACTAAGCATTCGGAAGGCTGCTCAACTATATAATATACCTCGCACAACGATCAGCCACAGAATGGATGGTTTAACTCCACATACAGAAACTCGAGCGAACTGCTATAAGATTACACAATTGGAAGAGGAAGTGATTATTGAATACATACTTGATATGGATCGAAGAGGATTTCCACCTAAAATCAAGGGTGTAGAAGATATGGCGAATTATATTCTTGAATCAAGAAGTGCGAAGAAAGTTGGAAAGCTCTGGGCTCATCGATTCGTAAAGCGTCATACAGAATTAAAGATATGTTTTAATTGTACTTGTAACTTTCAAAGAGCTCTCTGTGAAGATTCTAAGTTTCTTGAGGAGTGGTTTCGATTGGTATCGAATATACAAGCAAAATATTGTATTCTGGATTGCGATTTCTATAATTTCGACGAAACAGGCTTTATAACGGGGATTATAAGTGTTGCAATGGTTGTAACTGATGTTGAACGATGAGGTAGAGGTAAAGCAGTACAACTAGGCAATCGAGAATAGGCTACAGCAATTATATGTGGTAATGGGGAGGGTGAAACTATACCTCCATTTCTGGTAGTTCAAGGACAAATTGTTGGGTTTCTTGAGACTAGAAAGAGTATCAGATTGAATTGATTTATTCTCTAGCTAAGCAGTTAAGCTGCGAGCATATATTCAAAAAAATGAAGGAATAGGTTGGGTATTCGGCCTTCGGAATTAAAGTGCTTTGAAATCAAAATATTGAAAGCAAACAAACAGTATACCAAAAAGGAAAGAATGAATTAAAAGTTGAGTTTTGTTTGCTCCTTATATGCATATGTACTATATATGCATATGCTGCCAAGATCCCAGGAGGTCAACACAAATCCATCTTTCCAATTAGTACACCGAAACCGATTTTCCTGCGGATTGGGCTATCAAACCTATTTCCAATGGATGGACGAATAATGAGACAGGATTAGAATGGTTAAAGCATTTCGATAAACATACGATTCATCGAAGAAAGGGCAAATATCGAATGTTAGTATTAGATGGACACGAAAGTTATGAATCAATATCTTTTTAATCATATTGCAAGGCAAATGATATTATATATATAAGATTACTATCGTATTCAAGTCATTTAACTCAATCACTTGATATTGGGTGTTTTAGTGTCCGAAAACGCTTGTATGGTTGTCAAATTGATGGATTTATCAAGGCATATATCAATCATATCTCCAAGGTTGAATTCTTTATAGCTTTTAAAGCTGCATATCAAGAATCAATTACAGTTCAGAATATGGAAGCTGGGTTTCGAGGAGCTGGATTAATATCATTTAATCCCGAAGCTGTACTCTCAAAATCAGATATTCGAATTCATACATTTACTCCTCCTCCTTTCGATTTGGATCTTTGGATCTCTCAAACCCCTCACAATCCAACTGAAGCTCTTTCTCAATCAACTTTAGTAAAATCTCGAATATCTCGTTATCAATCAAGCTCTCCTACACCTATATTCAAAACTGTACTAGCTTTAGCTAAAGGCACAGAAAGATTGGCACATGAAAATACACTTTTAAGTGCAGAAAACCGTACACTTCGGAAGGCAAATGAGGCATTAAGCAAACATCGACGTGCAAAAAAAACTCAATTACGGCAAGGAGGAGTACTTACTGGACAAGAAGCTATGGATATATTATCTCAGCAAGAGGTTGATATTCAGATTCAACGCGACGAGCGTCAAAATGGGGGGAATTCTAATGGGGAAGCATCTTCTAGTAGATGCTGTAGTAAGTGTGGAAAGCCAGGTCATAATTCAAGAACTTGTCAAATCAATATAATAGATCCTAGATTATTAGATTCCTAATAGTTTCAATCAATTGATTCAATTGTTGTTGAATAATATGTACTTGAAAGTGTAAATTGAGGTGAAAGTGGCCCACTCGGTGATAAATTACGTTATACTGTTAAAGTGAATGGTTCCTGCGTAGCACGTGCACAGGGTACTAGTCCTATTAGGACTAGATTGAGAAGCTCTCTATAGGAGAGCTTCGCACTTCACTAGAACTTAGATAGTGAGTGGTTAATATACAAGACCAATATAGCCTCAGCTCTGCCCTATTAGCTTCCCACTATTCTGTTACGATGGTAACAGCTGACTTGTTTTCGTAAGCTTGGGCCATGTGCAAATCGGTTTCGATTCGCTCAATTTACTATGAGATTTCGGTCACTCTAAGAATTCATATGCACGCATCATCAGAGCATATAAACAAGTATGCTGGATCACTACAGATCATTGGTGATCCAAGGTGATCCAAGGAATATGAAGATCTATATATTCAATATGAATTTCCTTTTGTAGAGCTTTGTGCTCAAGATCAATTATTTAGTATACTCTACTATTAATTACGAATTATATATCATTATTTGTCATTATTTAAGTCCCTGCTTGACGCTTAGTTATAAACCACCTCGAAAGCCTAGAGCACTTCCACATGATCTAGACGGCAAACCTCGTAACACAAAGTTATAATATTATAAAATTTGAATATTAAATATATTTCAGATTTTCAAAGTAAATTAAGATGTATAAAATCAAAAAATTATAAAATATTAAACTTTTAATAAATATCTATTGCTTTCTGAAATTTAAAGTATATGTTAAAAGGAATGACCTTATATGGGGAATATATTATGAGGTTTGCCGTCTAGATCATGTGGAAGTGCTCTAGTGTTACGACGGGTGTGACCAAAAGGGTGTTTATAGACCAGCAATTGTATTTAACTTAGAATCTACAGGTGAAGAGCACCTGTAGATGGGGATAGCTACTCTATATATACACAAATGAATGGCCTAGCCGCAATAGCTAGGCAAAAAGAAGTCATATTTATTCCTCCAATGATCTTACTTTACCGATAACCATTGATACCTAGTACTTGTCCGGATCTGATCCTCAGGTCACCTAAATCGCATACTAATCTCGAGTAATCGTATCATGTGTGGACATGGTTAATGTACCTGAGGTTTCTTATATAATAAGGGTGGGAGGAAAGCAGGGATTTCCGTCACACAATGATTACCAAATAATCAAAGTGAAAATCCCCTATACTAGACAGAAAAATTCTTCGATTTCTGGCATTTGATACTCCTCTACTTGAACAGTGAAGATATTAGCACCACGCTATATGGATGTTCTACAGAAACGAACGGGTATAAATAACCTCAAAGGTTATACTCAATTTAATAACTAGTTTCAAGTTCTAAAACGTGATTTTTTTTTAGCTTTATAAACTTTTTGCTGAAAAGTATTGTTTTATTTAATCTTCTTTATCTTTTATTCAATAATAACAAAACTAATATTATATTTTAAATTTAAACAAATGAATGTAACAATTCAAAATATTTGTTACGAGGTTTGTGTAACGATACTGTACTGGAGGCAGCGGCTGCCTAAGGTTCGTTGGTTGGTAGTTATGGGTTAAGGCTTTATCACTGGTCTTCACTTGGAAATGAAGTCGTTACTAGATCAAGTAGAATGTAGGTAAACTAATTGATAACTAAGTTGAGCACGAAGCTTCTATAACGTGGTTTATCAGGACCCTGTACATATCAGGACCCTGTACACTTTTACCTCAATTGCCCACATTCCATTGAAATAAAATTACAACAATACTATAAATTAGAATTAAATTACATACAATTCAAAGACCAACTAATACTGGATCTAATTGACAAGTTTGTGCATTATATGAAGCACTACCACATTTGCTACATCGTTATATAATAACTTGCCTCCTTGCTGAAGAATCACCATTTGTAAATTCATCGCATTGTATCTGATCTTCTACATTCTCTTGTTCTAATATATCATATCCATCTTCTACTGAAAATACTCCTCCTTTTCGTATTAAAGCTTTTCTAGCTCTTCAGCGTTTACTAAGTGCTTCATTTGCTTTACGGAGATTATGAACCTCAGCAGCTAAAAGCGTATTCGCATAAGCTAAAAGTTCTGTACCCTTAGCTAAAGCTACAACTGTTTTAAATATTGGAGTAGGTGAGCTCTCTTGATGTTGAGCAATACGACTTTTCACTAAAGTGGATTGAGAAAAAGCTTCAATTAGATTGTGAGATATTTGAGATTGCTATATATCAGGATCGGCTGATATTGATCTATTTGATAGAGTTCTTATTCGAATATCTAGTTTTGAAAGTACAATTTCCGGATTAAATGGGATTAGCCCAACTCCGCAGAACCCAGCTTTACCATTTGATATAGATATTGCTTCGATATATATAGCTTTGAAGGCTTGAAAAAACTCGGTTTTGGTAATATGAGTAATATACGCCTTGATAAAGTTCTCGATTTGTCGATTATATGAATACTTTAAAGGACCAAAACAATCGATATCGAGTGGTTGAATTAAATACGAAGAATGAAGTAGTAAACTAAATAATATAATATCGTATTCCTTATAATATTCCTGAAATATTGGCGATTTATGACTTTCATACCCATCAAGCACTAACATTCGATATCTACCCACTTTCCTACTTTCAGTATGTTTGTTGAAGTACTTAATCCATTCAAGATCTGTCTCATTATCTGTCCATTTATTGATAATAGGTTTAATAAGCCAATTGTATAGTAAATCATCTTCGATATATCAATTTGAAAGATGGTATTCGCCTTTTACTATCAAAAACGAAGGCATATTGTGATCTTCTTCATTAACACAAATAATCGCTGTAATCTATTCTCGATTGCCTAATTGTATAACTTTACTTTTTCCACATCGATCAGCTTTAATAACTACTATATATAGTGATATTTGTCCTATCATAAAGCCTGTCTCATCGAAGTTGTAGAAATTGCAGTCCAGAATACCATATTTGGCCCGCATATTCGATACCAATCGAAACCATCTTTCAATAAGCTCTGAATCTTCGCAGAGAGCTCTTTGAAAATCATAAACGCGATTAAAACACATCTTTAATTCTGTATATCGTTTCACAAAACGATAAGCCCAGAGCTTTCCAACCTTCTTCGCACCCTGCGTTTCGAGTATATAATTCGCCATATCTTCCACATCACTTATTCAAGGACTAAACCCTCTTTCATCCATATCCAATATATATTGAAGAAGCGATTTCTCCTCCAATTCTGTCATTTTATGATTTGCTGGTCGACGTTCAGTAAGAGGCAGAATTCCATTCATTCTAGAGGTAAGGGTAGTATGAGGTATATTATAGAGTTTTGCAGCTTTCCGAATACTCAAATTTTGAGATGTACGAATAGCCTCAATAGCTAAATTGATTCGAGCTTCTTTTGAAGTAGTTTGCATAATTAAATATTGATAAATCGCGTATTGAAGTGATTGGTGTGAATTGAGGTAAAAGTGTACAGGGTCCTGATATGTACAGGGTCCTGATAAACCACGTTACGCCGAGTAACAGGAAACTTTCACGTGCAATCAATATCACGTGATTGGCTCAGTGAGGATCAGTGAGCTCAGTACTGAGCTACATTGATCCTACTGAGTAGCCATCGGTACGAAGGTCTATATGATCTAGATGGATTTCCTTTGTATAGAGCTTCGTACTCAAGATCAATCATTTAGTATACTCTACTATTAGTTACAAATAGCATATTATTATTGTTATTACTTTAAGTCCCTACTTGATGCCTAGTTATAAATCTACCTCGAGAGCCTAGAGCACTTCCACGTGATCTAGACGGCTACCCTCGTAACAGTTTGACGCCTAGTTATAAACCACCTCGAGAGCCTAGATGTTACGAGGTTTGCCGTCTAGATCATGTGGAAGTGCTCTAGGCTCTCGAGGTGGTTTATAACTAGGCGTCAAGCAGGGACTTAAGTAATGACAATAATAATATGCTATTTGTAACTAATAGTAGAGTATACTAAATGATTGATCTTGAGCACGAAGCTCTATACAAAGGAAATCCATCTTGATTATATAGTCCTTCATGCTTCCATGATTACTAGTGATCCTTCATGATCATTAGTGATCATCTATATCGTGATCCTTAGTGATCCTTAATGATCACCAGTGATCACCTATACCGTGATCCTTAGTGATCCTTAATGATCACTATTGATCATTTGTGATCACGTGTCTTGGTAGTTGTGTAGCCCGTTGTGACGGAAATCCCTGCTTTCCTCCCACCTTTATTATATAAGAAACCTCAGGTACATTAACCATGTCCACACATGATACGATTACTCGAGATTAGTATGCGATTTAGGTGATCTGAGGATCAGATCCGGACAAGTACTAGGTATCAATGGTTATCGGTAAAGTAAGATCATTGGAGGAATAAATACGACTTCTTTTTGCCTAGCCATTGCGGCTAGGGCATTCATTTGTGTATATATAGAGTAGCTATCCCCATCTACAGGTGCTCTTCACCTGTAGATTCTAAGTTAAATACAATTGCTGGTCTATAAACACCCTTTTGGTCACACATTGCTTGAAAATTTTGAGTAGCGTAAACAAACCCCCGGCCTTAATCTGATTCACTTAAAAGTCGCTGTCGCGGTGTCCGTTTCGCCATGAAACTATTTAGCATGGAACAAGTATCACCACGGGACTATTCACTATAAAACCCTTTTCGACATAGATCCCTTTTGCCATAGAACCAACTATTCGCCACGCCACGAAAACCCGTTTCGCTGAGGAACAGAACAGAATATAACAGAACAGATTGTGGCAAAACGAAATATCTCTGTATTATACTCTACACTCTATATTCTACACTCTACATTCTACACCATGATGAGAAAACAAATAGATACCTTCGTGAGGACTCCATTTCATAGCGAAGCAAACCTTAAGATATGCAACAAAGGCTCTAATTTGGATTTCTGTTTTGTTGCGCCATGAAACTTTCTTAGATATGCAACAGATGCTTCATTCAATCTAACTTTTGTTTCACTATGAAACTTTCTTAGATATGTAACAAATGCTTCCTTCATTCAATCCAACTTTTGTTTCGCTCTGAAACTTTCTTAGATATGCAACAGAGCCAATCTAATTTCAGGTATGATTGGCTCGATCATCTGATTTCATCTGCGTCTGATGACTTACATATATCCATCTATTTGCCCCGAGCGAGTGTGGTATATGGATATGTTGTTTGTAGCTGATTTGATCTGGCTATTTTAAGCCCGTAGATTGGACTTTTTTCCTGCGCCATCTCGATGATGTGATGATAACTCGGGCCTGAACTCTCGAAGACAATGTACAGCGGGGCCGCCTACACTGACAGAACTTGGTTTTTGATGAGTGGAGTTTTAGGTCCCTTAAACCCAGGAGCGTCTTCAACAAATACTTTCAACCCACTGAATCCGTCCTCCTCGTCTTGGCTCTCATTCTTTGAGTATCTTTCGCCTGTTTTCTCGCTTGACTAACACTCATCCTGACCTCCTCCATAACCTTCTTTTCCAATCCATCCACCTCTACCTCATCCAAGACAAACTTTCCCAGATTTCCCTGCCTCCACCTCTGAATAACCCAGAGAGCCGCAGCCTCCACATCCGGCACGCCTCCCTTACCCAATCTCCCCGTTTTCCGACAAACCGCCTCTAAAAATTCCACAATATCATTCGTTTCCCCACAGTATTCTTTATATACACCCCCTCCCACCTTCAGATTAATATGAAATAATAAATAATCCGCCAAAGTTGTTGGCGCAATGATAGTGTCCTTCACACTTCCCACCAATGCCAATTTTAACATACTATCCGTATCCGGTACAAACGGCACGAAAACACCAGGAGTATCAACCAAATACACACCCTCCGTTCCTGCTTCCGGATCTGGATCTACAATCTTAACCCCCGATGCGATTTTCCTCGTAATACCCGGTTGAGCACCTGTAAATGCAGCTTTACCTCGATTGACACCAGCCATACGTAAAGCATTTAGCAAAGAAGATTTACCAACATTAGGCATACCGACGATGAGGATTCGCGAGCCGGTGAGGGATTGATGTGCAAGACCGTGTTCTTTGCAGAGGGAAAGAATTGTTTGTATGTCGGGTTTGGATTTGTGATTTGAGAAGAGAGTAGGAGATGGCTTGTGCCAGTTTTTTATTATAGTTTCTCTCTGTTTTTGGATCAAAAATTAGTATATGACATCTTTAAATTGTGTATATTCAGGAACAATACCTTTTTATCCACAGGCAGACCTTGATTTCCTAAATCGCGTTTTGTATACACAATAACTCTTTCTCTTCCCGCGAGTGATTGTTCGAATAAAGGGTTTCGAGATGTAAGAGGAACTCTATAGTCTCGACATTCTATTATAAGATCGATAGATGAGAGCATCGTTTTCATTCGAGAGAGACCGGATGCATGATGTCCTAGATAATAGGATCGAGGAAGAGAGAGTTGTTGGGGAAATACGGTGCGGGGTATGAATTGAGCCATTTTGATTGCAGGTTAATGAATGTTACTGGAGGAGCATGGCAATTGTTGAATATGAAAGAGCGCTGCTGTTGGAAGTATATGATGTTGTTCTGAAGCTTCGAGGGAGAATGAAGTTTAGAACAAGGCTGAGAAGTTGAAATTTTGGATCTTGGGGTAAGAGCAAGGCTGACCAATTGTAATCAGCTGCGATGCACGCTAATGCATGGCAGCTATGTGAATCCTGTAATTATGATGAAATGTGAATTATTTGATGAAGGCTGAAAATTATAAAACTCGCAGAAAGTTAAGAAACAATGGGAGCAACCCTGACTCCGGCCATACAGAAATACCTAATTCAGAATACTTATTTCAAGTCTGCTTGCTTTCTACTTTCAACAAAAGTCTCCTCTCAATCTTTTTGCTATCAATTATAATTCTAAACTTTACTAAGCAAGAAAGACTTCGGATGGCTCGATGAATTCATGCCATTTAGTGATATCGATGTTATGGTCTCTGTGTTTTATATTGATATTTCATTGCAGCATTTATTCATCCATCACTTCTGAACGGTGTCTTACTTCTACAAAGTGACGTGATATACTTATCGTCTTATGTGCCTTCCATGGATACATTTCCGACATTAATGGATGGATGAATATAATTGCACTTTGCCTTTTGCCACTTTCGTCGTCAATCATGCGAATGGCCTTTCTTTCACCATTTTGTATGGTCGATCCCTTCTTCATCGATTTCCTTCGTATTGGGAATGTCCAGCTCGTCCTGCTGCATCGTCGATTACCCTCTTGACTGCCTTACTCATTTCCTTCAAATGGAACAAGCTCAATCGATCTTGCTTCCGAAATGGAATTGAAAACTGTCGATTCCAACAGCGTATACCAGAGAAATGGTGAAACTATCGACCATTAAAAAAGGATTCATTCATTCCTCTTCACAAATGGGATTCACCATACTCACCACAGAAATCCCAATCTCGGTGTACACTGTAAGAAAACATCTTCGGTCGGATTTAGACACTTGCCATACCCTTCATCCTGGCGTTATGGCCGGAAAAGATTACGACAATGTCTCATCAGACCATTTTCCTATTTGTCCCAAGCTTAATTCCCTCCAGCCAATCCGTCGATTCCCACTATATCAAAAGATTGATATTAGGACCGTGAAAAATAAGCTTCGCTCATGTTTTCTATTTCCGAGACAATCTGTACAACATTGTTCTCACCGAACGTTGATGTGATGGATGTGAGATGAATTTGATGTTGCTTACACTTTCGATTGAATTCTAGACCCGGTTCGTGCTTGGATTTTGGCGGAAGAAGTTGGTTGGCTCCGATGGAAAAGTAAGGTCTCCGTAAGGTCTCCGGATAGAATTGTGGCGACATCGGTATGGGGTTCAGAGTAGACCATCAACACAATAAGTGGGATGGGATGGATGATGGATGTTGACAAAGGAGTTGCGGGAAGAGAGGGAAGAGGAGGGAGAAGTGAGAGGTGAGAAATAAAAGAAAAAGGAGAAAGGAGAAGAGGGAAACCAACAGTTGCGTAAAAAAAGAGTTGATGGCCCCGAGTATTAATTTATTTTGCTTGTGAGACTGACTTTAATTCTGGATGGCTTTATAAGGAATCATCAATTGCCCTCTTTTGAGAAGTAGAAAGTTTCCTCAAACTGCTTCAATCATCCATCATTGACAACAAATCACCCCCCTTTTTGATTTATTTTCTCAGCCTTGAAGGTGCAAAGCACTCTTCACTCAAAACACTCTTCGCTCTCCAGTTTCC